GGACGATTGAATATAAATGGAAAAAACAACGAGTGATAAATGATTGGAGGAGATGAAAATTGCGTGGCAGCTGCGACTGCTGGATGTTAACTGGACATCGCTTCTTTTTTTAAATCTCTTTTTTATTCAAAATTCGTTTCGGCAATTTATTTCTCAAGCAATTTTCACTGATGATCTTTGTGTTAGATAATTTCTCTAATGGAAATTGTTATTTATAAATATTTTTGAATATACAAATTTATTTATAAAACCTACTTAAAAGAATTTATGTATCGGAATATAGAAAAATATTTTTAGGGTATTCAGTACAGCGGAAACACCTGTTAGGAACACACATGGCGCAAAACCTAGGGCAGTACAGAAGCTTTATAAATTTTTCATGCGTTATACAGTTAAAAAAAAGAAATTTGCATAATTGTCTGGGTAAGAAGGCTGAACATAGTGCGGGTAAACCTTTCAAAAGCCATTACTGCGGGTTATACATATATGGAGGATATACCAGTACGTAATAGCATAAATAGGTATTTTTTCAGAAACTATGAATGCTACCACTGTGTAATAAAAATTCAAGCGAATTCGACTTAGTGCTGTTGCTGAAAACAATTGCATTTTAATTTACTACAACAATCAGCTAACAGCAGTTTATAATGCCAACACAAACCTTCATACATACTTTCTGGAATATAAGACTGTTCTTATTAAAATGTAATATTTTATATATTGTAAGATGTATCAAATAGGCCTACAATTAACATTTTAACAGATATCTTGAAAGTATTTCAGTCGTAATCAATACGCTTCCTACAAAAGATAGGAATGATTAATGATCGTCTAGCGTGTGTTTGTAGCTGTGTTTTTTCCGCTGATTATTTTGCTGACAAAAATTTAGTGTTATAATGTTATTAAAAGTTAAAATAATCAACGATCCATACTGGAACCCAATTCACGTTCCTGTTTCTCAGATTGTGCATTAATTAATGTATTTATTTTTATAAATTGTGAAGTTAAATAGACTAAAACGAATAGCGACAAGGTGGTGTGGAACATTCTCAAATGTTATATAAACAAACCAATGATAAACAAATATTAAAGATATTTCTGTTTTCAACTCTAAAGATACAATATGATTGAACGTAGAGATTCGACAACTACAAAACTTTAGTGCCCTATTACAATTTAATTGTATCTTGTAAATTTACCAGGACCTATTATATGTTATCTTCCTTTATTTCAAACGACGGCGAGGGCTTTAAGATACGTTTTATAGCCAGTACAATAAAACATTTTCGCAAGTCTATAGACCTCCATGATTTTGTTTCATTCTACACAAGACCCCATTCAGAATATGCATTTTAGAAAGGAATAGCTGCGTTTGTTGTTTTAACTTGAAAATATTATATGTGTGCATTTCAAATCAGTAAGTCAGAAGGTATGTTAAATTTTTAAGAGTAAATAGTTTTGTAAATGATTGAACTAACTTAAATGAAGCTACAGCTGCATATTTTATTTCAACAAGTGTAAGCGTTTAAGCACCCAGAGAAAAATCCTTGTGAAAAAGCAATACATTATTGTTTCCTAAATTTACATTGATAAAACCTGGTTTTAACTAACGAGTAAGAATACTTGATCAAGATTAGCTTAAGTAAAGTATTCAGGTCAGAGTTTCTACATAAATTAAAGAATTAATTGAGAGTCCATCACATGGAGAAACTTACCGGAAATTGACGCTGTAAACAAAGAGTAGGTTTTTTCTAAAGTTCGATAGACTAATTTAAGCAGATCCGCTCGCTAGCAAACGCAAAATAACACTGACGCTATTGAATAGAGAAGTCGGCAATGAAAAAAGCAATTATTTCATGATTTACATGGTAATAATGTCAACTAAAAGTGGTAATTTTTTACTTTTAGCGTGCATCACGTGACTCCTTTCCGCCAATCACCTGCCTATTATGAAAGAACGGTGGACAATGTTTTCACGCTAGAGATGGCCTATTTTAACTTTACGATCGATCCAAATCGATTTCATAGATAAAACTGCAGCTGTTATATTCAGGCTTGGTCTGGCACCAAACTTTGAAGAATAAACTTTTAAACGTTTGCAAAACATTTTAGGATACAATTTCGAAGAGGGATTTTGAATTTTTATAGGTCATCCCTTCTAACCGATGTCATGATATTTTCATTTTCTAAGTATATAACTTTTTCGTGCTTCAAAATAAATTTATAGAAGAATCTCGTTTAAACCAATAGGCCTTAATCAAACCTTATTATTTGCCTCAGTGTCCAATTTTCCAGGCGTCTCTGCCAAACAACAGTGCGAGAATTTCGGATTGAATCCGACGTCTACCCTTAGGGATTTTTGCGTCGGAAGTTGATTTCCGGTGAGAAATTGATGATTGAGGCTTGCTGCAAACTAGGTCAGCTCTGCAAAGGCTTTACAATCGAAGAAATCTTTCCATAGGTTGCCTAACGCAATTTCTAAAGTACGCTTTGTGAATGATAAATTGGTGCACACGGTTATTCATTACTGGATATTAAAATACGTCAAAAAAATATATAGATTCTTGTACCAGTTAAAGAGTATTAAGATGTGTTTCGATTTATAAGAAAACTAACATTTTCTAAATTGTCTTCAGGAAGATCTGGAAAACACTTTAAACTTTCAGTTATCTTGTTTTCGATTCAATGTTCTTTAATCAAAATAAATATTAACAATTAATCCTCTTAAACTTTTTTATCCTTAGTTTTAATAAAACATTTAGAGCCAATTTTATTACCTTTATTTAACTTATTTATTTCTTCTACTAGTATATCTGATCGTAAATTCCCAAGCGCACTCTATAAATTTGAAAATATGCAAATTTTGTAACGGCTACGGTTAAACTGTGTCAATGGGCAGTTTGACCTAACGTAGCCTTTTCCAAGTTTATTTTCACATCGACGTCTATGTGATGAGCGTGTCTTAAATGTCGTGAATTATGGATATGCCATTTTAAACAAAAGGTAAATTCAGTGTTATATTTTAGTGTTTGATAAATTTTGTAAATGTTTACATATATCGACCTAGTTGATCATGACCTGGTAATTGACAGGTTGTTTTAGGGGTATTTACTGAGGGAAAAATTGGAATTTTCCATGAATATTATTCATATTATGGTAAACAATCTATCAGAATAGTGGTTTCTATCTACAATGATCCCTCCGCAAACGTGCTATTGATTTCTTTTTTTGTTGACCTATTTTTACATATCTTCTCAATATTTTGTTTTCCCTTCTCAAATTTGTTATACTGACAAGTGACTTAGGCGATATCTCGGTTGGTTTGTAATCGATAAAAAAGCGTCGACAGCTACGCTTTGTTAGAATTCATTATTTTTCAATGACCTACTTAACCATTCCACCATAGTGTGTATATCCTAACTGCTTCAAGACTATTTTATACTCTAAAATATTTTAGAACCTAGAGATCACAAATAAGATGTGACCTATTTTTCTTTTTTTTAAACATATCAGTTTAATACCTAATTTTTTTTATCAACAACAGTTTGCTAAACAACCAACGCATATATGCGTTCCTTGACACTGACGTTTGCACACATGCCCCTCTACATAAAATTCGAGAAAGTAGGTCAGAGAAATCTAATATACATTCAAATATTAGCGGTCTGTTGTAAGGGAAGAGTACAAGCAGAGTGCAGCTCGCTCTGACAAATTAGATATTCATGTAAAATAACAAAGTAAGATTAAAAAAAAGCAAGATATGTACAAAACAAACACATCTGGAGGGAAAAATCAGAGTATATTTGGAATAGCAATATTCTTTTAACAGCAACGTTGACCTCATTTTACTTGTCCTAAATGAGTGAAAGCGAGCTGAATGAGAAGATAATGAAGAAAGACGTGTTAAAATGAGGGAAGATGAGGGATAATGCATGTGTATCATTCGTCAAGCTTCATTTATCTTCGGATCATTCGAATGACCGCCCATTTTCATCTTCCTGTGACCCAACTCTTATTATCTCCTTATTTACACTGATCCTTTAGCGAGTGGCTGTTACTACGCCCCAGTTTTTTTATAATACGGTTTAAATCCCTACATAATATAGGGCATGCATTAACAACGATGTTGTCTGAAAGAATATGAAAGTATAAAATAACACAATCGTGTGCACAATCTTCTTAATTGACATTTGTTTACAAAAATTTATGAGTCTGCCCTAATAAACGACAGTGCTTTCTTTCAATTAATATTAAGTTGAATATAACCTGAGATAAGGAAAGTCATTCTATCTCTTTATCTTGTATGTTTGCCTTTGCATTGAATAAAAATATGTGTTTATTAAATAATATGTAGATTTATTCTCGGCTTATTCATGCTTTGTGTATCGGCAAAGAAAGCCCTTGGTGATCTGACAAAGAGGTCAGAAATTCCTTTGACGCTGAGCCCGTGAAAGCTTAATAACAAGTTCTGTATTCAAATAGTGTACCGTAGAAGAGTAGATAATCAAATAAACGAAACTGGTTAGGAAAATTTATAATAATTCATCTGTTTGTTCACAAAGAGGTTTTATAATTCGCTTACGATAGATATATATCATCCGTAAAAATAGATTTTAAGCCAAAGTTATTTTCGTCTGTCTATGGAATTAGATAGTGTCTTTTTTATAGATAGAATCCATAATTCCTAGAAGCCAACACATAACATGTTTTTTTAAAAACTTATAAATCATCAAGTTTCTTTTGAGATATACAACATATTAACGAATTGAATAACAATTTTAATAAAATTTTGCATCAGATTGGAGTCATGTTGATTATGTAATTTTAGGCTATCTTTGTATCTCGTTTCTATTAGTAATTTTCTCGAAATGAATCGGAACCCAAGCGTGGGGAAGACTTTTAAGAAATTTATCTTAATGAATGTCCTATAAAGAATCAGACGCAGCTAACCAATGCCATCATGGCCACGAGGTCGCCTGAGACAGCACATCTTTCTTTTTCGGCGTTTTAACAAAATTGCTGCATTCGTAGTATTCATAATTTGTTTATTGTCGAATTGTCGATCGATTTATTCCGCATTGCAGCTCAAAAGCCTTAAAAATAATTGGAATGGCACATTTAAGAATCAATTTTTTTTTCAGCTTAAACGTTATATTTTAGTCAAAAATTATCAATAGCATACAATACATTAATGATAATCATCTTTATTACAAAAAATGTACACATATTTAAAACGCCGTTGTCTGTAGTGGTTGGGCTATATTAGTAGTGAGCTTTTCTTCTTGACCCACTTTCTGCTCGCGTTTCCATTTCATTCTCCTATTCTGCAAGCAAATTTTGTTGTAGATTATAAACACTTCCCATCAAGTTTTACATATTTTCTTTTACAATTATTGCATGTTTTTCACAACAAATGCGATTGTTTAAATTATACTTGTAAGATTATATATGCAAAACAGAGTATAATTTATAGGAGGCTCTGTTAAATTTTAAGGGTTTGAAATCGAAAACATTCCTTGACTAAATAATTAAAATTTAGTCTAACACTACAATGTAGCAAATTATGCTATAAGTAACAGTTTTTTACCTGAAACCATATTTTTATCTGCCTCTCTGTTAAATTAAGAGTGTGAGCGATTTCGATACGTCGACGTCTAGTTAAATAACGGTTAAAATGAAACTCTTTTTCTAGCTCAAGAGTTTGGTGTCGAGTGTAAGACGTTCTATTCCTTTTCAAATCGTTCTTAGGATCTAGGAAATATTATACGGACTTCTATGAAAACAGTAAATAATAAATTAAATAGCATTTTTGGCTAATAATATAAACTATTACATAATATTTTTGAAAAAAGAGGCAAATTCACATTGCTCAGTTTGGATTTTACTTAAATATTTACATAGAAACAGCCAATTTTTTACAATCTATTTTTGGCCATCATACTGAGGAACTTGCATTAACGATAAAGTGTTCGATAAGAATTTTCAATCAAACTCTTCATTTACCTATATGAGATTACAGCTTTTTATTGTTACTTCATTGCGAATTGTCATTTGTGCAAAATTTTTCTTTTAAAGGCATTTTTTAAATATTTTAACGTCCATAATATTATATATTTTATACAACCGATATTTAATTTTTAGAAGCGTAAATATATATTGAACAAAATATAAATAGTCGTGCCTTAAAGGAAGTATGTCTATGCTATCTAATCTACAAATTAAGAGCGTACTAGTACTTGAAGATAAGGCTAGTTAATTGATTTTCTTCACAAGATTTGTTACAATGCTAAACGAACCAGGTAGAGAATGAATTCTTTTCATCCATGGATAAACAGGGATTGGAAGGTTATTCTTATCATCATATGTCTCGACATTCATTTTCGGAACCCCTGGATTCAAAATTTTTTCTGTTGAATATTGTCTGAAATTTTCAAATGTCTGTATCTTTTCAGTAGGAGCAGGAATCTGTTGTTCCGAAAAAAAATTTGTTGGGAATAATGTGTCATTAGTAAACTGTCCATTAGGATAGTTTCTTGGGATCTGCAAATCTCCAAATTCGTTTCTATTACCATAATCGAAAGTGTAATTGTTGACCAAGTATGAACTCATGGTTTACCAACTTTTAATTTTAACACGCACATTAATAATTAATTACCAAAAATCCATTTAAATAGAATGATGGATGACCGAAATGAGAGACAGTGATTTTTCTTAGCTAGAACAGCATCTAATTATTCTAAAGCTGTTGTGTCACGTGACACTTTCTCACCAATAGGCAGAAAGAAATGGCGGTTGTTACTGAGTTACATTGTTGTGAGAAGAATTTGCCAACAGTTTCTTTCAAAAATGGTATATAAATCACAATTAGAATAATTCAGGAGAGAATTTTCTCATGTAATAACCGTAATTAAGAAACGTGCTTCGAAAATTGATAACAAAAGACCCATATATAAGCTTAGTTCTAGGCCCTTTAAAGAAAAGTGTACGAATAAAGAATTAAGAAAGAGTATTCGTAAGAGATAACATGGAAGACAATTAACTAATATATAACTGTTAATTGTATTACCTATGAATAATTCCTTTTCGTAGATAGAAAAAGACCGCATACAAATTCTATTTCGGCTCATTATTCACCCCAAACTTGTTTTCATTTCTCATAAAAAATGAATACATGTACAACGGCTAAATTATTCATCTCTGAGGCCTAACCTAACGAAGGGGCTTTGTAATAACACTTAGAAGGATTTTCAATGCTGATGAGCTTAAATTATTGGTTTGAAGACACTAAATCTTTCTTTTTAGTTTGTGACATTTGGGAACGTTTATTATGAAAGGGTCGGAGGTTGAGTGGGACAAATTCAGGTCAAACATAAATTGTTAAATTTTCTATCCTCCTCTCAAAATGATTGCTTGTCATCAAATAGACGTCTTACTCTGCAGGAGATGTGACGCCTTTATTTAGATGTTTATAAAAAAACTGCCACATTTTTGATAAAAAGAATCCCCTAACTTTTAATTTTTTAAAAATTTATCTAAGCAGCTAAGGAACTCACTAAGAACTTTCTCATTTTTTAATATGTACTTTTATAATAACACCGATATCATAAAAAAATGTAGATACTTCTATATCTATGCTGTTTAGTGTATAATGTCTTACGATGAAAATGTACAAGTAGAAAGTCTTTTGTTGTTTTATTTTGCGCGCCGATCGTAGAGCGTGATAGGCCAATAATATGCTTTGCGCATGCGTGGCAGCCTACTTAATAAGCCACCCTGGTGGCCCGGCTGTTTTGCATATATTGTAGACTTGAAAGAGATTAATGAAACACTTCTTTGACTTTGAAGTATGTTCAGAGAGCCTAAATGCATATCGTCTCAATTATATAAACCAAAAAAATACTCACAAAACCGTACTTAACGCACTTTCCATTCCATTTTATACTTGCTACGTGACATTATTAAGTAAATACTGTTAGATTTAATTTCACTGTATCAGGGCTAACACAAAATTTTCCCATTAATTTTAGTTCACAATATTTGCTATTAGTTAATCCCTTAGTTCAAAGTTATTTACAACGCTTTTTAAATTGGCCGGTTATGGGAAAGACATTTTAATTAGATCGCTAAATAATTTGATAGCAATTTTCATCAAACTTCATTATATGAGGCTGATTATTTTTAGTGATCAAATAGCCACATCCAAAATCTCATAGATAAATTACCTATTGATTTTTGGCCTATCAGAGTTGTCTTGTATTTTATATAATTTTGGTCTACAAGCGTCCTTAAAATTCTTAGCAGTAACGTAGAATATAACTCGTCCATAATACGTTTTCGTAGTTTATAGTCACCAAACTTGTATGATCGAAATACATTGAATACCCTTTATCAAAGTTGTGCACCAAGTTGTAACTATACAACCGGGTACGACAAAGAGAGGCTCATAAAACGTAAATCCAAGATATTCATTTATACAGCATTAAACACGTTTTTTTCTTTTAAATAACAATAACGTATGTTATTGTGATAGGTTGCCGCATATCAGTTATTTTTGCGCAAAACCCTGGGCTTTTTCAAATTAGCATCCTAAATGATTTCTAGTAATTTTCGTAGCTATATTTATATATTAGACACACTGACTTTTACGAAGGTTACGAAGCATAAAATAAACATTTTACTTTCAAGAATGGTATTTGCTTAATGAGTGAATGTATATTTTTGTTTCAGAATGGAACCAACTGGCAGATGCCTTGTGCTGTACTATGTTTCACTGACGCTTTCTCCAATGGGATTGAACTGGAAACCATGCTAATGATAAATTTTGGCGCAATATTTAAATAAGATGATACAAAAACATTCTTTTCCCTTTTGATAGGGAAAAGTGAAGAGGATCATTGCAAAGAAAATACTTGAATGGCCATTTGAAAGAAGTAAAAACTTTTTTTTGGATAATATTGTTTTCTCTACAGTAATTTGGCTTTTAAAAAATTAATGGAAAATATGCATGTATTTCAATAATGATTCTGAATACAAACTCAACATGCAAAGCATCACACATGCTACAATATACAAAATAAAAATTAATTGTAGTTATAGTTATGTACAGAAATGTATGATATTTGAACATATATACATGTATTATTATTTTTATTTTTACATTATCCATGCCGTATATACATATGAGCAACAAAAACCCTGACTGTATAGGTTCGGGTATTGTACTTACATCAAAAGCTATGGGTTTTTGTTGTGTTTATATTTTGTACAAGTCTGTCAAAAATAGCTAAACAGCAATGTAACAAAAAATAATAAAATTCTTGATTTATTAGTGTACGACCAAATTCTCTTAGATACAGCAATAACTGCTACAGCTTCCAAAAGCAAATGAGGTAGTTATTTCGCTAAGAAAACGCTTTCAGATACTTTATACATAATCTTCTTTATACGTTTACTAAGTATTTATTTAAGTTAAGGGGATTGTATATATATATATATATATATATATATATATATATATATATTAATGTATTTCTATGAGTGTCTGAAAAAATGATGATAACGATTAATAAGCATTTTGTACATAATATTCTCAAGCGCCGACTAGAATGAACAATAAGGAAGTTTAACGCTCAAATTCTACGGCCAACGACGTTTTTATGAGAAAGATAGAATTATATATGATCCATATATTGTCTTATTATAAACTTAGTATATTCATACTTACAGTGAATATATATATATATATATATATACTGTAATTATGCATATATATTACTGATATAATATATTTTAATATAAGGAATTTATTCTGTTTCCCTGAGAATTCGGAAGAATTGTCATGTGTGTTATTAAGAGAGGGAAAGGCAATAACAGTTAAATGTCGCAACCGTTTGCTTTGATTTTAAGTTTACCCTTTCGTTTCAATACTTTTCTCACAATACCAAAGCAAAATTCAGCAACAATACAATTTTACATATCTAATCGCTTCAGAGAGAAGCTTAACAGTTTATGTTTTGCTATGATGAATACTCATTCGGGAGAATTACTAGTCGCCGGGGAAGAAACATGAGTGAATGAACTATTAGGAGTAGTTGAATTCTGTTCCTGATCCTTTTTGTCTTCATATTTCAATTCACCGTTAGGACCAGTTAACTTGGCTAATTTATTTTCTTTCTTCCATTTCATTCTTCTATTCTGAAACCAAATTTTGATTTGGCGTTCGGTTAAACCTAAGGCGTGGGCAATTTCGATGCGACGTCTTCTTGTTAAGTATCTATTAAAGTGAAACTCTTTTTCCAGTTCTAATGTTTGATATCGAGTGTAAGTTTGCCGCGTTCTTTTCTGTTCCATACCGTAATCTGCTGGCAAAAAAAAAAGCTCTATAAGTTTATGGGTTTAAGAGATGCACCCCGTGGCGTAGTGAAGATGACGAGTCATATAGTTGTGGGTGAGACGAAAATGACTCTTAGCTGTCGAATTCACACCTGCTGACACACCTGGCTTTGATGATTTGATTACTCTATGGGTTGTTTTGTTCCATAGCCATCAATTGATTTATTACACTAGAGTACGCTTCTTAATTTTATCTATTTTTTTGTAACTAGCAGTTCCGGTTTAAATGGACATTTATACATTGTCCTACAACTGTACTTCTATATCATATGCATAATAGGCAAAGAGTAATACTATCTGTTTGCTAAGTATTATTACGTTTTTTTTTAAATGTACAAATTTCTTATCAACAGACAATAAGAAACCGGCGCCGACCAGCATTCACCACCAACCCCGCCCACTCATCAAAGTAGAAGATGACTTGTGGTCAGCTCTGATACCAAAACAACGCAATCGACATATATTCTTAAAAAATATATGCACTTCCTGGCCTCATTTTTTCGCATTTGTATGCGTCATTAAACGAAACGCGCTTGCCATGCACTGTAATTATTATCCAATCTTATATACGTTAAATTCATAGAATTATTAGTCTTTTATAAACTTTTATTAGATTCCTTACTGATTAAATGTTTAAGAGAGTGTTATTTTTATAGCTATATACATGGAATTTGAAGAAACAAAGGGTGAGTAATATTCGACGCGAGAGGGCGCCAAAGCACGGAAACAAAAAATCAACAAAATGGGATAAAAATATAGAATAGTATGGGTGGATTCAGTTCAATTTCATTATAAAGGATTATTAGTGCGCTGTAGTATTTTTTTGTACTTTAATCGATTAAAAATAATTACATTCTGGTTTTACATGTTTATAAGTACACACTCAAAATAAAAAATCTAAATTTTCTTATCTGTAAATAATAACGTTAAATTTTTTCAAATGTTTTTTTTTTGAGGTGTGTAGCAATACAATTTCCCTATTCAATATCTTTTACTTTGTATACGTTTATATTAAACATCTTTAAACCTTTTTTTCTAATTTGGCTTTCTGCGCTGGGCTTTGTATTTGGTTAGTGTTTCCTAGAGTTTTTTTTGTACAGTCTAATATCTAGATATAGATTTCACCATTATATTCTACTATTTATCAAGATGCTTTGTCTATTCGCATTTATAGATTCGTATAAAGGAAATACGTAATTTTATTTATCATTTATAAGTAGTCTACGCAAATGATCAATTTATTTTAAAGCAAGAACTGATTGGTTAGAAGGGCACTTTTTACACGCTTCTTATACATAAATTAAACATGCGCTAAATACGAGGCGTTACGTTTTAATCACAAAAAATGGCCGCTCTTGTGGAAGTCTTCCCCGGAGATATAACGCCGTAAAATATGACCGCAGTCACGTGACTCACCATTTCGATTATCGACGGGTTAATTCTCGGGTCAGTAAAAAAGTCTGGTTTGAATTAAATTTACAATAAAAAACATGTTTTCATCTTGAGTTATGATTTTTACATTCTAAATTGTGTACCACGTTTCTCGCATGTTTATACATGTTTTTGCTTAAAAATAACAAACGGCGTTTAACATTTGGAACATGTTTAAGATATCACTTGTTTCTTACAAGTAAAAATGTACCCAGCAACTGCTTCTTTTCCTTCTTATGGTAATATGTAAACTCGGTAATAAAAGAAGCGTAAAGTTAATTGCGCGGCAAAGCTTCCAATTTTTAACACGCAAAACACGTGCGGCTGGTGACGTCAGCAGAAATATGCAAAACATGCAACTGGGGTGATTATAGATAAGATAAAACACAGCGGTCGTTAAAATCGTTAAAAAACTTCTTACCTTTCATCCAATTGTAGATCGGTATATTTGACTGCATTCCGTTTGGCGTGGGATGAGCAGCAGAAGTAGGCATTCCATTACTTAAATACGGAAGCGTCGATTGTGGACACGAAGCCTGTATAACGTCAGCTTGCATATCAGGTTGGCCCGAAAATTGACCGTTTGGATGACTAGTTGCGAAAGACGCCAAACTTTGATAAGCGGACGTCACTTTCGAGTCTTGACGATCATAGTAACGCGGATAGAAAGTAGCGTCAAAATTCGGCGCCGAATAAAAAGGCGTCGAATCAGCCGGAAATGACGCCGCTGAAACGTCCTGAGAAGACGACAGCATTCCCGTCGTGTAGTATGCGTTTGCGCTCATGTCCGAGCAGAGAATGATTTGCGAGCTCGTAGCCTAGAAGTATCTCAACAGCCGCCATTAGCTCATTATGCAATGACCCAGGGTCAATAAGCTAACCAGCCTATCAGCGAGAAGCGGGTTGTCACGTGACTACTACGATCCTAATTAATCCTGACCGCTGTCCGCTGTATAGTGCAGGCGCCATCTTCTGGCAATTCTGTCATTACCTTTCCGTCGCTTGCTTGATTCACTTGATTTTTAGCTTTTTTCTCTATGCGGGTTTTACTTTGTATTTTTTTGATATATCAATATTGGCCCATGAAATCACCATTTAACATAGACCAACATTTTCGAATCAATCCATTTACATTTATAATACATATGACTGAATACGTTTTCATCAATCAAAGCAAATTTCAATAGCAGTTGTTAGTTTTCAGATACTTAATGACTTCTTCAATACTAACTTCTATAATATCACTATTATTAGTAAATAGACGAATTTAATAGACGCTGACTTTCTTTTACGATCGTTGGTTGGACACACACGTGTAACCAAACAAAGCGATATTCTTTGGCGTTATAATATAACGATAAAAATAAACCATTTTGAAAATTTATACGACTAGTTTGTGTGAGTTTATAGCGGAGGCTTTTTGTTCTTTGTATGGATACACAGTACACTTCAGACATTTTGTTGAATAAGGTGAACAGTTTCAACTACGAATCTCACTGGATTAAAAGAAAGTGAAGTAAATTTTATTCAACAAAGACAATCACATATACCCAAGGAGAAATAGTGTCATTGATTTTTCTCTATATTCAACACGTATGCATTCGGTCGACTGCCTCTATTTATTTTTTTATACCCTAAAATAACTTTTATCCTACAGCGTTTTATGCATATTTTCTAAACCAGCTTCATCTTTAGAAAGCTTTAACTTTACCTTTTAAAATGTGACTATTTTTGTATCGAGTCGCTTCCTCTACTCCGTAACTCTTTAATATAACATATTACCGGAAGTTCCGAGAAGGTTGTGTGGTGCGTATTTGTCATAAAACAAGATATAACTGTTGTTTTGTCATTAGAAACAAATAAAGTATATTTTCGGTCAGAATTTTACTAATAGTATTATTACTTAAACACTTGTTGGAAATATCTCATTCGTAACACCTTCAATCATTTCCTGCAAAGGTCGAGTTATAATTTTATTACAAGCGATTCGAAATATCAATTTTATGATTTAAGCCACGGACATATAGCCGAGCGTATATTGATTGCCAAGAGAAATTATATATTGTAGATATTGAACTGACTTACCGTTTCATGTGTCCATGTATTAATGTTGAATTTGTATTCAATTAATAAACATTCATGCATATCAGTGGCCTGAATTGGTCTTTTTACCGATAATTATTTAACGACAGCGCTATGAAATATGTTTTATATTTCTATACGAAGTTTAGCTTTTGATTATAGAGTTATTGATAGAAAAATAATGTGCTGAAAACATTCTGTAATTTATTAAGTACAACTCGTTAATGAGGATAATTGTGGTTCAAGGTTATGAAACATTTTTTAGATGATTTGTGATGTTTTGCATCAATAAAGGAAATTTGAAATAAATAGAAAATTTTTAAATCATAATGCTGGGCGCAATCGCTGTCTATGAAATCAAGCGGTATTGAAACTGTGCCCTTATTGAACCATATATTTTTTTATCTTATTAAAAGCCCAAATGGATTATTTCATGCGGGTTGTGAATCGACAAATGAATAAGTACCAACAAGCTTTTAACTATGAATGTATCCTTTTTCTGCCGACTATTTAGGTTATCGTCTTTTCTTGTATACAGCGGACGAGATCAAAAGTTGAAATGCTCTTAATTTCTATAACTTCCACCTGTTGAAAAAGTGAAAAATCAGGGCAAAAAATACTCTTTCTTCCTTAGTTGTTTGGTCCGGAGTTATCTACGAAAAGATCGCATTTATAAAGAAATTAGTATTTCAAAATGGCATGCCAAGACATTTTGCGGCCGATTTTATAATGTTGTAAAGTTATATTGGATTGGATACTATAGGCCTTCTTTATTCTCTACGTTCCTTTCCATTTAATCTATCCCGCTTTCTTTCGTACCACAAAAGGGTAATTCATATGAGCGTTTTGTGATAGAAATATTGGTGTTTTTTGATTTTTGCTTAATAATTTAATTGAAATACATTTTTAGCAAACTGAAAAGTAGGCGTTATTTTAAAATGTGCGCGAGAGTTTATTGGTTTCTTCTTAAAGCAAGTTAAATTTCGACGTTCAAGCTATTTAGTAGAATAGTTTAATATTTTACTTCTATAGTACAAATTTCCATGGGACACTTTAAAATCGGATCGTTCCGCTTTCGACTGTAAGCTTTTTCCAAGGTCAACTAGTGCGCATATCTAAAACTTTGAGCGCAGTAAAATGAACTAATCCATATACGAAAAGAGTGTACGTTAGCTCTCTCTTCCCCAATTTTAACACTTTCGCACCGCTTCGTCCACTCGATAAGCATAGCAAAATTTATGAAAACAATCTTAAGCAGTCAAAATTGGAATGAGCTTTTTCATCTTTTTTCTAAATACAGATATTCAGTTGTACTTTGCAATTTAAAATCGAAAGTGTTAGTATTGCTTTTCAATTAACACTATTAGGACGATTTTCTTTATTATAATATCGACTGATTGAAGAACAATGTGGTAGTTTTTTACAGTTTTATGTGATATTTTTGTTAGTAAGGCGTGTGTATTAGGCATTAATCAATTAACTGTGGTATGACAATTCATTGAAAATAGATTGTTTTCGTTTGTTAAAGAATCAACTTTTAACATAATAATTCACATTAATGTCAAATAGTAAAAATTACTAATTATTTTAAACTGACATTAAAAGTCAAGTAATCGAATTAAAAAAAAAAGAAATCTCCCATCAAAAGTAGAAATTTCATTTAAAAAACATAAAGAAACATAAATTTCGAACAGCATCCCGATTTTAGCTTAAATAAATAAAACAACAATCAGTTTTTTTACGTTGTAATGTTGCTCATTTTCGTATTTGAAACAAATAAAATGAAAATTGCCTGTTATAGATTATCTTTCGTGGATTTCACGCATTGTAGCTCAATTTCTTTGCGGGAAATTTGCATAAGCTTTCTCCATAGAGACGGCTTAAGCGTTCTTTTGGTACCATTTGTCCAAAGTATTATTGAGATAAATTTTACTAGTTTCATAGGCATGGGTCTTAAACGAAAATATCGAATGATTAAGCAGTCGTCAATTTTAGCAAACAATCTTTCAACATTCAAACATAAAAGATGTTAAACTATTTGGGGCAAGGTGATGATTGTAAATACAAATTATTTTTCAGACAAGCTAGAATTTCGACTTCTGGTCAAACTTGCTACTTCAAGAATAGCCATGATCTATATCAATTTACTAAGAATTTCTTCATTCGCTAGAACAAACACACGTAATAGCAATAATTTACGTTTATAGAATTTTACTCGAGAAGCTTTTGGCCAAAAAAACGACACAAATGTACTTTCTCCCGTTGCTGTTCTATTATTTCTTAGTCAATTTATGAGCGATATATTTTGTTAAATTTTATTTTGGAAGACAAATGAAAATAAATTCATAAGTATCTCGATAGGTTATTTATAATATATATTATATTTATGTAATTTATTGTAAATTTATAGTAATTTCTGGTATTCCTTGAGCTTAACCAACGTAAAACGTGACCTCGAAAGGTTTCGTTCGCTTTTTTTCATTTTGATGTCAAAGAAAACATGCACTAACTTCTAGCAGACCCCCAACGAACTGCTGGTAATCATCTCCAATTGCTTTTTCTTTAAGAGAATTTCTGAACCATGATAATCTTTCATTAGTAACTGCTAAAATAAATTTAAATTTGCATCGTGTTTGTGCTATTGATTAGAATTCAATACTTTTATTCATTTTTTTCTTGCCGAAAAAAATAAGTATCTACTACTTGGTTATTATACAATATACAAACTGCCGTCTTCGTTTGCCGGGAAAAAGACAATTGTTACATCCTCTGGCATACTGAATCACTATAATTAATTAGTTAAAATACTCTCTCTTTCAAAAACATGCACACGACATCTTACAGCCTTAGAGACGAATTTCACAGTTTAAGAAGGTCATAAAACCTGAGCGTTGCTATTGACCTACTTTCAAACGACGCCATGTTTTCTTTGTGTTCCATTTCATTTTACGGATATAACTATGATTCAACATAAAAATCCTTCTCAAGCGAAGAGAATTAACAATTTGCAGCTAATTTGTTCAAATATCCACTCGAATTAAGGGTAAAATATTTTTATTTCAATATCATTATTATAATATTCCTGTGATCCACCTTTAAAATATTTAGATATTAACTTATTTAGCATTCTCTCTCTAATCCTTTGTTCGTGAAATAGTTATGAAGGTAATTAGGTCAATGAAAAAATGCGACTTGTTTGGTGATATATATATATATATATATATACTGTGTATATATATATTTAAAAAAATTTTTGTATGCTGAATACAAGTCTAATAAGTTGTAATCAAAGTATAGTTAGATAAAATGAGGATGTTTAATTAGGCTCTCAACTAATAATGTAGTTCTCTTAATGAAGCTAACTAAACCTATAAAATCACATTATCGCTAAAAAGATATTATTTGTTTCTAGAGCCTTGCAACTCATAATTTTCGTACTTTCTGTAAAGAATTCGGACTGTTTACCATTAATAAAAAGCTATGAATCGCTGCAAGTATTAGGGAATAAGATGACACCTTTGTTTTTACAAATTTCGTTTGTCAGCGAATGGAAATGGCTTAAAAATACTTAGCTTATTGTAGACTAAATAATTTCTAATTACAATTGATCGAAAAAAAACGGAAGTCAATAGGGAAAATTGAGAATTACCTTGGGAGTGTTTGGTTATTTTAAGCTAATTCTAAAAGGTAACTGAAAGAACTTTTATGATTGAAACGTTTTCATATATGCACAAAGAAATGAATATTTCTCTAAAAATTTACATGATGCTCTAGAAATTCTTTTATTGAAATTTACCATGTCCTTAAAAATTACTTGTCTTGTCATTTATTTATCTCTAATTCTTCCTATTAAATATCTCTCGTGGTCTGCTTATTTTTTAAATCGTAATTTTACTGAGTAGAAAAGTAGGTCAAGCCCTGCGCAAACTTGTATACCAGGAGCATTAGGAAATCAGAACTCCTATCACGTGCAGTGTATATTTATAAATTACGAATTAAAATATTAAATCATGGTTTGACAAATCAGAAAATGTGCTTTACACAGTAATTTTTAGGATATACGTGACCTAACTAACCTAAATTTGATTTGCCCGCTCTGTTTATTTTTCCTAAGGATAAAATGCGCTCCTTCACCATTACATTCGAACGTAATGTAGGTCAACGTTTATCTTAATAAAAGACAGTCTATAAATAATTAACTTCAATAGATAGAGTCATTCCTCAAGAGCATAATTGCTTCTTTGGATTCATAGCTTGACCTCCAAACATTCGGCACATTTACCGTTGACCCAAATTTTGGAAGCAGCAATGAATCACGAACTCGTTTATTTTCTCTGTCTTCTCTTGGTTTCTAGTTAAATTTAATCGTAATTATTCATTTATTTGATCTAAAAAGATGTGCATATAGTAAGGACTTTTGTAATTTAGATCGTTACTAGCCAACATTAACATATCCTGCTATGCTTGACCATTTCAAATGAGCTAAAATTACTTTATACAAGCAATTAAAAAGACTTTATATTTGAAAAATATTTTTCTTCAGGCTGTCCGTTTATACAGGAATTTGCTTTAGCTACTCTTTTGACCCAGATATTATTTTGATAAACAGACTGTAAGATGTCCATGATAACTGTGGATACACTAAAGCACAGATACTAATTTAAATGATAAAACTTGGCAAATTGACCCATTTACATGATCAAGACTACAAAATTCGAGAAGCTTATATGCACAGAGGGAGCCAAAAATCAACATACCATTGTGGTAAGATGCTGTATCATGTGATTTTGTTCATAATATATGCGTGACGTTTCAAAATGGAGTTGGAGTTTGGGTGTTATCTATTTTCTAATTAGAATTTAGCTTTTTCTGCACTTTTGAACACACTACCCTCAAAGACTTACAAAATAAAGTATAATTTTCATATAATTAAAGGCTAAGCATCGTTTTGATTCTTTCCACATAAATACATTTTTTTACATTTATTTTAGCCTAAATTAAAGAGGAACTTATTCCCAAATATACTCGCTAAAACTTTTCTAATACAGAAAGCAAGGTACTATTATTGTTATGTCATAATATCTCCAAAATAATGTCCACTTTAAGAAAGATAGCGTCTATTTTCTCCGAAACTGTCATCATACATTACAGTATTTGATTTTGAGAAGGATAGAATTATACAACTGTCTATGAACCCTGAAAATCTAACTTGTGGTTAAATTTATTTCACAAGTTCGGTTCTACAGGGTACATAGTCAGTTGTGAATGCCGTACATATTCGACTTTCATGCTCTGATCAATTTTAATAATATATTCAAGATCTTAATCTTAAGCTGCAGTCTCATTTAGACAGAGTTGCGCTTTAGACAGCCGCTACATATATTTATCACTTGTTATTTTTATTTATAACGAACCTTAGAACATAATTCAGACTACATCTGTACTTCACTTTTAGCCAGATCGCATACGCTACAATTCTTCAATAGAAGTATTCACCTGGCTTTTTTAAAAGTATAAACAAGAACTTTTTAGTATTAAAAAATAGTTTAGATACATATCTTAACTTTTAAGGTTTGAGGTGAAACTAAACAAAATCTAATCAAATACAAGACAGTAATAAGACACAAACCCTCATAGAAAAAAAACTTAGTGAAAGAGAATACAATATCAACTGCAACATTTTACTCGAATTCATCTGATTTTAAGGATTCTATTTGTCGATTTTCTTTTTTCAATTTCATTCTCCTATTTTGGAACCAAATCTTTATTTGACGCTCACTGAGTCCAAGTGAGTGAGCAATTTCTACTCGTCGTCTTCTTGTCAAGTATCGATTGAAATGAAATTCTTTCTCTAGCTCTAATGTTTGGTGGCGGGTATATGTTTGTCGTCCACGCTTTCTTTCAGAACCTGTACGTAAAATATTGAATGTTTTTTTTGCTATAATGTAAATTATACTTTTGTTAGGTAAAAGTTTTTTCTTTATCCTTTTAGGTAATGAAAAGATTCGAATATCCTCCCCTGAGGATTATTTTATAGAAAACCTCAAGCTGATGTAATGAAAATAAACGAGAATCAGACATTGAAACACGACTGGGCTGATCACCATGTAACCGTGCAGGCAAACTATTCGACATTTAATTGTTTATCCAGGATCTTTCTTTCTTTCTATTATACCAATCAATACAACATAATTATTGTACTTTATAGGATGTTTATTACTAATTAAATACGCTTTTACTGGTTTGATAATTTACTGAAAATATAGAAAATTTTAGAAGCATGTATTCATATTTTCTTATGTGAAATTATAGTAAAAAGAAGATAAGCTAAATTTTAGACTGAAGCTTAAAAATATGGAACAAGAATTTCGATAAATCGAACATTTACACAGTTACCGCCAGCGTTGTCACGCACTGGGATTGACCAGGACTATTGTTATACAAATGATAACTCCTAATTATTATCATAAAAAAGACTTCCAAGTTTAAAAATTTTTTACTACAATGATTTATACTTTAACGAATTGTAATGTTCAATTGAAAAGCCACTACGGCAATTTTTTTTCAAATAAATCTAACCTTTGAAACTCACACACAGTGAAAAAAGTGATGAATATTCTAGAAACATAACCTACATAAGTTAGGTTGAAGAAGATTCGTAGATTTAGCTGTTAAATGCATGAAGATCATTTATAACAATCGCCCACCATAAATTAAAAAATGTTGTAAATAACGACCAGTTATATTTCATTGGGAATTTATATGCATGCGCATACGCGTCAGATACATTTGCATCAAAAGATAAGCTTATCTAATGTTTAATGAATCGCACTTATTCATAACACGGGAATCTTACGTAGTTGAATCGAATGAAGAGAAAGGCGAACAAAAGTTAGTAAATATTTTTCTCACACTTATGACTCTTATTTAGACTTATAAAAATATACCTCATGAAAAAAGTCAAAGGAGACGACCACGAAGGAATAATATAAATCATATAATATTTGCAAAAGAGAAATATAGTTTTAAAATATTCAATGGCCTAAAATGCGCGGTACTCAAGTTTTCCTTTGAAGTCACTTTGTTGTCAACGTTGACCATATAAATGATTAATCTTGATAGAATAGTTAATAATCTTTTTCAATTTCTCCACATAACTATAATAATTTTCATTTTGCAAAAAAATTTTCGCCCTTATCGTAATCTTTTTGGTTTAGGTTAATTCAATTTAGATCTGTAAGTTGAATAGATAGACCACAGATATCTCAAGGATAGTTGATGCAATCTGCAAAATGTGCGCGGGGAAGTTAAACTGTTAAAAGATGTGTATCCTGCAGATGGCGCTACGATCGCAAATGAAAGGACACCGTGTCATAGTTTAACGGCAGAAAAAGATCTTTAAAATTTATATTACTTTATTATACGTAATTTAGAAGGTACATTTTTGTGGACAACGACCTATTACACCAAAATGTGTTGCTAACGTTCTTTTCTTTACATGAACAGGTGCTCAGGAAAAATACTGACTGAGTGGGAGGTCGAAGCCATTATTAGTTCATTAAGCCGCCAAAGCTTTTATTCATTCCGTATTTGGCGTACGAATTTTCTATTGATAATATATTTATACAGTTCCTATTCAAGCAAGCTATAAATCATAATAATCTAGGATATTATCGTAATTTAAGCAAATAAACCTTCATATGGTACTTTCTACAGTTTTAAAAATGATCAATTAGCGATGTAGATATCACAAAACTACCTTGGCTTGTTCTTCAGAAAGGTTAATCAATAATTAGAGGTTAAATAAACCTCCATAAATTATGGCTTAAGCTGTTTCTGTGAACGTTCAATTGATCAATATGCTATTTACTGGTTGTTTAAAAATATTTAAACGTACTTTGATTTGTTTAGAGAATGTTTTTTATAACTGAAAAAGAATCTTGGGTATAACATTACAGATTCTTATTATGTGAACTTTTATGATTCCAAAAGTGTAATAATAAATGTACAATCTCCCTTTCTGGGAAGTTAATCATCTTAAAATTTAGCTTGTTAATCAATCATGGTTTAAACAGGAAATTACACAAGTACTGTTGTTAAAATGGAAATAGATTAACTTGTACAATCAGAACATTTTTCTGGTGTATCGGTTAGACGGCAACTTAAGATTTACATTTGATAAAAGAAAAGAAAGACAAAGGCGAATATTTTAAATCCTAAATTGGTCTTCGCATTCAAGTGTGGAGAAGCGTGGAGAAAATAACTAACATTTATATTTGCTATTTTAATGGTGTAATTTATATATATATGAAAATCTTACTTCACGTAATGTAGGCGATAGTAGAGTTTAAAGACAAATGAGAGTGGTTTGTTTTCAAGAGAATAATTGGTCAAATCGTTGTTAATTTTTATGCAAAAGGCGCTCATTGGTTGGCCAATTTGAATTCTAAAAGATACCTTATTCTTTATGTCTTTTCAAGTTGTTCATTAAAGCTTCGCTTAGTTGTTTAAAAACTAAAGAAAGCCATAACTTTTACATTTAGTAGAAAAAAAGTGTTTAATTAGTTAGTGTTAAGAGTTTTAAGAAGCAAAAAAAGAGTCGAATACACTGGTGAACATTATAAGAGTTTACTAACCGAATTGAGATTTCATCCAAGGGAAAATTGCCTTTTTGTCTCCTTGATCATCTGATTGGGTGTCCTCATGTGGACTTTGAGTGCGATTTTTCGTCGGCTCGGTTTGTCTTTCAGTTTTAATTTGTTCGTTACTTTCATACTTTACGCTTAAAGAATTTTTAACATCTGAAGATGAAGGAGAGGCTAAATTTGATGATATTTTAAAATTAGAGAAAACAGGTGGTTGAACTGGGTTCTGAAATTGCTGAATATTTTCCATTCGAAGTTTATTTGTTTCGTAGTAAGATGGCTGCTCGTGTTCTTGGTAAGGGCGTTCATAAGTTTGAGGATAATTTTGTTGATAAGAGTATTCATTTGGATGAAAAGAGAGTTCACTATTGTATTCTTGATAAGGAGTGAAGAAAGCGCTCATCCTGTTAAAATATTCTTTCATCAATTGTACACAGTCCAAATTTAGTCAATAATTGACGGTTACTTTTGCACAGTTTCTCCTAACTATAGATATTAATTTTTTATGCACAAAAGCTAAATATTTTTTAGATTCGCAGATAAAAATTTCTAAAAGTTAAACTCCAAGTTTTATAAACAAGATGTGTTCTGGGAAAACGTTGAAAACAATGTGATGCCGATCAGAACTGCACTTGCAGTTTGTCTTAGTTTTTATCAATCAATAATTCTGTCAACACGTTCGTTTTGGCAATACTTATGATAAATAATATTACAGCTGCAAACGAAGAATTTCTTAGTTTTTAGGTGAAAATTCAACGGATTCATTACAAAAATAAATATTTGATTAATGTAAAGTCATTGTAGATATTTATCGGTTTATACAACAATTTTTACGCTGAAAAACTATCGAATAATGAGTCAGATGGCGAATCTTTGTTTTACATATGGTGCACAACAAAATTCCAGAATAGTTACTTTTTTAAACCAATTTCAGTACAAAAATCTAAACTTGCATTAATTTATGTACATATACCAAAAAGCAAAAAACAGAACGCAGAGCATAATGAATATTTTAACGGAAATACGTATTGAAAAGGCGAAGACAAGGAATTATAAATGGGCAAAAAAGTAGGTCGAATTTTTTTTGGACAAAATAGTTCCTGCTTATTTCTATCCTTAAGGGTTAGAAGTATTATATCTTTGTTGAGTAAATGTAGCAAAGAATACTTTAAAATATTTTTAAAGGTGTTGAATTAAAAAAATTAACAATTAAATATGTCTGTATTAAAAAACAGACACTCGAATTTTAGTTATCTAACTGAAGTACACTATAAAAATTTACATGACCTAGTTACTGTACAAGCTCTCTAACGTTGCCGATGAGAAAATTTTTCATATTAAAGCCAAAGTATTGAAAATATAATTAATAGTTCTTAACTGACTAGAATCAAGATACCGAATACAAAAGTAATTCAATAATAGGCCTAATTATTATATGTAATAATTATCTAATTAATTTTTTAAATATCTAATATTCATTAGCTTTTTATAATTTAATAAAAGTCTTTTCTATTGTTAAAAGACCTCAACGTAATTTATAAATCCTGTACTGGAAATAGTTCCTAGGAAACGGTTGTTATTCACGAATTCCCCACTTTTGATTTTATTATCAGAATCCTGTATCTGTCTAGCATCGTGGGCGAGGGAATAACAAATTGCTCTTTTCTAAGAGCAGTTAAAAATCTGCGCGTTGACCCAAATAGTAATGCAAATTGACTTTTTTCTTTTCCTTAACTGGTCTAAAGAGGGAAATAGAAGATGAAATAGACGTTCGATGTATGGAATGCATATTTTTAATATTATATATAGCTTATAGTTGTTAAGCCTGCTGATGATATAACTTAAATGGCTTTTCATTATTTATTTACGATGCTCTATTTAAAATAGCTTGGGTATCAGGTATATAAGCTGCTTGCAACCCAATTGCCTTGGAAGAAGTCTGCTGACGCCATGTTGACCTATTTATTTTGGAAAATGCTGGAAGAATTTTCTATGAGGAAAGAATTTAGGTTTATCATTAAGTATTATTAGATTCCTACTCTTATAGGTTCAAGTATCTATCTTTTGTTAGTAAAATGACATAAGTTGTTCATTTCATTCTGGATCAAATTCACATTTATTAGTATGCAATGATCGCTTTAATACTGTAAGAAAATTTCCCTAAATTAAGCGCAATTCCCTCAATATTTTCTATTTCTTTTTGTAAGAGAGCTGTAATTGTTGTTGGCTGACAAAACTAATGACAAATTTTAGTGAAAATGCCATGCAAAAAGTCTTAAATGGGAGGAAGAAACAAATGTTATAGCTAGACACAAGAAATCTTTATTGCTTGTTGTTGCTTGTTTTAGTTAACTTTAAATTACTGAACATAGAAAAGTATATAATTATTTTGAGGCCTTGGAGAGAAATTTACAGTTTTTATTACTATATTTCATTCATTCTAATGTGAAATAGCTATCAAATAAATAAGCTCACAGTCATACAAATAACTTTAACTTTGCCAATTTATAGATAGATACAAATTGTCAATATTTTTTACTTTACAATTATAAATTTAGTGCTATTCGCTAAAGAACAGTTGATTAGCAGGCCTTTACCTATTTTGATCATTTCAAATTTTTTATCCAATGGGCATTATTTAGAATAAAAACATTTACTAAACTATAAATTATACAGACTTGGTAGGAACTCTAACATATGCGATTTTTATGTAGATTCAAGCACCTCCAGCAATCAATAATAATTTCCGAAAGCTCGATTTAAAAACAATAATTTCTGAGCCGTAGGGAATATCATTCAAATTTTCTTTTATAGGGAACCTCTTTGTCATTTATTAATACCATTCCAAATATATATTTTCATTAGGATAATACTTATGCCATAAAATTTATTAAATTTGAAATGTTTTATTTTTATTACGTACCTGGCTGAGCTACTAATATTTACAGCTCACGTCTTCAAGTAAAACTGTTTAAGAGTGAAAATGCCCTAAAAGATGAAAGGTACAAAAAATTACGGTTTAAAAAGTAAATATAACCACCAATCACTACTTCCAAAAGATATCACGTGATTTTATATTCTTTTGTTATGCAAATCCCGAAAGGCTCCTCAGGGTGTTGGGTTGTAGAATGGAATTTTATCTCTTACTACATAATATTTTTAGTACTAGTTAATGTTAGCTCAGGAATATGAATCATTAACATAAAGAAAGAAGAGATTATTTAAATATATAATCTCGAAAATTATATATTGATAACTTTTAACTACATAATTCTAATCTTTTTTTAAGGAAAAAAATGTCGAGGGTAGGAGGGTAGAAACTGACATTTTGTATTTAAAAATGTCCATTTCTAAGCTCCAAATAACATTTATTAGCATTATAATAGCTGAATTAATAAAGCAATTGATAACACCTATCTCTTTAATAATACGTTCGGACTGAAAGCTTTAAGTTTAGTTAGTTTGAATGCGCGATGAATATTAATACCGAAAGCAAAAAGGGCCTATTGAAGAATTGCTTAGAAGTCTCACTAGCAGGTCTGAGGGATAAGTTATGATTCACCTGTGGCTTTTGACATTGCTATAAGGGAACCAGCATAAAATTCAAATCCTGTGACAGACATTTGACATAAAATATGACGAGTTATCTTGAGAAGGCCCTGCAGCTTTTGTATATAAGATTAGTTAAGTGAATGCCGACGCTATGATAATCAATCACGTGATGCAAAAAGTAGGTTACCAGACAACCCTGTACAACTAAGCTTTAATCTCTGCCCCTGAATTTGAGGAAACCGATTAGCAGTTTATCTCACAAACTTAAGATGCCTTTGTCAGGCCCTTAGTTCGTTTTGATTAGATACAATCAATCCTGTACAATCCAAGAAAGTTTGTTTCCTATCTTCATATGATATCAAATTCACTTTTTTAGCCCTAAAATAAAATTTTTTAATTTTTATATTGGAAAAATTTCAACAGCTCGTTTTTGATTAAACCCACATGCTCTGTATTATCTTAATTTGAAAACTAGTATAGAAATTGTAGTTTACCATGTAAAATTTTTAACAGCATACTAGATATATAACACTTAAGACATGCCTTTTATTTTACTGAAATTTCTGACTAAAAAACCAAAGTTCACAATAAGATTCGTTAATTATATTTCAATTTATATCTTCACACAGCAATAAGTTTTCGTTAATATGTTAGTAAAACTTTTACACATAGAGTATTCTCTTTATTTATATAAATGACAATGGAAGAGTCTCTAACAATGTTTTATGTTGTGATCACTTTCTCCTTTTCATTTTTCTTTTTGCCATCATTCTTTACACTATTCATATCCTTAATTTGCTGTCTCTCTTTTTTCAATTTCATTCTTCTATTCTGGAACCAAATTTTTATTTGTCTTTCCGTTAAACACAAGTTATGAGCAATTTCAATGCGTCGCTTCCTTGTTAAATAATGGTTAAATTGAAATTCCTTTTCTAGTTCTAATGTCTGAAAACGGCTATAAGTTTGTCTTCCCCTTCTCCTCTGTGTTGAATTAGGACCTGAGGAAAGTCAATAGACATCAAAGTAAGAAAAGAGATGGAAAGTCGTCTTAAAATTTATCAAATGTCAGGATAAAATGAATTTCTAAATTTCTCTTGAAGCAGTTATGTAGAAAGTATATTAAATATAATTTAGATTAAATCTCATTAAAAACCGCTTATGCCAAACATACAATTGAGGCCAATTATATACATAATTATAAAAAAAGGTATGAATATAAACCATCTGTTACAAATAGCTAATTATTTCTCAACATACTCTATGCTAGGATGAACTTCTTTTAGTTTTACTCCTCAAAGTAACATTTGTACAAAGATACCATATTTACTCTTCCTCATTACTAAAGATCCCTTTTACAACATCATAATACTTAATAAAGTATACTTTATAAATTATTGACAGCAGATGGTATTATAAATAAACAATAAAATTACTAACATTTATTGTGGAACATATATCAAATCGTTTTTACATAAAGAAGCCAAGAAATGTTATCATATCTTGGGGAATAAATCTCGATTGACTAATTAATTATAGCTAGTCGTTTTTTAAGGGAAAAATGTCTTACCAACTACTCCCATCCACGGATAATAGGGAGCAGGGGCTTGAAAAACTGTGTTTGAACAAATTCCGTTATGGGTTTGCTCAGTGTTGTGAATTTCGCCGTTGAAACTTGAATGAGAAATATTGGCGGATTGCAGTTCATTCCAAGGAGACAGATTGTGATGAAGTTGACCGTCAATATGAACAAATTGCTGATCTCGAATAGCTTGCTCGTGTGAATATTGATTATAGTCATATCTCATTGAAAAACCACTCTCTACAGTGGATAATCCAGGCATGAGAGAATTATGAAAATAGTTCATTATTTTGTATTAGTTAAAAAACAAAGTGTTAAATAAAGTAGTGAACCATAAAAACATGAATATACATCACTCGTTCACAGCAGGGTAGCATGTTAGGGGAGAGCAACTATTATGCCATCTATCGGTGAATCTTATGCAAATCATTTTTTTCAGTAGCCAATCAGTAGTTGCTGTTGCTAAGAAAATTTATTACTAACTCTTTTTGGGACTACTTTCGAAGTTCCACATGTGCTGTAAGTTCTTTTCTACAGAATACTATATGCAATGAATATAAATTAACGACTTGAAAGAGAATCCTTTCAAGAAGTTCATGATAGAATGTAACTAATAGTAATAAAAATTTAATAAAATTTGATAATATTAAAAAATTTAACACAATTTATCATTTAAGAATATTTATCTGCGATTTTTATTATGCAGTGTTAACACGGACTCAACAAAGACCACACATGATTTTATAGGTTTCTAACGAGCCATTCTGTCGTTTTACGTAATTTTAAAATATAAATAAACTCTTAGAATGTTCTTAGCTCTAGGAAATTTAGAAACTGTTTAAGAAAGAACGTTTAAGAGTTTTAGGGCATATAATGATTGATTTTGACATATGTGGTTTCAAAGTATTGTTACTACATGGTAGAACTTTATCTAGAATTCCCTTATGTTTTTTTCTTTTTTTCAATTGTTCTAAAAATATCTGTTTTTATTCTTGTACATTAAGATCCGGTTTTTTAACGTTCATTGACACAGAATAAAAGCGACAGAATAGTTCAATGTAAACATTTGCTATATTTTTTATCTTCAGCTTCTTTAAGAATATCTCCTTTCTCAAGAGCTCTAGTTGTAATCAATTACTTTCGAATTCTGGTTTCTTTCTGCAGACAGAAACCAATTGTTTTGTGTTGCTAATATTCTCAACTGGTTACCCATTTCATATGATCCATGCATTAACTTCTTGTCATTTTATATCTATCATAGACCTGGTAGATATATCATTTCTTTGTATCTTTCCTTTTTACTAAAAACTATCGTATTCAATTTGAAGAAGATCTATTCAATCAGTTCGCTTTATAGATTTGTTTTATAAACTGCAATGAACTAGAAAGTGTCTTTTTACAATATCAGATTTTTTCCTTTGATATACACTTTAATAATCGATCTATAGGTGGAGCATACTAAAGATTTAAACACTCGGATAGGAAAAAGTCTTTGAAGAGATAACATTTGCTTCTCAATTCATACACTAGCTTTGAAATTGCAAAGACAACTGTCAGGAGTAAGTGTATGAGCCTATTAAGGGAGAATTTATAGCCTATTCTCTTAACTGTCGTCGATTGTACTGATTTGTATATATCTGTCTATTTATACTAAAGCCTAGAAATGTAATTTTTTTGAAAATGTAAGGTAAGTAATAGCGATGGTAAGATGGTGCTGCCCCCTGAAAACTATAAAATTATCAAACAGTAGGATTGAACACAGAGATGGCGTCCTCGATTCAATTTTTGACACATTACGAGAAGAAAATGTTAATTGTGAGAAAAGGCGGAAACAAAAAAGTTAATCGTTAAGCTGCCTTATATAGATATTAAGAGAATTTACAGACAGCTTGAAAGCATGTTTATCTTGTCGAAGTCATAAGTGCGAGCGTATTATTGCTGAAGGAGAAAAAGAACCACAATAGTATAGGCCTGAAGTCTATAAGTATAAGAAAAGAACGATATAAACGATAATAAAGTTGTTCAGCTAGCAGTAAAACTTGGATGAAATTGTCGCTAATAGGCACGATCGTATTGTTTCGTTACAATCGTCTCTGGATCGTTAAAAGAGAATAAATTCGTATATGAAACCAATCAGAATTGACTTTTTCTCATAAAAAATTCTCTTATTTCCTTATTTATACTCGCCTGCTCAATTTGCTTGTTGGATTTGTTGTTTCGTTCCAGAAAAGATGAGAGGATATCAATGTTCTTAATTACAGGTAAATATCAAATCATATACCACTTTGTGAAAGTTAAAAACTTTATTATTTGTTAAAAGTTTTATAATAAAAGTATAAAGGATAAAAGCAAACTAGAAAGCGTATTATTAATTTTTAATTCGAAGAGTATCGAAAGGGGTTTTATAATGGAAAGTGTGCTTTTTTTGTATATATTGAAGAAGTACCTAATGTTGTTATTACTCAAAGGAAAGTAGTTTTAATTAAATTTCAACTATAACGTAAAAAATTAAGGTATAAAGTATATGTTATATAAAAATAGCGTATCTAAATATGCATAATTAATCCTTTCTCATTGAAAAATTGAAATGGTGAAAGATTTTAACGGATACTTGCTAAAATTGCTCCTGCATATATCAATATACATAAACCACGCGTCCTCTGTAAGAACTATAACCAAAGCAGTGAATATATGTAATAAAACATATGTTTAGTTCGTTCTGTCCTGAAGCGTATACAATTCACGATTATTTTATGACGTTCTTACGTAGACCTTTTACTGTTATCAGACGCTTTCAAACGTTTGAAGTTTGCCGACGGTTTGTTAACGCACACAGGTGCAAAAATATTGAAGCAATTTGACGGTTTTAACTTTTTAGAATTTTTTGTACTGTCTACCTCAACGAAGATTAATAGGTAATTAGGATTTGAGTGCATATCCTGCTAAAACTTTCGTGCTTAGTCATGAAGAAATTACTATCGACTACAGATATTTCATTAGATATTCCTTTTCATTGGCTGTGAAAAATAGTTTATTTCTTGTTTTACAAGGGTATAATGGAAAAGGAATATGGAAATATGTTAATCATTTTATTTTTCGGGAGAATTTTAATTGTTTTGAATAAAAGTTTTAACAGCATGTTAAACATATGAATATGCATTAGATATAAATAAATTTCCCTACATATGTATATATATATATACATAGTTACACGAATAATGATTTATATTGCAATTAAGTTTCTTATCAAATTATTAATCATCATAAACAGCCGGTAGAGAGATTTACATCAGGTATTTAATATTGAAAATAAAACCCCCGCCGATTTGGTGGCTCCAAAGGCTTCATAAAACTAAAAATTCGACTGAAGAAATGATTTAAGGAGAAAAAGTAGATTTTTTCGTTTCTATATAAATTTCAACTATTTTCAATCTTTTTTATTAAAAAAACAATCGCATACAATACATGTAAAATATTAAATACAACTGTATACTGAATATAAGTATGGATAAATAAATCTCTTATTAGCACTAATAAATTGATTAAAAATACATAATACAAGCACAAAATATATTGGAAAAAAGACTAGCCCGCTATGTCAAAGCACATACCAAAACAAAAATTTAACATTATTCTATAATGTTTCTCACAAATACAAATATAGGCCACTTCGATTCGTAAATATATATATATATATATATTTTACACAAACTATACACGAAAAAGTAGTAGAAATATAGGGCACAGGAAATTATGGCAAATTATGCAAATGAGTTGACGTTAATGTTATTGCTTCTTTTCTCATCCATTCCATCATTTTTGATCATTGTCTTCGATCTTTCAACCAGTTTTTTTTTCTTCATTCGACGATTTTGAAACCAAACTTTCACCTAAATTGATAAATAATGGCTAATCTCTTTTTTTTTAAAAAATATTATAGTCATATGTACCTGTCGTTCGGTCAGCTGAAGTTTACATGAAATTTCCCATCTTTTTTGCCTAGTTATATAGGAATTTCCCAAAAATTCCGACTCCAACACCATAGTTTGGTATCGAGTATAAGGCTTACGTTTTTTCCTCTGTCGAGGTTGATCTGAATAGAAAGTTACAATAGCTCTTTTTTTGCTGTATACTGGATTCAATTATTGTAATCTAACCATATAGACTATAGATTTTAATTACTTACAGACGAACGTTAATTTTTAGTAACTTTTAATAGTTTTCAAAATTTTACAAAAGTTATATTCTTAAATTTCATGCCTCTTACCTCCACTTTGAGGTGCGGTATCGCCGTAAAAATTAGGATCCTGTTCAAATCTAGATAATGAACCCATGCCTCCTGGAAATTCTGTTGGAACAAAACCTCCACCATTACTAGTTCCTGACGGTCCATACATATCATTGTAGAAAGGTAAGTTCGTCCTCGAGTTAAAGGTTGGATTCATGGAGGGAAAAGTCTGCTGAAGCTGTGACGTCATCGAGTACTCTGGGGCATATGATGAGATACGATTCGGTGAATTAAATGAGTTCATCGAACTACAAGACGGTGTGTTTGCCGTGAAATTGCAAAATTGCGGTATCTGAGATAAATTAGGAGCGTCTGAGGCAGTCCATGCATTCATCATGGGACGCCTCCCAACATCGAGATCGGTGGAAGCCGATGTTTCCATTTCTCTAAGTCCTAATTAAAAAAAATATGAAATTATTAAAAAACACTTGTAAAGAGTTGGAAGAAATTTTCTCACATAAATAACCAACTAACAGTGATTTATCTTACCAAATTGTATTAAACGATCACTATTTGACCTTCCATGCGGGTCAAGTGTATTGGCAGACAAACTGTTTGAGTTTATTACAATGTATGATACAGTAGCGCCATCTAGAGGGCAATATTTACGCTGTCACCAAGTCACATAAGATCTTTCGAGAACACTAAGTAGAGTATATCTCTTGGCATTTGCGAAATTTCCTCAAAGTTAAATGCAGTTGTTCAAAAAAGCGCTCGAGACACAGCAGGGAAATGGCGATGTGCGAAATGCGCGCAGTAATATAATTTGCTAGGGGACTATTTTTCTCGATTGGCGTAGGAATTTTCCTATCTATGTAACGAATTAAATTGCCTCAACCAAAGAGAGCTAAGTCCTTTAGTTTTTTAATACAGTTTCGTTTTCTCTTCTGTAAGTTGCAGCTTGCGTATGATGAATCCCAACTCTCAGAGGTTGAAAATCCCTAAATTGTTACATGTCTAATAAAAAAGAAAGCAGTCTTGCGTCTCTAGTATATTATATGAAGTTTGCGTCTTTAATTTCCATTATTTTGAAAGAGATTTCATTTTTGAAGAATTTTTACTACTCAAAATTATGTATAAATACACAACAACTCTGCGCGCCGCAGCACTTAACTACACGCAGAAGCGAAAGCGTTAACACTCATTATGCATTTAGGTCATCCACTCAAACTTCTTTTAGGCTGATGACGCTCTTCGTTAAATTTCTAAATTAGAAATATAAAAATGGCGTAACAATTTAGATAAAAATGTTTATGGCAGGTTCGACTAAACAATAGGACTAATCCGAGAAAATCTTTCTATTCAATTTTGCCGGTTAGTTAAAGAAAGGAGGGGCAATAAACGAACAAGACGGAAAGAAAAACAGACGCTGAATTTGGTCATAAAATTCAAGAGAGACAATTGTGTCTGTCGGTAGCAAATGTTGTAAAAATTGATAAAATATTGATAGAGTCTGAGCTATATTGATTTATAGTTTGTAGTATGAAAGTTTTTCATATTAGAGAGCTCAAACATCAAAATAATTTCTTAAAGAGTACTCATAATTATTCAACTATGAACCTTAAATATAAGTTAACAATGCATTAAGTACAGTTCTATGGTTTCATACAGGAAAATCTTCACATAAAAAATTTTAATTATCGGACACCATGATACTAACAAATCGTATGGATTTTGAACATTGCATTAACATTGAATTATATTTTTTGATATATATATATATATATATGTGTGTGTGTATGTATATCTAGATGTAGACATGTATGCCGTATATCTAAGTATAGTATTCATGTTCAAATATGTATATGTTTTTTCTGTACGTTCATACAAAAGCAACAGCTGTCTTTTTGTATTCTACATTAAAAATTCTCAATTAATTGTTTTACAACTTAGAAGCCTTAGAAAATAAATAGTGCGTTCAAGCAGATCCACCTCGCATTTTCAATTACTCTATATATCTTCCGATTTTATTCTTTCCGAGTTCAAATGAATATTATCATTATTTAATTTTTTTCTACGGACTGGTCAATTCATTAGGTTCTTAAATTTAAAATCAGTTTTGTAAATTTGTTTCTATTAAGTGTTTTATGTTTTAGATATATAAAAGTATAATTGAAAAATAATATTGTTAAGAGCATATAAAATTTCATTAATTAAAGTGTCTGCTTTTTATCTCCTGAAGCTTGTTAAACGTATTGTTATTACCTAGAATCAGCTGGGATGATTCGTAATATACCCCATCTGATTACAGGGTAAAAACAATAAGCGTTTTAATAAAGTTGATCTTGATATTTTAAAATACGCCTCTGCTTACATGTACAGACTGCAATATGAATTTTAATACTGTTACCGTCTTTATATTTCAATTCTGCCCCAGTAAAACAATAAATTAATTTATATATTTACTATTTTTACTCATATATATATATTTATGTAGTCTTACTTTATACGAGAAATAATGCTAATACGAAACATCTCTCCTTATGTCAAATACAAACAAGTGCACACGTTTCTATTTTTATAATCGAATAGACTCTTGGTAAAATCTATTTCTACAAAGCTGTCGCTCAAAGTGACCTACTTCTTAGGCGAATAAGCTTCTTGTTACATTTTTCAAATACAGAATTTTGAAGCAGCAAAGTGAATACTCACAAGTATTTGAAAATTAGGAGAATACATCCAAACACTTAAAACATAGATATATTTGCCTGTGCAAATATATAAATTCCTGAATTATCGCTCCATAGTTACATTGTTCTAACGAAATGGGTCAGTCGATAAATTTGCGAATGAACAAAATTGTTGTCTCAAGCAGTTTCACTGTTCGAATGCCGAATAACTGGAACTCAAAGAAGGAAATAAAAAGTTACGACATCGAATCCTTGCATTCCGTGATCGAGTCATAAATCGGCAAAGATCAAAGCTTTATATTGAATGTGAATTGTTTACTAGCATGTTCAAGTGGCCGGCCCTTGTGACTCTCAACGAACGAAGCTACTGTTTTAAGTTAGGCCTTTTCTTTATACGGCTTTTATTGCATTTTTCAATACGAAGCTGATAAATTTGGAGTTTTGTTCAGTTTATTTCGATAAAGAATCGGATTGACACCCGCGTACAATTTTTAATACCCGCTTTCGAAATTTAGGGTTTTATAGTGGTCGAAATTTAAATTGGGCGACCAAATAACTTAGTTAAGAATTAGGAATGTCTTTACAAAGAAAACTTTAAAACATTAATCCTTTTATTTTTGTTGATATTCGAAAAAGCAAAACCTAAGACTGTAGACGTCATAAAGTTAATAAGAATGAAGAAAATAAAATCGAACAGAACCAATTATAAGTGATAAATGATTTTTCATTGCGAGGAAGTTATCGAAAATGATAATCAACAATGTCGAGCAATTTTCTATATATTGTTAACAGTTATTGTTGTTGACATGAAGGATCATTGTATATTTTTATCTCATCTACAAGAAAATTATCTTGAACGATTATCAATTATGTCAGCACATTTCCTATATTCAAACAACTTATTGACAAGAAAAACGAATTGAAAAGTTGCGTGTTTAAATGTTCGAAAAGGGTTCCAGTTATTTTTATAGGATGTTTTAGATTTAATCTATATGATTTTATGTCATTAGTAAGTGATATGGTGTTTTTAAGTTCTATAATACGTTAAGTATCAAAAAATGATCGAAAATTATAAGAGGCGTACTGTTATAATTGTTTCATTCAGTGAATTGTTAAATACAGTGGCACCGTAAATTATTCAAGTTTAATTTGACATACACTTAAGAGTGTTTGACGTAATAATAAATATACTTCAAATATCTATCGATGTATGATAAATTAAACGTACCAGCATATTGAATTAAGGTGGAATTGAATGAACGACTCGGGTCATACGATTAAGCACACCTGGCTAAAGAAGTAATGCAAAGTGTATTATATTTAAAATTTCCATCTGTTACATCACCATAAGTACACTTGTTACAATAGAAATAAATGTACACGAGTTTATACTTCAAATTTCTAACCGCCCTCATGTGAAAAGCGAATGTTCTTTTTTATTCTAATACTCAATTTTTGTCATGGCTGCTTGAAGAATGACTAATAGCAGTACGGATATACAAATTCAATCTCATGTTATGATCTTTTAATTTTGTATCGATATAATTTTTAGCTATTTGCTTAACAATTCTACTATTGAAAATCTTTTTTTAATTCCAATTTCTTTATCACAATGATAGCTGACATTTCATTATGTTTCATTTTCAAGATAAATGGTTTAGAAATCTCATTTTTTCGCTTTAAACTTTAGAAGTACGCTCTTTTGTCTCTTATACACTTGTTTGATGTCTGAATTATTTAATAATTAAATTGTTTTAATCGTTGCTCAAGTTTTTAACCAGGGCAACACGATCCAAAGTGTCGCGGTGCATGTAAAATAACAATAAAAATACGTTTTATAACTAACCTTATGTTTTCTTTATGTCGTACAAATTACCGGTCCTTTTTATTCTTTTTTTCTCGTTGAGATTTACTTAACAGTGCATTCTCTGCATCAAGCAGACAAAATTACTTCTTGATAATATTACGCACCAAATGTTCGACTCAAAATTACTTACTTTACAAAATAAGACAGCCGCTAAACAGTTCACCAATCAGCTTTCGTCAATGTACCATGTGATCATACATTTGCATACGAACTGCGGGTGGGCTACCACAAACAAATTGTGAGAAAATGTTTAACAGACGGTAGATAGCACTGACCTAATTCGATTCGTTTATAGACCACATGGTCTATCTGCCTGCATAGATACATTAGTCTATATGCATCTAAATTAATATAGAGATACAGATATGTGTCTGAATAGAAATATAAACAATGTTTATAAAATATTTTGTATACAGCATTATTTATTACTGCATGATAGTTTATACTAATTATGTATGTTAAACAATACCTAAAATCAGTTAGATTCATCAAGAGAATCTTCTTTTTAATTTCTTTTACCTACTCCTATGCGAGTAAACCCTTTTTTTAACTTAAATTTATCAGGAATAGGTCCTAAATATCCCCTAACTGGCATTACTGGCAGGTACATTTGGGTCAAGAAATCTTTATACTACAAAAATCAAATAGAAGAGTTACTTAATTTAAGATTATAGATGCTCCAAGGACTAGTGAATATTAATGAGAATGTAAAAAAAACTTGTAAACTTTTTAGCACAAGATAAACTTTAAAATTTTCTCTAAATTTCTCTCAACGTTGAATTTATATTTGCTTATATCGATTTCAGAGACGACGACTAAAAAAATTTATATTTCTTTTTATTCATAGAGCTATTGAAAGGACAATTTGAAGTTGTAGCAAAGATGATTTACACCGTTATTGAGAAACCGGTTTCGCTTTATCATGGCCGAATACCGCCTACAAGCCATTAAACATATCCGCGCAGCGGTTTAGGTCGAGTCAAAAGACGCTTTGTAAAGTGGTTTCAGAAAAAATTTATCGATTTTCTTATTAATTATGTATATGAAATAAAAGAGTTTGTAATTCTTAATTTGCGAATTCTGATATATCTACGTGCATTTGAATTCAAATAAAACTATCTAAATATGAATAAAATGTTGTCACTTTTTTTAAAATGTAAATTAAATTATAATTCAATAACTTTGCACAATGTTTCATTAACAAAAGCTGTCATAGAATTTTATGCGCTGTCATTTATTTAAGCGGATTATCTATGGTAAAGGTCATACGACAGGTGCCGTAAAAACATCATTTTTCACCATGTGTAACTCCGTAATAAATATATGTCATAACCATTTGCATACAGAGAAACTAATTAAACAATCATTAACAAGGTCGGTTGAGAACACTTGAAGACTCTATTAAATTTTCATCCCGATATTCATTTCTACCAGTAGATGGCAGTACTACCAATTCTGTAGAGTCTCTCGCTCTTCGATGTCGTCTCTTTAAGCACTTTGTAAATGATTCAGAGAAGAGGAAATAGATAATTGGATTTGTTGTAGAGTTCAAATTGGCCAGTAGGAGAATTATGGTGAATACATGACCTAAAAGGAATTCATTATTGTAATCAGTTTAATTATTGACACTTGTATCCGTTTTCAAGCCTAAAACAAGTCTTATTGAATTTCTTTAATTAGAAAGTTATATTGTAGATGCTAATATTAAATTGCAAATTAAATAGTGTTATATTTTCAGTTGTTTGCAATAATCTACAGTATATTTGTTAGTTTAAATTTGCTTGAACAATGTAAAATTTATGGCAGCGATTTATTATTTATGTGCCGAAATTCATTTTAATGTCGTTAAGTGGAAAATTTGAATCGTACCTGTAAACGGTGCTCCAGAATCCCAAGCGGCCCATAACTGTGCAACAAAAAATGGTGTCCAACATGCCAAATAGCACAAAATTACAGTCAACGTGAGCTTCACGGTTTTCACTTTACTTGACGACATAACTCGAACATGTGCTCTTGGAAAATCAGAACTATCTCGAAGTAGAGTAGAACTTTCAGGTTTCCGAAGAGTTTTTGAGTTGACACTCTGCCATACGCGACTGCATATTTTCCAATAGGCAATGATCAGAATAAATGTAGGCAGAACATAAATAGCAAGAGAAATCCATGTAATATATAATTTTAGCGTCCAATTAGGTCTAAAATAGGGGGGATAATAAATACTAAATGTATCAAAATGATATTGCAAACCAACTGGAAAGATGCCATACAATCTAGAACGGTGGTGGCATTTTGTATTCTTTGTTTTGAAAAAATGAACAGCTGAGGCACTGTAAAGTTCAATATTGTGATGAATACAATCACAAAGAAATGTCTAATAAAATTTTTGTAGCAAAAATTTAATAAGTGAATCTTTAAAAGTCAAATCATGTTGTTGCATCATGTTAATAATATTGAGTCCCAAAAACTATTTAAACTATTTAAACTTAAAAATATGAAGAACTATTCTACTGGACAAAGCTAAGAATAATTAAATCTAGCTATTAGTATCAGTTCAATGTCCCTGAATCTGATATTAATGGAATATGAGCAGAAGGCAGAAAGCTTCTGTGATTTTTATCACTATGACGTCATAAAATTTCTTAAACCTTATCAACTTCTTAGCCGTATATATCTATCTTGTAAATTTTCATATGAAAATTTTTCATTAACATTAGTACATTTTGTTAGATTATTAAATATAAGGTATCTTAGAACAAAAATAATTAGCATATTCGGCAAAAATTCGGATATTGCAGGTTTCTCAGCTTGCATCTATACAAAATTGGAAGGATAAATGAGACCACTGAGCGCATGTATATAATAGTATCGAAGAAATGATATGTTATTTAAAAGTATTTGGCTCGGACTGGTTGTTATTAATGTAAAACTTAACATTCTCTTAAAATATCCCAAAAGTTTTCAATAAATTCTAACCATCAAACATCTTTTTTTATATATGAAAATAATACAGAAGCACAAATAGTTCTAAATATTTACGATTGAGTTTATAGGAATTTGAGTATTGATAATATGATATTTATAATTTGCGAAAAGAATATTCTTAAATTATAAGGGAAATAGGAGCTCACCGGAGAAAATTAAGGATAATACCCAAGCTACAGAGATAAGAACATAAACCCTTTTTCGTCCTATGGTATGAGAAACGAGTGGGTGACAAACTGCAACATATCTATCTACCGCTGTCGTAACCAGAATATAGGAGGAAGCAAACATGGCAACTACCTGCGGGAGGCAACGAATTCAATAAGAAACTTGGCAAATTCTTAGCTTCAAAAAAAAATTAATAAGAATACCTGAAAGTATTTTACTAGCCGGCACAAACTATCTGGTCCCTGAAAGCGAAAAGTAACATCCCAAGCCAACTGAGGTAAAACGTTGAAGAACGCAACGAAAAGATCTGCCAATGACAAGTGCATTATAAGCAACTTTATATTAGTTAATTTTCGTCGTCCTCTTCGATAGATGAGTAATGCTAATACAATCGAATTTCCAACAATCGCAGATAAAAGAATGCATGAGAGAACATATATTTCAATTAAAGCCAATTTTTCATTTCTATAATCAGCAACTGATGAATTGTTACTGCTCGAAGTCATCTTCTGTTAAGAATTAACAAAGACGAAAATAGCGTCACCTGGAGAGTGAGTCTGGTCTACCACTTGGTGTACCACTATGCGAATACAACATAGACGTCTTATTTCTGTTTAATATGTTATATACTCAATGAAAACATGACGTGAATAAATCTCGCATTTCACTGTATCGTGCAAAATAGAATATAGGTGTGCTTAAAAGACAGATAAAAATTACGTCTTCCGGATCATAATCATCTTTGACACGCGCATTTTTCACTTATTATTCTTCAAGTTCAGAAGTTGAGTTTAAACTGTAAGCAGCTTTTGACTCTCACTTTCTTTCGAAAAGATTTTACATCGATCTTGCTAATTACTTCTACCCCCTTGATAGATCTATTACGTCTCGACATTAAGATGACGCCTGGTTTGACAAGCTAACTCCAATAATCAAATCCACCTCGAGGGTGTCGAGAAAAATCAATAACATATATAAAAGTAACCAGAATGGCGTCACTTTAAAATTCAAACCCATTTCGGAGAGAGTCATTTTATTTTTAAATTCTAGTAAGAAGCAGTCTTCCACTTGCTGTTGAATTTAACTTCTCCCTCTTTTTACCTAGCATTGAGTATATCTACTAGAATAGGAATGAAGTTTGTTTCTGGTAAACACTATACTTCAAACCCGTATCATAAAATGATAACTAAACTCTTTATTGGCTTTTTATTGACAAATTTATTTCTACTGAATTTAATATCTATTTATTATATAAATATCATTTGGGTTTATACAACTGATGAGCAAAGTAAAGAAATTGTAACGATTAGAGAACTCAATAGTTTTTCATTAAAATAATAATATAATTGCTATCTTATAATACTAATGAAAAAAATTATTTTTCAACATAAAAAATAACAATACATGAAGCTCAAAAACAACCAAGTGTATATAAGAAGATTTGACAAACTACCGATGTGGATGATTCGACAAAGCATCAGAAGAGATAAAAATATTCTTATGACATCGTGAAATTTGGCAGATGATCTGTCGCATATGAAAACTTTTTTTAAAAAGATTGTTGCCGATAATTATAGTAAATACTACTATACAGATGTAACCTTGGTAATATATTGAAATTTGACGCTTAAATAGTGAGTAATAGAGTTTAACTGACAGATAGAATGCCTTTATAATAATAAACAGCAAACAATCAGTCACGGGATATTTGGCATTCAGTGTGGCACCAAAAAGTAAAAGCGCCTAATGCAGTAGTAAACTATCGAAACAACTTGTAGAAAGAACCTCCTACAGCTTTTTTCCTTTTTTAGAAAGTAGAAATAAAATTTACCTCTTTTCCATGTAAAGACCACTAACAAATGTTGTATATAGGATTAAGGAAACCATTAATAAACGTTGAAAAAAACACAACTGTGAGGGAGGAAATCGAATAAAAATTTACTTAATATAATCCTTTTTTGCAACCTGTGAGCAAGTAATGTACAATCCGAAGCAGAAAAATAAATTCACATATATATATATTAAGCAGGGTGTTTTCGGACATTTTTCATACTTTTTCTTAATGTCCATAGTTTCTTCATTCAGCTGTAATAATTTGATATTAGTCCAGGTTTGAATTATGTGTTTTATGTACGTATATATACTGCATATATTTATATATAGTATATAATATATAGATATTTGTGAGACATTCTATATATGTCTCTATACAGCATATGACAAATTAATGTTTTTAGAGAGTCAGAGTCTACTATAAAAAATAATATTTTACTTGAGAGCTTTTTGACTTTGAACCAAAGGATGGACTATAAAAGAGGATTTTTAGCTTAGTCCGCCAACGATCGCTTTTGTAGATATTTTTAACAAGTCTGTTCCAAACATGAAACTGAAAAGAAAGCCGTTTAGAAACTGAAATAATGATCAGATATGTAATTAATTGATCAAAAAAAGACGGTTCTACCAAGAAAATGATTTGCTAATCATAGAAAATTTTCACAGGGAAAATGAATCGCAATTTATCTAGTCGATCAAGCTGGCCAGTCACTCTCATTAATCGATTATATAAGTACTTCACCAGCTTAATTCGATAGGGCGTTAGATATTTTCTCTGAGTTTCAATAAAAATTTTCTATACTTGAGAGGAAATTTTTTCAGTTTCATACCGAATACCGGACTTTCTTAAATTATATACTGCAGTTTGACTCAATTCATAAGTCGACCAGTTTAATTTAGTTAATACAAAAAACCTGAACAATATGCTGCAATCACCTGAATTTCGAAAGGATTCCATGAGCTCAACGGCTTCACTAAACCATAAATTACATTGTCTTTTTCTTTAGCAAACGATCCTGTTGTGGTTAGTTACTTTTTCAAATTCGCTTAAACTAGATTTTAGTTTATAGGAATGGCATTTAAACGACATATGTATCAGGGATCTTAGTGAATGTCACCTTCTATTAAAAGACTGTAATTATTTTACCGAAAGCATGATCCCAAATAATTAGTATTCCGCCGTAATTTTTATCAACACAATATTTATTTCGACCGTGATGAACCCGATGATGCTTTGGGGTGTTGAGTACACTTTCTAAGAAACCAAGATCTCCAATTATCTCAGTATGAAGCCAAAATTGCCAGAGTAAATTAAAATAATGATGAACAACGTATACTTGGGGTGGTACAAATAAAGCTATAGGGGCAAAAAATAACCAAGCGTGAAACTGTTGAAGACAAGATTGTCTTAGAGCTGTTGTAAAATTGTAATCTTCAGAGCTATGATGTGCTTGATGAGCGGCCCACATGAAGTGCACTTCTAATGTTGAAAATATGAATATATTATTTGATAAACAAAAGATTAATGTATACCATGTGAGCATCTATGCAGCCAATAATATTGAAAATCCACACAAAAGAAGCAGGTATAAAAAGTTATTGATGAATTCCAATCCATTTCGAGTAATCGGAATTGTTTCCATATCCAACAATAAGAAATGACTTCTATATTACCGACTATGGTACTACCAATTTTTTGTGTAAATCGTAAGATGGCGCCTCAAGAAAAATATACCTGAATGCAATTTGTAATAATCCTGCTGAAATTGAGGAAAATGCATCATTAAGCCTCGGTATAGGTTTTCTCCTCAGAGCCAAGAAAAATGCTTCTAAAATAATAAAGGAGAGAAAAATAGGAATCGCCTAAAAAAGCATAGACTATAGCTATTTTTTGTTAATAACAGATTAAATCTATCACTTCTTGAATATAATCTGGAATATCGTCCACTTTTTCAAGAAGAGCTTCTCGGGGTAGAATTAACATAAAAAACCTCCTAATTTTAACAAAACGAGCTCCTACAAGAGCTTCCATGTTAAGAAAACGAATTTGTTTATTTTGATCGTGGAATGTTTTTCCTATTTCTATTGATAACCCGTTTTCAAATAAAACATTTGTTTAAAAATTCAAGAAAGTTATATTTCAAAGAAGTGTCAAATTTTGAGCAAATATATTACATGACAAGAAATTAAGTAAATTTAGCAAAAGTCCCACTTAAAATTATCCTCACTGTTAGTGCTATCCCGAAAGCCATTGTCGCAAAAACGACCCCTGTAAATATTTACTGTATGAGGAATTTCCACTATCGTTTTTAGAAACTTACCTAAAAAATTACTTGAGAAATAAGTAAACATATCTTGAGTGTTTTCCATTTCTCTCTCATTTTCACTTTCCGAAAATTTTCGTAAAGTTTTTGGTTTATAGCTATCCTTAACGACAGTTTGACTGTAATCTTCCGAAATTATGTTTAACTTCTGGGGAGATATATCAACCATAACTTCAGTCACAGTTACAAAATCAGAATTCCATTCATCTGTGTCTTCGTCGTCTGATTTAATATTCTCGATATTTTCATCATCTCTTTCCTTTTCCGTTTCTTTTTTTTCATCTTCCCCCGTCTTTAATAATATTCCTTTACATTTATTACTTTTAAGTGGTTGTGTTAGATTTTTGGTTTGTTCACAATCTGCAAAATGGATTAACAAAGAAAAGTTAAATCCTATTTATAGAAATGAGAACAATTTCTTCATGTCATATTTTTTACCAAAAAGAAAATTTCTACTTCTATTCATATAAATAGCATAAAAGAAAGCTTTAGGTGTCTTAAGAATATTTTGAATAAAGAACAAATATGCTTACTTACTAAACTCTCTTCTCTACTGGTAAGAGCCGATTGGGTATTATTGAAAATTTTGTTTTCCTCTACTTTATTAACATCCAAGTAATCTAATTCTCTACGTTCACTTTCAGAATCATTTGAAAGACTGGTATGATAAATATCTATTTCACTAGTACCTCTCTTAGATATACATTCACTATTATCCGAAAAAAGCGAGTTCTGTCTGAAAAATTTTTTAACGGCAGCATCATCTAAGTCAGTCAGCGTCTGGTTTTCTTCAGTAGCAGGCATTGAGTAACGCTTTTTCACAGGGACTTGCTCTCGATCTTCCACTTTTTTGTTTATCTTAATCTCTTTTTTAGATCTAAAACTTTTGAAAATGTTTGAAAACCTCTTCATCAAGTTATTCGATTTTCTTGTCTCAGTTTTTTGTTTAATTATTGGTTTTCCATTATTTATCACTTTTGCAGTATCATTGAAGCGGTTATTATTTAAAAAACTCTCATTTAAAGAATCTTCTTTAGTTTTGTCTGAAATTTGCGAGACTTTTTCTCTTTCGTACATAATAATTGGTGATTTTGGTATAGTAGCGAAATTCTCTTCTGATGAGAATTCAGATATAGCTAAGGGTCCAACAGGTAATACTTGGCAAGATATATCTTCTTGAACGTTTGATTGTCGCGGCGCCCTAAAATCGGCAATACTCTTAACATGTCTTCGTATTGTTGGTGTTACAAATACACATGATCTTGGTCTCACATCAGATGAATTGAACAGCATGCTATTTCTATCTGTTCTTACCAGGGATGACATTGTTCTGTGGAGCTTTGGTGCAGAATTAAATATTTTTCGCCGACTTTTTGTCTTTTTTCGAAGATTTTCAACAGAGGAAATATTAAAATTATCTTCAAAAACATCATCTAAATCTTCTCCAAGATAACTCGCACTTTCACGGTATCTTGAAAGAGTACCGGCAAGAGGTATATTTGTATAACAAGTGGTAGAATCAACAGTTGAATTAAGATCATGGCTTGTGTAATTAAGGGAATCAGACCTTATCATTCTTCTAGGAAGAGTCATGGCTAAGTCTGAAAAAAAATTCGTTATGTGGGAAAATCTGGGACAAAATTCAACGAGAATTATTAATTGCAGTTAGCCGTTCAACAAATACAACAAACGGAATTTTATTCGAAGAGATTTTCCTTTTTTGTGATATTCAATATAAACACGATTATTATACGCCGCATATCAGTATAAAGATTATATATAATAATTCTATACTTTTCTCCTTTTTACAACCTCAGATCCAGTTGAAAAACAGAAAATTTGCTTTATCTTTGAGGTTTCGCTTCACCAAGTACTTATCTTAATAAATAGTACAAATAATAATTTTCTCACCACGAGGTCGAAATGTTTCAGATTTTCTAGATCTTATATTTTTGGCTTTGGATCTGACTGCAAATTAGAATTTCGTTACGATATATTTATTATATCTTTAAAGGAGTGAAACTATACCTTTGAAAACTTTAATAGGAATGTTAATCGACTTTGATCCATCTCGATTTTGTGCGTAAACGTCTACACTATTCCAATTATCAGGGACATGCAGAAAAGAAGCATAGTATCTTCCACTACAAATTTTTCCGGAATTAAATCCTTTTGATTGATCCAGCTTTTTTCCTTGATTGAACCATGTTACGATCGGTTCCGTAGCTGATTGAACCGCTATATTGATAACCAATGTCTCTCCTGACTTAGCTACAATCATATCGCAGGAATCTTCAGGCCAAAGAATATGGATAATTGGTAGACCCATGTTCATTCAATGTCTGGTTAACAATTAGTAGCAGTTAGCATTACGATATCTCACTGTTTATAAAATATAGTACTGACTCAGTCAGGGCGGCATTTACGTTAAGTCTGACCTCCAAATAGAAATAAATTAAAGAATCATAAAAGTTGAATGCCTTATCTATTCATATGACAAATTATCTATATCTGTTATCTGAATTTCTAAGCCTTCATATTATAAACTACTATTAAATAAAAAAAACTGCAAATAATTAATTTTACTTACTTGTCTAAAATACTAACAGATATATTTTATTGAGGAAAACTACGATAACTTGCTTTCCTCAGTTCAATATGAACTATAGACCGCTAAACATAGTTAACACTTTGATCGCCGCGCGCAGTTTCTTTTTCCACGTATCTTTCTAATTAAAATTTTACCAACCTCTTTTTTTTAATGAGTTAGTCTCAAAAGTAGTCGTAAACCGGTCAATATTTTCTGTAAAAGAAACTAAGACTTAGCTGAACTACGTCTAAGGGATTAAACGATTACGCGATTGCTTGTTCATAACCAATTTAATCAAGATCTGCAAGAAGTCTACATAAAAAAAATAAAGCGAGTGTTTTATTGTTTGCTGATCTCTCCACTATTGAAAAATTTCACAAATATACTCTCCAAATAAATGAAAATAGTTTGGGTATTCTTTGTTTTAAAAGAGAAAGTTCACAACAATTCCCAACAGAGTGATCAGAAAGCGTTCCTGAATATATCAAACTGAGAGGTGTTCAATCGTTTGTCAATCGACTCTATATTGACCTAAGGCACGCAATAAAATACTACCATTAGATTTTTATAGCTCGTTCTTTAATATATTGTTAAGATTTAGATCTTTAACATTTATAAAATCCAAGATAGTTTCATATCCGCTATCGGTGGACTCGCTAATTTCATTAAAACGTTTCTAAATTACACTTTATTTTATGCGTTTCATGGGGTCGTCGATAATTATTTTAGATTTTTTTTTAAATTTGAAAATACAACATAATCCGATTTCCTACAGCTTTACACTATTAAAAAACAACTTTATATGCAAGTCAATCTGGTAATTATTTAAGCAATAAAATCTTTATAGAATATTTTCGATTAAATTATTTGTACCTCCGTTATTCTCAGACAAATAAATTGATGAAAGAATTGTTTAAATGGATTTGGTTTTCCACTTAACTATTTAAGCTGATAGTATCAAATTTTTTCCTTTAAAATAAATGATGCAAAGTCAATACTTTACATTTAGAAAAGAAATGTAAAAGAATGTTTTCGGAAACTGTCGTTCAATTTATTACACAATAAAATAATCTTTTAAATATGACCTATTTTTCGAAAGCTATTATTCGATCTCACAACTTCAATAGTCTTGTTAAGTACATAGGAAAAACTGTTAGATGAGAATCATGAGAACACACGGTAAGTTAGAAAGTTAGCTTCTGTTCATTAATTTCAAAAATATTTGCTAGAAATAGCACGTTAAGTTTAGACTTATACTCTTTATGAAATGAAGCTTCATTTTAGTTTCATTATAACCAGATATAGTTCACTTATATAATTTTGATACAAGTGTGCATTTTATTTGAAAAAACGAATCAGATTATACTGTTATTCTGGTAAGTTCAGAGAGAGTGAAAAAGATCTCCATACAAACACATAGGAAATGAAGCACACAAATGAGAATTAATTAACAAAAAATTAACATCAGCAACTAAATCGAAACAGGAGACATTTTCGCAATGATTTATCTAAAAAACGTTAAAGCTTAAGATTTTACACTTCATCCGACTGATGAACAGTATTTGAAGATGAAGCTGTTGAACCAACGCCACTAGCCTGACCGTTAGCTCTTTTAATATACAAATTTAGCAATTTCATCTTGCTTGTACTCAAACTTTCCAGGTGAGGTCGTATTATTTCTTCGCCAACTTTAACGGTTATAGCTACAAGAGCCATAACGGATGTTTTACGAACAATGGATTCCGTACTGTTGTAAGATACAAGCAAAACTGGAACGACTTCGTTGATAACTAATCCAACCAACTGATTCGTCGAATTTTCAATGACTTTTGTAAGCATTTTTAAAGCAGCTACATTTCTTGGGTAAACAGCCGTTGAAATTAAAGGGGAAATAATTTTTAAAATATGTCTTGGATCTGCAGTTGCCGCAATTGCAATAGCACAATCTTCAGCAGCTCTGGTAACATCTTTATGGATACCCTCAGACTGGGCCTCAATGACTTTCATAACCGTTAATTCAATGTAAGGTTGGAATCTTGAGTGTTGTCTTTGTACTAATTGCCGAAGAGCTCGCAAGGCAAGTACTCTTAATATAACTTCGTTATCAGCACTTCCCTCGCTTCCTATAACTGTTTCGAGGAGAAGGAGAAGGACTGTTTTAAAATGTTCATTCCAATCCACTTCCGTTGAAGTATTACCACGAGCCAAACTCAACAAGTTCAACAGAGCCTGCCTACGTTGTTCAAATCTAGTTCCGTGATTCGATAGTTCGCACAAAATCACAGCCATTTCATCCCCAACTAAGGTTCCTGAAATTTTCACCAAAATCAGTAACTAATCAATGAAGAAATAGTAATCATTATTCTGAATGAACAGCATGCGTCAAAAAGCGATAATTGCAACAAGCGAACCATCTACTTAGCACAAGATTTATTAGCTGCTAATGTATTGTTATAAAGCTTTCCTAGTCGCTTATTCAAAATAAATAGTAAAACATTCCGATAACCTTTAGAACGATTGATATTTTCAATAATCAAATTCTCTTTCGAAGAAAATGAATTTTTACGAGTTCCTTTTTTCTGGATCGCGATAGCCCCCGATTCAAGACTCGAACGCCTTCCATTTTCGGCCTGGAGAATTTTGCGCACGGCCTCTGTGTTCCGGCGACGAAAATAAAAGATAACAAAAATGATAATCAATCTAAAGGTGATAAAAAAGATGACAGCCACAACAAAAGAAATGTAAGCGAAAATGCTTCAAGTGTAACAAAAATAATATAAAAAAATATAAACATAAATAAAAGAAAACGCAGTTTAAAATTATATAAAATATCGTACCATCGTTAAACAGTATATCTTCTTCAGCATCAAAAATCTGTTCTTCATACGTTGACTTAACCATTGGTGCTGCCTGTTTAAGAAGCTTAAATAATTTCACGATTTTTCAGATACTTTTATATTGAACTCAAACCGTCTTGTTATAATATTCACATAATATAGACTTATTATAAAATATTATATATTAAGAGCTATATCAGAGAAAAAGAAAGCTTTAAAGCTAAAGCCATATGACAAACTAGTTCAATGCATATACTTTTTTGGGAGATTGTCTTACGTGTAATATTTTTTCATGAAATTTAATTTACCTATTACGATTCATAGGGGACATAAACTTAACATACGTTACGATTAATGCTTACATCATCGGAAGTATACTGCGCTGGGTTGTAGCTTGGATGTAGTTGAATACCGGAGTCTCTAGATGCTGTATCACTCTGTAGATTTGATTATGTTAGAAAAATTCTCAAAGATTAATTTTATCTATTACGTTATGTAGATCTCTTGCATCGCCAGCATCTAGTCTATTCAAATGCAATTTTTCAATATCAGCAGTAGTTTGCTTGATGCTAGCATAAAAATCTTCAGGCTTCATTTTATCTTGACATGGAGTTGATCCAGTTGCGCCTGTTGAATTTCTATTTGATGTAAATCTTCTCAAGGGCGATGATATATCACTTTGTCCATGATTTTCTGCCGATGCTGTTTTTACATGATTTTTTAAAACTTTTGTGGCAGGATCACGAAATGGTTTAGGTAGTTCGCTTATTAAACTTTGGAAGGCTGGAGGGTTCGCATCAAATAGAGCAACAATTAGTTGGGCGCTGGACCGTCTCACTTCGGCACTTTTGGGTTCTGATGTCCAGGTGATTAATCTTGATATTGCCAAGCGAACTTCAGTCATTTGGAAATTTAATCCAATAACATCACTATCTAAACGCTGAACAACATCAAACATATAAATTAAAACAGCATCTTTCACTCGTAAACTCGGAGAAACAGATTGGTCTATAATAAACTTTGACAAATTTTGAAACTGATTTTCCAAATCAAAACAATCTCGTATCACTTCCAAGCATTTCCAAAGGCGAGAATTGACTGAGTTCAATAAGTCACTACCAGCTTTGGTTAGAAGACGAGTAAGAAGGACATATAGCCAATCAGACAATTGCAAAGTATATGTCCTCACAAGGTCTGGTAGCACTTCCAATAGTGTACTAAATACTTTGCCATGTTGATCTTGAAATAATTTGGTTAGGACTTCTATAACTTTTCTCAACTCCTTATCACTGAATAAATATTCACTAAATTAGAAAACTGGAATAGTAACTTTATTTTATATATACCTGAGAGTTCGGCTGTTCATAATAAAATTTTGCAAAGATAAAAGACCCTCACGTTTTTCTGACCAAGATTTGCTTTCTAAGCTTCTAACTACTTCCGCTATGTCCTATCAATGATTTCATAAGTTAACCCTTTTCTTGTTAAATTTACAGCTGCTAGATTACGTTTTTTAAAAACTGCATCGAAAATTAACTAACAACAAACTAATGCTACGAAATCAAGTTATCCCTGAAATCTTTCATTTTATCATTAGTTTGATTAAAAAGATTCATGTATAAAGTATGTCTAGGTTAGAAAAGGGAAAATTATATTGTAAATCTTGGAGCATTAAAGACCTATATGACAAAATGCATATAAATGACATTAATACCGTAGCCCATATATCATTGACCTTGAACATTTGTTACATAAAATTTTCAATTTTTAAAACAATTTAACACATTTCTATAGTGCATTTGCAAAAGGAAAATAAAAATTCTCAAAGCATTTTAATTAAAAAAATTTTCTTTCAACCCTCAAATTATTTAATGCAATATTAACAATATATTTTTCAAAAAAAATATTGAAAAGCTCAAAGCTAATTTACGAAGCTATTATTTCCGTCCCGAGTATGAGGATTTCTATAAAAACCAATAAGTTAAAAAATGAAATATTTTAACCGTAAATTTAATTCATGCGATAACCCTAAATAAAACATTGTCGTTCATGGGCGATGCAAAAATTATCTGTGTTTGTCTTTTCAAAGAAAGAGAAAGCCATTACATAACTAAGAAGAAAGCGTGCGCTTTAGAAGAAAGTTGACTAACAAGAATACAACAATTACAAGACTATGCACAAGAAATACCTTCCGCAAACGCATTGTTGATAAACTGGAGCGTCTCTCTGAGCGATCTGAAGCCTGCCATGCGCATAAGAGAGAAGAGGTCAATGATTAGAAATAGGGGATTCGATTCAAGACATGCCATTTTTATGTGCACTCAAAATACGACAAGAGTAAAGAGTATACTTCTACTTACATCGGAACGTCCACCAAATGAAGTATTAGAACAAATGCTTGAAGTTTCACTCTCCCCATCGTCATTATCATATTGTTTGTGCGCAGCCTGTGAAAAAAGAGTCAGATTGTAGAGTGGTCTTTAAAACATTATCTAAGTCCATTAAGTCTGTACCTTTCTTGCTCTCACGGCATCAGAAAAAGCTAGTTCTACTTGCATTTCGTTAAGGCCTCTACTATTAGCTCTTGGAACACGTTGACAAGCAGCACCTTTTTTCGAGCTACCGGAGCTCAAACGACGCTCCCTTCCAAAAGTTGAACCTCCCCTAGATGGCGAAGTTTCTCGACTAGCACCCTGAGATCGGGGAATACCAGAGCGCTTCCGAGGAGTTGTCGCATAATTTGAATTCGTTAAATAGTTTAAATGACTGGATGGGGAAGTTGACCGACTGCCCGCTAGTAAAATTCAAATATACAGTATAAATTAATTACTTTTATTTAATGTTCTATACGTTGAGATTGACTACTTCTTGAAGGTCTGGAACGTTGTAGAGTAGGTATATAAGTAGGACTTTGACCAGTTACAGATTTTCGAGGTTTAGCTGAAATAAAGAAACGAATTTCTTTTATAATATGAAATCTAAGCATTACATAACAGTAAACATGCAATTAGCAGAAGATGAACAGCCGGAGGAAAGCCGTAGTTTTAAAGGCTCATTCTTATAAATTTGGTTTGGAATGCCCTTACACTTTGCAAGTAGATTGGGTAAACTAGTTCTTCTTTGTTCTGAACGATTGTCCTCAGTTGCTAGCTTTTTAGGAGTTTTAAAAGTGGGCTTACAATTGCTTAAAATTTCTCTAATATTTTTTAAATCAGAGTCATCGTCAGATTCAGAATTTGTATCGTTTGGCTGAGGTGCTGAAAGTGTGATCTTTACGTATATAGGTATATCTTTTCCTGAATGAGCTTGCTCTGCTAAGCTTTGCAAACCTTCGACTGTTTGAACTGCATAACAGAATTAATTATCTAGAAAGGTACTTTAAACTTAAATTGGATAAATTTGGGAAGCAAATAAAATAAAAATTGCATTAAATAAACATAATGGTGACGACACGCTACCGAAGTCACTCACGTAAAAATGATTTTAACCCTGATGCAGGAGCACTATTATTCAATAACCATGCTTCACTCTTTTCAAAAGAGTCTTTTTCCGATAGGCTCCGCTGCTTTCTGACAGCTTGTAGAAAGAAATTGATGTATGATAAATAAATAGCAATAAATTTATAAACTAAATTTTGTCGGCCAACGATAGTTTTAGCGAACAAATTCAACTAATAAGTTTGCGCAGTAAAATTCATTAAAACAAGATACAACATGTAAAAATATAAAATGGAAGACAGGAATGATTCTGTAGAAAACGAAACTTACGCAGTTCCCCCATAGTTGTGGAAGTTGACATTATATTTTCAGCATTCACAATCGGTACCCTCTCTGGAAGAGAATTCATTCTCCCTACGTCAGCAGCGCTTGAAGACCTTGCTATCGAACTCTTTTTAGGTGTTACAACCGCTAAAAGTAAAATGCACAACACCAACGTGTGAAAGCAAGAGAGTTGGTGAGGAGATAAAAAATTAAAACAAACACCCAACCGATCTATCTCTATTTCACTTACTTGTCTTTAAATTAGAGCCGGAGGATCTTACTCTACTCTTTGAATCGCTTGCAGTAAATCTCCTAGAAATAAATAGCATCAATTCCGCATTAGTTAATTTATAAGTAATATATATGTAAAATATAAAATATATATTTTTTGATCAATTAATGTTTACCCAACGGCTGACGAGGATGACGACGCTTCTAATCTCCTATCTGTGCTTCTAGCACGACTACTTGGTTTAGTTCTAGATGAAGAGCTGACAACACTACTTGCTCTCCCACCACAGGCACTTCCTATAGACGAACTACTGGTAGAAGTAGGAAATTCCCCTTGTAACATCTTTTGCTTAGCAGGATCCAGGGATTGCCGTAAAGTTTCAGCTCTTTCAGGAAAATGTTTAGAGAAAGCTCTAAATGCCCTGTCATAAAAAAAACGATATTTTCCTTATGAAACAAAGAGAATTTTTTAAACTTCTAACTTTCTTGAGTGAGCTCGTGCTTCTGAGTCGGCGTCCTCCATTCCTCTAGATATCACTCCTTGAATTTCTGAAACTTTTCTCTCCAATTCATGGGTTGACCATGTTGAAAGAATTAAAGCTATTATATCATAGCATTCTCGTCGAATAACATTTGACTTTGAAGCCGAATGACTTATGATTATTGGAACGAGACGATGAGAATGGGTATGCTTTAAGAAAAGTTAAATTAGCATTTCGTGTGCAGGTAAACAATCCTTACCTGTAGCACAAAACGAAGGCTAGTTGCCCCAGATGTAGACATTACTTTTGCGGAGTTAGGTATCAGATTAATTAAGTGTGACAGAATAATTTCAGCAAAACGATCAAACTTAGAACCAAGCTCTTGCGCCATAAACCTGACAATATTTAATAAATTAATATTCTTTCTATATTAAGATTAAGAAATTTATATCTCTTCACACTCACGCAACAGTTATACAAGCTTCTCTAACGATTTGACTACGTAAATCTCTAACAGCTTGAATAAGCCCTGTCTCCATAATTCGTACAGCTCGAAAAAACTCTTCATATTGAGACGCTCCAGCAGCAATTAGAGCTCGAATTTCTTTGAGCTATTAAAAAACTTGTTTATTAACAAACGCATTACCTAATTTGAGGAACTTACAGCAATGCATCTTTTGTTCCAGTCTGATTGGGAATTAGACAAAAGGGCTTGAATAGCAGACATTCTTTCTTGAACGTCTCTTGCGCTACAGCTCTGTTAAAAAAATTTGATTTTAGATCCAGTTGTTAAATTAAAGTTACTCTGCATACTTGAATTAATGGTAAATTGGCTGTAAAACTCTCTCTGAAGAAATCCTCATCTACAGCACCAGCAGCGCCGCCTGTTGAATAAAACATAAAGTAATAGATATTATCGATAATTTGAGCAAAATTATTTCATTATATCTGCTCTAAAACCTAAAAATAGATAGAAAAGTTGAATCCATCACAGCACATTAATTTTTGATAAATATGAAATGAATGTGAAAACAGATGCTTAAAGTCTTATTTTATCACCTCTCTCATTCTTTGAGCTCGATTGCCTTCCTGATGAACTAGCCGACTTTCGTATATTTGATCGTGGAGCAGCGGGTCTAGCAAAAGTTTGTCCATCCTGCTCATCTCCTAAAAAAATCATTCAGGAGTCAGCTTGTATTTCAAATGAAAAAAATGTATTGATTATTTGGAGGCAAGAGAGAAACCTTCAAGAAATTTTACTATTAAACTGTGTTAGTAAAACTCTGATATATCAGAAAAGTGCTAATTATAATTAGTCTCTGATACACGTAAAGAAATCACACAAAGCACCAACTGTGACGGAAGTTGCTTGTGCAAGCGCGTTGAATGATGAAAATATTATGACTTAACTAAATTACTTTTGCTCTCACCTGATTTTTCGGAATAACGTGTTGAACTCATTATAAGCAGAGTGAAGTTACAAGTGTCTAGCGATGCTTCATTTTATGATTAAATTACAGATTCTGACAGGGATTTTTCTTTGCATATACACGACCTTCACCTTTATTTTCGTATATCATATGAATAAAAATTTTACTATAGAATAATTGTTCTTTTGAATTTGAAATCATAAACTAATTTAAAAATAAATAAGTCTTTTACGAGAATTATTTCGCTCATACCTTACGAAGTGTGTTTAAATTTCTCATATAGACGGACTGGTCACCGCCATTTTGAAAGCTTGAGCATTACATAGTAAAACATTCATATTTTTAAAACTTTCTTACACATCACATAACTCTATAAAATTTCTAATTAGCTATATTTGTCATGGAAATGAACGAATATATTAATATAAATGTATTATTTATAATTTTAATACTTGGCTTAAACCTATAATCAAAATTGATTCTCTGACCTTTCCCGAAGAACTTAATATACCTTAAAATGAACATTTCTGCTTAGTACAGTTTCCAAATTATTTAGAAATACATCACCAGTTAATAGTGATCAATCGCTATTTCTACAGTGTGACAGTTGAACAAGATTGACAGTTTATTATTTGTCTTTATTCTATAATTATGAGAAGAGCATTAAACTTAATCACTAATACATTCATGTAGTGTATCATACAAAACTGAAAACAATAATTAAAGTCACGACAGCAGTTCAAAGCAAAATATTTTGTTAAATCAAGTTTTGATGGTGTACAATCAGGCAAGAAATCGCCAGTTTGATAATTTAGAAAGGCGGATATTCAAACAACATCAAAAAAATTAGGGAATTGAGTATCAACATGTTCAAACGCTGGCTGGATTAGCAGGATTCAGGGGAGATGAGAGATGTTCATTCTTTAGAGTTAAGTTTTTCTTATTAGCACTATGCTTTTTTCTGCGCAACATCAACATTTTCCTCGTAATACTTTGTTTCTTGACAGTATTCTAAATAGAAATTCAAATGATTAACAGGACAACTGAATATCAGTTGAAAAGTAGCAATAATTCTAAACGGAGATGAAAACTTCATGATCTAAAGCTCATACCTAAAATATCTCTATATTAATAAAGCCATGCAAGTAGTTAATAGTTGATGGATATCTCATTTCGAATTCTAATTTTATCCGACGATGATCTTCGTTTTTCTCTAAGATTAAGTGATTGGCGCTCTACAACATTCTGCTCATACGATTTATGAAAAGGAGCAAAAGAAAAATAAGAGTTTGACATCTACTAAACAAGTATCTATTGATTTATAATTAGCTACATTGAAAGGCATAACATATTATGAAAAGTGATACTATACTTACAATGTATTCTTCTTCTTTCTTTTTCATTTCTCTTCTCTTCTTGCAAGGCTGCAAATATCAAAAAGACTAAATTTGATTCATTTTTATTTTATCTAACCCCTAGAATAATTCCAACTAAGAACTGGGCATTGTAAACCAAGTATATTCCGGCAAATATGATGAGAGCAATCTGATCTTTAAATTTAGCGCTCTGGCGATCAGAAATGAGAGTCTGTCCACCATGCCAAAAACAAACTATAGCTAAGACAATCAGTGTTGCAAGAATATATTTATCAAGATAAGTCAGATACGAAATCTTCGGCAAGCTTTGATTTAAGACGAACTTGAATGCAACAGCAGTCAAAACCAGAGTAAAGCTTAATTGTAAGCGGTTCTGAACCAGATTTGGTTCAACGGCAAAAGTTACGAAAGCAAGTACGGCAATGAGAAACTGTTACAAAAAGATAGCAATACTTAACTCATGTTTATCTTGTTTCGTCTTATAGATTTAATTAATACAATAATATAGCTAGAGATAGCTTAATGCAGATATAAATTAATTTTTATCTTTGCAACTTACGGTAACCAAAAACATGTTGTAGAGAAAATATGCTGGTCTTCTTGCTGCTCTGCATTTAACTGTCAAAGCAGACCTTCTCACAGTTGGATCAGCTCTATCTTTAAGTAACTCTTTCTTCTCTGATTCTATACATTTATAAAGTAACCATTCTTGTTCATCAACGAATGATTGTTTATAAATTCGATGAATTTCTTCAGGATCTTCAACCAAATCCACCTCAGTAGATGGAGTATCCGACATTATAGTTACTGAAAGATCCTGTATACATAGATGTATTCTCAAATAAATCCAAAATATTATGTTTACTACCTGAACATCAAAAGGAAAATCCCATAACTCTAGGGTTTCTATAAACCATCCTTTAACTCTTTTCCTCTCTACTAGATAAGCTTCGCCATTTTCATTATATTCCAAAGCTTTAGAGGATGTCTCTTTGAAATCACCTATGCAGTTGTCAACGAATATTCGCGGGGACCAGAATCCCGAGAATTCGATTTCATTCGTTGTATGCTAAACAGAATTTGGTTAGTAAAGTTAATCTCTAATATTTATTATTCAGACTTTTACTGTTGCTTCACGTCGATCAAGGGAAGGTTCCCTCCACTTTGTACGAATTAATACATCAGCTTCGAATTGTTCCTTTAATGTGTTGATTTCTCCAAGTTTTAGGAACGTTACGTGAATCAAAACTGTTTTCTATAAATTTTGAAAGTTATTATATGAGAGAATTATTATTTAGTAGGTAAGTAAAATAAACAAATATTTCTTATGCGCCGCACTGCGTCGAATATGAACCAACAGACAAGTGTGCATGTCAATAAGCTGACAACGCTAAGAAATTTAAAATAAAACTTTCATTTCAACCAAGACACTACTAAATAATTTAAAATTTCCACATCTAAATGACCACCTCACTTCATACTTTTATCGAACTTTGCAGTTTACTGGGTTTAAACATTCTAATAATTGTGTTTCTATCTAAAAATACTCCATGCCGGGCTTACCGGAGCTCCCAGCTGTTTTCCTCCAATAAAATTATCATCCAACTTCATATCACTGTAGTTTTCCATTGTCTAAGAAAATTTATAATAGAACACCTAGAATTTTTTTCACATGAGAATAAAAATGAAGGGTTGGTTTGATAATATCAATAAGTGTTAAAAAAAAACTCTGCTGTTGTCAATTATACTCTTAATATATAAAATGCTCTAACCTATAAAATATTACGTGTATTTCTAGTTGTATTATGCACCATTTATGAGAAAAATGTTGACAATTGTCACACATGGAATATAAGATATCATTTTATTACTAGTAATAATGATGAATAAATATCAATGCACAAATAATACGATAGCAAATGCAAGTTTGGGGAATCAATAAATCAGAGGCTGACTACATACATTCCAAGTCAGCCTTAGAAAATATTTTTCATTGATGCCTTAAAATGTGAAAAAAAGATTGTAAATTTTAAGCATAATAGTACATTTGTCTTTAAAATATTTTTTGATAAGCTCAAATGGATTTTTTCTAAGAACTAAAGAATTTATGCTCTTTAGACCCTTGCATATAATTATAATAAATGTGTCGTGTCTAAATGAAAAATAGCTCTTTCTACATTATCATCAAAACATGAATGGAATAATTTTTCTAAATCAAAAGATAGAAAGATAAACATAAACTCTTCCATCTGATTAATTTAATTTCCTTCAACTCACCCTGAATTCTGCTGGTATTATTGTCTTTACTAAAGAGCACACAGTCGAATCAGTCCTTCGAGACATGTTAACAAAACACGAAATTTTTAATTTGTGTGCAGAAGAGTCGGAACATCGGAAGATCGTCTCTGTACCTGTGCATAGCCTGCACTGCAAATGCACTATCGCCTTAGCCGATTTGATCAATAATCGGACGGGTAGAATTAATGAGACGCTGCTCGTGAAATTAGCCCTGCAGTAACCTAAATCAACTTTATTACGAAATATTTATTAGAACTGAGAACCTTAAACTGTGCAAAATGTTTTCGAACCATAAATAATATATATTATAAAATTAAAACTGGATTCGTATTATTCCCTATTTTAGATATGGAAAATTTTTAAAATGCTGAATAAAATACCTTTATTTAAATAGTTAAAAACTATGGAGAAAACTTCTAAAATCAAATTACAATACCTTAATTCTATCAGCAGAAGAATATCTGGCAACGCTTCTTAAAATTTGATCAGCCATCTCTCCAATGTTTGCAAGTTGAAATTATTTTCTGAAATGGAGGACAAACGATAGACTTCACTTCGTAGACTGTTTCCATGGTAACATTGTCCTAGGACGACGTTTAACTTTAGTTACCCGCTCAAGACTTGCAGCTTTAAAATATCTTTAACTAAGTTTACTTGCTCTAAAATAAAATAGATGGCATAATTAAGGTTGTTCGATATCTATTATCACAAACAACTGGAAAATTTTGTGCATAAGCCTTACGAGCTAACACTGATATTATATAAATAAATTTTGATGATACTATAATATTTTTAAAATTTTTATTTCACTATAATGTGTATATTCTCTTAAGTAGCAAACAATAAAGGTACTTTATTAAAAATTTTCATCCTTTATTTAATTGTTCTTATAATTCAATCATTTCTCGTTAACTAAAGGGTTTTTGTCCCGCCCAGATATATAAAACTTTGGTATTTTATTTAAAACAGGGACTACAATGTTTTGTACATATCTGTTAATGAAATAATTTGTAACGGCACTAGATGTCGCTAGTTAAAACAAACGATTCATCGAAAGATTTTCATAAGTACTCATACTAATGTTGTTCAAAATATGATACATATTTGCTGTAAACATCCTTATATTTTAGGTTTTAAAAGTAGCATTGTAAAACATTTTTGTTTTAATAGTTATATCTGCTAGAATTTCTAAGTCGCGTGAAAGCTGACTTCCAAAGCGTTGGAGAAAGTTCTGTACGTAAGAGTTTGGCGGGTTCGAGTTGTAGTGTCAAGGTAATATGTTAATTATAAATAAATCAAATTGATATAATGGTAAACTTAAAAACATTTGATGAAAAAATTAATCTGCTATTTCAAAAACAAAATTTAACTGGTATTTACGAAAATAAAAGCTCCCTATAAAGTTCAGAATTAATACGCCACGAAATCTATCAGAGAATTTTTATACGTCTTTTAATAATTTATCACTATTTTGTATAATTTTTCCATGTCTTGTAACTATAAATATCTAATGAGAGGATTCGATTGAGACAATTTTATGGGGAATCCATAGGAAATGGATTATGTGAGGTGCTATTTTCGGCGGAGATTTACATTATATTAGCTGTTCACCGGTCGTAAATATGTATATAAACAAGCGGTTTAGTTCGAAGTGAATAGTTATTGCAAGCAGCTCAAATGTGTGAACTGACAAAAATTGTTTGCAAAACGAACTTTAACTTCAAATCTATTGTCTTATTGCGCTATCTATTAGCGTTTGGATTGAAAACTTGAGTTGCAAAATTCATCACAGTTTAACATAGCGTTGGAAAATATGGAAATAGAAGACAACGCGCTATTCCGGGCTCGCACGCCATCTGGCGACAGTCTTGACGGAAAAAAAAAGAAGATTCGTAGGAAGCAGAAAGGCGGCGCTCATCATTCGAAAAAGTGGCGCCCTTACTTGAAAAATACTGAAAACTCTGTCGAAAAGAAAGATAATGGATTTCAAGCAACAGCACCGTCAAATACGACTCAGTTTTTGATTGACCAACACGGGGCGACTACGCCCGACTTCGACAAATCTTCGGACGAAGAAGATACATCTCTCGAGGAAGATATCCGTGTTAATCCTGACTTTTTAACAAAAGAGTTTTCACAAGAATATCGTTCGTATCAAGTCGAGCGCTTGTACTCGTTGACAAAAGAGGAGTTGGTAAGAGAGTGTTTGAGTTTGGAGTCCAAATTCGATAAGACAGGAAAATTGCGTAAGGAAATAGAAACATTACGTCGTGAAAACCTTCGCCTCAATGATGAAAACTCCCTATTGCATGCAAAAATGAAGTTTGAGCATAAAGAATCCCAAGACCAGGAACCTCGAGTTCGAAGGTGCGGCAGTGATTCTGTTCTCGATACAGAACGTGGAAATGAATCTCTCTTAGAGGACTTGCAAACAGAAATGCAAGATTAAAAACCTGTTGTGTTTATTATTTTGTTACGTTGAATATATAATGAATTTTATAATATTTAGGCCTACGAGCTCAGAAGTACATAGTGCATACACAGTAAATATAAAGCCAGATTAGTATAATGGCGTCGCCCCTCTAATCGCGCGAAGCCATTTTGAAATAGCTGATTTGGTTACATTTCTGACTATAATCAAACCGGTAGATGGTGCTGGTTTGCAAACAATTTAATAGGATATTAATCTGTCAGATTTAAAATGTTATAAACTAAAATTTCCATTTATAAAGCTTTGTCGTATCTGGACAAAATCTGGATAATTTCTTCAATAAATATTTGACTAAATCTGCAGGAAAATTATTGAATATATACATGTGTTGAATTATTGCTCGATATTTTTATTTTTGTCGTCGGTCTGTTTTACTTTCTCGCAGATTTAAATTAAATTTATATAGTCAAGTTGATATTTAATTGTCCCTAAATTATTTGCAGTAATTTTTAAAAAAGTACTTTAACATTAATAAGTTTTAAGATTTTAAAGAATCGGAGGATTCAAAAAGTTGTAATTTTTCCGCTTCATTTATACCAGTTTCTAGAATACGAGTTTATTATTATAAAATAGCATAATATTAGTTAAACTATTCCATAATTTGTATTAGAATATTATTATTGGACTCACTGAAAATAGACATTTATAGAGCCTTAACTTTGGTTTTAAAGACTTTTTGCTTAGCTCTGAGATAAATGAGATTTTGAAGAATATTTTGCTCATTGTATCTCTAGCAACAACATTGTCAGTTTTATAAAGCTCAGCTCCTATCTTCTATGCTCAGTTCCTAGATAATGTCTAACTGGGGTAGGGTATAGAAAAAATAACTCGAGACTTCTTTACTTGCCATAATATTTAACAATATCTCTTTAATCATATTCATATTTATATAAATAACAATTAGTATTTCGTTGACTAACAACAATTTAAAAAATTACGTTAAGCAAATAGAGTAAATTAATTATCAGATTCGAATTATCTAAAGAAAAGAGATTTGCATGTGTATATGTATTTCCTTTTTGTGCATCTTTGTTTTAATGTTTGCTAGCAATTAAAAGAATTTTTCAACAGAGGAATCCAAGAGATCTGACAATGAAGACTCGTCTTGGAGTGGAAGTTCTGATGAACTGTCTGAAGATATGTACTTCAGAATTGGGTCAGGTAAGGACATTGCAGCGGGACATCTTATTTATAAAAAAATATCAATTTTTCGTAATGTAAAACAAATATACTGAAATTAGTGGATATAAGATCATTAATAAGTGTAAAATTCGATCATATCTATTGGATGAATATTTATTGACTATTATTGAATATCGTATATTTACTTTTCGGTATGCGAGATTTACCTTTCGCACTTCATTGTTCTCATGGCTAGCGATAGTTCAATTTCTTACGGTGATCAAAAAGAGTTTGCAGATTGGAATCCACCGGACTATGATTCCATGTGTTGTTCTAGAAAAAGAGATTATGAACGGAAGAAAGGTTTATTCTTCCCATCGTTACCTGTAGAGGCGGGATATATTATACTTAGTTTTCTTATATTATTATTTTCAGAGAGCGAGGCGTCGGAAACCACGACAGTTGATTTCAAGCCCTATATAACGTTACAGGTACATAATCAAGTAAAATATAGAAAAGTATTACATTATAGCTTTAACAGTGTAAAGAGTGCTCTCAGCACATCGATGTACGGGCTTTACATGAACATAAGAAGTATCATGAAGCTCTGGTCACTTTAAAATACAAACAGTTGGTACTTTTAGTTGTAATATGCTGCAATTACACATATAATGCATATAGATTTAGTTTTACACCTTATTCCTAGAGGAATGATGCCAGAAAGCGTCGACTCTCTTATGGATAGAAGATTGCTACTTCTTAAAAAAATATCGAATGGAAATGATTTAATTGATCAAAAACTTATACGTCAAATAGATAAAGCTTATGAGCTTGTTCGATCTCACATGGATCAAACATATGAACCTTTCCGCCAAGTTCGAGACGATGTTGACGTAAATGTTAAAGCGAATTCATTAAATTGTTCGAATTTAAACATTCTAGCAGTGTCTTGGTGCTGTCATAAGAACGAGCGTTGGAAAGAACAAATGGAAGATACTAAAGTTTTTCAGGATTCTTTTGGTAATGACCCTAGAAAAGCATATTTTGCTGTTTTCGACGGATACGGAGGACATAGAGCAGCTCACGTTGCTGCTACAGAATTACATCACTTTTTACTGCATGAAATGATTAAATTTGATTCGTCTATACGTTGTACTTGTACTATTAACAAAGCATCTTCTGCATACATCAAAAAAGATCATATGGAAGACCATAAATCACATTGTAGACCAATATCTTCCTATTCAGAGAAAGCAAAATTGCATGAAATTAGCCAGGATATCGTTCAACAAATCATTGAATCTTCTACAAAAAAATTGCAGCTTGAGGATATTAATGAAAGAGCACAGAATCTTACTAACAAGTCTTTAAATGATAATAAAGATGATATGTACAATTCAAGAATATCAGATTGTTTTAAAAAAGCCCACTTCCAAACTGACTTATTGCTTTCATTAGGGAAAGAAGAAAATTCAAAGGTTAGGTGGAGTGGTTGTTCAACAGTGACTATTTTGGTGGATAGCTTAGATAGACCACGACCAGTGAATGAAAGTTCTTCGTCAGATATTAATAGAGTTGAGCAAATTGGATACATGCACATTGCAAACTGTGGTAATATATATTTTTGTATTTTTATCAAGATTTTAAATATTATTTTGTTCTAAACAAGTTCATTAAAAATATCTAAAAGTTTCCTTTCTATATTAAAGGAGATTCTGAAGCAATGTTGGTAAGAGCAAATAGACCTTACATGTTAACGAAAAAGCATTCCACTAAAAATCCCGCTGAAGTCGCCCGGGTTACTAAACAAGGAGGAAAATTAAGCTCCAGTAAGGATCAGAAGTGCGTCAATGGGGTTTTACCTACAACGAGAGGACTTGGAAATCATGGCGATCCTGATTTGAGAAAATTTGTGATTAGGAAACCTTCAACAATAACGGTCAAGTTGGATAACTTTTCTCAATTTGTTGTTATTGCATCTAAGGGAGTATGGGATGTATTTACTCCCGATGAAGTTGCAACTCTACTCCTCCAAATTTTGCCAAGTAATCGCCTACCTCCAACTATACATTGCACATCAAGTGTACGAGCCTTGGTTGAACAGAATAGCGTTATATTAAGCGCTGTTCAATCACGAATCAGTTATGATCTTAACAAGCCTTTATCTAAACAATCTATAGAGGATGATAATAAATCAGAAAATAGTTCTGATGTTTTCAGTAATTTCACAAGATCAACTTTATCGGATTCTTCTTCAGAATCAGACGAAAGTCATGCTACAATAATGCTCGGAGAGGATACATGGTCTGAATCAAGCCAAACAGTAGAAGAAAATAGGCAGAGAGTTCAAAGAGGTTTCGCCAACGCCATGGCAGAAAAGTTAACTCAAGCTGCTATTTTAGCTGGAACCCGACATAATGTTACTGTTATGATTTTTCTTTTACCAGCTTCTGGACTTTAAAGTTGTTTACAGAAACTTCAATTTTCATTGCTTAAGCCAAAATTTACAATTTTATTTATTTAAGTTTCTTGGTCAAAATATTGTTTATTAATACAAATTCATGTATAGTTCTTTTGAAAAACTGTTAATGAGATTAAATTACTGATACAATCATTAATTGTCAGCCTTCCATTTAAATTAAATAATGCCATTTTGTTTTATTTAGCATGATAATTTTTCGGCTTCTCTTTCAGTATCAATACGCGTATTCTAATTAATAAAAATTAATTTAAATCCAAGCCTATATGAATTGCGACTGTTTCCTTACCAGAAATGAATTTAGCATTGTTCGAAACTCTTCAACACTAACACATCCGTCAGAGCGCTTGGATGCAGCCTGCTCATATAAATTTTCAAAATCCTCCTCAGAAATTTTCAATCCCGCATTCGAAAAAATTTCTTTTATCTGAAAGACTACTGTGAGACTTTTACAATAATCATTTACTCCCTACCTCATCTCGACTTTTATGGGACAACATATCTCTCTCATAAACACCATATCTCGAAAATATGGATGGCTGCAACAGACCAAAGGCATCACTCTCATCACCATAGTTCGTTCTTGATGTAAGAATAATAATTGTTAAAAGTCAATCAAAAAATGAACTAAGAACTTCAAACCTATCATCACACTTTTTTATTTTTGGCGCTGGTAGGTCATTTCGGATTGACGGTACTCCATAACTTCGAAATGACTTTGTGGAAACACCTCCAACTACAGAGTTAATCATTTGAGAAGAAGTTTTTTGGTCAACAATTGCTTTATCAATTTGTTTTTGAAGCCTCTTGTGGAAATGGTCTGCTGAGCTTATTCGATCTGATATAAAAGAATAAACTATTATCTACAAATCTTTGCTAAATAGTAAAAACCTGGTAAGCCAGTTGGTAGTTTGTCTTTCCAATTTAAAAAATTAGAAAATTCAATATAGTTTATACGTCCATCTCTGTCTACATCACAATAATCAAACAATTGAACCAATAGCTCCAGTTCAATAGGTAGCTGAAATTGTTCACAAACGTTCTTAAGGTCAGTAGCTGTTATATAGCCTTTTTCATCCTGAAGATATCTTATTCATTATCAAATTTGTTTAAAAATTTATAGCGTTACCGGATCATAGAGACAAAAGGCCTGTACGAGATTATTAAAATTTTGATAATTTGCTTTCTTTAAGTTTGATCTTATGGCAGCAATTAAGCCTCTCTCCTTTTCCTGACCACGTAAATAATGTTTAGGTGCGCGACCATGAAGGAGATCTCCAACTCCATATTCATCTGGTTGTAATAATACTCCAAAAGTATGATCATCCGGAACGTGCATTGTATCTTTGATTCTATTTTAGAAAAGTTAAAATGAAGTAGTATATATTAATACTTTAATATTTACGGATCAAGAGGTTTTCCCAGTTGTGGTTGCGTTCTCTCCCGGAAACTATCAACCCTTTTTTGAACAACCGGAGTTGCTTCCTTTCCACAACACTGATCAATCCATTTTAACGATTTCGCTGTTAATTTGCCTGCATTATCATGTGGAGTGGGTTTGCCATACTTTTGACATCGATTATACGGAGGAGCTATGTAGCTACGGTGCTTTTGTTCACCAGCCTAGATATTGTAGAATTAAAAATTAGGTTTTCAAGTGCTATAGTTAGTTATATTTACATTATAAGATTTATGAGAAAATCTATATAAATCTCGTTTATCATCATATTCTTTTTCTACTTCATCATAATTTTTTGAAGGATTTAGCGATTCCTTTGCTCTATGGCCCTTTTCGCTTTTTATACCATATATTTTGCCTTCGTAATCCATTCCTTCAGGAAAATTTTTCTCTGGATTGGGGAAAGTTCCTAAAGGTTTTCTCTGATGGGATTCATAAATATCTTCTTTTTTCTCTAACTGTTTATTGGATTTTTGGTCAATTTTCTCATACATTTACAAGCACTTTAAACTTACTTTTGCCTGGCGAAATCTACTTTGAGGCAAAGGATTCAAAAGGTCTCCAGCTATATGTGAAGGTTTACTAACAGCTCCATGAACCATATCTTTTGCCCATTGAAGGTGGGGATCATATGCTTGACCATAATGAACGGTTTTTTTGCCATAATCTGGTTTAACATAATTTCGGAATCTCATAACTATGTCAGGAGTGCTCGACTGTTTGATTCAGAAATCAATAAACATAAACTACAGAAAAAATCTGAATACCTTAGGTTCCTCTCCTTTCATACATTGTTTCGCTGTTTCTCCTGTTGCGGTTAGCTTTCCTGCCTAAATATTTAAAATTAAAATAGTAGTTGCTCTCTATTAACAAAGCTTACAGTTCTTATATCAGGATTTCTATCCGTAAATTTCCCTTCATATATTCCTTTGATGTCAGGTAGCTTAAAATTTTCTTCATTAGGCAACCTCTCCACTGTTGTCATTTTGAAAGAGATGATAATTTTTTTTTTGTATTTCAAGAACAAGAAAACCGGATGTTGCAGTCACGTAACCTTGGCAGCGCAGTTCAGTTATACTTCCGATAAGAATTTTTGCATTTTATTAGTAGTTTTCATTTTTTTAGAATCGTTGTAAACCAATATAAAAAATTAATTTAAAAATTTTACGACAATTTTCTACTTTCTGTTGACGCAATTTTCACGTGACATATATTACTCATTACAGTAAACTGATTGCTGAGAAGCACAAGGTAAGTAAATCAATGTCATTTTTCGTTAGTTAATTTTAAAGAAGGCTCTGTACATGAAAAATCTCAATAATCATTTTAAACAAATAAGTTTAGAGGGAACTTTATGCTTTGTATAGGCGTAATAATAAAGGATGACAAAAACAAAGTAGTCCGTGTAATAATTGAAGGGGTGTTGTGTGAAAATTTGGATTATAGCAAGATAGTAGCATGAGACCAGTGTTTAACTGAAAATTAACATTGATAACTCTCTATAAAATTTCACGAAGTGGGTAAGTTTAAGTAGAACACATACAGACTAATGTATTTTGTGGAATTTGATTTCGCCACTACGTTTGTTTTTATTCAGAAATCTATTCAACATGGCTTCAGTATAGTGTGTGTTTCAGACAGGAATTTCTCGTAAAAGCATTATGATTCGTGAAAGTTGTTGATTGTATTGTAGAGCAGAAATTTAGTACAATCATTGTGCAGAAGTTAATTAAAATATTATCTTTGGCAGTATATCTAAAGTAATATCATAGTTTGACTATAATTGTAAACCTTAATCTATATGAAAGAAAAATTTTGCACAGCCTTTATAAAAAAAAATACTGCAAATTGATAAACTTCCTAGAGAATAGATTTATTCTATGAGGGGTATATTTAAATAAAACAAGTAGGCTATGTCATCTCACATAAGGGCGATATTGTGTGTGCTTAAAATAAAAATATCTTTGTGGCGTTTATTAATGTTAGTGTGGCGACTGTGAACATATGACTTGGGCTCTAAATTACGATTGATTAATGTTTCTGAAAGAATAGACAGTTTGTTAGAAAGATGTACTAAAAAATATGTCGATCCATCATAAAAATAGCATCGATATCGATATAAAACGATACGATATATTTCAAGGTCTAGGTTAAAATATTGTTAATCTCTGCTGATTCATTATTGATATATTGAAACGAAATAATATATATTTTCTACTCAATTCAGATTCAAAATAATGGCAAATAGAACGGCAAGCAGGCCAGCTAATGGGCAAAACAAAATCTGTCAATTCAAACTGGTCTTGTTGGGAGAATCAGCTGTCGGAAAATCAAGTTTAGTATTGAGGTTCGTCAAAGGACAGTTCCATGAGTTCCAGGAAAGCACGATTGGAGGTAAGCCATTTCATGCTCTTTAATACATTGAAGCAACGAGCTTTTTTCAGCGGCATTCCTCACCCAGACCGTTTGCTTGGATGACACTACCGTCAAATTCGAAATATGGGATACTGCGGGTCAAGAACGATATCATAGTTTAGCACCAATGTATTATCGTGGGGCTCAAGCAGCTATTGTTGTCTACGACATAACGAATCAGGACACGTTTAGCAGGGCTAAAACGTGGGTGAAAGAATTACAGAGGCAAGCCAGTCCAAATATTGTTATTGCTCTAGCTGGCAATAAATGTGACTTATCTAACAAACGCATGGTCGAATGTGAGGTAAGTAATTTTAAAATGGATAAGAATATATTGAATTTAATTTTTACTGATATAAATATTCTCAATAGGAAGCTCAAGCATACGCCGAAGAAAATAGCCTCCTTTTTATGGAAACTTCTGCAAAAACTGCGATGAATGTAAACGACATATTTTTAGCAATAGGTAGTAGTTTAAAAAATAGTATAAACACCACTAATAATAAAATTTATGTTAGCGAAAAAATTGCCGAAAAATGATGGTGGATCGGGTGGAAATGGTTCTTCGGGTGTCAGCTTGGAAAGGACAGATCCTAGTTCTGGTGGCGGATGCTGTAAATGAAGAATGAGACTATTAATTATTTTTGAGATGCTAACCGAAATATTATAGGGTTTTTTTATATAGTGACAACTGACGCTCTGTGTACTTTTTCTCTGAAACTCAATAATATTCGTAGCATCCTGCATATAAAAAAGTTCCATATGAATGCCATCACTACGTATTGATAACATTTTACGAATACAAGCAAATTGGTACGGACTATTATCTTTTTTATTAATCATGATATTTAATTGTATGAACTTGTCGCTTTATTGTTGATTAGTTATGCTGAAAGTTTTTGTTATTGACTACATTTATAACTTCGAATATGATTCCTATGTACATATATGCATAACTAGGAATGAGTATTATTCAAACTTAATTTCATGTGCAATGTGTCTAAAAACGTCAAAGCATTCACTTAAAAACCTGTGCTTCGTAATGCGAATACTTTAATTCCATATAATCATAGTTGAATGTTCAAATAATTGCAATGTATAAAATATCGGTAATAAAAGAAATAAAAACAAAGTAATCTCAGATAATGCATCATATATAATGAACAAAAATCTATAAAATCTCAGGAGAAACATATTTCCCTCATTGAAAATTCAGCTCTATACTGCCATCTACACAAAATGTAGAAGACGTCTTTAACAGATGTATTAGGTTACAATAGGATAAATTAATTTGATTTTCAACTATTCTTCTCCCGAAAAATTGTAAGATCAAATATCCTACTTATCAAGGCTTGCCTAATCGACATTCCATTTTTAATGCTACTATTTTCCTACTTTCGTTGTGATTCTTAATATCGAGCAATGCACGAAAAAAAATATTTGGACAGTTTACCAGAGGAAATTCTCCTCTATCTCCTATCCTACTTGAAAAAGAAAGATTTGTGCAATATGTCTCTTGTTAATTGGCGATTTAACAGTCTCTGTTTTGATGGGTCTTTATGGGAGTGTGTGAGCTTGTCTCCAAGAATTTCAGACGAAACTGCCTTGAAGCTTTCAAAAAAATTCCAAAATGTTAAATGTTTAGAACTATCTAATGCAGGACAAATTTTAGGTTTTATAAAGAACTGCTCATGTATTACAAATATCTCGTTAACGTTTTGTGAACAACTTCAATCAAGTATCATGCAGAGTATTGTGAAAGCATGGCCAAAACTTAGGTACGTTTCTCCTAGAAGGTATCAACAAAGAGTTTTTTATTTATCAAATTTCATAATGTTCATATAGGCAGATGAATATTGAAGGCTGTAAAGAAGTTTGTGTATCAACCTGTCAGCATATTGGAAGTTTGTCATATTTAAAATCTTTAAACATGAGGGGTTGTGAATGGGTAACTGAGGAGAGTATGATTAATATGTGCCGAAAATTAAAAGACCTTCAATCGCTAGATGTAAATGGGATACCATGGCTACAGAATAATTTTATAGAAGATGTTTTCCATACGTAAGAAATCTATAAATCTTTTTTATGAATTATAAATTATATGTAATATATTGGTAGATATAAATATTAGTATAAAATAAGCGGAATTTTCTAAAAAATCTTAAGGAACATACACAAAATTTTACGTGAACAGGCATGGAAAATCGCTTCAGTATCTATCCATAGATGGATCCGAGGTTACTGATGAACCATTTCAAAGACTTCCTATGATAAAAATGCTGCAACAGTTACATATATCTTTTTGCGAAAATGTTACAGACAATTTATTAATATATATATCTGATACTGCTTCATTAAGAAACCTTTCTTTAAGGAAAGGAAGAAACTTTACGGAGATTGGCCTTAACAAATTTTTAAATTCTCTTGTTGTAAAACAACTTGTCGAGTTAGATCTGTCGGAATGTGTCTATGTGACGGATAAAACTATTTGCCATCTAGTTGAAACAAATAATTCCACGTTAAAACGACTAATTCTAAAGTGGTGCTGGAATATCACCGAAGAAGGCTTAAGCAAGATTGTAGACAAATCTGCTAGTTTAGAGAAGCTAGAACTGACTGGGGTTGATCAGCCTTCGGGTGCATGTTTAGTAAATATTCCTCTGAAAATGAAGAATCTTTGCTTTTTAGATTTAGCCTGCTGCAGTGGAATAGATGACAAAGTAATCGAGAGGATTCTCTTATTTATGCCCAACTTAATTGTGCTTGATTATTATGGAGTAGAGTTTCGTCTTGAAAATGTATCTCGTGATTGAATTCTACTATGAAATATACTTTGTATAGTATTTATTTTATAAATAAAGAAATGAATATTACAATTTATATGTTTAAACTACTCTTTTAAACAATATATAATATCTTATAGATTTTTGCACGTTTTTGTCAAAATATCAACTCTAAACTAAAATCTGTATTTTAACAAAAATCTTTTTAAATTCATTTGCACAAGGTTGAAGAATGTGTGGCAGAATTTAAGAATATCTCGATGAGATTGTTTATATAATCTGAAATATTTTCAGCCATTCTAAACAAGCCAAAATTATTGAGACATTACAATATAATCAGTTTGTTTTATTGTCTTTTTTCCTATGCAATATAATGAAATGAAGCTAATATGATAGATTGATGAAAATGAACTCTAAAAGCATAACTTTGTCAACTTATCATGAAACTATTGAACAAAGCAAAAAGTGGCGCCCTCTGTACCCCTAAATATAACATTTCAGATAGGAAAACAATAATATTCTGAATTTAAAATCAATATTATAAAAGTTGTATTTAATTTTTGTGATCTTGTATGTTGCAAAACATCAATTCAAAAAAATTAGCATGATGAGTTTTATGTGACCCGCCTTGGGGCAGGGCTATTTCTGTTTTGGATAGCGCCCGCCCACGTTTGTAAAAGTATCTTTGAAAAGGCATTCAAAATTAGAGAAATGCCTATATTATTGTAAAAATTATGCCTTCAAAGAATGCATTATTATATTTCAGAATGATAAGCAATAACTTCCCTTTTTTTAACTATTCTAAAGAAAAGACTAGCCACACAATGTGCCAATCATAAGCTTTGAGGGTGGGACTATTTTTTAAAAAAATTTGCTGCATTGACATATATGAATAATCTTGTAGATATTCGAAAAATTATTTACTTAAATTAATATCATTATATAAGTTACGTAAGTTCTGAGAACTTTAGCTCCTTTTATGACTACTAAATAGGCTTTTGCAAAAGCGTAATAATACAATAATACTGAATTAGGCGGAGCCGCCATTTTGTACAAGATATAGCAGAACTCCCTGTTCTGTGGTAAATTTTTTATTTTATGTAATTTATCGAATATGAAATGAGTTCGAACGAAACTCAAAAGGAGAACGACGGATATATAGCTCCAACAGGAAGCGCACAGGTAAGCTGATTTGGTTTTATTTTCAAAAACGCCGCCATTTTGAAGAATCGCCTCCCATATCGATGTAACCCCGCCCTATCTCCTCCCGGACGTGCCCACGGTCAAGGACATGGCATAATTTAAATTACGTAACAGAAACTTGGTTGAAACTGGAAAGAGAATTTGCGTAAATCACCTTTATTTTTCAGGATACAGCACAGCCATCGCCTCTGGCAATGTTGGCTGCAACATGCAGCAAAATAGGTGGCAACGGAAATAGTGAAGATGGACAACAGCAGCAGTACGGCTATATACAAACGGCTCAAGGAAATTTGATGGCTGTAGCATTCGACTCTTCAGGAAAAATTCAGCAAACACTTCCTCCACAAGCTATAAACCAGGTGCCTCATCTTATTTGATTTTAATACGTTATTATAGCACAGTTGCTATTCCAGACCGTTTTACAAACTGGACAGCAGGTGCAGCAACTTAACGGAATTCAAGTTATTAACCAGCCCCAACAACCTGTAGTAAATATGCTTCAGGTAAACGATAACAACAATATTTCGAGGAACAGCAAGGCAAGTTGTGCTCTTAAGAGAGATATAACATTTCTTATCTCAGCTTTGTCTAAACACTTGCTATTACATTCTAACGAAAAAATTATAATTAATTTAAAAAAGCTTGCCTCGCGCTTTCTATGCTATTGTTTAAAATTTGTAAAATGAAATAATTTTTAATACATTTAATTTTAGCCCTTCCAGAATATTATGAATGTTCCAGCTGAAGACACTTCTCAGCAGTATGTCATACAAAATAATCAGGTAATTCCTGTGCTGGTACGCAATAATTCACCTCAAATCATCCAAAATACTGTGAGTCCCAACCAAGTTCTGTTAGCTCAAAATGGACAAATGGTAGTTCAAAGATCTGTTTTTCCTCAACAAACACTACCTACGACACTTTCAGCTGTCGTACAAATCCCTGTTACAAATGCCAATGGTCAAACAGTTTTTCAAACTGTTCATGTACCTGTTCAAATGGCCCAACAAGCAGTGCAAGTTCCAGCTGTTCAGCAATTTGTCACAGCAGCTCCTAGTATGCAAGGTATAATTGTTCAAAATGGTATGCAAAGTCCTCAACAACAGATTACAGTTTTAAATCAAGCTCAAACTGAGATGATAAAGACTGAAGAGACATCAAAGAATGAGGTTAAAGCACCAACAGAAATCCAACCCAACAATGCCATAACTGGTTCAACAACACCAACGACCATTATGCAATTACCAAAATCTTCTGCATCCAACATTTCAAACAACGTTATACAGTTGCAATATGCCAATAACGATAGTTTTCAACTTGTGAATGGCACAAATGGTACTGCGTCTGCTGTCATTGCTCAAGTCCAGATGGACCCAAATGATCATACGAAAGTTTCAGTTGTTCCTGCAGAAAGTATTCTTCAATCAACAGGAGAGCAAAAAAGACCGAAGAGGATAGCATGCACTTGTCCTAATTGCAAAGGAACTGACAGCAAAAATAAAAATCTTAAGAAAAAGGAACATATCTGTCATATGCCAGGATGCAATAAGGTCTATGGTAAAACGTCCCATTTACGAGCTCACTTGCGATGGCACAATGATGATAGACCATTTGAATGCGATTGGGCCTATTGTCAGAAAAAATTTACCCGTTCTGACGAGCTACAAAGACACAAAAGGACTCATACTGGGGAAAAAAAGTTTCAGTGTAACGTCTGCCAAAAGAAGTTTACGAGAAGTGATCACTTGGCAAAACATTCGAAGACACATGCTGAGAAAAATACTGAGACACAAGACAATACATGGTAATTTTTTTATAAATTAAAGGCTTTCTTCGTAATTTTTTTTATCCACAGAATTCAATTCTACCTCTTATCGAGTTGCCTAACTCAAGTGTTATGATCTAGTCTGTTAATTTTATTCTATGGTGTCTGGTCACGTATCAGTGATTTTGAATAAAATATTGATATATATCCATAAACGAATTCGTTGAGTAAGTCATTTGTACAGACGTAGATGTAAAGAATCACTTGCACCGTGCGTTAGATCTAATAAGTGGTTCTTATTACATGCTTTACCTTTTCCTCCGTCATAGTTGGTTTTCATTAGCCTAAAGAGGTATTTTTCAGCTTCAAATAAGTTTAAGTCATGAACTCGCGTTATCAATCTATATACTAGGGAAATACATACCTATACAGAGTATTTTCGAATTTTTAATTGGTTACACTATTGACCTGGTTGCTGACCGAAAGAATGGCTCTTTTACGTCTACTACAAATAGACAACTATACATTTTGGCACTTCGACTTAGCAGTACACCTTAGTCTTTCTCTACTAGGACTAAAAACTATTCAAAACTGTTGGCAGATTTCCTTTAAAATTTTATCCACAAAGAAAAGATCAAATTAATCTGCTTGTTCATACTTTTTGGTTTCGCGTAATTTCATTAAGAATTTTAATAGTTCATTTTTATACGAGTTTCCAAAAAAATATGTTACCATCTATTTCATGCTTTAACCGATGATGGTTTTGATAAGAAGGGTTTACATTATATTTGTACATATAATATTCATTTGGCATATGTGCTGTTTGTTTATTTTACGTTTCTCTACCACACTTATGCCATAGTTGATGAAAGCATCAGAAGTAAAAAGAATGTACAGAGAACAAAATTTTTTGGTATTGCCAATAAAAATATTTCATTTAACTTCAAATTTTCGATATTCAACTTTTTTCCCAGAGTCATGACATTCAAAAATCCATTGTGGTTTAATAAACTTCAAATTTGTTAAGTTTCCTTTAGCTGTTTCGTCAAAGTTTCTGCGATATTCATTCATTGTGACTACAAATTCAGTATTTCTTGATATTTGATCTTCAATTTCACTATAGAAAACTTAAGCTAAATTTTAAATAAGTTTGTAAAATAACGTACCCGCCGGCAGCAATGATATATCTCTCCGTTTGCTGTCTTTCAGTTTCAGGAAAATCTCCATGAATGAAAAATATAGTTCCTTCAAAGAAATTTTTTAAGACAGATGATGTACTATCATTTTTTTGTGTTAACTTCGTTTGGCTAATGAACAGCAGAATTAAAGCAGTGTTTTTCGTTTAATTTTAACCTACCTTCTTCTCTTCGGTTGATCTGTTTCAAGTGAAGATGAGAAGTCTGAAAAAAATTTCAATTAATTCTAAACTTCTTACATTGAATGAAAAATATCAAAAAGCAAGCACTGTACCAGAAGGATAATCTCTTTTATCAGCCTGTTTTGATGTCTCGGGTCTACTTATTATACCAGGTTGTTGCTTTCTCTTTTTATATGGTATATCATCTTCCGACTCTGAACTGTCACTTTTACTTGAATCAAGACGATATTTTTTCGAAGATAATAATTTTTTTTGTTTAAAGCAGTCTTCTATCCAGTGATGCTTCACAATTTTTCCTTTTCCAAGAACTGAGTTGTACTTTGGTGTGTCTTTAAATGCACATCTAAAACGTGAATTATAAAATTATTATTTGCTTGACTCCATTTGGGATATAAATAACATTAAATGTGTGCAGTTAGCGGACCAATCTGCTTTATAAGTAGCTCCCATCTCAATGGCCTGTTGCCTAATTTTACTTCTAAATGGATTTTGAAAACCACTCAGAACAAATGTTACTTTTTCCATTAGCTGACCAAAGGATCTTTCTTTTTTATTGCTATTTCCTAATAAAGGTTTTGTATTATATTAAAATATATCAAATCAGGAATGTTTTTTACTTCCTAAAGTCTTGTGTGTTTTGTTTCCCTGATCAAGTGTGGTTTTTTGCTTTGGTTCGAAGACTCTCGAAGTTTTTTCTTTAATAGTATTTCTTTCTTGCTGTAAAGCGATAATTTTATATACACAGGGACTGAAAGAATGGCAAATTCGTACCTTAGATGGCACAGTTTGATGGTCACATCCTTCAATATGCCGGGAAATATCACGTGCTTCAGCTGCTGCTGAGAGTGGAGGGGAAAGAGGTTTTTCCTTTCTCTTAGCAAACAATGATCCAGGACGAAAGCTGCTTTGTCTATTGTCATCTGATAATAATTTAAAAGATCCCAAAGTCGTTTGCTTGAGGAAATAAACCAAATACCGATTAATATAACGTGTTTAATTGGTATTTTTTAAAAATATTTACTTAGATTTATATTATATTAAAAATATAACCTACCTGAGGGACAGGAAGTTCTTCAGAGAAAAATTTTATAAATGACAATCCGTAAGGAGTTGTCTGAAAGAATTAGATTTCATGACAAAAAAATTGAAGAAATGCCAATAGAATAATCGAACTTTATTAAAAGGTTGAGTACAAACAACTTCAATCTTATCCCACTTTTCGTCAATGACTGTCTTGCAAAGATTATCTGTATTAAATAACCTAACTCTATGAGAATTATCCATTGATCTGCTCTCTACAGGACTCATGAAAGATGATGCAACTAATATAACCTATAAAAATTATCAATGATTTGGAATCAGTAAATAGAAATTTTTGTACTTTGTTATCTTCAGTGGACGACGACTTTCCAACCAATACTTCTACGAAGGCAGAACCATTGTTTCCAATGTGAATTGAAGTGATTAAAGACTCCTCTTTCAGCTGCAGTTTCGCAGTATAAATGGTATAACATACATATGAACTACTTGAACAAACCTTGAAGATTATGCTTGCCTTTTTCCCGCACTGATTTTGCCATTTAGAGCCGTCTTTTCGTAGGAGATTTTTTGCGGGAAATTTCTGTTCGGTGCAATATACATCATAATTTTTTTTTATGTTTGAAAAATGTATATCTTACTTGATCTTCACTTGATACTGAAATTATTCTTTCAATTTCAATTTCAGGCATATTCCTGCTGCTACTACTTCACGGATAGAAATAAAACACTTAAAAATAGTGGACGATAATTCGACTGTTTAATGTTGTAAATCTCGTTCTTATGTTGTGGATATCGTCAATAAACCTTTTTATGAACGCCACCTGTAGTATAAATATAATTTGAAATGACTACCGGTTTTTCACTAATATTTTAGTTTTAAAGTGATTTTTGGTTTATAGAAAAAAAATACTACTCTGGGGAAGTATATAAAGACCCCACACGGTTAAATGAGCAAAAAGGTCATTTATTTGTGGTAGTTGAGTTTTGGAGATTCCAGCCGAAAACAAAGCAAATTGCATTTCAACCATTAATATTCTTTAAAAGTTAGGGGCTAAAGTTGGGATTACGTGACCCTAAGCCTTTTTTGTGTTTTTGAAGTTTGAAGTTATGATACGCCAAGAGAATTCAATAGGGGTCAAAAATATAGATATCTCACAATGTCTTTGCTATCGCCGTAGATTTTATCAAATAAATATGATACATACATATAATATACATGTAAATTTTCAGCATCAAAAGAGCATCTAAATTGTTGTACGGTTCATTAATCCCAACTCTAACCGATAAATGTATTTCGAGTTCGAATCAAAACCCGACTAAAACTGCATTTTGGGATTTGTTTCTTATGGCGGATTGAGCGCTAGCGATGCAGTCGAATCTTCGAATTCTTGAGAATTTGGAAATCAAAAGCTTAGCAATGGGACCGTTAAGGTTTGATATAATTTTTTTAAATTGTATTGATTTCAATGTACTTTTTCGGCACTTTAATGAGTAAATTAATGGACTTGCAAATTCATTGGTTCTTGTTTTTAAATATACTTATTCGAACAATAATATTATGACGCATATAAAGGCAATCAAGGATAATTTTCTTTGTTTTACAAATCGTACAAAAAACTCCTTTTTCAACACTCTGTAGGAAAGTTATTAACTGTTAATTTCGAAATTTTTAAAACTTTTATAAATGTCTGGTAAGTGTAGAGCAGGTGGAATGATTTAATTAGGGTAATTAAACGATTCAAGACCTTTATAATTAAAGGTAAAGGCCTAGATATATTGATACATAGTCATAAAACTGTCCAGAACTCTTGAAGAAATAAGCGAGCAGACCGTCTGGATGGAGTTAATATAATGTAATATAGCATTTGCGTGACGTTGGAAAAAAGCATGTAAATTTGGATTTATATAAGTATAAAAAGCGATTATTAATAGATTAATGAGCTTTGGATATGCATTGTAAATGCGATTTGTAATGCATGAGCTACGTTAATATTAGAAACGAAATTTTCCATGCAGACGTAGAAATATAGTCCTATATAATTAAATCAATAAATAAGAATGCATTTTAGCATTTGTTAATTTCCAATTTCTTCTTTGTTCTCTCTAATTAGATTTACTCCAGAGGGTTTTTTCTTATGATTACACGTAATTAAGCGTCATGTTGTATAATATGCGTGCAAGCGAGTGTACATCTTTGCCGGTGTTAAACAGTATTGATTTTCTTGAACAGTTCCCTTTTTAAACGTTTAACACTGCTAAAACTTTAACAGGGAGATTTTACCAGCTTTTTTTCTTATGTTCCATTTACCTAAATTAACCAGCAACTTACATTATACATTAAGCAATAGACGAACCTAGCTGGTGAATTATCATACCTCGAACATCCATGCGCATACATGATATGTATAGAATACATATATGTAAAAATGGAGTGAAAGAAAAAATGTGTGCTTTGCCATCACAACGCGTGCGTGTCACGAGTTAAGACGCAGAATTCGTCAATATTAGTTTAAAGCTTAGCATCGCGGCAAATATATACAGTATGTAGTCAAATTTCGCTTATAAATGGTGAATACAAAAATCAAGCAATAAAAAAGTATTTATACTTATATATATATATATATATATATATACTATATATATAGGAGTATCGATTCAATCTGCAATAGACATTAATCATGCAGCTTTTTCGTTTGATTACCTTATTTGATACTTTTTACGATTGTGCATAATATATAATAGCGTTTTGTCGGGCTGATTATGAATTGAGATATTGGCGCGAGAGGCTAATACGATTTTCTTGTAACAAACCTGTACACAATTCAAAGTTGATTAATCGTTATCTTATTACAAAGATGTCAAATAACGTTGCAATTTTATTTTCATTCATTGAAAGTTATGATACATCATTATGTATGTACAATGTGAATGTTTCAATTGACTTTCGAAAAACTTTTGAACATTCGCTAAAGCAAGTGCATCTGAATGCCAACCAGAAAGTATATAAATAGCATATGTATACATATATATTCTATAAAGCGTTATTCGTGCTGGTAATCTCTAACCAGCATCTTTGGCAGTATATAAACACGAATGTGAAAACTCAACACGCTCTATCAAAAACTATACTCATTTGTAAACAGTTCTTCATGTTGATTCTATACTCTGTTTATTCTACACTCGTGTAACAGTCAGAAAAAACACGCGTCCATATATGTATTTTGCATGATAACAATCCCAAACAATAATACACTTTACTCAATTCGTTTCGCAATTAAATTATTCGATCCTACTGCTAAGCATTGATTTTCACCTTCCGTTTATATAAATATAAGCGTTCTATATTTATATATGTGAAAATAAAAAAACGCCCAGTTCTTTGTTTAGGGCGTGTGATTCATGGTGAATGCGTATCTGTAAATATATATATATATATATATATATGCATGTATATATAAGTCTTATATTTATATAGATTTATGTACTGTATATTGCTCGTATATATATAATTTATATATGCTATAACATATATATATATATATATATATATATATATATATATATATATATGATATGATATATTATGTATTAGATCCAATTTTATATCACATAGTTCAAAATTTCACCATACGATTTTACATGTCGCGAATTTCTGTCTGTACGATAAGTGGAATGTATATCAAATACACATTAGTGCAGGAAACGTCAAATCACAAATATTTGCATAATTCATATCTAAATATACACTGTATATGTATGCAGTATACAATATAAATAATATATATAAATATAAATATATGAATGAATAAATATAACAATTATTATATAAATAAGAATATATTTGTATATATATATATATATATATATATATATATATATATCCACATTTTTCTCTATAAATATTTTTTGTTAAGTATGTTTGTATGTATTTCATTTCATTTTGAGTTATAAATAATGTGATAAAAAAAGCGTGTAAAATTATTAAGTTTTTATATTTATAAATATTGAAAAAGGATATTATATAAATACATATAACTCATGCAGATATATATATATATATATATATATATATATATATATATGTGTGTAGATTTATCTATTGTATATTTATATATAGAGCGCATGTAAGTATGTATTATACAGCCATATGGCTGAAATGAATCATTTCCTACATGCGCATCTGTTTATAATATCACCGACTGCAATAACTGTAATGTATATGGATTTCCATGAATAATTTTATTAGCAGGGTATTGTTGAACGCCTTTCCCTTTATGTGCCGATAAGCCGTCGATTTTCCGATAATTATATACATGATTTAGTATATATTGCAGCATTGTGTGTGCATTCTTTTATATATTACAAGTTACGCGCACATATAGAGCTAAATAGAGACAGTATATGCACAGTAAATATATAAGTATTTTAGAATGTGTCCTGCATATAATAATTTATTATTTATTTATTTGTTTTATTGTTGATGCAAGATCTGGTGCTTTGCAGAGCACAAGGGTACGTAAATGTAGATCATTAGAAAGACTAGTTGAAGCAATTATTGTTGGCTACATGCTGGCTGCTTTAGTTGCTTTCGAAAATAAATATATTAAATATATATATATATATTTGATAGTTTGAGGAAATGTACAACTGACACTTCTAATTATGTATTTATAATTGTATATAAAATTAGAATGAAAATTATTCATTTATAGGCTATGTATATGCAGTATATATTTATAAATATATGTATATATATATATATATGCAATCGGAAACGAACGTATGCATATATATTTACATTACACGCGTCTGGTATTATATAAATATAGATATTCATATGTAAAGGCAATAAATAATAAACGATGGCGTGCAACTGCAAATGAAAGTAAAATATAAGAACAAAACTGCAATACACGCGCTTGGGGCATTATGATGATAATTCAATTGAACAGATTAAGCTCATGCAATCGTAGGAAATAAGAACAATTTATTCACAAAGTCGCCGAATAATCAATTTCTCGAAAAGTTCACTTATTTCCTTTCAAAAACTGTCAATTGAAGTGAGCTATTCAATAGTCTAATAATTTACTTACTCAAGTTAAAATATCTAGAACCTTTTATTTATGTAGTTTTGAACTTATGCATTTATCACAAAATTTATATCAAGTGATAAAAATAATAAACGAAATGAATTCAAGCAAATTACAAATGAAAGTTTCTATTTTGATGTAAATTCCATTTTCTGCATCACTGAACGAAATTTCTTTCAACTAATTAAAGTAAATCAGAAAATCAGGTTTATAAAATTAAACAATTTAGCAAGAGCACGAGAATCTTTGTCATTCTTCCATGACATTATAGTTTTTTATCAAGCTAGTGGTTAAGGAATATTTACCAAACTTAATATATATATATATTAATATATCCAACATGACTCTATACGATTTAAGCAAAAGAACAATGAGTTTTTTTTTTACTTTTAAAAGATTTTTAGTTAACTATAGCTGGAAAAATTTTGTACTGTTTTCTAAATTATTCTGCAACTTTAATCTCGAATTTTCAAATTGGTTAAAAAAATTTACTTTTTCGTAAAGCACGACTGAAAAGCAAATTTTGGTAATTAAAATAATGTAAGACTAGTTTTTGCTTCTTAATTGGCTTCTTTATTTTGTCTTTAAGAATTTTGCACGACAATGATTTTTTCAAAAAGTTATCCTATCACGCATTTAATTTGGATTGCTCCTTGTCGACTATTTTACCTTTCAATTTTGATAATTCAATAATTATAATTATTATATCACTTTGATTGTTTTTTTTAATTAGGCGTATATTTAAATAGATCTTTAGCCTCATATTTTGTTTTTAGTAAACATGCATTATTATTAAGTATGTAATATGCAAAGCTCCAATACATTTAAATATTTCCGATATCATTTTGCATAAATATATATATATATATATATATATATTGTATGTGTGTGTGCAGCTCGACTTGAAAAGTTGTTGACGTAATAAACAAAGTATGTGTACATGACTGATTGACTAATGCGGTGCGTTTGAAAGGATCAATGCATAACAAAGACTGCATTGTTCAGTTGTGTTTGACTGTGATTGGTTGTTACGATCCCGTTCCGCATCAACTGCAACGTTATTCATAGCAGGTGCTGTGAGAAAGTGTTAAATTTTAAAATTTAAGTATCGTCTATGAGATTTTTACGAAGATTAAGGTGAAAGTCTCTCTCTCTCAGTATCAAAGATTAAACTCCTACACTGTTGGATAGAAATATTATTTTAAAAGTACATGGCTTTTTATACCATACAATGATTAGCCTTTGAATACAAGGAAACGTTACAATTATTAGAAAAATAGCTTTTATTCGTACATATGAAACGCCTAGTGCATATTTTAAGAGCGACCTCCTCAGTGTATGCTGAATATATATGATGTATATATACGTTTGGGATTATTTGCAATAAGCTTATATAGCTCAATTCTATAACTGTACTGTGAATAATTTATGGATAAGTGAACTTTCGATTCGTTGAGTTCATGACGTTAAAATGGCGACTAACGCATTACCACGTGACCAAGAAAATAATGCCAAAATCATCTCCTGTCGCTATTGTGCTCATCGAAAGTTTTAAGTTCATATAGTAAATCTAGCACAACTGAGATTTTTCAAGCTACAAATAGGGTTAGAGACAAAATTAGAACTGTTTTGATAAGCTACCATCTCAGTTGTGCAATCTTAATTAATCTGTTATAGACTATTGCGTTTTCCATTTTACTTATAATAGTAATAGTATATCGTTGGTCGAATACTAAAGTTGTTTCAGCTTAACTTAGGACCAAATAGAAAAATCAGTATAAACTATTTATAACTGTTTTACTGTATTGTATATATGGCATACTATGTACTATAAATATATATGCCAGCATGCTGTTTATCATGCGTTCGCTTGTACATTCTACGCAGCGTAATGAGCAAGAAAGACACAGGTATAACAGATAAAAATAGCCATTATGTACAAATATATTATCCAAACACATCATATTTATCTATGCTGTATATACTGTATATATATATATATATATATATATATATATATACAGTATATATATTTATATATTTCTGCACATATATAATATGTTATGGCGCATTCAGTATATGCGTTTTTATTGTGTGAATATTCCATATCGTACGTTCCGGATAAAATAGTATTTCATAGTCAATTGCAAGTGACATTGCTCTCACATGAATATATGATCTCACTTCCAGTAAAATATTTGGATCGCGAATGAAGTTGTAATTGCAGATCATTTATGTGACTTTGTAATTCTAAAGCTAAGTTAAAAATCAATTTGTTTTTTACATTCTAGTGATTAAAAGAAGTTAAAATGATTCTGGCTGCTAAACAAAGTGACTCACAGCCCTTGAAATTATTAGATACAATTGCAAGATTAAAAGACAAAACAGCTGAAGATGACGACGATGTTACCCCAAGAACCTTTCCATGTGTGTGGTTAAATGGAGAAGGAGTTTCACCATCACCAATTCCGATTATGGAAGACGATACCTCTGAAAATCCTGAAGCCGAAACAACATCGTCAGAGATAACTCCTCCGAAAGTATATAAATGCGATGATTGCGCATATGCAACAAGACACCAGTCAAACTTAGCTGTTCATAGAAGAACTCATACAGGCGAACGCCCTTATTGGTGTGGGGCCTGTGGAATGCGATATACACAGGGTCATCTGCTGAAATCTCACATTCGGTCAAGACATGGAGCCCAAATGATTTATTATAATTTGGATAAAAGAACGGATGTTTTAAAAATAACAAGGCGAACTCCTCCCATCCCACCTCCTATATCCTTGTTACCACCACCAACTTTTTTTCCGAACCCGTCTCTGGTTGAACCAAAATTTTTTGGCGGACTAGGATCACTTTTAACACCACCGTTTCTTTCCACAGACCAGTTTCCTGGGAGTAAGGGTGTAGATCTAATGTCCACACATTCAGAAACTGATTGTGAACATGCAAGACGTCTCAAATTTTTACGGAAAAATGTTGTTCGAATGCTTTCGGTTTTAACGCCTGATTTGAATTTAGAAAGGACTTTAAAACATGACACGGACCAAGTTGACCGTCTCTTAGAAGACGTCCTTTCATCGTCCAGATTTTGAAAAAGCATAGGTTTATAGGTCTATAATATGTAGCTGCATTGGCTACCGATTCATATCCTGTTTGTCAATGGGGCGCTTAGGGATATATTTTGATGACTGTACGGTTGTTATTGATTGAAAAGCTCTGGGAACGGGACACTGAAGTCTAAAACATCCAAGGTCAATATAGATCTCTCTGGCACACACTTGTGACGGAGTCTACAACATTATGATTTAAAAGAGAGGCATTTACTTGGAAAAATAGATATATAATAGTGCCTAGCGCCATCTAACGATATGCTGAACTGTTATTCAAATGTCTAATTTTACTATTTGTCTACGTTACTTAATAATTTTAAATGTCAAATCTTTTAGTTAAGTGTTCACACCAATTTGCTGTGATTCTATTTCCATATACTCTGCAATATTCATCATGTATGCGTTCCGTTAGAGCAATTTAATGACGGACGTAAAACGACGTCTTCCTATTGATAAAAACGAAGAGAACTAAGCAAGCTGCTGAGTGAATAAATAGGAGAAAAAATTATGATCATATATTCACCTATTTAGATTAATTTATGAATGTTTATAATTTTTCCTCTTTCATGTACATATGGTTATTTATTTTTACACTATAAATGTATATTTGCTTTTATTTATTCATTTAGTTTTTCAATGCAAAGACACATTGTAAATGATGTAAAATGATAGTTTGCTTTATAAATTGTGTGTTATTTTTTTATTTAGCATAATCAAGCCAATAGAAGAATATATATTTGTTTTTTATTATAGCGCCATCTATTGAGAAATATATAACTATTATGAATATTGCATACTTTTTTGTTGACATATTAGAATGTGAATTTTGATAGATTTAACTTTTCTAGCGATTTCGAAAATTGTCTTTATCGCACTGTTTTAGCTATACTAATGAATCAGAAGAAAAAAGGGTCACACGCGAATGGTGTATATGTTGGCTCCAAATGTTTTATATTAAAGCATTGTTTTGTTGATGTTGTGTAGATTATTTTTGGATAAACCGAATACAAAAATATTCCTAAGAAGTACCGAGTTGTAGAATAATTCATTTGGTCTATATGTTCACATAACATCTTTTTTTAAAATTCTTTGCGTTCATTTCTTTGAAAACAAAAAAAATTAGATTTAAAAAATCTGCGTTTGAGCTTGCTATTCATAAGAATGAATTTTCTATTTTAAATAACTGTTACTTAAAATATATTTCAGATTACAGGTTGTTTGGTAAATTTTTGCTTGTCAGTGGAAGGAAAGGGTAACTGCATTGTTCATTGAATACATAGTTCATTTTAAGGGATTATGGTTAGATAATCCATAGTCACTTAAAAGGGGATGTGTAGCGCCATCTACATTGTTATTAGCAAAATACAGGAAAAAGTGGAAATTTTATGAATAAAAATCACTATCTAAATATACCAGGTGTCGATCAACCTATAGCTATATTTATTCTATATCTTCATTTGTTTTTTGATTTCTCTCCCTTCTTTTTTTCTTTTGCAGCTTTACTATCAATGTTTTCACTGTCTTCATCCTTAAATTTCTCATGTTTGACAGAAATAAGATGTTTAAAATAATCCTTAATTTTTTTCACGGTGTCTTTTTCTCTGATCAAATCGGAAGCCCTCTCAGCAAGCATAACTTGTGTGGCATACGTATTGCCACTGACTGACTTTGGTATTATCGAAGCATCAATTACTCTGAGCCCCTTTATACCTCTGACTCTCAAGAGAGGATCGACAACAGCTGTGGGATCCCCAATTGCGCCTACTTTACAAGTTCCCACTGGAGAAGCACCTGATAATGTTATATGCCTCACGAAGCATTCCCAATACTGGTTGGTGAAATTGCCATGTTCCGAGCAATCAGGAAGAATTTTGTCGCTTAACTGAAAGTCCCAATCTTTTAATACTTTAGTATCTGCCAATTTTGAACGGACAAATTGTATCGCTTCTACTAGGATTTTTACATCTGCATCATCAGCTAAGTAATTAGGATTAATCAGAGGAGGATCTTCGGGATTAGTACTCCTTAGCTTAACTGTTCCTCTACTCCTTGGATGTAAAAGAATTGGATAAATACTGAATCCTTCTTTACTGGGAAGATCATCATGCATAGCACCCCAAGTGTCTGAATCTATATTAAGTTGTTCAGAACTATAAGTTGCAACATTCGCTATTACTTGCAAAGCTATTAATGGATAACGAATATGAGGAGGTTGTTGCCTAACCTTAATAAAAGCAGTTCCTTCTCGAAATCTTGGACTCATTTTCATTCCTGTACCGAAAAGAGTGTAAGCCCACGAAGACAAGAAATTTTCTGATCGTGCGGCTGTAATTGAAACATGATGTCTAGTAAAGAATTCTATAGCATCTGTTTGAACTTGATCTTGCAAATTTTCGCCAACAGGAAGATCCGCAATGACAGGTATTTTAAGGGCTTCTAGGTGTTTTCTGGGTCCGATTCCCGATAGAAGGAGAAGTTTCGCAGATCCAATCGTCCCAGCACTGACAATGACTTCTTTCTTGGCACGTACTTTCCTCTGTTTTCCGTTGTGCCGAAACGAAACTCCAGTTGCTTTTTTATTTTCGATTAAAATTTTAGTGACAAATGCTCCAGTTATGACATCTAAATTATCTTTAAACATTGCTCTCTTTAAAAATGCTTTGTCAGTCGACCAACGAATTCCATTCCGAATTGTTGCCTGGCTATGTGCATAACCAAAATGACTCTTTCCATTAATATCTTTTTTTTCAATCCCTAATTCTTTAAAAGCTAGGGTCATAATTTGTGTCACTGGTGAAAGAATTGTATCTTGCACTGTTAACCGCCCACCAAAGCCGTGGAAAACCGTTCTGACGTAATCGCCATTACGATTATCTTCCGATTTAATAAAATAGGGCAGAACGTCTTTGAAAGACCAACCAGTAGCTCCTTGAGCAGCCCATAAATCATAATCATGTCTCGAGCCCCTGTGATACTGCATATAGTTTATGTTCGAAGTTCCTCCTAATCCTTTGCCGCAATGCCACAATGCAACCTTAAATATTTTTATATAGCGTTATTAAGACACTATTAAAACCTGTCTTACTCTATTGATGTGTGATTTGCAAGCATATTTCTGAGGTATAGTTTCATAATTCCAGTCCAATTCTGAACCCCTTACTTTTTCTCCCATTATTGGAATGTTTACATCCGGATTTTGTGCTTGATCCTCTCCTGCTTCGATTAAAAGAACCTTTTTGTCTTCATCTTCAGTTATCCTACTTGCAAGAACCGCTCCGGATGTTCCACCACCAACTTTAGAAAAAAAACATTTTAAAAATACAAATAAAATATATTTATCATATTTGATTAACCGATGATATAATCGTAATATTCCTTGATATCCTCTATGGTAGTTGCTTCGCGATTGAAAGACGGTCCATAGAGCTTCACAATAACAAGAGCAACTCCTAGGGCCAGAATTTGAGGGATATAGCGAGTAACCATTCTATCTTCGGCAGGTACGGAAGAACGACGAACTGATAACCGTCTTCGGGGCTCCTATCATTGTTAAGTTCAAGTTTACTATCTGCTCATTCTACATGTCCTCGAAATTCCATGAGAAAAAGATACAAAACTATTTACAAAATATATTATACATTTTTCAATGGAATTTCAAGTATTGTATCTACTTCTACTATTCTTTAGAAGTATGTATTAATACGGTTATCCAGGAATATTTTTCTAATTAAATGTGAAAATACTAAAAGACTAGAAAAATTAAAAATTCTAAAAATATTAAAAATTCTAAAAATATAAAAATATTAAAAATATAAAAAAAATAAATGGGATTGAGATAATAGCAGTGTTTGGAGAAACAGGACAAAATAAATATTAATAAAAGAAAAGTTACGAATAATATTTATAGAAAATGCTCATAAGTCTATACTTACCATTGCTGTCGCTGCTGAAAATATTTTGAGAACACGCAAATAGATCAATGTTTACACCTAAGTCTGCCAGCCTAAAATGCTAGCTAATTTGTAAGAAAAATCCCTAAGAAATTTGTTGTCTTACGTATAATTTAAGAGAACCATCAACAATTTTAGCCTACACCTTAACCTTCACGTTAAACATCAAAATGGCTTCCATAGAAAAAACTGCAAAATTAGGTTTTCAAAGACTAAACAAAATTCTAAATTATCTTTGAAAAGTTATGTTCTCAGGATTTTGAATATTTTAAATGTTTTTAAGCAAAGAGAAGTACATAGCTTACGTAAGCTTAAACACCAACCTCTAAACAACTGAAGAATAGATTATAAAATTTTAAATTGAAGGAGTTTTGTCTGCTCGGACCACTAACTGGTCTAAGAATATCTTTGAGAATCGTTTAACGCATGCGCAGAGGTTCTCACCTTGTTTTCGTTAGATTGGCCGTTGCAGTACTGCAGTTGTCTATTACAGTTTGGTATTTAGGTACGAGCAAAGAATACTATTTGCAAGACTACAGATTACTCCATTCAGAAACCATTTCGAGATTGTAATTTTTAAATAAGAATTCTAGGCATTCCTTTCAAGCTGATAATAAAACTTTGATTTTATCTTAGATTTGATTTATTATAAAATAATTGTTCAACTCAATTCAAAATAGAGTAATTTTCCCAATGTATTCGGCCTTTAATTAATATATCATTCAACGTTGAACGACGAGCATTGGTTTGATGATTAATCAAATTAGACTTGAGGCTAATTAAATTTATTAATTTATTAATTTTTGAGATTTTAAATATAATCGAACACTTTTTAGTTCAGTCAGCTTAGAAACTATTCAGAAAAAAATATTTATTTTATATTTCTTCTGCCACAAATCTACGCTGAATGACGATATGTTACAATTTAGCTTGAAAACAAATTTTTGTTTCATTTTAATGGTTTTGAAAGGGTCAGTGAGATTTGCAAGTACTCTTTCGATAAAGTTCTCATATGGAAAATATACCTAATTTGGAATATGCTGAGTATATCAGTACTTTGCTCCTAAAAAATTGGGATCCAGATATAAAATGGCAAAATCTTTAATATATTCATTCAAAATGTATTGATGAACAATAGAGTTACATGTTTTTACTAAATTGCTCTCATCAATTCTGAAATAAACGAATAAGCTCTGGTCAGAAATTCCAGGGAACAAAATTAAGGATCTTTAGAAGAAAATAGAACATTGAGGAGATGTTTCCTTATATGTTCTTTACGATTTACAAATCGCTTAAACGGTTTTAGAATTAATTTTAAATAACAAATAAAATTATATATTTTGTGTACATAAATGCACACATATCAGCGACAGTCCCTTTTTCAATATTAATATGTATAACCTTAATTTCTATTGCATAAAGTTCGTAGAAACCTAAAAAATTATTGCCATTCATTATTTATTTCCTGTAAAAAAAAGTTAAAAAGAGCGGATCGAAAAAGAATCTGTTAGAATTTTTATTAAGACATTTGACGGAAAGTTATCACCAGCATAAATGTAAATATAAGTTGCTTAAAAGACAAATCAATAGATTTATACTTCACAAAATTTTTGCTTCACGCGATACTCATACTAAGGTGTTTCCTAAATGTTTGAGATTCAAAAATGTTAATCATGTCATATCATTTATGCTGCTCTGTAAATAACGAGAAATCACTTCTCCCAGACTTAAGATTAGGTTGTTTATATTGTAAAAATGCTGGCCAACAGGCTCGGTCCGATAATCTAACATGTTTTGACAAGCTGGTGATATTGGCCATATGAAGTTTATGTCGCTAGGAAATATTACGTTATGAACATATCAAGTTTGATCATCATGTTAGAAGTATAAAATAAAATGGCTAAAAAACGAAGTAAGCTTTATAGTATGTATTTGTATAGAGTTTTAATGTTTATTTATAAGCAATTCTTGAATTAAAGGAACAAGCTATATTTGTATATTGCTAAATTAAAAATTATTAAAATTATCATAGGTGCGAGTTCTAACCGAGTTGAAGACTTTGAAACGCGAGTTAAGAGTAAGGAAATACCAGTAAGAAAACTTTAAAATAGCAAAATTTGTAGGATTGTCTTAAAGCCACACATTGGCCTTATCACATACTCTTAGGTCACGTGACAATTCAGTGTAAATTTCTATAAAAGCATGTTACTGCTAAAAAAGATTTAATAATGACTCGATTTGTCCTCCAGCAAGAACTGTATAGAGACCTCTGCTCCTCAACCAGGTTATTGTTTCTAATTAAGTCTATTAAAATGATTGAATAGCATAAAATTTTATAGAAAAGACAATAATGAAAGAAAACGTTGTTTTGGATCTTTGAAATTTTATAAAGATGAATTCCCGCTTTTGCAATTTTACGATAGAAAAGTAGGGTGTTTCTTTCTAATTTTTACAATCATTTATAGAGTTTTTAAAAACAGTTCGTAAAATTAGGAAGACACGAAATATCGGAAAGAAGTGAAAACCAATCATTCGCAAGCACCCATTTAGAGAAAGTTTGGACCTTATTGACCGAGCATCGCTACTGGAATCGACCAGTGCCCGACTTAATTGTCTCAGTTACAGGAGATGCATTAGATATGGATAAAAAAGTTAAAGGAGCAAAGTTTAAATTTAGATGGGGAAAAGAATTAAGATATGTAGTAAAAAATTCTGGTAACTCATTAATTATAATTGTAATATATCTTAAAAATATTAAATACCAATTTTAAATAGACTCGTGGGTTATAACTGGCGGAACAGACGCTGGTGTCATGCAGCAAACTGGAGAATTGCTAAGAGCTCCTGATCACGTAATGGATATTGAAAATGATACTACAATCATAGGGATTGCAGCTTGGGAGAGAATAATTGAACAATCACGTATGGAAGGAAAAGAGAGCTATGTAGAAAATCCTTTCAAATACAATTTAAAACATGAAAAGTACTAAAATAATCGTATCTTTTATTCAATAACATTTGAAAAAATTTTTTAGAAAAGGTTGCACACATCTGAACAAAGACCATTCTCATTTTTTGCTTATAGATGATGAAAATGGAAATTGGGGTTCTGAAGTGAGCTTTAGAACTGATTTGGAGCAATTCTTTCATGAAAACAGTTAGTTAATATGATGTTACTGAGAGAAATAATTATAAATCTTTGATTCAGAAAACATTCCGATAATATGCATTTCGATTGGGGGTGGCCCTGGCACATTATCAACCATTGTAAACAGCTTAAAAAAAAATACTCCTGTTATTCTTGTCAAAGGTTCTTCTAGAGTCACCCAGCTGCTGATATACTACCATCAGTTGAAAAATGGAGATGAAGAGGCTGGAAAGATTTCTGTATGTTCTTTATTTGAGTTTAGATATCTTTTAATTTAATTAAAATGGATGCAGGAAGAGGATTTGAAAACGAAACTGACAGAAAGTTATCATGTAACAGTTAACAATGGTTTTGAAAAATTTTTTAGGAATTTTAAAACGTTTATTAATTATATTGGTTCAAATATGATTCAAATATATGATCCTGCTGAAGATAGTCACACCCCTCTAGATAAACTGATTTTGAGAGCTCTGGATTTAGATATTAAGAAAAGGCAGTGGCACGGACAAGAAAATGAACAAGGATGGAGATCGACCATGAAGTTGGCAGTTGATTTTGATGACTTGGAAATCGTAAAAAGATTAATGTCATATAAAGAGGTTGTGTAAATTTCTCTCCGAATTCGAACTAACATGAAAAATTATATTTCAGAGTAATATAAAACTGAGTGATTTACCTTTAGAATTAGCCTTGCGAAAAAACCGAGTTGATGTCATAAGCGTTTTCCTGGAGCAGGAAGCTAAATTGCGTCATGGTGACGAGAGTTTTAAAGACTATGAACTAGCTGGGGTTAATCTGGCGCAGCTTTATAAAACTATTGACAAGAAAAGCATATTATTTCGAATGCTTCACAAAATAGTATTAAAATATTATCATTTTCATTACAAAAGCCTACAATAGTCTTTTCACAGCACCATAATTTTAATGAAGAAGGGGTAGACGTGACAGATATTGTAAGTCTCTACAAATGCTTTATGGGATCTCAAGCAAACGGTTGAGCGAAAAAATATTGTTTTATATTTACTATTATTTATTATATTTTATTCTTTTAAACATAGTTACGGATAATCTTTCTAAGAGTACTTTTAGTAAAGATGCCGTCTTTGCAAAAGCAGATGATATTTTCATATGGGCAGTTGCTCTCATCAGATGTGATTTAGCTCAAATCTTATGGGAAAGAGTTGAACATCCTCTGGCTTGTCTTCTTTTCGCATGCAGGCTTTTGAAAGTTTTGCGTCATAATATACATCCCCTCGATGAAATATATGAGCAAACAGTAATGGCTAGGAGCACTATGCAGGAACTCGCCGTTAATTTTATTAATTTGTCAGTATATCTTACAAAAATTTTCAACATTTTTGAAAAAAATATATATAGTATATTACATCTTCCAAATTAGGTGCGGTGAAGCTGATGAGCGAAATGCTCAATTATTGCTTGTTAGGCAATTGCCATCTTTTGGTAATCAGTCACCTCTCTTGCTGGCAAGAATGGCACATCATCGAGCATTTATCGTAACTGATTCTTGCAAACAAGTCATTGAAAGAGTTTGGAGGGGTCCCTGTAAAGCTGACATGAGTTCAATTAAGGTGATAAAATATGTTTATTTAATTCAGGAAGGAAATAATCATCTTTGTTATGGCAGATACTATTCCTCACTCTGATTGCACCTGTTATTCCTCTTTCGCTACTTATTTTTAAATTTATAAATGAAAGCAACTTCCACCAAATAAACGATAATGACGCAGTGCTGTTGAAAGCGAAAAGAACTGTTAGTTATAAAAATTTTTCAATTTTATATTTGTTAAAAAACTCCATTTCATTAGATAGAGAAAGGTTATACAGCAACAGACTACAAAAATTATTGGTATCAAAATTTAATTGAATTTTATAAAAGTCCAATAGTAACCATGTTTTGGACTTTCGTAAGTAGACGCCTTACTACTCTTATGAAATTAACGAATCATTTGCAGATATATTTTATCACTTTTCTTATTATTTTTTGTGTGGCCATGCTAAAGTACTATAAAACTGATTCGTGGTTTATTGTATTGGCAATTTTTGTGGCTACCTTTTTCTTAGAAGAAATTCTGCAAGCTATACGAGAGAAACTCTCAGGACGAGGCTTCATAAAATATTTTTCCGATACCTGGAATATTTGTGATATGATTGGTATTAGTCTTTTCTATGTTGGTTTTGCATTGAGATTTGACGGAGTTGAATGGGCGAGAATATTTTTGGGACTGAGTTTGTGTGGTTTTATCTTGAAAATACTACATTTCTTTACTCTTCACTCCACTCTCGGTCCCCAAATTGTTACAATCGGGAAAATGGTTTTGTTTTAATTTATTAATTTATTATTGTTTTAACGTCTAATCTATCGATAGCTTGCTGACTTGGGATTTTTTCTCATGATCTTGATTGTTATAATATTAGCTTACGGAATTGGAACACATGCCATGTTATACCCTGGTGAAGGATGGGATGGTATAAGGGCACAGAATTTACTCTTAAGACCATATTTTCAAATGTTTGGAGAGTTATTTGTGGACGATATAAGAGGCGAGAATTTATCAGTATGTAAAAGTAACGCATCTTCAGTTGCTGCAACGGATTGCCCAAGTGAGTACGGACGACAATTTGTGCCTTGGCTGTTGGGAATTTATATTGTAATTACGAACGTCCTACTCCTCAATCTTCTTATAGCTCAATTCACTTTTACTTTCGATCAAGTGCAGCAAAATGCTAGGGAGCATTATTATTATGGGAGATTTAGAACTATTGTGGATTATCATGATAGAGGCGCCCTTTTCCCTCCTATATCTCTTATTTTCTTTGTTATATTTCTGTTTCGATTCAGTACATTCTCCCACCCATTTTGTAAGTATTACTAACTTTTGTTTATCATTTGTTTAAGAGAATGTTTACAGCTCTAAATATGACAACACCTCAGACTATTGACTCAGATCGGGATAAATTACTAAATTCATGGAACATACAGCTGTCACTTTGGGAAGATGACGTTCGTGATAGCAAGGTGAAAGATTTAAAAGCAAACAAAAGTAGAAAAGCTGCTGTCCTTAATTTTCACAGAAGCCAAACTTTGCTTCAAACAAGAGAAGAATGTGAAGAATAAGGACAAAAAAATAAATAGAAACATTTTTTTTCTTTTACTAAATATTTCATCAAGGCTTTTTACTTATTTAAAAAAAAATCTTTGAATAAAATCGATTAAACAGAAAGACTTACGAAAACTTTTTAGCAAGATGGCGCTAACTACAAAAATAACACCAGGATCGCTGGTGTCGGTGTACATTGGTTATTGCAACACTTTTGAGTTGAGTCGTTGAATGCAACAGGCTTTTTCAATCAATAATAAACGTTCATAATTCTTTACATGGATAAAGATCTACTTTTTTCAGTGACTGAAAACAACATTTAATGATAACTATTCAATAAATACAAATCACTTTCTAATTTTCTATCAGTACTCCAGCTGTTAGAAGAAACTGATGAAAGAATATTAAATACTTTACCTTACAACCATATTTTTCGACCTGGAATATAACTGGAATATAAGAAATATGCTGTTAAAAACCTTGGATTAATCAGTTCAATTTGTTTCAAGCCGGCTTTCATTATAACTTAATTGAACAGCCCACTCCAGAATAACACTGCTAGCGCAAAAAGACTTTTAAAATGGAATAAAATGCCTGCTAGAAAGGGCTTGTTGGCTCCACAAAACACCTTCTTAGACACGATCGCCACACGATTCGATGGTACACGTAAGTATTTCTTTGCTTTGCCAGCAAATTGATACAAAAATGATATTTTACGTTATGCTCCACAAAATAATAAAGTAGACTGAAATAATTTTAGTACATTGTGACACACATGAGACATTCGTAATTCGATAATATTGTTTACATTAAAAGTGAGACGAATTTGAATCTGCTTTTAAATTAAGAGACACAATCGAGTATTTTGTATGTAGTATCAGTTTATTTAGGGTATATATATATATATATATAGTATACATAAAATAAAGAATGCGATATAAGGTTTCAGCCGTAATACTCAGTTTCCCTTTTGAAGACTACGGCAGCGCACAATCAATATACAAGGAAACATGACAGTTTTCTGTTTGTCATTATAGGCCGAAAAAGTTAATGTAGCTTGACTATATCTTTATACCGACTGAATATTTGTCGTTCGACATGCCAACCGCAAATTGACTTATGTTGTCCATTTTAAATAGCCTCCACCATGCAACGTTTCATGACGTTTGTCAATAGTATGAAAACGCATCTTATTACTCGAGCTCGCGATCAATGTTATTTGAAATTAGCTAGAGGATGTAAATTAATAGTAATTTTATAGTAGGAACTGCTCCAATCGTTAGCCTTAATTAAATTTCGACTATTCTGAATAATAAATGCCTTCCTTCTTTTCTGACCTTCCCCTTTTTATCTTATAGCGTATAATTTTTGAATCGATTGGAATCCGTAGTCACACTCTATGTATATATCTAATGCAACGTCGCGTATAGAATGTTTGTAATGTGCTAAGGCTAGGATAGTTTACACTAATCACTTTCCTGCATATGTAAAAGTTAAAACCTACCTTAATACATACAGCTTTAAATAAAACTGTGAATCAATCATCTGAAGTATATTATTAATTATTCATGAAGTAGTAAATAGATATATATTGAATAGATAGTTCGTTCTTATTCACGCCTTCTGCACTTCGTGCAAGCAGCAGGAGGTAAGGCTTGAAAAACTAATGAGGACATGTCAAAGTCAGATAGGAACTAATCGAGCGTGACTACCCAGTCTTCTGGATATTATAGTAAATTGTAAATGAAAATGTTTTTGTATTATTATATGACTGAGACGTTTGGATTTAGCGTCAGATTCGCAATATGATTACTTTCTTATTGTTTATACGACTTTAGGCTCACAGTCGTACTGCAATCTAAGGCATCTTATTTTATATAAGAGACTTTCCATGCTAGCTGCCAAAGAGAATAGTGATTGATGAACTTGTAAGTTTTAGTAATCGAATTAATTTATCGCTTCTTTTCATGTCGCTTTTGCTTTTCTGGGGATCAGCCAACATTTTCACCTACGCAGTTTCCGGCATATGGTAGAGTGTCGTCAATTGTCTTGAATTATTAATAAAGGTTGAAAAACGGTAGAACAATCTGGAGTACTAGAAAGATGGAGAACAGAAATATTAAGAAAAAGCAACAGCATCGTGTCATAATAGTAATAACTCCAGGGAAATATTCTTATATTCTATTAGAGTAAATTCGCTCGGCTGTAAATCGTTTTCTGCCGTTTCCGAAACACCTCGAGGGGAGGGGGTCGTACGTTTCGTCGTGTGATAGATTGCGATTAATTCTCCTGAATATTTCATTAAGGAAACGGAAAAGGACCGTTTTAAGGGAAGCTTGTATATGATGAAGAAAAATGAGCAGTAGGGAAAAACGTGCTATTGACAGACTCTTTTGCAGTCGGTCCGTGTCAGAACTGCTATTTGTCAAGTTGCCATTCTTTTACTATATATAATGGTAATAATAATAATAATAACATAATGAAGATACATAGACGTTCTCCCACTTGCGTTTCTATGAGAACCTTTAAACCCAGTCTAATCGAATATAACCAGCTGATAATACTGTAAACTGTAAACCAAACTCTGGATTCATTAACAGCTGGTAATTGCTCCAAGGATAGACATGATGCTTTTTCAGCAGCATCTCGTTGACGAAAATGAATTTACCAACTAATTACATCCGGCTTATTATTTACAGATAACAAGCCGACCTTTTCGCAGTCAATGAATATGACATTTGTTGAGATACCCCCGTCAGAAAATTATGGTGCAAATATTGACGCTTCTCAATCTCTCCATTGTAGTTTCGATATATATTACTTCGATTTCTTTTTTATGATTTTTTGGATACTATAGAGAAATTTTAATCCCAAAATGTCTAGTTCTTATAGTCTCTGTTAAAGATTTCAATCCCTAATTTGCTCTCCTTATCAGACGTATAAGCTTTGATAACTACTCGATTTCGATCAGAGTGTCCAGATTTTGTTCGTTGTTCGTCTAATCTTTTTTAGTTCTACGCTCTGTCTATTCTCATATTTTCTCGTCTAATTTATTATATTAACAACAAAGTAGGTTAGATAATTGACTTTCTCTGCACCTAATTTCTTAGCTCTAATTATATAACGTCCTAGGAAAATTTCGGAATCCACAGCTAAGTCTGAGAAACAGTAATGGGTCACGTTTGGAGTCTTAAGTGAACGCCCCGAGACTCGTTAGCTGGTCGTCTTTTTTTCGCTTATCCGCTTTTTGTTTACTTTTCTATGGACCCACCAGCTCCTTCTATAATTTCTATAAAAAATACACCTGCGAACACAATTGACGTTTTATTCACTTTCTGCATGTCTACTCTGTACTTGTTTGCAAATCGATCTTCAATTCTTTTTCGTAATTCTTGTATAGACGGCTAACGAACGAGTATCGTTTGCTCGTAAAGAGACAAGGGCATCTCAACTGCCGATTTGAGAAGCACTTGTTTCCAAAAGATGCCTAAACCTCCTATACATTATTGTCAGAATTACTTCTCACTCAGAATCATTTGGTAAGATGACCTTGGCTATTCTGGCGCAAGCATAATAGTTCCCTGGCTCAGAATATATACGTATTAATGTAGGAAGAATTCGATGCCTATATTATATAGTAAAAGCTCTCGTACAATTGGCGTTTTTGCTGTGGACGCCATAGCAACGATGGAAAAGAGAAAAGATGAGAATATGTTTAGTTTATATTTAGATCATTTTTGCTATATATAGACTTATTTCCTCTCTGTATCTTCATATAGAAGTCTAACTCTACCCAGTCACCTTGTGACATTTAAAAATCAATAAATACATTGAGGAGGAAAACTCTCGTTCTAGCTTCTTTCTCACATTTGCAATCAATCTTGACGGCTACCTACTTAGTACTCTGCTCATGCGTGATCTTTAATTCCTTTACGAGCGACATTCCTTATCCGAATACCGACGTTTGCCAAATAAATTAGCATATGATAGGCTTGTTACGATACAGTCTTAATGCTGAAAGGTGGCTCTTTGCACTTGTTCAACTGCAAAATATGCAAACAATTATGTATACTATAGTCCAGATGTGAAAATTATCGCCTCATGAATTATGGTTGTTAGTGTGTATACGACTTTTATATCGACTATTTCTTATATAGACCATATAGCATATAAACTGTACCTCTATTATTTTTTATCTCCCAAATCTAATTTAAAGCAATGAAATAAAACAGATTCTGGAAAGCTTCTTATAACAAAAATTCTATCGTTTTCCATTGGATGATGTAAAAAAAGCTATTTCTTTTACAAATGGCGCACTCTGATCCATATTCTTCCATACCAGAAAATGAAGGATAATTGTTGAGGCGTTTTTAATGCCCTTTTCTTTATCCTGAGGGTGACTTTGATTGATATAATTATATATTTCGCGTGTATCCCATGCATTGTTTTTTCTATTCTTATTTGCAAGCAAATCATGAACATTCTTATTTTCGCATGGGCGCAGCTTTCAGTTAATATACTGGAATTGGTTTAATATACTAATGTTCTCTACAATATGACCGGCAAATATAGTTCAACAACGCAAACTTGCTCAAAAACTGCAGCTTTTATTGTTAAACATTTAGGAAATTAGGCCTAATTCTTTCTACCCAAATCTAATTTGCAACACTTTTAATCAGATTCCATCTCGCTATATATAGTAGACTTTGTGAATGATTAATGAACTTTTATGTACAACACACAGATAGCAATTTCGTTCTGGGAAATGCTCAGGCCCAGGGTTATCCGATCGTCTATTGTTCGGATGGCTTCTGTGAGCTTACAGGATTCGCAAGGGCTCAAGTAATGTCAAAGAGTTGCGCCTGCAGGTTCCTACAGGTTTGCACTGCAAATATCTCTTCTTCATATTGTATACATACGTTTCAATTATTCTCCTTTTCATTCTCTTTTAGGGCCCGGAAACAGCCGATGAAGAAAAGGTTAAAATCGATAAAGCTCTAGAAAAACATGAAGAGCTCAAGACGGAAGTAATGTTCTACAAAAAAGATGGTATAAATTTCTTAAGCCTAAAAATTTTTTCAACGAATGATGTGAAATTGTCTTTTGTGCCTTGCGGTTACATAAGCCAATTTTCCTGACTCTAGCAGATTTGCCTACCTTTTCCCTCTTTCCCTCATGTTGTGCATTGCCCGTAAAATGAGGCTAAATTCTAAAGTAGCTAAAAGGAGCGTACATTTTATGCTACAAATTATACAGGCAGCGCCTTCCTTTGCTTACTCGACATTGTCCCTATTAAGAACGAGAAAGGAGAAGTTGTCCTCTTTCTTGCATCGCATAAGGATATTTCCAATGAAAAATCAGTGGCTTTCGAAGGATCTGATGGTATATTAGGCGGTAAATAATTATAAATAAAATTGCTAAATATTCGAGTTTTATATTGACATGATTATAGATGCCAAAGGGGATTTAAATTTGCTCAAACAACGGCGGACAAGGTGTGGAGTAGTCCTCCCACCTGGTGGAGATCAAACAAGTAATGAGAAGTCCGATGACAGCTACAAATATTCAAGAAGGAGGAGGTAATTACTGCTAATTGTCTCCGAGTATTTTACTAATAAATTAAGTAAATAATTACAAAGATTTCTTACCAAAAGAGAACTTTGAAACTGCAACATTGGTTTAAGTAAATGTAGCATTTTAATAATAGATATATAGTATTAATAATTTCTTGTGTGATATGAGTAAAAAAGACATAATGCTTCACTATACGTATTACTATCTCCAACTTTTAAAACCTTATCTCTTATATTTGCATTTTTCTTTTGTACCGAAACTGTTTGCAGTGGTATGACTACCGACAGTTTATACAGACATTCGTAAGAATTCGCTTAATTTCTTTTATTTTCTTTTGCGGTGCATTTTAAATTCACTATTAAGTGTTTCACAAATGGAGTTAAAAGACTATTCTAATTAGTATCTTGAATTGTTTCTTTTTTTATAAAGCTTGCAGCAAGTCATTTTTAGACTGAACAAATTTCTGCAAAACGCTAATTTATTCAATCTTTACTCTCTTTTATTATTACAATGTTTACTTTACATGGAATATAATCAATATAACACTTTGCTTATGCTACTTTTTCATTCAATTAGTGTGTATAAAGAATAATAGTTTAGCTTTCTTCAATTCAACACCAGCAAATATGCACTAATACCATTTTGTATTTCTTTAAAATGCCCTGGATGTACATTGAGTACAAGAGAGAGTAATTTTTTAGCGATTTATTATAAATATAGAATATGCCACGCATTAAACACTGCCGTCTTATATAAATATTAATTTATTGCTTCTTTTCTCAGCCGAGCCGTCCTCTATCATTTATCCGGCCAGTTTGACAAACAAAAGAACACGAAGAGCAAGCTACAGTTGAATAAAGTATTGATGCTTTTTATTGTCGCTATTGAATTGCAGTATATACTGTATTATATTGATTATAGATAAAAAATTTTTCCGGAAGCACTCAAATTCCAGAATACAAAGTTCAAGAAATTAAAGCGCACAAATTTATCATTTTACATTATGGAATATTCAAAATTGGCTGGGACTGGTTGATTTTATTCTGTACTTTTTATATAGCCATAATTGTGCCATACAATGCTACTTTTGGGTCACAGCCAAAAAATGGCACAAATAGCTTTGTACCACCTCCGGGTGCTGATGAGGATAAATCAAGGGCTTCCATCGTCAGTGATGTTATGGTAGAGATGCTATTTATTATTGGTACAGTTATTTGAAATATGAATTTCTTAATTCTAATTATAACGTCTAGGTCAGACAAAATACTACATATTTGTCTTAAAAATTTTAGATATCATTCTTAACTTTCGAACAACCTATGTGAGCAAGAGTGGTCAAGTGGTGTACGAACCGAAATTAATTGCCATAAATTATTTACGTGGTTTATTCCTGTTAGACTTGCTTGCAGCAATTCCGTTTGATCTGCTTTACGCTTTCCAAGTTAACACTGTAAGTTTCTTTATTCAATGATAATTTTATAAAATCTATGGATGCTATTCATTTCTTCAAATAACCTTCTCTGTTTCGAAAGGTAAAATACTTCAATCAGTTAAAGCTTGTTTGTCCTATTCGCCATTTTAGACATGAAGGTTATTCATGATCATGAATTTTAAAGAAAAAATTGAAATTCATAACTTATAATCTTAACTGTTTCTCAAAACTTTCTTGAGTATATACCTTAAAAATAATAATTATAATCAATTATGTAATGAATAATATCACACTACTTCTTCTTTCTTATTCTCCGTAATGAAAAGAATAGGCTTGCTAAGTCTAGTAATTATATGAATAGTTTAATTTTTTCAGGTCTATTCAAAGGTATAAGCAACTTATAGGAAATTAGCACATTGTACACAAATAATTAATTTAGTTACATCTACCTTAAGATATTGCATCTTTGTACATATTCATAGTCTACTTAATCATATATGTTTGTTCTATTTACATCAAACATCGTGATATTTTCGTTTAGTACAAGGATTTTATAGAAATTGTTTTCAAATCTTTTTCTGCAGAATTTTTACCCCTCCTCATAAGTGCAATCTTCTAATCCAAAGCACTGACTAATAATTTGCACAAGCTCTTGTCCATATCTATATAAAGTTGTCAATATCCGCCTTTTCTAAATTTTGATGAGAAATTCGCTTTTTGTCTAACAGGGAACACTAATTCACTTGCTTAAAGTGGCGAGACTGCTGCGTCTTGCGAGACTCATGCAGAAATTAGATAGATATTCACAATACAGTTTCGTGGTGCTCACTTTACTGATGGCTATGTTTAGCGTTTTGGCTCATTGGCTGGCCTGCATTTGGTACTATATTGGTATAAAAGAATCTAGTAATAATGGATGGTTATACCAGCTTAGTGAAAAACTAGACGAACCGGTTGTAAACAATACATTTAAGATTCCCTCTAAGGGAACTGCATATATTTCCGCTCTCTACTTTACCTGCACGTCGCTAACGAGTGTTGGCTTTGGTAACGTCTCGGCTAATACAAATGCAGAAAAAGTGTTTAGCATTATTGCAATGCTAATAGGGGGTGTGTACCAAGCAGAGCTCTTGCTATATTTTTACATAAGCTTTTATTTTTAGCTCTGATGCACGCCCTTGTCTTTGGTAATGTTACGGCCATCATCCAACGAATGTATGCTCGGCGAACCACATACCATACAAAAACACAAGATTTGAAGGACTTCATCAGAGCGCACCATATTACGAAACCATTAAAGACTCGAATGCAAGAATTCTTTCAGACAAGCTGGTCATTGAACAACGGTATCGACTTGGATTCTATCCTCAAAGATTTCCCTGAAGAGATGAGAGGAGACATCTCTATGCATCTTCATAGAGATATATTATCTTTACCGGTGTTTGAAAATGCATGTCAAGGATGTCTTAAAACTGTTGCCCAACAAATTAAAACAGTTTTCTGTGGCCCTGGAGAATATTTAATTCATAAAGGCGATGCTGTTCAGAGTATATTTTTCGTTTCTTCTGGAAGCATGGAAATTCTAAAACAAGGCATGGTAGTGGCAATTTTAGGAAAAGGGGACCTCTTTGGCTGTCATTTGTCTGACATCAAGAAGGCAATTGTTAAAAGCGGCTGCGACGTTAAGTCTTTAACATACTGCGATTTACAATGTCTATCCTTGAAAGGTTTACAGTCTTTGATGGATGTCTATCCGGAATTTGTTGAGAAGTTTGAAGAAGATATTCAACACGATTTGACATATAATCTTAAAGAAGAAATGGAAAATGCTGTAAGTAGCAGAGCATATACAAATATTTAATCTAGGAGTTTTATTTTCATGTTTTCTTTCAAAGGATAATGAAATAAATGGTGGTCTCTCGATGACATTACCATCGATTTCCGAAGATGACGAAGAAGTTGATGAAGAAGATGATGATGACTGTACTGTTATGCCTGCAATTACAGTTAACAGGAATACCTATAATACACAACAAGAGGAAAAACAAGCAGAAGTTTTAACAAAGTAAACAATAATTTACGCTAGTAGTAACGTTAAATCATATTGATTAAATATCTCATGCTATCCTTATAAAATAGATATAATTTACATTTTCTGTCTGCCATCTAGTGGTTATAGCGAAACTGATTCCAATTGACAGTATTTTCATTATGACAGATTGCTATCGAGTGACTTAGAGGTCTCTAACACTCGCCGCAGGAGTTACGAGACAAATACAAAAAAGAGAGGAATATTTCCACACTGCGATACGAATCTTCGAACTTACTTTACCGCTCCCCAACTTCATACCATTCCTCAAGAAAAGAAATTCAACAAAAACGACTTTGCAACATTTGAAGAGCTTGACGAAAATGAGAAAGAATATCTAACGTTTGAATGTTCATCACACCATTCTTCAAAATCAGACATACGACGTTTAGATTCCCAAATTAATGTACTTCACGAAGAGGTTTCTTCCTTGAGAACAGACGTGAAAAGTATAATGAAAATGTTACATATTCTCTGCTCTAACAGTGGTCCACTTTGCTCAAAACACTGTTTATCGGACAACCCATCTGACAAATCATCTCCAAATCATTCCCTATCTACCTGCCGAAAGTGTTCGAGTAGCGAGGAGTTCTCCGAACAACCCCCTCCTTTATCGACTGATTTTTAAACTTACTTTTTCTCTCTGTTTTACGACGAAATATCGATTTTTACAACTGTATATTGCAGTTTTTACCTGCATGCTCGTACTCGTTCACTTGTTATAAAATACGCAGATATTTCGTATAAAATACACTTTTATCACTTAACTCACAAGCAGATGTCGCTAGGTCAGAGCTAGGATTTTTGCTGAGTAGCTAATTCATAAATTATGAATTCAAATTATGAGAGAGAAAAGAATTATGAAAAATCTGCTTTCACTTCTCTTCTAAATTTTGTCCTCTTTCTAAAGGGTATAAGAAGGTGACTTTTCAAAGCAGCTATTACTCTTACAATCATTATTTAAGCTTTCAAATTTAAAGCCATAACAATGAAAAAAAATTAACTGTTCTATTATTTTAATTTCTGTAATTATTGATGCTGGATATCTTTGTGAAATAACGTCGATCTACTTCTACCCTCCCCCCCTCCGCCTTCCTTTTTTCATAAATATGAACTAGTAGAGAGCGCGCATAATGAGGCGGCGTCGCGACGTCATTTGGCGATGGAGAAGCTCCAACTGTACATCTTCTACTTTCTTGTCGTTTTGTCCTGCGTCGGAGCATCAAGCGACAGAAGACGACGTGGTCGGGTTCGTTCATTTGTTTTTTTTTGTATGTTTAGTTTCGGAAGTCAATAAAATCTCAATTACCGTCAATTCTACTTAATTGCTTATTTGTGAGATGCCATGGCGTTGCTGTCAATTTCAAGTCATTTCGCGATTCGTTTGAAGTTAGATAATCTAATTCATCGATCGAAACTCACGCAATTTCGGTTTTATACTTGACCGACAATATATATATAAAATTTATATACAGTATATATATATATATATTGTTTAGTGGATATACTGTATATATTAGATAATAATATATATATATATATATATAATGCGTATACAGATATATAAGAAAAAGTCGATCGACCTAGTTCAGACATTTAAACGACCAAATCCGATTTTACTTAATTATAAAAATTTGTAAGCCTAGCGGTACGAATTGATTCGATTTATAAGAATGCTGGACGAAAGCGGTTTCTTTGTGTTTATTGATTATTCCCCATTCCTCTCGTTATCGGTTATTGATGTGCAGCTACACTGTTCTTCGATTCTTGCAGTTTTACCATTTGTGTATCATTTTACGAGAAACAGATCTGCAGTACAGTTTTTTCTTGTAACCGAAATATTCCCTCTAAATGCTTACAAAAGAAGGAGCTGCAAAAAACTTGACTGATTCAAATTAGATGCTGTACGCTCCCTCGATTTGGTGCAGTTGGGCTTTAGGGAATTCTTCGTTAACAATATCAATGCGCTTGTTCCTTTTTTGTCTCTTTACAGTTTCTGGTATACTTAATTAATATTTAATATCAAAATAAAAAATAACTAATTAAATAACATAAAAAATTAGCAATGTTAACAAGTGATGTTTTACTGAATCTCATAGTCTGGCATTTTTCTGATTAGTCATGACATTAGGGCATATATCATCTTTTCATGATTGCTAAACTATGAATTACAGTGTGGCGGAGCAGGAGACAAATGCTACGCAACTCGTCGATGTTGTTCTGGTTACGTATGTGCGGCGTTTGACGAATTCATTGGTAAGAGATTTTTATATTTTGAAATCACAGATTAAACAGTGAGCTTTAACTTTTTCAAATAAACAAAATTTAACAAATCAATAATGACAAATGCTTCTTAAAGAAACTGATGGAGTTCGTTGTAGGCATTTATTGTCAGCTTCAATTCTACAGTACATATTCTGCACTGTAAAATTATATATACAGAACTGATTATGAGCATATATTCATGTGAATAATTTATTGAAGACTGTCTATATATTTCTCTTTTTCTCTAAACCGCAGACAACACGGAAGACGGTACCTACTTTTGTGCTCTATAGATTTCATTCGTAGTTTTCGAAATGTTGTTCTTCTGTGCACTTATTATAACGAATTCCATCACGCCAAATCATTGGAAAGAGAATTTTTTGACCATGAAAGATAGAAAAATTATCTAGTAAATTAGTGCCTAAGCTTGTTTCTACAAAACAAAGTGATTAAAATTTCTTTAAAATAATACATACAATATATTGAATTTAGAGGTTATTAATTTCAGTAGCGCTTGAATGATAGAAATGATGGAATTCTAAGTATCTTTATAATAATAATTTTATTATTATTAAAGCTATCACATACAAGATTTTATGAAGTACAGAAAAATATATATATACAAGTTTATAAGCGATATGCTCGATTCGTCGTTGTGAATACCCTGAGGATTTTGCTCCTTCTGGATATTACTTTAGATAAATAGAATAACTAGCCGTTTGACTTTGGTGGCGTCAGAATAGCATTGATTATGAGTAGTTGAATCAATCACTAGGTGCCGCTACCAAAGTTTCTTATCCTTGCAATTCACGAGCTAATAAACTTGCAGATTCGCATCCCGAAAGTCCAGGAAATTGCATGAAAGAAAAAGATTTAAACCCATGTAGTGACAGTGGAGAATGTGGGCCAGGTGTTCGGTGTGTTCCCTTGGGTCCAAATAGGGAAAAGTATTGCTTGGCTAGATATCCCTCTCAGCATCATTCTCATGTTCCCGAGACTGGAAGAAAAAGTGGAGACATAGGTAAGAACTACTCTCTCCTTTAAAATATTTTCCATTATATTAATGTACTAGGCGCTGATTGTGAAACGGATGATGATTGCAAGGACACCACTGACGAGAATGACAGGTTATGCTGTCAAGTAGTCACCTTCTTTAGAAGAAAACCTAGAAAAATGTGCGACCGAATTCACTACGATACAAAATGCATTCTTTAAATTACCATATTATATATTATGTAGTTCCTAGAAAGTTACTCTTTGCTCTTTTTTTGACTTTTATCCTCTGCAAATATGTGATTTCGTTTAGACACGTGTAAATATAACAGTTTTTCTGTCTCTCAGCAATAAATACCATTCCTCCGTACGTTATACAGTATTTGCAATGTGAAAAACTCCTGAGACATCTTATGTAATCCATTTATTGGATTTTACTTCGGGGCCAAAAGGCCAGTTAACAAAAATTATATAAGAGATATACTTCATACGCATTTATATATCCAAACAGATGAATCCTTGTTTTTTTTTCAAGTCTAACGTGGTTCATATTCGTGATAAAAAATAGAAAATATAAGTAAAGAAAGAATTCGTGCAAGTGCACTAGCTGTATGTGTGAAAAGCAACAGATGGCGCTCGAGATGGTCGCTGGAGGAACAGCGTTATCAGGAGAGGTAAAAGAACAATCTGAGGACGGCTTCGAGTAGAATTAGCTCGATTACACAAATTCTCCCTGCAAAAACATAACTCTCCATCGCCCGATCGACTCTCTTTCATACAGACAAGAGCTATGGTGATTTTGAACTGAATCGTTTTGGTTGTAGAACAAGTCCGAACATAATTTCTTTCTCCTATTAAAAAAATATTGCTAATTGTAATTTGTAATGTAATAAAGCAAACCTCCAACAGGGTGAACGACCCATTTTACACAGGCTCCTTCACACTTTGTTAATCGAACTTCCGTCGAAGTAGCGTTAAATGGATCACCACAGTCTTTGGAAGTACCATCAATAGTAGAACATTCGTAGCACTCAACGGGTTCATTCTCAGCCGAACATTCGTTGGTCGATATGGCTAGACAGCCAGCGATAACTGCTGCGCAAAATGACTGATTTATAGGTAATAGAAATTTTCAAAAGTATATACAGAGTTTTGAAAAATGGGTTATGATTGCTATTTTTTATTTTATATCAAGTATTTCATATTTTATCAAATAATTCTGGTAACTACAATGTCACCTGAGTAGAGTTCGGTGACAATCCTCATTCTTGTAATGATGCATCATCTAGAGCGTACTACTGGAACCGCTCAGCAAGTGTTGAAGAACAGAAATTAATTAGCTACATCTACTTCAATATCTGTAAACGTTTAAGCTTTTCAACAGCCTTATCATTAATTAAAAACCGTATGGCTCGTTGATCTTTCGCCGTTTTTATCCCTTTTCAACTTTCTTCGTTAGGAAAAGAGGCGTATTTATCGAGGAAACAACCGGTCTGGAATAGAGGCCCTTATATCAAGCAATTTAAAGCTATCCATGGATGGACGACCTTGAGGTAGACTTTCGGGAAGAGGAAATTTTACGCCATGACCTCAAGTAAAATTGCTCAACAAGAAAACAAGAACCCAAGAGGAAGAAATTAAGAGCAAGAGAGAGTAATAGAAAGTAGGATAAAAAAGAAAGGAGTAGATTGCAGCATTTTGCGGTATACTTCTACAAGCGGTTTTTGATTTCAATTAAATAGTTCGGAGTACGCATCTGTCGAAGTTTTGTTTACATTATTAATACGTGAGGTACTGACCTAAAACTGTCCTCAAAAACTCCAATTGTATCATTTTCTTCAGTAAGTTCATATATTTAAATACTTTATAGCGCGCGCCAAACATCTGCAAACCTATATACTAGATAGCCTTCAGCACTCTCTAATCTAGATTTCTCCAACCATTTCGTACGAATTTTTCTCGCTCGATAATATTTTTTAGTTGAATGTGAAAGACCGTGAAAAGTCACGTGGCTTTCTACAAGAGCGGATTGGACAAACCTGTTGCTATAGTAACATTTTTTTCTCAGTTCGCTACGCACTAGGATACAGGCCTATTGAATTAACCTTATCTTCATTCGACAGATAGTAAGATCTATTCGAAAATCGTGCATTGTTTTTCAAAATGATCGCGAGCAGGGTCAGCAAGCTTTTCTAGAAAGGTCACGTGATTTACATTGATAAACTAATTTTTTGAATACCTGAGACTATGTAGGATAAACAGAACAATCGGCGATTCATAACTGAAGGCAAAAAATTTAAATTTGAAAATAATCCTCCCTTAAAGAACTTAAGACGCCACCGCACCTTTAACTAAAATATTCCTCTATTTGAATTGCTGCTTTGCCTGTTCAATATGTTGACGGTATTGTTTCGAAAATCGATTTGGCTCAAATTTTAATCCTTTCTCTACATATTTATATCTGCTCGCCTCTCCCAAATTTGGTTTAACAAGAAGACTTGAGAAATAAAAATTCAAAATGGAGACGATCAATCATGCAATGTAAGTGAATCTATTCCATATGCAACTTAATTTATACTTAAACGGTCGATAGTACACACTCGTTCCTATTGTGAACCACATATAAAGCCTATAGATACTAATTTATTTATTAACTTCCATACATGTTTGAACGTCGTCCTGGGAAACGCTGGGTCGGAACTCGTCATGCAAGCAACTTTTAGATTTTCTACTTTCTAACATTGTTTTTGTCAACTTTTTCTACCACTTTGTGACTCTAAACAATAAATAAAAGAAAAATATTTGATTCTGATATTTTCGTAACTTCGACTAAAAAGATCTTATATATTCTATATTTACTTCTTAGCCTATAAATCGGATATCTTTTTTTTAAAGCAACTCGCATTCCACAGGTCCATTTTGTACCATTTCTCTGCTTGCAGTTAAGGGAGCATTGCTTTCATTCTTTATTGGTAATTATATAAAACAAAACGAATAAGAAGAAATAAAAGCTCTCCTCATTAAGGACTAGTAAAAAAATTTCAATGGTTAAATTAAGCTTTTTTGAAGTGTTTAATAGCGAATTAGAATTTCCTTTATGATTTCTATCTTAAAAAGCCACTGGCCTGTTCTTTCAAAGCTTGTGTTTACCTGCTCTGTCATTATTCGGCAATGAATCAATAAATAACTTAAACAGTTTATAATATTTCACATTAGAGAGTCAACAATCAGCTTTCTTTGATAGAGAAGACGTTTGCATAATCTGTTTTTGGTTGTCTAAAAAATCAATTTTAAATCAAATGTAGAAATAAAAATTTAAAAAAACAAGGGCTGTTCAACTAATTAAAGCCTGCATTTTCTTACAGGAATCGAGCTAGATAAACAACATCCTATTTTTTGCGTTTCGAAACTGTTAGTAATTCAACTTTCTAGCAGTAAAGAATGCGGAACAGTTGTAAGCCTGTAGATAGAATGCTACCTGATGGTAGTTTAGCCTGAGTTTTACTTGGTAATGGAAAAAAAAGCCTCAACGAAAAATTGAGAAATAGTCGTGTTAAACAAACTGATAATACTTTTATATGTTTAAAATAAAAACCTCATTATATACTATTAAGAAAATTTGTAACTATAATATACTACACTTAGGTCGGATTAGCTCAAAGAATAATTCTGTAGCTAATCAATTGAATAATTATATAAAAACTCTAGAGAGCCATAAGTTATCTTTCCCATCTATTTCACAGAGTAATTATGGGATAACTATCGAATCAAAAACTCAATTAATTTTATTTACAAAAATCGTTACATAGCTCATGCAAACAGTCAAGAAGATTATGATAATGATCCAGAATCTCTTGAATGTAAAAACATAATAAAATGCGGAAAGAGTTACTCTCAAATTAGAACGCCATCTGGTTTCTAAAAGCAAAACAAACTGATAAAGTTTTCCACTTGGAAAGACATTTTAGCATGGCTGATTAGTAACTAAGATTTTCTTTTATATAACGGCGAAGAGTTGGCTTTAAAGGAGGAAGACGTCACTCTTGAAATTGTGAAAAATAAATTTTTCTCAAAATTATTTAATTTTTGGCCAGATATCCTGTTCTTAAAGCGATTTCTCTTTTATAAAAAGTGAAATTACATTTCTACATGTTAAAGTTTTAGATCTTAAATTTTTAAAGATTTTTTAGCAACCTCAGGGATGTCTCTTGGGCTGATTCCCAGTGTATTTCATTTGCGGTCCAGAACGGATTCTTTCTAAACATGTTGCTAATAGTACACTAAGTTTTCACGAGAAAATTATTTGCTCAGCATTTCTACTCCCAGACGAGAATATTTCGTACTTTGCTATAGCTATAGATAAAAACATTGGATTAAACTACAGAAGAACAAATTTCCTAAATTTGTGTAAAAATAGTCTTACCTAATAAAATGTTATATCCTCTGCTGTCAGGTCAAAATAAAACACTACAGGATCTGAAGAAAATGCAAAAATCAGAACTCGCATAAAAATGTGTGTTTAACAGTAACTATATTTGATATATTTCAAGTTTGAAAAAAAGCCTCTGAAAAATCAAAAATTACAAAGTATATGGACAAGAATAATAAAAAGTGTAAGGGGTTTTAGTTTTTCTTGAGACCATAACTTGTTAAGAAATATTTGACAATTCTGAGCATCTGCTACATAATTCTAAACTAATATCGCCACTTTGTACATGCAAACAAACTCCACCGTTTGCTTTGGTCACTCTCCTTCGTTTTGCTGATACTCCATAATCGTGATCCTCTTCAATTACTCTCTTGGAAACTTCGAAAGAATTAGTCAATCTAACTGGTTGGTTGAGGTTTGAAATAATATTTGCTAGTTGACTGTCGTTTTCTAGTACGGATCTAAGATATAGAATTTCTTTTTCCATAATATTAATCGACTTTTCTGATTTTTTCTCCTTTGATCTTAGAATGGAATTTTCCTTTCTTAGTCTGTTGGTTTCTTCTTCCAGTTCCTTGATATATTTCTTTTTCTTTTCTCTATTAACCTTTGCTTGAATAGCAGCCTTGTTAAGGTTTTTGGATACCTCATTTTCAGGAACTTCTTGTTTTCTTAATAGTTCACATTGTGATAGCTCCTTAATTGCTAAAGTTTTAGGCTCGGTTTCTTTTTTGTACAAACCGTCTTCAGGTACTACACTTACACTGCCCTTAGAAAGTACATTAGATGACGTTTTCGCATCAATTTCTATAGAGTTGATAGGTTCTTCATTCTCTTGGATAAGTTCACTCAAATCGGATAAATCTGATAACAGATTCGTGTCGATTGAGAAAGTGCTATCCATGATTTGACTATAGTCTGGAGAAAATCTCACCTGATCATTTCCCTCCAAGTTATCGTCAAAGAAGAACGCTTTTTCGCGATCACTCTCTTTATCTAAGAGCCAAGAAGACAGCATTGGTGAAGTTTTCTCTGAAAGTTGTTGAAACATGATCTTAAGAGTTATGAAAATATAGGATTGACAATTACAGTGTTTTGTAGTTTGCCTCTGTTGAACTTTTGCGCAATGTTGTGCAAGCAATGATTAGCTGCGTAGTAATACTGTGATGATTCACAACAAAGCATAGAATTCTCGAAAGATGACTGGCTATACCAGGTCACGTGGATAATAAAAATGATTTATTGACCATATATATGTAAAAACGTCGAAGAAACGTTGGCGGAGGCCGCGTAACTCAGGAAGTAATAGTTTGGAGATATTTTATAAAAAGTTTATAGAAATAAATCTTTTAAAATAAATTAAACATATAAATTAACTCCAATTGTGTTTTTTTAGTGCCTACCTTTTCACAAATTTCGAATGTAGATGACAACACTAGTCATCTGATAAAATCGATCGCTTCGATACCAGCACTTTTAAAGTAAACATGCTACCAAGAAAAAGTATAAAATATTTTAATACAACATTTCAGAAACAGCCTAATGATAAATCCTCAAGCCCAAAAATATTTTATTTCTCACCGAAAATTAACCAGTTGTTTCTTTGAGTATGAATATCAAGTCCTTAAAAGCACAATTTTAAGTGAAAATACCAACCCTTCCGCGTTAGGTATTTGTATAACTAATAAGATTGGGTTTAGGGTTAAACGTTAAGACTGGAAATCGATTGTTTTCAAAAATATATTAGAACTTTGATAATTGAGGTTGCCTCTTTCATTAGCCCTTTAAGATTAATCGTGAATAAGGGACATTTTTGCTCTCTAGTCGTCAGAAGCTTGGGTGTGCGCCTCTTCATTCTCATTGACTATACAATTGTAACTTGTAACTTTTTATAAAGTAGATTAGATTAAAAATACAAATAAGTAATCAGAATAAAGTTCAAGTATTTTTCTAGGTAATTTTGAAAACTCAAAATGAACAATTGAATGAAGCCATCCTGAGAAAAGGATACTCTGAGAAAAAGACTCTTTTAGTTTGATAAGACTGCATAAAAGAAATTTTCATAAGAAGAACAGCTCATCAAAGTTATCTTTCAAAGAAACTACAGCCCAAATGCAATATTTTATACTTTGAAAGAGGTGTATAACACATAATAAGAAAATGTATTATGAAAATAAGTTGAGTTGAAGTGATATCCTATAACATGAATCAGTCAGAATTCAAAGAGTCTAAAAGTTATTCTCCACAATAAGCTGCTTAATAAAGTCTTTGGTATTCCAATAATTATGTTTCTGTTCAGTGTCTCAAAAAATAATGAGGCTAAAAATGAACAATTTCATTAAACATTTCAATGGTTCTATTATGTGCTTGCTTGTTGGCAAAATTACTACACCCCTCTCTCAGAGGATGTGTTTTAAATTTTAATTCTTTAAGTACTATTTTTCGGTTCTCCTTCGTTGGATCAGGTTGTGTATGACGTTTTTAGTACTTTTAGTACTTGGAAATTTAAATTCTGAAAATTTTCTCTATCCTTTTCAATTTAGAAGTGCATAATAAACTTTTATATAGGGCTTGTGCTATTGTTTCCTTTAACCAGTTAGAGCACAAAAAAGTTACAGACCGATATTTTGTTAAGTTACTGAGTGTTTAGTGAAAATTTTTTATATATTCTAATCTTCATTAGAAGATTCTCCACCCCGTTCTATAGTGTTTTTTTTCTTTTAATTAAAAATACAACTTACTTTCGAAGTCACGACAAAATGTTCCTAGTGACATCTAGAGAAAATTACATTTCCCTAGTGGTCGACTTCATCATACCATTAAGTAATTAGAGAAATGAAAGTTTGTTTATTAAATAACATCGTTCTAAGTTGAGCAGATATCTTCTATTTAAGAGAATTTAAAGTCGAATAAATTGATTTACAAAATATGTATTAGCAGAAATTTTTAAAATTCAAAATAATCATGAAACTGCCTTAATAGAGGAGTACATCAAGAGATAGATTAAGTTTCCTTCATTTAATATACGATTCTATTTTGCATTAATAGTAGAAAGCTGTAAGATAATTAAAATAGTTGTCTTGCATTGCTGCATGTTTTGCTCCTATTTCAAGAAATTTAACTAAAAAAATTAACGAAAATAAAAAATTTGAAAGAGTACATATGAAAAATGATTAATAGTCCGCTTATACTTGCAAAAAAATAAAATACTAAGCAGTAAAAAGACGTAAGCAAAAACATGAGATAGATTTGGGTCAGTATTTTTTTTAAACAAACATAACTGAATGAATTTAGAAAGAATTTCTACAAACGGAAGTTTCGATCCCAATGGCAATTAACTGATCAGTTCCAAGTCTCAGCACGAACATCAATTAGATTTTGAAGAAAGGCGCTCGTTACACGCTTCTTTAAATAAAAGAACAGTAAAAATTATTGCATTTCTATAAGTGAATATAACTGTGGAACTGGTCAATATTCATCTGTTTTACTCGACGTTTCTTCTCTCTTGTGACACCACTAATATTCGTTTTCTTTCAATTATTTATAAACACTACAATTTTCCTTAAATATTTTTGCGTGTAAATGTGCGCCTTTTCGAATTCTAATCTTTGCATAGTGAGAAAGTAAGTTGTTATTCTCAAAAGTAAAAGTAGAAATTTATGAAAATTGAAGAAATTTCTTTAAACCTACAAATCCTAATATTCTATGGAATATCTTATCCATTTCATAAGTATGTCAAAGGGTCTCTTCGTCGAAGGGTTCATCGTTTTCAGAGTCTATATTAGCTATCATTTCCTTTGTTCGCTTTCTATTCTTACGCTGTACAACGGCATTTTGCAACTGTGCATGCGAATAGTACAAATTAAAATTATTTGCAATAATTGGAACCGGTAAGCCAGTAGCTAAGATTCCTGTCAGGGCACAAAGAGCCCCTATTATGTAGCCAACAGCGCTCTTTGGGTACATATCACCATAGCCGACAGTAGTCAAAGTGATAATTGCCCACCAGTATCCCTCAAATATAGAACCAAAAGTGTCTGGTCTAAAAAATTCGGCATAATAGATTACCACAGAAAAGACCATAACGACTATGAAAACAAATATGAGCAACATTGCTAACTCTGCCATTGAAGCTTTGAGTGCTAATAACAGAATTTTTACTCCAGTGTAATGACGAGCTAAGCGAAGTATTCTACATATTCGTAACACTCTTAAGGTCATTAGTAAAAAGAATACAGGCAATAACGACATATCCTCCTCTTTGATAAGATTGATCTCGAAAATATTAAGAATATTGTTAATCCACATAGGAAGAACACATAAAACGTCGATTATGTTCATGGCAGACATAAAGAATTTAATGTGATTCGGAGCAACAAAAAATCTGACAATCAATTCAACTGTAAAAAACCAAGCACAAAACTTGTCGAAAAAGTTGAGAACAGGATGAGGATTAGTTGTAAATAGTAGCTGCAATTTAGGATTATTTACTGCAACCGATTTTTTTGAAACCCTCGTTCTATTTGTTTCATTAAATTCTTTTGGAACTCTAGCTATTGGATGCGTTTCCACACATAAAATTGCGATACTGAAAAGGACGAAACTAAAGAAGATTGTTGTCCAAATCTGAAAATATGAATTAGACGATGGTTATCGAAACAAAACTTTTAAACTACAGCTAAAAATCGAAGGGAAAAAGATGGCTAATATAATAAAATGCTCTATTGCAGTCATCCGCACCGTTGCTTGATGCCGAGCTGATATTGAACGTTTCCATGGACTCCCTGTAGACTACGAAATGCATGCAAATTTACAACGGTCTGAAGGCGTTCTTTATGCGTCCCTAAAGTCCTAGGAACTTTTTTTTATCTCTTAGCATTTCCCCATTATACCTACTTCACAGCTTCGAATTTTCTATAACTTACTTTTGCTGCCCGAGAGCTCATAGGTTCCTCAAGAAATATCCATAGACGTCTTCTCCAAGTTTCGATGCCCCACTGCGAATTAATGACTGCGGATACTTCTGCTGGCTGTGTCTTTGACTCAAAAGCTCTTTCTATTTGAGCGAAAATTTTTTTTTCTTGCTCGAATTCTCTATATCTATTCCAACAGCATGAAGATATCTCTCCCTCTTCTATTTGCCAATAGACTAGTTCCTTATATATCGTCGGACCACAATAATTGTGAGGGAAATGTAATTCATCCGTTCGATAATAATCCAATATGCAGTTGAATAAATCTGGATTTCTATCGAAGTAATACTCCTTCTTTTCAATGTTGTAATTTCCATCAGTTTCACAAATGGCAGATAATCTGGTATTTGGCACTTTTTTTAAAACATCTTTTCCTATCACAAATTTCTGACCTCCAACATTAAGAGTTACTAATTCATCAAATTTTACCATTCGCCGAATCCTATCATCTTCTTGATGATTCGGCGAGTGATAAAAGAAAGTTCCACTTTCGTCAGACATTTCCCGCCGTCGCCATCATTCTGCGCATACTCAATCGATTATAGGATTCCAGAGACGCGCTGAGGGAGCGCATGTTTTGACGTTACCTCCACTTTCTGAGTATTTTGAGGCTGAAAACAAACCTCAATCATTTTTGGGTTTTTTGTGATTTTCGAATTATCAATGTGCAAAAATATTCTATTCAATAAAATGTATATATTTATTTGGTATCCAGAGCTTAATCCTGACATAGGAGTCAAAAATAGTGTTTTGTCTAAGATCTCATATCAGTGAAAAATGAAAGTGAAGTCTATTTTTTTATAAATAAACCAGAGAGGGCGCTATATGCAAAACTTTTAGCAACTCGAATCTTCTTTCAAGAACTCTTGTTCGATATTTAGCCGATTTCAAACATCTTCAATCAACTCAAACGAATTAAGTATTAATAAAATGAATTTAATTTTGTTATTTTGCAATCGAATAAAATAGAAAAAAAAACACATTCACACATCATTAAATGCAAAGACTAATTATAAATCTGAATGGTAAAAATATTATGCTATACACTTGTAAATTTTTAATGTAAAGATTATTATGCATTAAGCATAAAATTATTCATCTTCGTTTATTTTTTTCATTAGAATTGCCTCTTTTCTTGTGGTGGAAAGTCGTGTGCTCTCAAAGGATTTGTAGTATGTGGATGACAGACGACGATTAGTAGAATCTGTACGGCTTGCACATCTATTACAGATCGGAAGCCATGTACTGCGAAGAAGTGTAAAAGACTTTAAATTATAAGTAAAAATGTTAATTTTAATTTACCTGAAATTTTGACATATCTTTGATGAATACACTCCATATATAATTGGATTTGCTACTGAATTAAAATAGCACATGCTGTTGACTAAAATAATAAGCGGTCTATAATTGTCTAAAAGAACGCCGTATATATTCAAATGGTTAATAATAAGATAAGGACTCCAACAAAGCATAAATACTGAAAAATTGTCTATATTGTTAAACCTTAAAATATTAAATTCTCTTACATACCTAAAACGATTAAGAATGTCATCTTGATTGTTCTAATTTTTGCTCTAGGTATAATACCACGAGAAGATACACTAGTTCCCCTTTGACAAGGTAAATTGCAGGTTTCAGTAAAATTTCTTCTATTGCCAAGTAGAATAGTAGATTTTCTCCATATTGCATAAATAATTTGAGCGTAGCAACATAGAATGATAACAATGGGCAAATAAAATACTATTGTCATACTCAAACTAAACCAGAATTTCCAATGCCAAGGTTTAGTAAAGAATGTATTTTTACAAGTAGTAACATTTTTTCCCTCATGGCTAACTTTTGTTTCATTATAAAGAATAGTATAAGGCGTTGCGAAAACTGCTGCCAGCACCCATGCTACACAAACTAATATCTTGGCTCGTTTAACTGAAATATGAACAATTAAACTTCACATTAAAAATCTAGTATGACTTACTACTACTAGAAAACTTCATTGGCTCAACTATAGCATCTCGTCTATCTATGGATAATGATATAAGAAGAAAGGAAGAGGCATGCATAATAAAACCTTGAGAAAATTTTACAATTTTGCACATAATATTTCCAGCATACCAATAAACAGTTATTCTCCAGACTAAATCAGATGAGACAGCTACAAGTCCAACAAACAAATCTAAAAAGAAAAGAACACAACTTTATGAGCTATTATTAAGAGATTAAACTGTATATTATATGTCCCTCAGCTGTGCAGAAATTTCAGTCGTCTTTTATTATATAATTCTGAGATAAGTCTTATTACTCAAGATAGTTGGAAAGTTTTCATCCAGATATCCAAACTCACCTGCAACAGCAAGATGCATGATGAAATAAGTCATGCGAACTTTTACACGATTCTTGGAAAAAAATATGGCAGCAAGGACAGAACCGTTTCCAATTAGTATGAAAACCAGTATTGTACCCAGATAAATAGTTTGAAATTCCTGTGGGGGTTACCATTTAATTAACGTTTGCTATGTTTCAAAAGAAGACATAACCCATAATGATCGAGCAATTATCTGTCAAATCGAAACCAGATAGAGTACTTAACTAAATTTCGTTTCTTAGCTTTAATTGATTAAACCTAAATTAATCTATAAAAATTTCATTCACAAGCGATAATAAAGTGATCATTTATTCGACCTAATATACTACTAAAAAGCTAATAGTCCAGAAAATATAGAACTATTAGACTGTTCATTGCGATAGTTATAGAGTATTCTTCATAAAAATAACATGCCATCTGGTACCATACCTTCCAATATTTTTGTGGTTCTTTCTGACTGACATTTCTAAAGAAGAAAGATGAGTTATCTGAATGACTTAACGCCATTGGTGAGTTCTCCCTATGCTCTGCCGCGACGGAAGCAAGCGCTGCATTTATATAGGGTCTTTTTCTTTGAAACTAGTTGGCAGACAGTTTGACAAATATATTCTAAAATATTTTTAAGCAAAGTATAATTTCCTAAATAAAAAATCAAATCATAGTATTGTTGATAGAATTTTTTGATAAGTGCTACGTTTAAAAAGGTAGATATCTTTGTGATAAATTATGTAAATGATTAATACCACAAATTATATTGTAGCAAGCAAAATATTAATTTATTATGAAATTGGCTTCACAACGTATCTATAATAATAGAAATTAAATATCTCCAAAGAAGTCCAATGAAATATTCTGTCTGCCTTGTAGTTCATCTTAACCAAATTTTTCAAATTCCTTTTTGTCCTTACATTGGATACTAAAGTATTTCTTCTCCACATTCAAATCGCGTAAAGTCAGAAATGATAATTCCGTTTTCGTTTAGCCAGCTACCAGCCGTTTGATTCGGGTTTAACAACCATTCCTATGAGTAAATATAAATATTAAAGCACCTTGAGAACTAAGAAGACGATTATATAAGTTTATATACTTATAACGAATACCTTTACCTAATAACAATAAAAATTGTCTACATTTAGCTTAAACGAAGGATGGAAGAAAAGTTATTTACTTGTTTTACTAGCTCCTCTTCGCTAATGTCACTAATTTGAGTCCTTTCCGCTTTTTCTTTGTTATGAGAGTTATTACAGCTCTTCAAATTTTCAATAGTACCTATTCTTTTCGGATTCATTCCAACAATATGTTGACCAATCATCGTTCCAATCTATTGGTAAAAACAATAAATATACTTTAAAAATAAGATACATTTACTTGCCTCAGTTAATTCTGCACTAGAGCAATCGTTAAATTCTCTATTTGTAGAAAAACTCAGAATGGTTCCATATTTTCCCATTGCACAATCGTTTATAAGAATTTTCTTTGTTCCTAATGGAAAAAAATTAGAAGTAAAAATGATAATTTACAATTTTTACCAGCAGTATGGATGTAAGAAGAGATGCGTTGATTAGATTCTGATCGAAATAATAATGCTCTTCTAACAGCAATATTTTCCCCGATGCTGCCTATTGTTAATGCTAGACTGTCCGAAATCGATTTGCCGCTTGGCAGTGTTAAAGAGGACACTTCTTCTTTCAACAAAAGCTTCTGTGTAACGATTGGAAAATTATTCATAGATATGACCCACTTAGATATTCTATCAAAGATAAGTGACGTTAAATGTTAATTTACCTTTCCTGGGTTCATTGATTTAACTCTTTTGCTTAAGCATTTTGTTATATCATACACAAATTCTAGAAATTTTTCGTTTCTTGCAACGAAATCTGTTTCACAGTTCACCTATAATAATTTAAATTGTTAGCATAAAATCTGAAAAATCCCAATTTCCACCTCAACCATGCTTCCATAATTTTCATTACATACAATGCCTATTAATCCTTGCGACATTGGTCGTGATTGGAGTTTCTGAGCTTTAGTCCAACCTTCTTTTTGAGCTTCACTCATTAGCCATTTCTCTGCCTAATAAGACGGCCTTACTTCTATTCCAAAAATTATTTTCACCTACTTCTATTAAATTATTATCAAATTTCTTAAGAGCCAACTTGCAATTTTGAAATGAGAAGCCAGTTTTCTTCCTCAGAGAACTTAAATTGGACTTGGTTGAACTAAAACAAGTCTTTGTTAATGAAATCCATCTTGCTTGACCTAAGTTAGCTGAAATGAAAAGTTCAAATGAATCATGAACACAATGTCATCATAAAATACTTTTAATTGAGAGTGTAGTAAATATTTTGCCACATATCATTGCGATCGTATAGCAGTAAGAATTCTTAATGAAGAATCTATCAGTCGGCGAGATATGAGATAGTTAATACCATATTATCGCTCATAAAATATCATTTCGTATCATTTTGCTTTATTGCTATTATTCCAAAATATTTTCAGTATTCCTTTGAAAATACGTTCAAAATCATAGATTTGCTACGAAAATACTTCCACAGACGTCATAGTAGTTTCGTACATCTCTCAGTCAATTAACTACTTTTGCAAGAGATACAATAATGAGTTTTCAATTTCCCTGGCAGCATAAATTTCCACCTTTTTTTACGTAATCTATTCTTACTATTTAGTCTTTAATTTATACTGCTTTTCTATTAAAGATATTAAATATATGTATTTCAGGATTCAACCGAATGTTGAAACGAAAATGAAGCAACTAGATACCTGGTGTTCCTTAATACTCTCCTATTATAAACACAAAAAATGGTATTCTCTCGATGTTGCTGAATCAGAAACTTCAGAGCTATTTTATAACCGGTCTATTGATCGTAAGTAAGTGTACTTTCAGTTACCTAATGCTGGTCTATAAATGTGAATTTTCAAAGGCAAACTAAATCTTGACGAAATATATGTCATTTTAGAAGAATTGCGTCGACGAGGTACAATATAACTATCTTAAGTTGCTTAATAAATTTTGTCATATGAATCAGGAAATGTGGAATGGGAAGATAAACGGCGAAATAGATGCCTGGTTATGTGGCGTTCACCTGATGAATGGGCAAAATTGATTTATAAATGGGTCTGTTAAATATTTTCTTCTCATTACACAGTTAAATATAAGAGCTACTGTCGTAGATAACTGAAAGAGGAATGCTTAATTCAGTGTGTACATACTATGAAATTACCGATGGTGACAATTCAAAAAATCAAGGTAAATTTCTTTTCAAATCAAGAATATAAAGCTAATTTTTAACTATAGAATTTTATGGTTTGGATGTCTGGTTATTGAAGAGAGCATTACAATGTCTAGAAAAAGAAGGCAAAGCCGAAATATTTGAAAGTGATGATGGTGGTGTAAAATTTTTTTAATAAAGAGTTCTAAAATATTAATTCAAGTCCAGAAAGAGAGCATCAAAAGTGCCGTACTTGACATACTCAAAATTTAAATATAGCTAGTTATTTTTAAACATTTGCAAGTATCACACAAATTATTTCCATCACATGAGTGGCATTCACAAGACAACTCTAAATATCTTAATCGAACTCCTCTGCGATTATCAGTCTTTTCATGCAAGCTAAAGCCAGCTACAGAACCGATGGCGTCGATAATTGTGGAACTATTATGTAAATTTCGCAGTTGAATAAAACTCTTTGTATCAGAAAGGCAATTTAAGCCTATTGATCTATTCGTTGACTCTTCGTTCAGTGATAATTTTTTCCAAATACTATCGCTGCTTCTGCAAATATTAAAACGTAAGAATACATCAAGTTATAAGCTTTTTAAACCTTTTTTCCTTCAGAAAGTTTCTAGGCAGCAGTTGATCTGTTTGAAAAAATTCAAATAAAAGCAATCTTGGTCTGTGATTCAGTCAGATACGGCATATTACCTTGCGTTACTGAATGATTTATTTCTTTGCAAAATTTTGAAGTAATTCCTGGCCGAAAATTCAGAATGGTAGTAAGGTCTGAATGAGCTAGTCTTTGCCAATGCTCCATAGTAATTGAACCTATAATCAGTAATATTTATTAAAATATAGAAAGGTCATGCTTTCTTTACCTTTAATTGGTTTAATTAATTGTAATTTCTCAGAGTGTCTAAAAATGCTTGAAAGTCCGGGTAAACTGACAGATGATTTTGATGAAAAGTCAGCTCCAAATGACGAACATCTCCTTGATGAAAAGTTTCCTAGCTCTCTCTCCCAACTATTCTGTGACTGTTGTTCGGATACCATTGAAGATTCACGGTCGCAGTCTGTAAAAAACATTGATCCTTGGTTCAGACAGCCTTGACTCATTTCATAGGTAAATTCAGATTGTTGAGATTTGTTAACACACTTGAGCGTACTAATTGCATTTTCTTGCTGTGTTTGCATTTGGCGAATAAATTTTCCATCCGGATCGTTGGGATCCTTACAAACAGAAGTTCTAAGTTCATTCAATAGAGACTCAGTATTTGAACTATAGTGAAAGGAACAGTGATCAGACATTGATCTTAAGTTAATATCATTCAACTCTCTACATTTTTCTTCAAAAGATATTTCCATCTCATTTAGCTTTTCTGCCGCTTCTGTCAACTTTATAGACAAAAGTCTCTCTGTTTCCTTGCCATGCTCAATAATGATTATTAACTCATTATTTTCATCAGATAATTTTTTCACAGTTTCTCTAACTAATGATATCTCATTTTCAAGAAACAATATTTTCTCTTCTTGATCATGTATGATTTCCAAATGATTTGCCACTTCTGTCTGAAAATTATTTGAATTTGTTCTGGATACCTCTAGCTCCTTCATTAACTCCTGAACTAGTGCTTCCTCCTTGGACACAAGTTGATCAGTATCAGTTAGACAATGAACTGTTCTTTCCTTAAGACATTCATTTTCTCGTTCGAGAAAATTTACTTTTTTTTGTAACGCTTCTAAGTACACTACCCCTCTCCCATCACTCTTCCTTTGTTCAGACCTTTGGAAAGTGAAGTATGATCGCAATCAGTATAATGTTAGCTGAAGTAGAGATAAAAATAATTACTCTAAAACATCTGTTTCTTGATCGCTTTGCAAGTAAGAGTGTAGCAAAGAATCTTTCATACACAATTCGTGCTGAAGTTGCTTGGATTTTTCAGTGGCATCCTCTAATTGACATTCTAAATTTTCACTTAGACTCTCAAGTTGTTTATTTCTTTCAAGAAGACTTTGACCTATTCGCGCAGCCAATTCTAAATCCTTCTCTTTCTGAAATAAAATAATACTTTCACTTAAATACTTCTATTTTGTTATTTGAAAATCTACTTCTTCTAGTAAATGAGTAACAGCATCAATATCATTGTAGGTTTTCGTCATTTGAGTCAATCGATCGCCACACAAAACTGAAAAATGAATATACTATTTCAAGTGCACGTAAATTTCATGTTGGTTAAAAGGTAAATAAGAACCTACAAGATCAAAGGAAATTTACATTGAAATTTAGATCACAATGATGCAGTAGTTGATAGAGTCACAATTTGGCAAATACAATGGAAATTAGATCGTTATTATCTATCACTCTCAACTGCAGCTCTTATTGTGCATTTTCTATCTGCCATAAGAAAAGAAACAGGGGTGCGTGATTGGTGTACATGACAGGTATGTATAGTTCAAGGTGAAAAGGGAGCTATATAAGCTCTTGCTATATTCACAAACAAAATAAAACATCTATTGTAACCTTCACTAATCAGCTGTTGATTATATCCATTATCCCCAAAGGATTCGTATACTTCATCTTTAGCATTATGTACTGACTTATATTGATTTTCAACCATTGTATTCCAAATTTAACAGATGTTTTTATACATGTTTCCTTAATAAATATAGATATAAGTGGGCTTCTTGCCACAAGCTTGTGTTATTAATCACTCCAAATTTCAAGATTCCTTGATTCAGATCTCTGTATAATATTTTCAAACTGCGGCTAATAATGTATTTATTGCTTTATCAGCTTAATCGCTGATATTTTCTTATACTTGGAGTACATTATCTTCTTATACAGTTTTGAGCCTCACAAATTTAAATGTACCTATTATAGCTCATATAAAGAAGCTAGGCTATAGAAAAAGGCCTATTGATCTATTCACCTGAACTTGTTGTCACGAGATACGCACAATCAATAAACATAATAATTATTTGTATCAATAAAATATAGAAAAATGATCTATAGAGCTAAATCATTTCTTCAAATTTTTCGTTGATACTAACTAGTACAAGAATTCTAAAATGAAATAAAACATACTAAAGTAATTCAGGGTTTCTTCAATAACTTCGACCGATAGAGGAAGATCGTGATCACTTGGTAATACAGGAGTATGTATCCAATCTAGGGTAAAAATTAATAAAGTCCTTCTGCAATGAATATAATTTATACCAGAATTGGCGTATCCTCCAAAATCTGTGAAGGTATCAGCCCGTAGACGATATTGAGGAATTGTTTCTTTAATTAGAGAAACCAAGGAAACTTCGTCTAATTCTCTATTACAGCATATATCTATAAGATGATTCAGAATAAGAAAGTTTGAATATTTTACTTCTTTGACAAATTACCTGTTAATGTAGCGGAATCCGAGTATCGGTGAGTATGCCTGGAATCTTTCAAATTTAATTCGCCGAGATCCTCGTAAACGGACTCCTCTGTATTCTGCTTCCCGTCAGTTGCCAGTTTGACTGCTAATATATCAAAATTGCAAAGCAGTTTTAAAAAATAATGTAAGCAAAATGAAAGCAATATATTTTAACATTAAAGCAGTCACTAGCAAATTAATTTCCTTTCAAGTTACTACTACTTTACTTACATTTACCTATCAATGTACCAGTAAAAAAAATACTCTGAATTGAATATGTGCTTTGTGAGAAAGAATGTGGAAAACGTAGATTCTTACCATTAGAATCTAATATAAATATTTCTTGAACTTGAGATTTTCTTATTCACAGTAGAAACCTGAAAGATATTCAAGTTTAATTTGTTAGAATCATAATAATGATGGAACATTTTGGCGTGTGTCATTTCAATAAATCAAGCGTATACAATGAATTAATACATTTGATATTGATATTTTCTTTTTTCGAGAATAATAAAAAATTGTTAGTCTCTGGTTTTTTTTTATACTTGGTATCAAAAAATGACACAGATGAGAAGTTTTTTATACCTTAAAAGAAGATGTACATGTGAAATATGTGATAAATTATTATATAATAAATCAAGTATTGAAACACACTATAAGTCGATCTTAATAAATATTCTCATTGAATACGGGATGTACTGTCAAAAACAAAATATTGAAAGTCAAGACAATAGTATAACCTTGACCTTCCTACATGTTATTTGAAAGCCATTATAGAATATGGAGACTCTTCACATGTGGTGCCCTCTAGCCTTTTATTTACTTTCTCACCGGTGACCATTCTGTGAATGGTTAGCTGAAAGAGTAACTCATTTGGCATCTAGAACTATAACAATCTATCAATACTATAATTTCAATTTAATATTTTTATTGTAAAAATCTAATTTATACTGTTTACAGTGAATAATAGTATATTTTCATCACATGGATTGGCTTAACAAAAGTATTTCATTTTTCACATTTTCAAAAGTATAACCTTTGAGAAAAGAAAATATTGAATGAAAAGTAGGTGGAAGAACTTGACCTAAATATAATACAGATATTATATTTTGTTCATCAAATTTCATCTTAATTTCAGGACGAAAACTCCAATATTTCAAATTTTTTCATAATATCCCCTTCTGAAAATTTCATTTCTACAAAAATTTGTATTTAGAAAATAGCTAAGTTATCTATCCAAGATGTCATCACCTGATGTTCTGAAGCTCTTCATGGAAATAATTGTTTTTGAAATACTTCCTTTACAAGTTACTGCCCAATACATCATAGCTTTCGTGGTAAGTCCGAGGGAATTTTTTGAAGTCTTGTTCAAATAGTCAAAATACTAATAAATAAATTATAATTTAAAACAGTTACCTCTAAAATTTCATTAGCAAAATTCTTTTGGAAAGTAGATTTATCTGATTATGTATATAATTATATAGTACTTTTGTAAAATTGATACAATAACAAACCGAATTCTATGTAATCTGAAGCTGAAAGCAGTTTTGAAATGCTATTTCCTGAATTTTGAAGTTTTTTGGGGGCCTTCGGTGACTTCGTTACTGATACGTTGTCTGTGGAGCATTTTTTTTTTCTTTTGTGAGACAGCAGTTCTCGATTTTTACAACTCCGAGTAACTCTATAGTTATCATTTTCTTCGTTTAGCTGAGTTTTATTTAAACGCCCCGGCCTTTCTATAATAGGCAAAGAAAACCTTTTTAAATTATTTTCATTATTCAAAAATTAAACCTTTTTCTATATGCCCACTCTCCACAGAATGGGTAAAGTCTTTGTTCTTTGGTCCTACTTTAAGAGCATTCGCCTTTCTTTTGACTCCCGGTGTTATGGCGGGTGATTCAGTTAATAGTTTGTCAGATTTATTCAATATTTTAACAGATTTCTCACGAAACGGTTTATGTTTTTTGACACCTTCCTCATCATCAGAATCATCAGCAAAAGATCCAGGATTAAGGGAGGAATAAGACTTTGAGCTATCCTCCCTTTTTGCTTGGCTTAAAATATCATACTGATTCTGAGCTAATTGATAATTCTTTAGATTGGGAAGAATAATTTTCAGATATCGTTCTCGAAGAGACATCCAAGTACGACCTCGAAGTTGTTTCGGCTTTTAAAATATTTACCGGTATTGTTAGAAAACATATGTGATAACAGCTTTACCAATTTATCTTGAAGATTTGTCCAGAGTGACCTTCCACGAACTAATCGTGCACCATTTGACCGCCAAACATATTTTATTATGGCTTCGTCGTCTGATCTTGTGTACGCCTGACGTCTAAAATTACGCAATAATATAGCTCTTTCTTTGTTTGCTAAGTACCTGTACTTATGAATAACTCTCTGTTCAGATTTAGGAGATACAGCAGCCATAACGTCATTACAAACTTCTTGATCAGAACTTTTATTCGTATAGTCGTCAAGATTTAATTTTTTTTTCTTGGCTATACTCTCGTGGATAAAATCTATAGAGACTTCGCCTTTGGATGCTTGGGATCCAGGACTAGTTAGCCTAAATTTTCAATACATAAATTATCAAAAATTATTTTTATAAATTATTATACTTGATAACGTTTTCTCTACAATTTCTGAAAACCAACTCGCCACCATGATCCTGTTGAAAAAAAAATCAAATGATTAATAGGTTTTGCAAATAAAAATGACCAACCATAATTTTTTTTCGTAAACTATCACGTATATCACATGGACTTAGATAGAATTTTAAAGGTTTTCCATTTTCAGCGATAAATATTTCCGATTTAGTCATGATGTTTTCTGGAAAAATTTGAAAAGGGTTCTCTCGATTAAACAAGAACTGAAACGGTTTTCTGCGACCTAGGATATTTTAGTAAAAGAAATAATATTTATGATAAAATTTCTGCTAGCCATTTGTCAGGTCATGCAACTTATAGCATTAATTACGATAAAATACACTACTATCGCTAAAATAGGACTTACTTGTTCCAGTTTTCTTAATTACCTAATATCACTGAGCGATAAATTAATAGTAAATAAATTTAAAAATTTTGTGCAATACTGTTCAAGAAAACGGGTAAAGAAAAAACGCGGAAAAATGGCGCCAGTCTGATGTAGAGCAAAAATCAACGATTATGGCTTTATCTACACCGCTTTCCACGCCTAGACCCGTTCCCCTATTTTTATCCGAACCAGAAGTTTTATCTACAAAAAAAGATAGGGATAAACGACAGCGAATTGTGAGAGAAATAACTGAACCTGCTCGAAGTGCACCGCCAGTTAGCCGAGTCATACCACAGCGGAATCGCCTGATCTTATCTCCAAATGTTCAAGCTAAAATTAAAGCTCTAAATGTCTATAAAATAGGATCGATCGAAAACTTAAACAAAACTAAATCGATTTTGTCTGAAAATTTTACGGTACTCTCTAAGCTCGGCTCTGGAAGTTTTGGTGAAGTTTACAAAGTTAGAAGTAAAGAAGATGGTCAACTCTATGCAATTAAACGTACAATTGACAGTTTTAAGGGTAATTCAGATAGAAAACTAAAAATGAGCGAAGTGATTAAATACAGAAAGATCCCAGTTCATCCCAATTGTGTCAAATTTTATACAGCATGGGAAGAAAATCGTCATTTTTTTATCCAAACGGAATTATGCCATGCTAGTTTGGATAAATATGTCAGTCAATTAGACTGTATACCAGAAAGTGATCTTTGTTGCTGGCTCATTGATTTATTGAAAGCTTTACATCACTTGCACCGCCATTTCCTTGTTCATATGGACGTTAAGCCTGACAATGTGTTTATTGGACAGGACGGAATATGTAAATTGGGTGATTATGGAATCATGTATGACTTATCAACGGATAAGGAAAAGGATGCCCAAGAAGGAGACTGCAGATATTTAGCACCAGAAGTCATGAAAGGAGTATTCAATACACCAGCTGACGTATTTAGCCTCGGTATGACCATCTTAGAATTAGCCGGTGATCTCGATCTTCCAAATGGGGGAGAAGTTTGGCATGAATTGAGATCTGGGAAGATCCCTAGTAGATTTATAGAAGCTTACTCGCAAGAATTTCGATCCATAATTGAATTAATGTTGGACCCTAATCCAAACTCAAGGTGGACTGCGGAAAAACTTTTAGCGCATCCATTCTTAAATAAGATGGCTATTGACAGGCAAAAGCCTTTAAATGAATTAAATGATTCGTATGAAATTAATGCGGAATGCTTAAGATCCCCTAGTGCTCCCGCCTCTTTTTCTAGTGACGAAGAGTTTCCCGTTCAAGATAGTAAAATTTGCAGAACAACTCCAAGTGGCGGGTTTAGACTGAAAAATACATTTGATAATGATAACGAAGATCATGCCTTAGTCAGAAATCTTCTCGATGAATTTTCATCAGTTGACGAATAACACAGCTGCGCTGGTTTTGCATTTTGTCAAAAACATTCCGAGACAGTCTAGTTTTTTGCACGATCTTTTTTATATCTTTTTACATGTATGAATTCAATTATTGCGTTTATATCTATTTCTTGTAAAAATGATCATTAATAAATAGTTAAACAGTACAGGTGGCATACACATAGAAATTTTCTATTACTTATAAACTCCTTTATACTTGAAAGATAGTTGATAGAATATTTATGTAAACTTGTATATTTAAATAAAAGGCTTGCAGAGTACAAAATTAAAACTACATTTAGTTTGACTGGAATGATGATAGCTGTTGCAGTCATTTGAGCGATACTTAAATAATAGTTTAACAATATGAGCTACAAAGTAACAACAATTTGACCACATCAATCTAGTTTACATCTTAAGCAAAAAATGCTACATTCATTCAGAAACCATATTTGATAAAGAAATTGCCTCAGAAAAACAATGCAAAAGCAAAGCACCTACGAAAATGAAATATGTATAATACTGAAACATATTCACGAGTTTTGATGTCGTTATAATATCGCGAACCCAAGCCATTGAGTTATATGGTAAATTTAATACATTCCCCCTACATAGGCTCGAACCTGTATGTTGTCAGCATTTTCATTTTTCGAAGTTAGTGCATCAGTTTCAAAAGAAGAACTATTATTGCGCATTCGTCTGTTAAGTGGCATATTACCACCTAATCGATTCGTACGTTTCTTCTTCTTGATCCTATAGAATTGATAATTTTTAGAAAAACTTGAAGCAGTTTAGTTGATACATTATGGAGCTAATTATTATTCTCACCAAGCAATCACAATAATCATCCAGATTGTATTAACTTTAAAAAAATATGTACATACTTGCCTGAAGTTCTTATTAACTTGACGAAAATGGATTGTAACTGCTGTCAGAATTAGGAGAAGTAGACAGCATAATGTTCCGAGAGAAACACTTAAAATTAACAGCATCCTTTCTTTATCTCTTAAATGATGATAATTTTCGTGATTGCCATCTAATTGATTAATATGTATAAATATGAAAATAATTAACAATTTTCTAGGAAAGAATGTTAATAATATGCAACAGAATTCTGACCATTTATAATGATTGAAGATTCACAAGTAGTAAAAAATTTCCTGTCTTTGCTTGAAATTTCACAAACGTATTTTTCTTTATGTTGATCTATTGCAGCAAAAGCTAGTGTTGCATTGTAAATATTATAATCACTTTGAAATATTGCTGAAAAACTAAAACAAAAAAAATAATTGAAAAAACTTTTGATGAAAATTTAAACATTACGAAGAATTTCCACTTTTCCAAATAGCCTGCCAACCAGGATTGGGTCCACTATATGGAATTTGACAGAAAGCTTCGCTGTTGTCTCCATACTTTACAACTATTTCCCTTGAACAGTGGACTTGACCTTGATGTTTAATGTTTACAATACAAAAGCATGTTTAGTGTATGCAACATGATGATACATAGGACACTAAATGGTATGTATTAACGGAAAGGATTGAAAACAGCAAATTTACTCACCTGCAACTGTTAATACAGCTGTAAAATTTTTAAAATTTTTTACTTCACACATATAGGAACCACTGTCTGTTTCTTGTACATTTTTTATTGATAGGCTAAAGTCGCTACCAATATCATACTTGTCGCCCATAAAATATGATTCCCTTGAAATTAGAGCTTTGTCAGAAGATGCAATGAAAAACCATCCATTATAAGAGAAATGCCACCATATTAATGTATTATAATGAGCAAGATTAGTTACTGTGCAATTAAATCTTGCAGTATAATTGATTTTTGCGATCTGATCAGTTGGTTGTGATAACATTTCCGGGACTTTACTTTCAAACTCTAAAATAGGAAATATTGTTTTGAAACTATTGATAAGATAGTTCAAGCATTTGTTTACAAATGGAAATAAATTAATAAAATTAAATTTCTCAGGTGACTGTATAAGAAAGATAATTTTTACAATTTTAACCTTGATAAAGATAAAGTTGAATGCACTAATAAAACTAAAATAATTTCGCCTACCATGGAGGAGAGCGGTTTTGCTATTCCCCCCAAACGATCCTGTGGCATGGCATGTATATTGACCGTAATCACTTCGATTCAATTTTAAGACACGCAAAACAGTTCGATGATTCGATTTGGACACATTCCACTTTTCTAACTGATATTTGTCTGAGTCACTGATTTTTTTACCGTTCCTTGTCCAGTATCCACGGATGAGGTCAACAGCATGTATAAAGCATATCAAAGCTGCATCAGAACCTTCCTTCTGAACAATACGTTCGGCCGGTATATGTATAATTGGCTTGTCTATGTTTTGTAAAACTTTATTTCAGAAAAATTTGAAGAAAAAAACGTACAAAATTACCTGTAACGGCTAAATTGAAAGATTTAAGATCTTGGAATCCTTTTTTACCAATCACCATAGCCTTACAAGTATATTTTCCAGACGAATTTGTAGTTACTGATTTTAATTTCAAATCCTTCCCTTCTGAGTGTTGTCTATTATCTTTCAGCCAAAAAATAGAAGGTTTCGGATTCCCTTCAGCAACACAAGATACTGTCTTATCCTCTCCTCGTCGAAGTGTTATATTATTAAATACAGATTTGATTTCCGGTTTGTCTAAAATGTAAAGATTTTATATTTTCAATTTTAAGAGAAAATACAACCAACAGTGTATATCAAGAGAAACACTTGTTACTTTACTCTCAGTGCTTTCGACTCTGCACAAATAATCTCCTTTATCCTCTTTTTTGACATCAGCAATAGACAAATCCCAAATATAATCCCTCTCATTATGAATTGTATGGCGTTCATCAGAGCTGACAACTGTTCTGTTTTTGGTCAAAAGCGTCTTTTCTTTGAACCAATATACTCCTTTCTGGAAAGGAAAGTTTTAAGAGCATTTTTCACATAATACTGACAAACTCACCACTGGAAATATATTCCGACTATTACATTCTAATGTTGCCTTTTCACCTTCAGTGAAAATCTTTTTTAAAGTACTTGACAAAACCATTTGAAATAAACAGGCGACAAACAGACCTGAGAAAAATTAATTATGTTTTTATATCGAACAAATAAGAACTAATACTCACAGAACCGTGTCATTTGAACCATGTTATTACATATATATTATTTAAAAATATTATGAAAAAATAATAAAAGAAAAATTTTAAAATCTGAATCCTATATTTTCCTTGCTATTTCAGTAATCCCGATTTGAACTGATATTTGCTCTTTCTGCATTACTAATCCTGTACAATTTGAGAGAAATCAGACTAAATTCATAACTTAGTTATCACTTATCATTGCTCTCTAGCTACAGTTCGAGATAACGGATGTATTCTCTTCACCACATTCAGCATAAATCAAGACGGAACATCCCAACTGATTTTTTTCTATTTTTGGAACTAACCTCGTTTCTGTAAACGGGGTTTCCCCTCTCTGTTGGCGGGAGAGAGATTTTTAAACTTACTTGTTTAAGATAGATAGCTAAACTAGTTAAACTAAATTGAATTTAAAATATTTTTGTTTAAATAGAAGACTAATCTAAAAAAATATGATTTCCTTTTTAATTCGCAATGATTATGAAACAATAACGTTGTATATTTTATATATATAATATTTATATATTCATTTCATAATATCTAGTAATTTTGAGATCAAATCATTTTTTCTTTGTTGTTCTAATAAATTCTGCTTAAAAATGCCTCTCAACTCATTAATTGACTTTTGAATAGAGCTTTTGAAAAGGCGGTCTTGTTCAGAATATTGCTTCCACCATTCTGGAGCATTAGTGGTCGAAGGGGACTCGGTCTTTCTCTTCTTCGTTACACTAGTTTGCGAATCTTCGTCGTCTGATTCTTCATTGAGAATTTGAACGCTAAATTTGTGAGCTGTTGGTTTTTCATATTTAACGCAGCCGAAATCATTTATCTATTTAGTTAAAGATATTTAAAGATAATGAAAAACTACACAGAAATAATACTAACAGCTGGATTATGAATCGATTCATCATTTTTAAGAAGTTCGTCCATAACAGAGTAGTAGGGCCAAGATATTGGCTTACTGTTATACATGTTATTGTCTAGAATATTCTTATAGGTTTGTTTCATATTCCTAAATTTTTTATCGCATTCAGGCCCCGTTACATTCCAATTAGGCTGTGATTCACGTAACTTTTTTGCAACATGTACCCAGAGCTGCTTTTTTGTGTAATTTGGATTTTTGAATTGCTCTTCTCGTTTTCTATATTCTTCCAACATCAATCTGGTCGCAGTTTGACTCCAAACTAAAAACATTCTAGAAATATAATTGAGACAAACAATTTGTGACTTACTTTTTCCTCCATGAGCCTTCAACGCAAAATCTGATTCTATTTTAAAAATTACAAAATTTTACAAGCTATCCAAAATAATAATTGAATAGAAAACAGACCAACATCAGAGAGCTCATCGACTACTTCTATATTAACAGCTTTTTGACTTTCTGTAGTATTGTTTTGCATATTCGTATCATGATCATGCTCTTCGACTATTTTATAACAAAAAAATTAATACATTTTTGAAAGTTCTTTTTAGATGATACGAACGTTCGATTTCGAGCTGAGCGCTTGCCATTTTCTTAAAGTTTCTATTTCGAAGGCTTTAAAATTCTAATATGGCTGACAGGACTTGAAAGCTAATGAGAATATTTGCAGCTTATTGATTGGTTTAGAAAATAAGTGCGGGACTAGCTTCAAGCGCTGAGAAGCGTCTAACCGCAAGTTTTGATAGTAAAATATGACGAAAATTCACTTGACATTAAAACAACGAAACAGTGTTAAAATTTTTATAAATTTTAAATCTGTATTTCTCATTTAAAATGTTATAAACAAAAGACATGAGTAAATTAAAATAAACCGGTATATCTGCAATTTAATTTTGCAATAATTTTCCCGGAAAAAATATGTAAAATATCAAATTGTTCAAACACGTTTTAAAGATACTGAAACTATATAGCATAGATTTCACAACGATAGATTTTGCAGTGGTGCAGCTACAAAAATTTTAGGACAGAAAACAACAAAGCATTGACTAGGCTTTTCCCCAGGTTTAGTGGTCTCTAATCTTCTTACGTAACAGAAATTAACTCTCTACTTCCATGTAATGATGAACTTCCTGCTGATGAAATAGGTGAGCTGTTACTCTGTACACTTCCTCCCCCTATACTACTGTACATTGGATGTTTCCGTCTGAATGAACAACCTCCTGTAATTTCATCATTGTCTTCATTATCTGCAAAAAGGTTGTCGAAACTTCGACAACGTCTCTCACTTATTTCTGAAGTAAAATTTGCAGGTGGTGATTCCTCTTTCTGAGGTGTCAAAGGTGTTCCTGTCAGTCCAATGCTGCACGGTCTGACCGTTGGGCGCTTACTTGACGAAAGTGAAGGTGGATCAACACCTAAGCTAAGAGGTCTTTTAACTGCTGGTTTGGGACATGGTGAAGCTTGAGAACCTCTAAATGATAAAGATTCCGTCTCCACATTCAAACTTAAAGGTCTTCTAACATTGGCTTTTGAAGGAAGTTTGGAGCAGGCCGTAAATTGAATATTTCTTAATGATGATGCCGGGAGTGCGTGTTTCGGCATGGGAACTTCAGCCTCGGAGAAGCTGAGTAGGGAAAAAGCGGTGGTAGGACTGTGAAGTGTAGCTGAAGGTTGATGTTGTATCGGTAGGAGTTTTGGAGGTATGGGTGGACCATCGTTCTTTAAAAATTTTTCATATTCAGTTAACTGGCCAAGGAAGTTAAAGTTTGGAGATATCGTAGGCCGTTTTTCTTTAACGAATTTGTAAGCATCATCTGATGACATATTCAGATATTTCATTATATATGCAATAGCTAGGGCAGGAGATCGGGAAATCCCTGCCATGCAATGAACAAGAACTTTCCCGTTTGCTTCTTTAACTTTGTTTATAAATGAGAAAGCCTTGTCTAGATGAGGCAGAAGTTTACTAGTATAATTATCGTTGATGGCAATTCGAAAGAAATAAGCATCCATGACATGTTCAGGCTGTGGACATTGTGTAGAAACATTTAGAACGTGGGTGATTTTCTGTTGATCAAATAGCTTTTTAGATAAAGCATCGTTTTGCGAACCGAGATAGAGGAATGGTAATATCTTGGTAGGTCCCTGAGATGAAACAGGCATGCAAGGTTGTGACATGCTCGTTAACGTTGGTTTCGTTTCCAGTCCAGATACATTACAACTTTTGCTTTCACAAAGTGAAGGATAAGATGCCTTAAAATCAAGGAAACCTCCTTTCAAGAATGCAACTTTTCTGAATAGAGTGTTTAATTTTGAAACCAGCACAAATGCAAAACAATCGACGGGCAGTGCAGTTGGATCAGACGTGCATTGGTCGTAAACGATGATAAAACGATCGGTATTCGTTTCGCAATTTGTTGAACAGTGTAACAGCTCCACAATTGAAATCTATTCATTAAATTAGAATGGCTTATGTTAAAGAATTACATTGCAAATCTACCTTATCTTTTTGCAATCTTCGCTTTACTAGTTTAGAACAGCAAACGTTTATCGCATTCCCAATGTGACAAGTGTTATATTCTAGAAACGAACGACTGTCTACGATGAGCACCTGTAAAAATAAGCGATCGTATAGTACTCAGTTTTTCGTGTGTATTGTATTCTTTACCTTGTCTGTGTCATCGTGTATGCACTGAGCAACAGTTTCAGGCAGCACCAATTTCCAGTTCGAAGCAGCCATCTCTAAACAATATTAATGAAACATGACATCCCTCAAAGCATCTGGAGGAACAATCGACTATTGTTCCGATCAACACTCTCCTTCACCTTGACATCAAATTGATGAACAATGTAAAAATACTGCTTACATCATCAACAACCAATCGCTGTATTCTATTCAATTACTTACAGCCAATCGAAATCAGTTTTACAATACTTATAATACCGGTAACTTTGTAAAATGACCGGTTTAGTTTCGTAACATCCGCTGGTGGAATGTTAACAAAAACAAACATGCCGAAGGATATAAAAGTTAAGAAAATAGGCTTTAATATAGAACCACCTGCCCTTATACTTATTTATACCGAACAAGGAAAGTCCAGGAAAAGGATGATGCCACTTAGAAACTTCACAAAACGAACAGGTATCAATAGGGTTGTGGAAGAACTAAAGGGTCGTCATTACCACCACCTTGCCAACGTGTCTGAACCACAGTTGGCTAAGCTGTTAACTGTTTTACAAGATCGTATGAATGGTTTAAGCTTGAAATCAAGTCTTGAAAAAAGGGGTAGCATGGACAGATTAGATCCCGATGAAGACTTAAACCAAGTTGATCAAGAAACTCTAACCCTAAAGAAAAAGATAATGGAAAAGACGTTTGAGGAAAACTCAAGAAAACCTGGAGACCCTGACTACAATTATGATGTTGAGGTTGATTTCGATGAGCAAATAGAGCCCTCCCCATGGGATTCTGACTCAATGAGTGATTTCTAGACTGTTACAGACATAGAAAATTTAGCTGCATACTTTGCTATATATTTATACATATGAATCTTACAAACAATGTGCTATGAATACTAAATAAATACAAATTTTTTCTAATAGTTTTGTAAAGAAATATTGAAGATTTCAGGTGATGAAATCATCAGACGTATTTCCAATAATGAATACTGAAAATTGTTATATAAGAAAAAGTTTGTCAGCACCGAGTATGTTTAACGTTTTTGTCATAATTGAAATATTGTTTCTTCAGTATTTTGCAACTCCTTGAACGAAGAAGAGACTGTCCTCTTTGTCCTAATGACAAGATCTGGTTCTTTTCTTAAATCTTCTGATGTATTGGTAGACGAAGTCCGGCTAAAGCTGCCAAAAAAATATATTTTAATTTCTGGAAACATCTCATTTGAAACTTACGTTGAACTCTCTTCAAGTTGATCGACTCTTGATTTTAAACTTTTTAAATTTGTGTCAAAACGTTCCAAAATATCAGAAACAGATGCTTTGGGACTAGAACACAGGTCGATAGTTTTACTTCTTCCTTTTGCAGCTAAATTCTTCCGCCTAACAGCATATTCTCCAACTGAACTGGTGGAAGGTATTAATAAGTGTTCGTAGATAACCAAGCTCTCGTTTGACCATATTCCATTGGTTCTCTTTAATTGCTCCATCTAGATGTTATAATACACATTATTAATGAGAAGTATCGTTGGTATATTGAAAACATCTGTTAACAATAATTAGATAAACACTAACCGAAATACCATATTTAAGAGATATTCCCTGAAGTGTGTCACCTGGCAGAATATCATGTTTTATAAAAGTTTCATTTTTCACACAATGCTGTTTTGTTGAACCATAACTAGTTTGACTGTGCGATTTTAAAGATTTACGTTCTTGTACTTGATTGTCATCCATTTTACGTTGGTTATAACTAAACACGGGATGTTACTATAAATATTCGGTTTTTTGTATTTAACTTTTATTCTTTTCTCACGGGAATACTGATAATCTTCTTTTCAGCTGTTTGAAAATTCACTCTAATATATGATTGACAAAAAGGAGGAAGTGTTCGCATAATAGAGAATAATTCACAGCAAAATTAGATCATTTTTTACGAACACTAAGGTTTATGTCTATACTTTAGTACGTCCCACCGTGGCCATCTTTGTTTATATTCGAGCTTGAAATTAGAAGTATTACATAATTTCTTCTTTCTTTGTCAGAGTTAAGAACGAATAGCCAGAGAGATGAGTTATCAAATGTATCGCAAGACAACTTTGGGAAATACTCTTCAAGAAAGTTTAGACGACTTGATTACGGTTAAGTTTTAATTCATCTTATAGAATAGTCTTTCGTATTTTATACTTATAAAAATTTCAAAAGCATATTCCCCTGTAAAAATATATAGGCTAGAAATGTACAATATAATTATATATATATATATAACGTAACATAATCTTATTCTCAATTATTTTCATAGATGAATCAGATAACTCCGAACTTAGCTTTGAAAGTTTTACAACAATTTGATAGAGCAATTAACAGTGCCTTATCCCAAAGAGTAAGAAATCGTACAAATTTCAAAGGGCACCTAAATACGTACCGTTTTTGTGACAATGTATGGACTTTTGTTCTGGACGATGTGGAATTTAAAGATGCAATGATTGAAAATGGAAACATTGAACGTTTAAAAATTGTAGCCTGCGATGCTAAATCATCTCAAGGTGGGAAATATTTATTTTAAAGTAGGAATAATGAAAGCATATATTTTATTGTATTGTATTCAATTCATCCGCATACCTTACATGGTTAACTAATAATTTCATTTAAATAGGTGTAGGTGGGATGGACTAACGCTTGTTGAAAGTGTCAACCGAATGTACAAAAGCAAGTTTTAAGAGAACTCCTCGAAGTTTTCCTTGATTTAAACAGCGGTCCACTTTTTAAAATTCTATAGAATACAATACAGTGGTAAAAGTAATTTAATTTTCTCCTTAGCGACAATAAAACTAAAATTTTAAAGATATTTAACTGTAAGGACATTTATTTAGATTATAGACTTTGAGGCTTTCAAACAATCTTTGCCTTTGAAAATTATGGGTAAGTAAGTCTCTAGAATTAAAATCCAACGGTCACATTTATTCTAAATTTTGAGAATTGTTAACATTTCTTAGTTCCACTTCTTTTATTGGATTCACTCTCGGAACATTTTCTTTTTCCAAGAGATTTGATGGGAGTTTTATCGTCCCGTTTAGAATGTCACGAGTCTTAGAAAGATTTCGCAAAATATCTTCCAAGTCTATTTCTTTATAAGGCTTCTTCAATTTTTCAATGTGCTCATTTAATTGAAGGCTACAAAAATTAATCAAAATTTCCTTGTCTTTCAGTCTACCGGTTAGTATTGCATGTTCTCTATCGACAGTTGTAATTTTTTTTGCTGAATGATTTATTCGTTTGCTTTGAATTGGTGTCGACAAAGACCCTGAAGGAAATGGCGGCTTAGAGTCTTGATTTAGGATACTGAGGTTGGAATTATTTTGATAAAGAGAGTCATTTGGGATAGCTAAATTTGTAGATGACGCAGAGAGACTCGGAAACTTAGAAAAATTAGATATTTTTTGTGAAGATAAAATAGGAGTGGGTACCGAAGATTTTCTTTTTTGATAACGATCATCAGGAGATGACAAAGCGTTTTCTTGTAGAGTTGAATTCAATACCAATAGACTGTTAGGCCTTTCATTCCCCTTTCTCTCTTTCTTGAAGGAAAATTTTGAAATAACACTAGTCCTCTTAGCGGATTCACCGGATTTAACTGGTTCGTTTGTGACAGCACCAGACTTGCGAGGGGCATGGTTCATAAAAGTTGCAGATACCGGTTTCTGATAATGCTTGAAATAAAAGCTTAAACATTTAGTTAAATAACTTAGATTAGCTTACCTTAGGATCACGTAAATGCAAAGCCAAATCAATAAAGTACTGAATATCGGGAGCAGGTGGATATCTCATCAGAACGCTCAGACAGCTAGCGTAATCTCTGCTTATTACTGAATAAAATATAAAGTTTATATTTTCTTGGTAGATTAGGTTGTCACCCACATTGATCTCGAATATAAATAAGCATGGCTGTGAAAATATAGTCGACTAAATCTAAACTCAGTCCGTCAGAAAATAGGGCATCCCAAATCACCAAAAGATCTTGCATTGGAAATTCCCGACCAAATAGTAATCTGATCCAGCGTCTGAAACGAAGAGCCGGTAGATTACGTTTTTACCTTATTTTAGATTTACTTACATTCCATAAAACTGAGGAATTATATCATTATCTTCCAGGCATTTCCTCAGTTCGGGATCAAACCTCTTAAGTAAATGGTCGTGAATTCTCGCAAGCTTGAAAACAATTGCATTTGATGGACTAACATCATGCTGCTTGCTAAATGGCTCAAGAGATAGCTTTCGTACATGCTGTTTAAGACAGTAGATAAGAATTTTTCTGAAAGTTTTACAAAACTTACCACTTGTTGAGATGTTAGTTCCTTGGATATATACCATGGCTCAACTGTTTTCATAATTTGACAAAACATCGTGCTGTAAAGATAGTTGATGGAAGAATTAGGTTTCCAATTCTGATTAATACTACTAACTAAGCATCGTGTTCAATATATTTTGGATCCATAATTTCTTGTACTTCTGCTCTGTATATAAAATTATTATTGTGATAGCTATAAAAATATGATGGGAATAGGAAAGTTCTATATAAAGTAGCCAGCTACGTTCAAAGACTCCTAGAAGGTAAAACAACACCATGAAATGTCAAAAGTTTTTAGCTAATAACTAGTCTTATTATTAGAAGTTATTAAAATAGAAGCCATAAAACTCTAAAAAACCATAACCGAAAATGCTTAAAGCCGTTAAGAACCTGGTTGATTTAGTCATATAGCTGGCAGAAGTAAAATTTTTTAGTTAAGCTTTGCGAAAACATGCGATTTTAAATCACATATTTTTACATCTTACTTTTCTATGAAAAGATTTCTGTGAAATTTCATTCAATTTATAAACTAAGTTATTTATAAAATTTAAAAAAATCCTAAAAGTAAAAAAATTTTAAACAAATTGTGTACTGTAATGATTCCAACTCCTTTGCATGTAAGAAAGCTTGATGGTCACTGTGTAGTACAAAGATAAGTGGAGCGAGAAGCTCATGCATACCCTGTAGAGTTAAATAAACTTTAGGTTGAAGAATTATATACATATTTCAAGAATTTTCTGCAGACTACAGTTAATCTAGGGGAAGGTTACAACACCTGTTTGTATGATAATTTCATATTATTTCTCGCATAGAAAAATAATATATCGACCATAAGCTCTTGAACGTCCTCATCTTGGAAAAACTGCACGTTAGGGAAACTGAAACACAAGGTAGAGAAAAGAACACAACAGTGAAAAATCCTAAATCTAAATCAAAAATTCATAGTGTAAAAACATGTGCTGGAATTTCTATTGGTTAATCGGGAATCAAATTAATATGCGATTGTTAAGTAAGATACAACAGATTTATAAAGGGATTTTATACATGGATCACACCTGTCTATAGAAAGAAGGACTATTGCCGCTTTCCAGCGGTTTAGAGTATACGAAGAGTATATTGATAAGCATAGTTGTTATTGTTTCGGTGTGAAAAAATTCTATTTTCGGATACCTTTAAATATGGAGTTTTAATTTCACCAATTACTTTGAGAAGTAAAAATTCACTTTTTTAAAGGACACTTACGTTCTTACTACGTCTTGATAAATAATTGATCGCAGATGGTTATCTCGAAAAAATTGATTCCAAGGGCTCTATTTTAAAAAATCTTTCTGAAAGAATAATATAGTATTTCAATGCTGACCTCATCATTTAACGATAGAGGATTGTTTGTCTTTAGGTCAGAGCAGCTTGTAGATCTCGGATTTACCACCAACTATCAAAAATTACAATAGAAAAAGAAAATCATTTCAAAAACACTTGCTTTTTTTTTTAGATCACAGTAAAGCGACCTTGATTTCCGTACACTATTTATCCAATCTTTTCTCAATGGAGGAAAAATTTCTAGATACACCTGTAAAACTTCTTTTATTGTTTAAAAAGTCAAAACCACTCGAATATTACCCTCCAACAAACGCTTCTGAACCTAGAGCTTCTAAATTTTCCAACAATACCTGCTTGTCTCAAATTTTCTAAATATTTATCGCTGGAAAATAATTCTCTCCATTCTTTGCTGTAGGAACTTGCAGTACTACGACTCTCCGTAAAAGACACTATTAAGTTGTCTGTTTTGTCGCCTGAAAGAAGATACGGGGTTAACTTTAAAACAATGACAAACCAAAGACCAGCATTGTTAACGTATAACAATAGGCAATCTAAGTTTTACCAAAACCTCATTTTTTAAGCAAAATGAAGAGTGAGTACACGAAGTTAAACCAGGAAAATTCTACACACAAAAAAAGGTTGAAAATTATAATTTCAGATTAAAAATCAACATAATTTCTGTTGCAGTAAACTTCGTATTTGTGGTGGTTTATTAACAGTTTTGATCGGAGCTGCCATTGGAGTTGGCTTGCCTCTACTTATTGTTTTATCTTTTTCACAAACATTTAATTACGCACCAGTAATATATCAAGGTACCTCAAAGTCGACTTATGGTAAATTTGGAACTGTAGCTTCAGATGAGCAGCATTGCTCTTCACTTGGGACAAACATAATGGCAAAAAAGGGTGGGAGTGCGGTTGATGCTGCAATTATTACACTATTATGTCTAGGAGTTGTTTCACCTATGTCGTCAGGTTTAGGTGGGGGACATATAATGTTAATTTATGGAGAGCATGAGGTGGTTTCAGAGATTGCAAGAGAAAAAGCCCCTTTAGCAGCATCTGAAGAACTATTCGAAAGACCATCGAATGAATCCATGTATGGAGGTAGGGCCATTGCTGTGCCCGGAGAGATTGCAGGTTTGCATCGCTTTAAAATGAGCAATAGCTAGTTTATCTCTTTATAGGTTTACATAAAGCCTGGTCAAAATTTGGCAAACTTCCTTGGAGTGACTTATTTGAACCTATCATAAAATTAGCGGAAGGATTTCCTGTCCAGCACGCTTTAGCAGAGGCTTTCAAGAAAAATTTTGATATGCTAAAATCTAGCCCTAGTCTATCGAAAACCTTTTTGAAACATGATGGGTCAATATATAAAGAGGGAGAAATTCTGAAAAGAGAAAATCTCGCCGAAAGTCTTAAAAAAATTTCAAAAGAAGGTGCTAAAGCATTCTACAACGGTTCTCTAACTGAAGATATATTACTCGATTTGCAAGATCATGGAAGTATAATAAAAAAAGAAGATCTTAACCAGTTTGAAGCTTATTTCGCTAGACCTGTTAAATCAAATCTATCAAGCCTAAATATTACAGTATACTCTCCTCCACCGCCATCATCCGGTCCTGCGTATCAACTAATGCTTAATTTATTAGACCATTTAAACTTGAGTCCACAAAACATAAGCGAATTCGAAAAATCAGTCGATTTATATCACAGTCTAATAGAAATTTTTAAATTCGGATTTGCTGCAAAGAGTTTTTTAGGAGATCCCTCTTTCAATCGTTTCATGAATCACACTGTTGAAGACATGTTATCAGAGTCAACGATAAAAAGAATACTTTCGAAAATAGACATGAATAGGACACACGACGTTCCTTATTACGAACCAGCGGGGGAAATTTCCGAAACACATGGCACAACTCATGTTGCAGTAATATCCCCAAACGGAGATGCAGTAAGTGTCACTTCTACCATAAATTTATCGTTTGGCTCAAGAAAAGTGGGAGAAAGAACAGGTATTATATTTAACAATCAAATGGATGACTTTAGCCGTATTTCAACAAAGGAGAATTTTTGGGGAGCCTTAAATTCTCCTGCTAATCAAATAAGACCAGGAAAAAGGCCTCAGTCAAGCACATGCGGATCAATTTTTACAGATTTTTCAGGAAATGTGAAATTCGTTGTGGGAGCTTCTGGAGGAACGAAAATTCCCCCAGCTGTCTTAACAGTTTCGGCATTTGCGTTATGGCTTCAAAAAGATGTAGATGATGCAGTTAATATTGCAAGATTTCATCATCAGTTAATGCCTAATAGGGTTCTATATGAGAGTGCACTACCTAAATCATTAATTCAAGCATTAAAAAAGCGAGGTCATAAAATGGTCGAACAAAGTCCTGAACTAGGGGTTGCAGTATGTCAAGCTATAAAAAGTAACTGTTCGACAACGAACTTATGGGATGCTACAAATATATGTCTACATTCTGTAAGTGATTTTAGGAAGAGTGGAGGTCCAGATGCTTATTGATTAAATTGGTTATAAAACGGCACCAGTTTCCAATAAAAAAATATACATTTCATAACATATGGTATTATGAAAAAATAAAGAGAAATTCCAACGTACCCTTTATATTTTCTTTGTTTCCATTCATTTTGCAATAAATACACTAATATAACATTCTTTCCCGTAAAATTGCAAATATTCTGATGTTAAACCTAAAAGAGCGATAAAACAGATTTTGAGCTTCAAAAGTGTTACATAATTTAAACTTACAAGGAAAATTTATACATCAAACAAAGAATTTTCAATGTTATTTTTAATCATGATAGAATTACAAGATAAAATAAAACGTTTGTAAACATTTTATGGAAAAAAGTAGTTCTACAAAGATCCTAAACAAAATAGTTCTTCATGAAATTTTTTTGTTGAGCTAAATAGTACATTGAATGTCGGAGTTTTCTCAAACATCACGTTAATATGAGAAAATCAACTATTAAATTTACAATAAAAGCTAACAAATGAAATAAAATCAATACCACCAAATAATTAATTTTACACCATTAACTGTTCTCTTACCACGGTTCTAAGTTGAAAAATAAACAAAGCTAACCTTTAGATCTTACTTTCCTGGGAAGAAAAAAAAGACTTTAGATATTTTTAACATTGATATCATTGAAATACTCTTAGCTTAGTATATATTAAAGTAACAAAGCGAAAAAGTCGAAATAGAAATTGTTTAATTAAACCAAAAAACACAAAAATAATTAAAATTATAGAAATTTTAGACTTAGGTGGCGTTTTGATTTCATTGTTGTTGTCAGTCGAACATATAGAATCCTAAAGATAACTTAAACTCGCTAAAATGCGTATTGCATTGACATTATTCATTTTCTTTTCTTCTTGGTGCTTAACAGTTTCATCACCTACTGGAACTATAAATAAATGTCCTAAATACAGCTATTGTGAGTATCAAAATGTAAAGCAATTAAACCTTTAAAAGTATTTTTAGGTCAAGGAAAAAAATTTCCTTCTTCTCAAATGATTTTTAATCGGCCCGTTACATGCGATCAAAAAATTTCAACTGATGATGAATGCTGCTTACCAAATGTGCCTCACTTTGTTTGTTATAATGCTTAGTACGTTGGTATTTTTATCTACTTTTACTAATATAAAGCATTTTCAGTGTTGATCAAGGATTTTTGGCCCTTGGTAATACGAATTCACGATACAACACCGATATTCAAGATCTTTGTTTAGTTATGCTTAAAAAAATGGGTATTGAACCTAACTTATCAGAAAATTCAACTTACATGGCATCAGTATGATTTTAATAAAACGTGTGTTTTGCTCTGTATAATTTATCATGCATAGGCAATTACGTCGAACACAAGAGCGTACATTCGCTTTAAAGGTGACGAATTCAGCACATTTCGCAAAGTTGTGAAAGAAGAAGATGTCAAACCAGCGGTTTTGCATTTTGCTTGTGAAGTCGATGAGGAAACTTATAAAAACCCCAAATATTAAATTCATTTTTGCATGCTAGAAGTAGAAAAAAGGTAGACAAATAAAAGTATATCATATATCAAAAGCAATATTCGAATACGTGCCAGTCTCGTTGCTAAGATTCAGTTTGACTACACTATTAGAAATTTGCAATGTCTCTCGGAGAGAGAAATCATAATGTACCTCTAAATATTCCTTTATATGCATACAAGTATCCATGTTCTTCAAGAGTAAAGTTAACAGCAATAAAGAAGGGTATTTTTTACCCTACCTTGCCTTCGTTTAGAAATGTTGATAGAGATACACATATGAATAAACTGTCGGATGAACATTGCCAAACTTCAACAAAATTTGTTCTTCCAGGCAAAGAACAAAGAAAACCATATGACATCTTAGACAGACAGAATGAGGTAAGGTACATTAAAGAAATGTAATTCAATTTATATTGGAACACTTTCACCCCTTTTAGAATCCATTTAAAAGCTTTTATACTTCAAACCGAGAAATAAATCAAACAAAGGAAAATTGGTCAGAATTTTTAGAAAGATGTCCCGAACGATTCGAAATAAGGTTACCTGAACTAATGGAAAACAAAGCAGATTTTCATTTTTGCGGATATGGTGTACGATATTTCTCACCCGGAAATTTAAACAGTCGTTTTACTTTAAGAGAAAGTAATGGTATTGACAGATTTGGTAGAAGACCTACCCCATCTACGGAAAACGTCTTTCGTTATAGAAGCTCCAGCGAGAAGACACAGAAAGTACTACCATGGAAGAATCCTTAAAGTTTATTGTAATCATGTGATTTGAATTCCTAAAGCATTATATTAAATAAATATTATAAAAAAGTGAACAATTGTTATATCTTTCTTTAGTAGTGTTTTTTTTATTATTGACCTTCGCAAAATATTGATAAACGCCGCTTGGAACGTCACTTTCATGGCAGCATGGCAACAAGACTAATATGTCTCTTACTACTTACCTTTATTACAGGTTTTTTCATTTTTTCACAAGCTAGTTAAATTATAAATATTCCTTTCAGCAATTTCTGGACTGTGTGATGTAGCCCGGTAAAAAACACTTTTACATTTAAAATATTAATAATTTTCTGTTAATATATAATGTCCTAATCTCAGATGTTTGAATGGCATTTGCCAAGATAATCAGTGTGTTTGTAACAACTGTTTCATTGGAACAAACTGTGAAACCTATGGTAAAAAATTTTTCATTTTTTAACGAGAATCGAAAAATTGTTTTCCCCTCAGTTAACAAGTTTTCTCCCAAATTTTCTCAAAAATCCTATAAAGTTAACGTGGCATCTAAAGGAAATTTTATCAAAAGAGAGGTGTTTCAAGTATTTGCAGAAGACAACGATAAATATATTTGTAAAGACAATCAAACTCCATGTACATGTGCAAATGTTGACTATTATTTGGTAACGAATGACAAAAAAAATGTTTTTGATATAGAAAAGCAAACGGGAATTATCTTTTTAAAAAAAGATATAATTTTACCTATTGGTCAAATGTTTCATTTAGAAGTCAAAGCCTCTAACGCCAATGAATGGGATAATTTCGATACTGCTGTTGTGACTTTGAATATTGTAGAAGAAGATAAGAAAAAGAAATTGAATCTCAAAAATTCTCTTTTCATAGACAGTTCGTACGAAAGTGAATCTTTTAATGTACCGATAAACAATATGCTTCCGTCGCTTCATTCAAGGACAAAGAGGGTAAGAATTTAAATGAAAAAAGCCTTTACAACTTTTCACAAAAGGAATTGAATATACAGGCGAATGTCAATTTTCGCTCAATGCTTATTTCTCTGTTAAAATGACTTATCTGTAAAAAATAATGAAAAAACATATCGTTTTTTATTGTTGATTTGCATAGATCAATACATTGGCATTGTTCTTTTTTCAGAGCGTTCCTACGTCACCGATCAATCCAGATAATATAACATTACATTTGATTAAGTACGGAAAATATGAAAATGTCACGGAACTGCGCCCGGGATCAAAAATTACTTTTCAGTTAGCAATACATTTTCCAGTTTATACAACGGACTTGCTGGTTGAACTTTTTACTCCAGATAATGATACGACAATCGCGAAATTATGTGATGTGAAAGTGAAAACAATTGGAAATAAATTGATTGTTGATCCACAGTTCAACATTCCTTCAAATTTTAAACCTATCATGGAATCTAAAGATGGTACAGATGAATACGATAGAGCAATACTGAACTTTGGAAATGTAAGTTGTACGGGCGGTGGAGCAGCTTCAGATAATATGATAGTAATAGAGTGGGATGTTTTTCTTCTAAATAAACCAAATTCAATTATAAATGGGTCAACTTATTGGATAAGCGCTGGAGCTGAATATAATTTCGAGACAGAAGTTTGGGTCGGACAGGCAGCTTTTACAGCTGTTTTGGATACACACGTAAGCAGAATGTTTTGAAATGATTCTTCTAATATTTAGTTTTTTAGATTCCGAGTATTTTGCCAACCTTTAATTTTACGGGTCCGGAGTTTTTGGAAATTGGAACTTCGGCGAAATATGTTTTAGATATTTATATTCCGTATGCGGTAACTACTGTTGTTCTTGATGTTTTTGCACCAATGAACCATACCGATATCTTGTCAGTATGTGATATAAGAGTTGTTTCAAAAGGAGAAAACTATGAATGTTTAAAAACGGATCACCTAAATATTGAACAATATAAAAGTAAAACAAAGATAACAAACGAAAAAGCGAGATTGAATCTTGGAGAAATTATAAATAAAGGTGCAAGAGAAGATGATAATGAGATTATAAAAAATAGGTTAACTTTAGAAATAGTTGTTCACCTTCAAGAAAATAACAATTTTATTGGAAAAAATTATTGGGTAGGTGCTGCTGTTGATGTAGGAGGAAGTAATATTTGGACAGGGGAACGTTTATTTACAGCTAAAAACAAAACAAAATATAGCACTGTAATGTATAAAATATACATTTGAATATTTTTAATTTCTCAATTCCTTCAGGTTTTAACTCCGAAAGTATCATTGGAACTTTTAACTCCTCAAAATGTCTTTATAGGCGACTCAATATTACATGAAATGGTTGTTGAATATCCTAAAAATTCTTTGTCATTCTATGAATTGGAAGTTATTTTACCTTTTAATCAAAGTCAAGAATGGTTAAAAATATGTTCTCTAAAAATGGTTTTTAGTGGTAAAAACCTACCATGTGTTACTTGCCATCAACATAATAACTGTCCGATTGAGTATTCATCAAGATACAATGGGAAATATCACGACAAAGCGGTTTGGAAATTGGGTAACATCCTCCACACAGGACATTATGAAGTCGATCAGTTTCCCGAGAGTAACAAAATGAAATTTCTTTTGACAACTCAAGTACTAAATCATTCCTTGGCTCTTTCCGGTACGCAGATTGATCTAACTTTAGGTTTCCGATTTGCAAATAATAAACTCTGGGTTGGAAAGTCTGAAGTTTTTCTCTCCGACAATATAACAAGATACAACAATGTAAGTAATAAGTAAAAAATAAATTGTTTATTGTACTTTTTCCTTATCAGAATAACACAACACCAAATTTTAAAACGTACTTCTCAACAAAAAATAACACAATTGCTAGGGAAGAAACAAAAAGTATACAAATTGATATTGAAACACAAGAATTTTCTATAAATTATCCTATGGAAATTATTTTGAGTTCTCCTCAAATTTCAACAATACCAATTTTGAAAATTTGCTCCTTTGAAGTTTTCTTTGTGGGTGAAAACATTCACTGTGTGTCTGCAAAGGAGTTATCAATGAAAGCAATATTTTTTAGTTCTCAGAACAATGACGAGTATGACAATCTTAAAGCTACTTTTGGTTCTATTTGTAACTTAAAATATAACGATTTTCCGAAAAATACAAAAAAAGAAAACAAGGTTCTACTTGCCTTCACTGTAAAATTACAAAATTATTCAAATATAATGGAAGGTTCTAGCTTTGACATCGATATAAAAATTAATTACATGTGGGAAAATTCATGGACTATTAAACTTCCTTTTATTGCAACACTTCTTAACCCACATATTTTAGACGAAAAACCTAAAATCTTTTTTGATGAAAAAATTCATACTTTGCGAAGACTCTCATCAATACCATACAAGTTTTCTATGAAGATACCAACATCATCTTCTTCACATTTGTTTTTGACGCTAATTGCAAGCAGTACTCTCTCCATTTGTAACGTTCGAGTACTTAGAGTTGGCTCTAACTTTAAGTGTTTAAATCAATTAAAATTTTCTTATGAAAAACACACGGAAAACTATTTGCAGTACGATCAGACGGCATCTTTAGATATGGGTATTGTTAGCAACACAGGTAATTATGTCTAAAATCTTGGATATAGTACATTTAATTGCCCATTTAAGGATTCGGAAACTATTCTTTAAACGAGACGTTTGATGAAAATACTATTGAATTTGAAGCAATTTTATCTCAAATTGTATTCTCTCAATATGGTCTAGATACCAACAGTTTCATCAACGTGTCGCTAAAGTATAATGGAGATAATTTTATAGAAGAAAAAAGTCCTATCTTCAATATAACACCGCCGATGAACAAAGTAAGCGATTTTTGTTTGGTTCTCTTTTTTAAAGTTATATTTATTACCAGGGAAAAACTCAAATAAATTATAAAATAACTCGATCTGGATTTGTTAACGAAACAGAAGAAGATAAATATATTCAAAGAGGAGAAAGCTTTAGAACAATTTTAGAGATATATCCTGAAATTGATAGGTATTTATTAGTACTTCATTAAAATGTGTAAAAACAAATTTTACTTTAGTGATGAAGAACTGAGTGTTAAATTTATTACTCCTGTTAATATATCTAATATAATAGATATATGTAGCGCTCACATCATATTTGTTGGAAAAAATATACCTTGTTTGGAACGATTAGCAATTAAGCCGAAGTTTTCATCGAGGTTTCTTATGTTCTTTGTTAAAACAAAAATATATTCAGATTTTTCCAGGAACAATTCTAATGTAATGGATATTGTGGAATTGAAATTAGGCCGCGTTTGCCGTAGAAATATATCTATGTTTGAAAAAGACAATGTTATAAAAGTGGAAGCAATAGGAAGGATATTAAAAAACTCTTCGGCTGACAAGTTTTGGTTTAGTTCTGCTATTGAACTAAATAGTGAAAAGCTTTTTTTAGCCCAATTAGCCTTGGAAGTGAAACAACAATCATTAAATCCTACAAGTAATCCAAATGGTGGAATAAAAGGTAAAACATTTTCTGTTTTCAAAAAATCTGGTTTCTTTGTAACGATTTTCTATCAGTTAACGAATCGTCAAAAGCAGTCTATCCTTCGGAAATTTTTTTGCTCCCTGTTATTATAACTTTACCGGAAAATGAAACGTTTTCTTTGGTGACTGATATAAAAACTAATTTATCAGACACTGCAACAGCAACTGTTAACTGGGTTAAAATCATGAAAATTGGAAAAAACATTGGATGTTCAATTTCGAATAATGGAGAACATAATATTAACGTAACATCTTCAAACAAAAATTCTCAAAACGACAAGCTGATTCTAGATTTTGGCATAGTTTCTAATTCAGGAGCTGGTAGTCGTCAGCAAGACACAGATAGTGAAAATAATGAAATATTCTTACTTTACGAATTACAATGCGCCGATAGCGTTTTAAATGAAAATAGGCAAAAGATATCTATACTCTTGGGTTTAAAATATGGCTCTGTTATAAAGTTAACGGAACATCATCTGATCATTAAACGCACAAACTTTGAAAATCCAAAACTATCACTCGAGTTATCTTCCAACTCAATTTCTGAGCTTCTTAATCCGTAAATATACTTATTGTTTAAAAAAAAAACATTTCATAAACAGCATATTTCTACAGACGAAACATCTCATTAGGTGTATATTTGAAACACTTAAACAGTTCACAGGCTGAAGCAGTCAACATTACTCTACATATATTTTATCCGCCTATTTTAAAATTTTCGAATATAATCTTCACAAATTTTTCTTCTCCAGACGTGAATTATATCAGTTTTGGATATGGCATTGAAATAAAGGTGATTATTTTCCATTAAAAATTATACTAATTTTAGAATATTTTTAGTATAAGAGAATATTCTTTACCGATTATATATACTTAAATCTCAATTTTGACGTCCTTGATTCAATGTACGATTTGAAATACTTGAAAAGAAACACATCGATATTATTACAAACTTCGTTTCAAATGATCCCAAGAGTGAATAGTAGTTTTGCAGAAGGAAACATTTTTTTGTCTAGCTTAAAAAGTTTCAAGACTGTAACAATTTTTTCGAAACAAATTACTGGTTGTTCCTCAGAAATATTTATACCAGAGGATAATTGTCGCATTGATGGATCATTTGGTAAAAGTATAGAAAATATTTTCAACGGTAAGATAATATATATTAAAGAAGTATTTTTAAACGATTAGTGAATTTACATTTTAGATTATCAACTTCTTCCAACAAAGGCAGAAGAAAAACCGTATACGACTGTTTTTTTTCGCAACTTAACTCGAATAACTAAAATATCAGTTTATGTAAAGGACACTTCGGTTTCAAATACCTTAAAAGGCATAAAAATATATTACAGTCAGGATGGTATAATTTGGATGAAAGGCGAATTTCATAGTGTAAATGTTTCTAATGGAAATCAGGATATAATTATCATGAACCCTCAAGGATCAAGACATATAAAATTTGAGTTCGAGAAGACTGCTTACACGAAAACGTTTTCCATAAAAATGAAGGTCTTCGGGTGTTTTCTACCGCAAAACAGTATATCTTTATATTAATTAGGAAATCTGAATACTTTCTTACCCTTTCGTCTTTACAGTAATTTACAACGATTGTCCTAAATTTAGCAACGACATGCTAAATATTAGTAGAGGATTTCTTAAAATTGATAACAACATATATATATGCAATTCTGTGAAGTATAAACTGTCTTTTTAGTAAATAAACTTAAAAACATCACCCTTTCTTTCAGTTTTCGCGGCTTTTGTCATTTTAGAAATAATTTAAAGTGGAGAGGTAATATTACATCTGTTTTTTACCAAATCAATGTGTATATTTTTTCAGCGATACCAGCTTTGGATCGATTTCTAGGCATTGATGATAATGGTGTCATTTATGGAATTTCTAAAAACCAAAGATCTTTTGTTCTTAGTTTTGATCAAGGCAATACTTGGATGTCTGTTTCAAATTCAAAATTTCCAAAGAAATACAAAAAACTTTTCACGACAGTAAGATATACAATATATTTCCTAAGAACTTTTCTTTTAGTTTTTTTCTAGGTATCATACCAGTCGGTTGATATACTTAAAGAACTGATTCCAGAAGCACAATTTCAAGATGAAAATTTTGGAGGTACTGTTTTTATATGAAGTGTAAAAAATATGAATGTTTTGTATTTTTAGCAACATTCGAGGGAGTTTTTCATCGGGAGTCTACAATATGGAAAAAAATATATGATTGGACCATTTGTTGTAAAAACTGATCTTAACAAATATATAATTACTACACTATATATGATAAAATACAAGCTTTACGTTTTATCGCGCTATGATTGTCCCTGGTTTTTTTCTAAAATGAAGACAAATGTGTTTTTTATTTTAACTACAAAGTTTTGCACTTGTAAACTTAAACTCTAGTTTTAAAACAATGCAAAATGGCTGATTTTTTTTGCTTTAAAAATATTTACATATTCCAAAAAATTCAATTTCTTGGCGACTTCATTCCAATATATTATAGAGTTAAAGAGTTGCTCTCTATATTTAGTTTTTTTTGGACATTTTTCGTTTGTTGTTTTGAATAATGTCAAAAATTACTCAGTCTGAAGCTAGCACAGTACTCAATATTTCGTATATATTAAGTACATTAGAGGCTAACTTTAGATTTATTTTAATCGCAGACATGACAGGTTTGGTTTTCTTTTTTATAGCTTGCATTTCGTTTGGTTCAGGTAAGACCCTTTTTTATGTTTATGAAATTAGATCTTTGATTTCATGAAAATTTGTTATATAGCTACTGTTCTGACTGATATTGAAGCTGTCAGTTTGGAAGCTTTGCCTGGCTTTGAGGCGATTTTGCAAGTCGAAAGAGACCAACCAGTGCAAATTAAAGTTGCTTTAAAAATTAGAAACAACGGGAATGCAAATATACCTCCTCCAATTAAACCACTTGAAAATAATTTTGCTTTTCGACTTGACGTCAGTATTAGTTTCAATTATATTCATATAAATTATATTCATAGGTTGTATTATATTGTAGGTTGTGTCTAAAAATGAGGGCAGTAGTGTACAGTCATGGCAAGTGTCTTCTTCAGACGATACTGTTACATCTCTAAATATTAATCAAGTGAAAACAGTGACTTTGGGATGCACCATAAATATTTCCTCCGCCCAATGTAGTAAGCAACTAGAAATTTGCGGCTGTATAAAAAGCGAGAGAATAAATGTACCTTTAAAATCTGGCAGAAGAATGTTAAAAAGTTCATTTACAGATTCTAATGAAGAAAATGATATCATTTGTATGCCTTTATCGTGTAAATCTGTGCCCGGGGCGGAAGGCGATCCTCATTTTTTGGTTTATGGCAGCCTTAGCAAATTACCACTTTGTTTTGATATTATTGGTAGAGCTGGGGAAGAGCTCATCTTATTAAATGATACTAAAGCTGGTTGGTCTGTTTCTGCGCATGTTTTAGATGACAGATATTTTCATGCAGTCTCAGTAAGATCTGCAAACAATGTTGTAATGATAACAACAGATAAAGTAGTTAATACCAGTTTGACTTGGGGCAATTTTGGTGGTTATGTTATGGGCAACATACATTTGAGCATGGGCAAATCAAAAGATGAAAAGTCTATGATGGTAACAACAGGAAAATCATCCAGAACTATGGTTGTAAGAGTTAATTTAGCTAAACATTTTGATAAGAGGGAACATCTAGACATTCACATTGAAGAACATGACGAAATGGATGAATATATTGGGGGAATATTGGGTGAGGCAAAAAAAAATTACCTGGGTTCCGAAAATAGTGTTCAATTTGACCAGCCATATGGTGCTGTTTTTATAAAAGAAAAATATTTTCCAGCTAAATTGGCTACACGTGGAGGATCCCGATGCTGGTTGGTAGCTCCTAGTCAGGCTCTTTATCCATTTAAAGTTAGAGATTTTATTCAATATTAAAATTTTGAAATGTTTTTTTTATTTTTTTTTGTTTCGATAGATGAATATTCTAGAATTTTTATTCTATTTTTGAAAAACTTACTGTCTTTTATTCAAAATAAATATTTTAATAATAAACACTTTGATTAACCTATATGCTATAACACTATTTGCAAAATATAGGTCAATTAATGAAATAACACTTCTGGTTGAAGAAATAGTATAATCGTTACTTTATTTAAATTTTTTTTGCAATCCTCGGTTGCTATTATTATTATATTTTGAAAGTCTTGTAATCCAAAGTTAATAACTTTTCAAGGTAATCGTTTGTAAGACATGTTTTTCTATACATGTATATAATTCTTTTATATGATCAGAAACATAGGTAAAAATAATATGAAACAATCCTTTAAATTAATGTGAATATATAATTTAAGATTCAGTAAAAAGTTAAGCAAAAAGAATTGATATGAGTTTTACAAGTATGCCACTTTTCTGTCATGTCCAGGCATTACGCTGCTTCGGCAGTTAGGTTTTTCAGCGAGTTCTTCCTAAAATTAAAAAATGTTTACTTTTCACAAAGAAACAATGGACAAAAGCCCACCCACCTCAAACTCCGCATAATTAGGAACAGATGCTATAGAGGCCTCATTGTTTCGTTTGGATATCTCTGAATTTTTTTCTGAAAGAACTTTTCTTACGGCTGTGGTGTTTTTCAAAGGTGTCTGTATAAAAAATGATTTTAACATTTTTGTTCAATAGTTGGTTGTAGATTCAACAGCCAAACAGACAGACAGTAAACAAATTAGTTTTCTTCTACCTTTCGAATCATTGGTGAATTAGGATAATTAATACCCAACCGAGGTTTAACTTTTATTGTAGATAAAGGTGTAAGAGCAGCCTGACTTCTTCCAGGTGTTCTACCGGGTGTACGATAGGTTTCATTTTCCTGTTTAAACGTTAATTGGGAAACAAAAACTTAGTTAAAACATTAACAGAGAGTTATTTTTGATAACTAGAAATGATGAAGTAGAAATCACTGATCCCTCAGAGTACAAAAATTATAATTAAGCAAGCAGGGTTAAGCAAAGGCCGATACTTGAAACATTGTAATATCACAGCATAAATGCTATACTAACATGTTTCATCTTAATGGAAACAGCTGTGCTACCTTCGCTTTCGGAGCTCAAAACGCCACCGTCCTTCTGTAACGTATAGAATAACACATATCTAAACAAAACGGAGGCAAAAGGTAGCATGCAAATGAATAAGGCTTGAAGCATTGCCATATAAGCTTTCAAGTGCTTTTAACATTGGTAGTAATTATGTGCTTATTACCAAGTATATGAATGTAAAAACTTGGCGATAAATCAAGACAGTAAATACTTATTACAAACCGGACACACTTTGCGAATTTTAGGAGATTTTGTTGCAAGAGTTGTCGTTCCCATAAAACGCCTCTTCCCTGGGGCTACGGTTGGCTTACTTCCATATCTCATTTCTTTTTCCATTTCCTTTTCTTTTTGCTGTTTCTAAAATTATCAGTAAATCATAAAATAATGAAAAAACTGTAATATTCTCACTCTTATATCCTTTTCTTTCTGTTTTTGCAGTTCATAATTCTCCTTTTGAATATGAACAAAGTCAACAAATCGGACGCCTTCCACTAGAATATTCTTTCCAATTTTTAATTCCCATTCTGATACATCTGACAGTAATTTATTTTCAAGTTTCGGTAGTTCCTTCTCTAATTTTTTACGATGCTTTTCCTCTTTGAGTATTTTTCCACCTCTGTTGTTGTATCTATTAGGATCCTGAGCCCTTCTCTCATACTCAAGATACTCCCACCACATTGCTTGATATTGGTGGATCTAAGTTTAATTAAACTTGAATTAAGTGTATAAATTTTCTTAGTTATCAATAAACACCTGCTGAAAAATAAACTCATTTTCTTGATAAAATGTTTTGACCTTTTCTAGCTCTTTTTCATGCCTCTCCAGCACTTCTTCGGTGAAGTCAACTGTAAAAATATTTAAAATATAAATTGGTAATATAACTTAAATAACTTACTGCTAAAAAATTCTTCAAAAGAAGATTTTTGTTGCTGTGAGTAGAAGCATTTCTCCCACCATTTTTCTAGTTCACTTCTTGTGGCTTCTATAACTTTGGATACATTTTCTTTTTTAAGAATTTCATATTTGTCTATTTCCTTTCTTAACTTGAAAGTTTAAATGAGGGAAAGTATTCCATTAGCTTTTTATGTTTTTTTGTTCTCCGCAATACTTACTGCCACTAAAGTGGATGGTTTAAATCCAGTATGGAAAGAGCAAAACCTTCCACGTTCCTCTTCTCCTATTTGCAAACGATTCCACAAACTTTCCAATTTTTCGCGAAGATTCTTTGCTTGTTTTATATTGGATTGTTTTTGGTTTTCCAAATCTAATTCCAGTCTGAAGTACAATTTTAAATTACTTCAATTGAATAAACACTTGGTAGTAATCTACTAACCGATGAACACGTTGAAGGTTTTCTCTGGACAAGCAAAACTCAGATACATCTTCATTAATTATTTCACTTTGGAAGCTATCATTTGCGGTTATTTCTAAAATGTCCAAAAGCTTTTTTATGTTAGAGCGATAATCTTGAAAAGTAGCCAGTCTTTGATCGTAGTCGATTTTTGACTTTTTGATGTGTTGCTCCAGCTCTTCTAGTTGGTTCAATGTCGGTATAGAATTGGATGGTAGGTAGTAGGGAGTAGTCTGTCATACACGTTATTAATATTCCATCTAGTTTGGGTATAAACTTACCACAAGCATATTGCAATACTTTTGATCCTCTTCTTTAAGCTCTTCTGCAACTTTCATTCGTTGTTGCTTTATTTTTCCCAAATCATCCCTCTTTCTTCTGAGTTCTTTTTCCAACTATTTAATAATAATAATAACAAAATATCAATTCTAAAAACATAGCGCCTACTTGGAGAATTGTTAATTCTTCTGACGGAGTCACTATTTCAAGATCTAGCTCCTTATTTAAATCTTGTACTTCATTCGTCAACTTTTCTACATTTTTCAAAAGCTTATCTCGTAATTCACTTTCCTCTCTAGTCATCTCATCGACTATATTAACAATATGATTTTTCACGGCCTAAAAACAGTAAGAAAGTGCTATTGTCAATTGTAAAATGTGTATAAACCTTCAATCTTTCTGTTCTGATAGAACCACTAATTCCAATATCTTTCCATATTTCACTTAGTAGTGATATGCCTTCCGACACCTTAATTTTGCTGGCGTCTATCACGACAGCTACTTCTCTGTAAGAACAGGCTTAAGCAATAGCAATAAATTTACTTCATTATTTTACTTACTGATCACAATCCATAAGTTTAAAGTACAGATTATCAAGTAGAATTCATGAAAACGTTCTCTTGTGAAATTGAGGACTTCGCCGTCGTTTATTTCAAAATGTCAGCTTGCTCGCTGATTGGTCGAATTTTTGGAAGTCGCGCATATAATTCGTAAATTTTATGCTGTTTCCGGTATTTAAAAGTGAAGACGTTTTATTATTTCGGTTTTTGCAAAAATATTACCAATGGAAATTTTAAATATAAATTACGTTAATTGATAGCCACGAATATAATTTTAAAATATTCCAAGCCCTTTTGTAAACAGGTTACCTGATCCATATAATATGGTTGAAGTCGAATATCTGTGCAGACGACATTAGTGTGTCATACTATAACGGACTAGAGTTTTTCTAAATATTAAATTGATCACAGATTTTTAAGATAAATAAAACGCAACTGGAATTTTTTTCTCAAATATATAGTTTTTTTAATATTATCTTGTATTTTAACATGAAGACATTCAAAACAATTGCGCCTCTTATTGAAAAATTGATGAAATCTGAAAAGTAAGTGAATAAAAGTCTGCTTGCATCATACTGAATAAATAATTTTAGTATTAGCGATAACGTCATGGAGAAAAATTTACAAGTGCTCATTGACTATTGTTGTGTCACAAACACTGATGAATTGGATCATGTACAATTTAATTTCTTAACAGGTAGCTTATATTATTAAATATGAAATATTTAAAAATATGTCGCTCAAACAGTTCAGGAGAGAGCTTTCATTTGGAAATCTTTAGAGAAGATTGTCAGCACATATCTCTTGTTAGAAAACAGAGTTTGCAATATGGAGGGAAAAAGCATTTCCATATATTTAACTCTGACTTTGACCATTTATCTTTCGAAGACGATTACTCCTGTGAACGATACAATATCATCATTCGACAACATTATTCACTCTATCTTGCTCTATTACAAGACTTCCTCTATATCGGTTGTTATCAACAAAAAGCCAATTCTGAATAAATTTCTTGAAATGTTCAAGTTAAAAATTACACGGTCTAGTTGGAGAAAAAATTATGGTTATTGTGTTATTTTTGAATATTTTATTGAGCATTCTTTTCTTAATGTATTCCATGATGATCTTGAAGTTTTAGTAACTCCTTCACTACTGTTTGTTGATGATTTTAAAACTGAAAACATTATCATGGGATTGAACTGTATTAGAAGGATTTTGGAAAATTCTAAGAGGTTTGACCTCTGGCAATCTAAGTATATATATGTCATCTTTGATGCCCTTGAAAAAAAAACTCATTTGAAAACTTCATTAATTATACGAAAATTATATCCAATCATAAAACTAAATCTGGAAATCTTGGAACCTTCACCATATTATCAAGACAGCTTAAGATTTCCTGGTCGATGGGATGATGTATTTTCAAAACTGATTCTTGATTCGTATCTTGAAAACAAAATTTTGGAACGAAGTGACTTGATTGAAACAATCATTTCTTTTATACCTTCATTGGGACTGTCTGTTGTAAGACATTTGACAGGACTATTGGAATTATTGTTTGAACTTTTTCAGTCTCCTAATGAGAATATAGTGAAAATTGGATTGGATCTTCTAATAGAAATTATCAAGTGGGCACCCAAGCGTATTATGCATCGGCGAAAGTTTATTCATAGAGAAATCAATGCTTTATTGTATAATATTACAATGAAAAAATTTAACTTTGATACTCAAATGGAATCAGACATATTCGATAAAATTGTGCACATTTTAATAATTCTAGGCAAAGATTTGGACTTTCGATATTTCGTTAATTTGAATATTAATAAAGACTTCAGTGGCGTATACATAAAGTGCATGAACCTGTCTAGTTAATAAAGTACCCTCAAAGGTATTTGACTTTTGTTTACTTTCCCTTAGAATGGTCATCACAAAATTCATACTTTTTGAGAGTTTTACGAATCAATATCGCTAAGCTGTGACAGTCGAAGCTACAACAGTTTCCATCTCAACTGCTGTTGAAGAATCGTTTGACTGCTTTGCAGTTGTAGATTTTATTCCAGATCGACTACTCTTTGCTGCAGTCTCTATGGCTGGGCAGCAAATGGTTAGCCAGGGTACTTTGTCGTTTAGAGCTGCTCTGAATTTAGGATGAGATAGGGCATAAAGTAAAGGGTTATAAACTGCCGACATTTTGGCAAACATTACAGGTAATTCACAAGAAAAAGGGGTTATTAGCCAGGGAAAACCTGCCATTCCTCCAATAGTAACAATTGCATAAGGTGACCACGAAAGGAGAAATAATGTAAAAGTTCCTGCAGCTATTTTTGCTAACCGAATTTCTTGTTTATGATCATCCTTAGTTGTTTTTGCTCCCATTTTTTCTGCTGTTTTTGACATAGTTTTAGCTTGGCTGGAGACGGCCCGGACTATGTTAATGTAGCAGATTATTATGACAAGAACCGGCAAGATGAAAGCAAATGTGAACATTGCAAATACATAGCTAATCTGAAAAATATAGAATTACTATCTTGAACCAAAATTACATTAACGTACATTATTCAAAGTTAATGTTAGATAGTCGAAAGAGCAACTTGTTTGAAATCCTTCTGGAATGAAAGCTCCCCAGCCAAACATTGGCGGAAGCGCCCATGCTATTGAGTAAGCCCATAAAAATAGTATTTGAAGAATTGCTCTCTTTTTCGTCATTTTTTTCATTGCATCAAATGGATAAGCAATTACGAAAAATCGATCAAAAGCAATAAAAGCAACAGCATTTATTGACGCAAATCCGCATATACCTCCTATCATTGAATAAAGTTCACATGCTAACTTCCCAAATATCCATTTTCGATAAAAGGAAGATATTGTTAAAAGCGGGAAACCGTTGATAGCTGAAAAAGTCGCATCGCTTAGCGCTAACGAAAGAATAAACAAATTTGAGGGAGAGCGAAGACTTTTGGTTCTGTGAGGCAATTAATAAAAATCTTTAGAATTAACCTAATCAAAGCTATTCAAACTTACACAGTAAAAAGGTAGAGAACTAACAAATTACCCAAAGTGCCCAGGACACAAACGAAACCAATATAAGTGCCTAAACCATAGTGATAGGCTGGATTTATTCCGGGAATGTCATATTTGTGCCAGAATGGATGAACTTCAAGCCCTTGTTGTCCAGAAAAAAAATTACGTGCCCAACTTTTATTTGAAGCAAGCATAGTGAAGTGTGTTAAAATTCACAAAAAAGTTTTGCTTTTATTCTATGCGGAGGGCGTGTCTCTTATTAAGTTAAGCCAGATTATCCATGATTTCCAAGATTTGCTATTGAAGCACTCTTATTGGGCCTATACAGAACAATTTAACGTCAACAAGGAATCATGCGAAAAATTGTATATATTTATCGGTTACGAAGAGAAATCTTCTCATATCTTTTTGTAATCCTAGATTCAAAATGAAATAGGCATTTAAAAAATGTTTTCTAAAGTCTATGCTCTCTACTTTTTATGAAACTGATTATTGAATAAAAACAAATAGATGATTAAATATTATTGTCGAAAGGACGGCGTAAATTAGTAATTTACGATGTAAACTGTGTCACTCTTTTGAACTATTATAAGTTCTACAGTGGCAAATTCGGTATCTAAGTGTTAACTCAACAAGAATATTATCATTTATAGGCCTTATGAAAATATGAATAGTGGTGACATCTGACAGGTACGCATACTCGATACTGTGGACTAAATGATAATTCAAAAATGGCGACTTAAATATTTGTTTGAATACCATTTTCAAACTTTTAATTGAGATCTTAAAGAGTCAGCATATAATTAGTCAAAACTCTTTAAACTTTTTAGTATCCCATTGTATTGAAAAGTTTGACGGCAACGCTTGTTTCGAGAATGGATAGTTCAAGTGAGGTAAAGGAAGAAAAATCTGTAACAGAGAAGAAGACATCCTTCGAACCACCTAGGCTGCTGACGCTTTTGAAAAAGTATTTCAAAATGTCGGGCGTCCTCTTAGGGACATGGTTTGCAGGCTATATGCAGTTTTCTACGAGTTGGATCTTGCTTGGCTTGTTTTTTTATATGGCTCACCAGGAATACACAAGAAAAAATGAAATTCGTTTGGAATATGCGAAGCAGGCTGTGCGGGATGAAAGAGCAGCTATAACAAATAGATTGGACGAGCTACCCTCTTGGGTAAAAAGTTACTCCTTAAGTTTTTGTGAACCTTTCATAATACAATAATTTAAATAATCATATTTGTAGGTATTTTTTCCCGATGTAGAAAGGGCGGAGTGGTTAAATAAGGTATGTAAATACAAAATATATTACCTTTGGCCTGCCTATATATAATAAAACAGCTGGTACTTTCAAATAAAAAATTTCATTTTATGAATATTGTCTAGATGATCAAACAGATGTGGCCATTCATTGGGGAATACGTTCAAGATCTGATAAAAAATACTATAGAACCTTCCATTAGTAACTCGCTACCAAAGTCATTGAAGCCTTTTCGTTTTGAAAGGGTTGACGTAGGAGATACACCCCCCAGAATAGGTGGCATAAAAGTTTATACGGATCATGTACGACGAGATGAAATAATTCTTGACATGGAAATCAAGTATTTTCTTGAACAATGGACTATTCATATCTATCCAGTTTATTTTCAGTTTCACAAGCGATTCCGAAATAAAAGTGACCATAAAAGGATTTCAGGCCGGTATAAAGAATCTCCAAGTGCATGGTCAGCTGAGATGTCTTTTCAGTCCACTAATTGGCAAAGTTCCTCTGATTGGTGGTTTAAGTGTTTTTTTCACAACTCGACCAGTTTGTTTTCCTTATATTACGTTTTTAAATGCCATATATTTTTTTTTATAAAGACAGTTGACTTCGACTTAACAAATGTTGCAAATCTTTTGGACTTTCCCCTTCTAAAGTAATGAGCTTGTATTGAGTTATTTACTATGTTAATTTATTTTTATCAATGTAGCGATACAATAAGATCTGTATTAGAAGACCAACTTGCTTACTACTTAGTGAATCCCAACAAATATTCCATATCTCTCGGACACGGTATCGATCTCAATAAACTCAAGTATCCAGTTCCACAAGGAGTCATTCGTTTACATGTTTATGAAGCTCGAGACTTGAAAAAAGCAGATTTTAATTTAGTAGGCAAAGGCAAATCTGATCCATATTGTAATATTTATGTTGGCGCTCAAAAATATAAAACGAAGGTCATCAATAATACGTTGAATCCTCAGTGGGATGAATATTTTGAGGTGATTGCAAATAGACCAAGCAACATTTATTTATACAATTCCTAATTTCTGTTATATAACAGGCAATCGTTGAACACAAACAAGGCATGTTTATTGACATTGACGTGATGGATCAGGATCCAGGTGAAGATGATGAGCTTGGAAGTAAGAGTATTGATGTTCAAATGGTTGCTAATCAAGGGCTTATGGATACGGTAATTATCATAAAATTTAATAATCCATGAGTATTTGAAGATTGTTCAATCATCAGTGGTTACCTTTGGATGAAGTTGAAACGGGTATGATTCATTTAAGAGCTCAGTGGGTCTATCTATCCAAAAATCCGGAGGACCTAGACAATGTAAGTAAATTGATGAATTTTTTGTAAACTTGCAATGTATAAAAAGAAAATTTAGGATTCATAGTCGAGTTTCCTGGTAAATGTAATATTAAAAGTATCTGTTTACTAGGAGGAAAGATTATTTCGTCGGGTAAGTTTTACGTAAGAATTTTCATTTGCTTCCATAACTGGGTTTTTTTTAATAATTCTTTGATTTTTTTGGATGAGTTTGTTTTTTTTGAGGTAATTTGAAAGATTTCCAAAAGTCACACGTTTCTCTTATCCATAGACTACTATGGAATACAACTCTCGTGGCAGCAAAGAAGAACAACTGTCAACAGCTATGCTCATGGTTTATGTTGACTCTGCAAAAAACTTAATTGTTAGTTTATACAAAATTCAAACGGAATATCAATCTTGTTTTTCACTCCTTAGAGGCAGAAAAAAGGAATGTCAGAACCTAGTCCACAATGCAAGCTTTCCCTTGGAAATAAGACTTATACAGGCATTTCTAGATCCAGGACATCAAATCCCGTATTCGAAGAAAGCTTTAACTTCTTTGTCCTAGACAGTAGACAAGAAGCTTTGGAACTTTCTGTAATATAGAAATAGAGTTTTCTTTCAGTAAGTGATTTTTTACAACAGATTACTGATTCGGCGGCATCTGGAAAATTATTGGGGCAAATGACATTTGGTTTGAGTTCTCTGCTAGATGCTCCGCATATGACCATTAACAGACCATTTACTTTGCTTGATAAGTATAAAAAATCGTTAGCTAAATCGTGTACTGTGACTTTGAGATTGTGCTTGAGAGTAAGCGAGGTGTTGGAAACTTTAAAATTATTGTAATGTCATCATGTTTCAGATTTTAGTTTCTCAGAAGCCAGAAGATTGGGCTGTGGATAACAATGAAGAAGTAAATAGCTTTGAAAAGATCCCAAATGTGTCCAACAACAACATTGAAGAAAAATCTGACGCAATTACCAAAGAAGTGGAAATAGTAGATGTGCCCCCAAACCCACTCCCAGAAAGTAAATGCAGTGTTGAAGATTGTGAAATTCGACTCCGCAATAGAGGAAATGCAAAGTGAGGATATTTATTTAAGACAGATCATACTTAGTTTATATCATGTAATATTGTCTTTTAAAGTACATCGAATTTGGGAATGATTCAATTAACCTTAAAATATTCTCAGCAAAGAGAAAAATTAATTGTAGCAGTTCACAAGTGCATGAATCTTGTCGGGTTAGATAGCAACAAACTATCTGATCCGTACGTACGGCTTTTTCTTGTTCCGGACGGTTCGAAAGTGAAAACAAGAGTTATAAAGGATAATTTAAATCCTAATTTTGATGAAAAGTAAGACGGAAACAAATAAAAAAATAAATAAGTTTTCATAGTAATGATGTTTATAGATTCGAATGGAGCTTGAAAGAAAGTGAAATCTATAATAGGACCCTTTTGGTTGACGTCAAAAATGAAGTTGGAATGTTCAGTAAGTCCCAAACTCGAATGGGACAAGTGTGCATTCCACTCTCTTCAATTCCAAATTTATTTGAGGCTGTCACAGAATGGTTTTATTTACTAGAGCCCTTGGAAAGTTCTCCAAAATCAGATAAACACTAACTTTGAGATTTCTTCACTTCCAAGCTGTATTACAAAAGATGTAAAATTTTCAGAGTAGACATATTGAACACAAAATTATTCATATACTGCAAAATTTAAATATACATATATATTTATATATATATATATATATTAAATTTCTCAAGTTAACTTAACATGCGATGAAACTAAAAATATTGTAAATCGACTAAAAGAATGCGATTGTTGGCTATAAGACTAGAATTCAATGGATTTCCCAACAGAACATCAACAACGCTTTCGTAACTTTGTACATGCAGAGCACAGAGCACTTATGATCTGCATAGATTCACTTTAATTGTTAAAGCGATTGCAACAGTAAGAATAGCTAGAAAAGAAATCGTCGTTATCACTTACATATAAGTGAAAAGTTTTTTTACAACACATTTAATGCTTTACTAAATTGAATCGATTTTACAGTATTTGTTTAAACTAAAACTCTTTTAAATATTTCCTAATACATGAAATATAATCGATATTTTCAAAAGTCAATCCACTTGACACATTTTTTTACATTTCAATAATTTCTAACTGAATCCCTTGAAAATATGAACATATCAAAACATAAAATAAATCTATATTGACTTCTTCAGTGCAAATAATATAATACAGAAGAGACTGGAAAGCGTTCTAGCTGTCTGCTGGGATTATTGATGATGGTTATACAATATTTGTCGCAGGTAGCCGATCAAATACTTGTGGCGAAGTTTGTGAAAAACTACCTCTCCGGTGTGAATTGTCTGAACACCCGGCAGCTTCCAGCAAAGTAATACATTCTTCAGATTTTGCACTTTTAGCATAATAAAGAGCATTATGGCCATCGTGGTCCTCTAGTTGAACATTGGCTCCGTACTTTGCAAAAATAAACGTGTATATATATGATAAGCAAAAGATATCGATATATTATAATTATGCTTACCCATAGTAACAATTGTACTAGAACTGAATTCTGCAGAGCGGAGGATATGTGGAGTGCAGTTCTTTGATCAGATGGGGCATATGGCGCATTAACATCTTCAGGAGCACAGTATGCCAGGACAAGAATAACAAGAGAAATATTCTGTCTGGCGACGCCATCCATCAGCTGTTGACCAAGAGGCACATCATCATACGGCAGCGGGGGAAGAAAGAGCTTTAATTCATATTTAGACTTTATCCATTTTTCTTTTTCTTCTCTTGATGACTGCGGACTGGGTTTTGTTCCTCCTTTAATATTTGCCTCCCAAACTGAGTTAGCTGCTGCATTTCCAATACTTGTCATTACATTGACTAATTCAGGGCTGTTCGAGTAAATCGAAAAATAATAAATAAAAGAGAATTTAATAAAATAATATGAAATATTACGGCCAATCATCTAAATCCAAAGATCTGACACGAGAAATATGTGAACCAAGATTGCGGTGAATTCCTGAGCATTCAATGCATATGATTGCCCCCAAGTTTAAACTAGCCCATTGGGGATCTAGAAGCATCGAAAGTTATTTAAAAACAATCGCTAAAATTTCAACTCACTTGGAGAGTCACAGTCAGCACATTTTGAGTTACCCCGAACTGATCTGATGGCTAAAACACTTTCAGCATCGGATGTGGAATTTGTACGACCTTTCGCTTTTCTACTTTCATTCAATTGTAGGCTGGATAATATTTGTTGTTCTATAGCTGTAACCCATTCTTCTCGTTCCTGAGCACTAGAGGCCTCAAAATGCCATTGACGATTATCTAGGGACACTATTATAAATTCGTATCCATCGGAATCAGCACCATCGTCATTTTTGTGAGCACCACTTCCTGTTTTTGTCCGTTTATGACGCTTTTTTACATTGGGAGTATTTTCAGTTCGCTTAGATACTGTCAGAATACATTATGTATATAAGATTTAGAAATTATATTTTAAAATATTTACCATTTTCCACTATGAATATGATTAAATAAAATGATAAATTATATAATACTAATATTTAATAGTGTTAATTCATACCTGGTAAGCAGGAATTTGGAATAACAACAGATGGTTCGGCAGATTGAGCAGGTATTCTGATAACATTATCAGAAGACTGTTGTTGTTCTCTTAAAGCTTGAATGCCTGCTTTTGCTGCATGAATTTGTAGCTCCTTGTCTGTTGAGTTCGGCTTGTCTTATCAATGAATAATATCATTAATAACTTCAATTAAAATTGCACAAGAAACGTACTTAAATCATTTAAGCGCTGATGAGGGTTTGTTGCCGGAGCTCGTGATCCTCTAGGTTTCATACCAGGAATTTTAACGGTCGTTTGTACTAATTGTATCTCTTTGCCATGAACGTTTTCCATATAGTCCTAAATAGTATTATATTAACAAAGAATAAATTTCTAATAGTGACTCATACATGCATATTTGGATGATAGGTCAATTTGCCGTTATCCAAAAGAGCCACATACTTCTTTTTCCAATCCTTGTTTAGAGGCTTGTTACTTTTCTTGTACAATATTCCCTGTAAAATATACATTATATTTTTATCATCATCGCATGACTTTTGCTAACCTGTTTAAGGGGAATACTTCGTCCACTGCCTATTGCTGTTCCATTTGTCTTGTCGTCCTGTTTATTCTTTTGCTGAAAACAATTGTAATTATGGGGGAGGATATGATTAAAGTTTTTTAAAAATGCATTTTCTTTAACGTATTTAATTTCTATCAAATTATTCTCATCAAGCGGAAATAGAAGCAAACTACTTACAGTGAAAATGTTAGATCGGCGTCTATTTTTACGAGATTGTGTAGGTGTACTGGTCGGAGTGGCCAGATCTTTGCCTTCTGCTGGGGCCACTGGCTTTTCCTGCAGTAACACCATTATTTCAGCTAGTACATTAAAAGTGACTAATTACGAAATTATGTTTAAGTTTTGTTAATTATTCTTATGCAAAGCTGAAGGCCCAGTTAGGTGATTATGGGGTTGTTTGATGTAGGTTGCATGCAGCATTTTAAAATAAAGAATCAAATAAATTTTAATAAATTGTTTTTCAAATAATAGCCGGGAAGTGTAGAAGCTGAAGCGATCCTTTTATTTGATAACTCACTTGCCGAAAACCACTAGGCAGTGGAAAACTGGCTCGAGATTTTGATAGCTTTGTTGGTTGTGGGTCATTATGCTCAATAGGTTGACGCTGTAAGAATCGACAATCGTCATTTTTTGCACTTCCGGCTTAAATTTTCAGTATCTCAACATCAGTAACATCACTCATTAGTTAAAATTTATAGCCAACTATTAGTTTGATATTAATGTAATAATTGTTATTCTGCGAAAAAAGCAACGCCGTTTGTCAAAGCACTCGGAACTTACGACAAACTGCGGACTCCAGTAGCGTCGATCAAATTGGGGCGTTGTGCAAGGTGTTGCTGTTGGAGTGATGTCAAATTCATCCGAGTGAACGGCTTGCTGTTTGATTAATAATCCGTACCGTAAAAATATTTGCCTTAAAACATCTAGTACCTATTCTAACTCTATTGAGTTAAGGTGCTTAAAAAATATCAATCAAATGAAATAGTTAAATACGAAGCTATAAAAGTAAGCGGAAAGCAAAGATTTCTATCTGAAAGCTTTAAAAGTGAGATCGATGAAATCAATCTCCACACTTACAATGAAACTACGATTTCTTAATTTTCTGACTGGCGTAGGAGTAGAACCAGGGGAGGGTGTCTCTTTAACCTCAATCATAGATGGGGCTTGCGTTGTTTGCAAGTGAACAGGTGCGATAGCACCTCCCTAAACATAATGACACACAGAAAATAAACAACAAATTATATTGACACCTCTGGTAGGTCGAGCAAGTGTTCACGACTTAACTTGGTGCCAACCAGTGCAGACAAAAAACGACTCACATTAAAAGAGTTTGATTTGCTTATAGATTTTGATTTATTCTTTCTACTAGCAATGGGCGTCGAAGTTGGTGTTCTCTGTGGCTTCTCCTGACGTATCTACCAACATCAACATGCAACAGTTTTCCTAAATTATCATGCATTGATAGAAGAGAGTAGGAGGTGTGCAAGTACAATTATCATGCAGTGAAAAGAGTTCTTTTGTCAGTATTTAATATAATTTTACCTTAGTTTGATGAATAGGAATCTGGTGTAATATGCCTGAAGATGGTATTGGAAGAGGTTGCCGAGTTTCAAAAGACCCCTGTGATTGATGGCGATTGTCGTAAGTCTGAAGTTTAGAAGAAATAAGATAAGATTAACAAACTATGTATTGACTGATTGATACGTTTTGTGATGGTACTGCTGGTAAAGGTCTGTTAGGTGGATCTGGAATAGTTGTTACAGGAGGTGGCGGAACGGATGGTATTTGACAAGGAATAGATGTCATTTTATGGCCATGAATATCTGGTCGACCCTCGGAACTTTTACCACGTCTTTTCATTTCTTTTTCTTTATCTTTCAAAGGCGGTGATTGATTCTGCATGTGATTAGAATTTTGTGTGGGTAACGATCCACTAGTGCTACTCGAACTATGAGAGTCGCATGACTTTTGAACATTGGTATTTTGCTGAAAAAAGTGTCATTAAGCAAAAGTTAATGTTTAGTAACTTTATACCCCAACAGAAGGCACATATCCCCTTAAAGATTGAGAATGATTAGGGGTATTCGGTCTGGAATTATTTGGAGTTAAACCAGCTAATCGTTGCTGAACAATCTTGTGACAAGCATCTTGGAAGACTCGTTCGACATTTAATCCGTAAGTTGCGCAAGTTTCATAGTAAGTTGATTTTTTCATATCTGAAGCTAATCTTCTTGCTCTGGCATCATCTATTACTCTTGGATTACTTTCGCTGATGGCATCTATTAATAAATTTAAATCATTTGATTTCATTCTGTAAATTTAAAGTTTACCTTGAGTTCCAACAAGAATAACAGGCACTTCATTTAAATCTCTAGTTGTCATCATCTTTCTGTAATAGTTGTGAACTACTGAAAAGCTCTCCTCATTTTCGAGACTAAATACAAAGATTACAGCATCGACCCATCTAGAAAATTGTGTCTCTGGCAGTCCCCCTTCATCTCTAATCATCAGCAAGTAAGACTGGCCTTCAACAATCACTTCTTTTTTAAAACGACCTCCTTCTGGGCTCTCATCTTGCATATATGAACCAGTGAGATATCGGTGAACTAATGCGGATTTTCCGCTGTTTACAGCTCCTAAAATGCCTAATCGGAGATCAGGGACCATCCGACTTAATGTCCATTCTTGACTATTCACAAAAGAGTCTGTAATGAAAAATACATTGGAAGTTTGTTAATAGATAAATATGTAATAAATATAAACATGTATGGCAGAGATTGATTCCTTAACCGCGATATTAATGGAATATCTATTGTTTACTTACGATTTGAAAATTTTTCACAGGAAAGTTTTCCTGCGGAAACCGTTTCGTTTCTTTTTGATATCGTAAACGACTCAAGATCTCGACTAGATGAACCAGTAATAACCTGCTTACATTTCATGGAAAATCTCCGAAATACATCTCGAACTGGGGTCGGTTTTTTATCTTTGAATCTTTCTTCTGAATTCATATGTTGAAGCAATTCAACACTATGTAATTCAGTTGGGGGTACGCGTTGGAAATCATTTGTAGGCAAAAATGCACTACAAGTTCGCTGAGGTATTCTTCTTCGGCCCTTATTCTCTCGAAGGACAACTCGTGATGTCGAACGATCAACGTGACCCATTGCTCAAAATAAAAATATTGCAAGTATGGCCAAAGTCTAAAAATTAATTAAATAGTCTAACAATTGGTCAGTTGGTAAATTTGTACAAATTACCTTCACCGATAAATCCTCAACAGACCTCTTAACATAGATTTCACTTTTACAATTTAACACAAGATTTTGATGACATTATCATTGAGATTTATGTTTCATTCGATGACATGTCTAATCATTTGTTTAATACAGACCTATTTGATATGAAAATTAAAAAACTAGTCATCATATCTGTTGCAATTGATAGAAGATCACAAATCCTTAAAAATGTAAAATATTTTACGCTATTTCGTCTCAAATTATTCGTGCCACATCGACCTAAGGCATATGTTTATGCTTTTTTTTTAGTTAAAATGTCAACAAAAGCCTATATTTGTTATCTTACGCTATATCCTCTTCTTTAACATAGTTTAATATGTATAACTTTTTATTTTAAAAAAGTGTTAAACTAATCTTTATACGCACAAGTTTCAAAGTCTTCAGTATAAGCTGCGAGTTATCTGGTAAGTACAATTGTTAGACAATCCCTCCTCCTCACCAGCCAATACACTATGGACTAATAACAATTGGTCGAAATACTTCAACGCCCTCTGGCGGTGAAATTATTAAAAAGATTGTATTTCAAATTCTGATCGATTAAGCGACACTTATTGCATTTAGATAGTGTCACACAATTAAAGTCTATTAAGTTCTGATCAACTTTAAAATCCTATATTGGAGCCAACAAATAATTTAGAGCAATAATTAAAAGAAAAAAGACGTTATGATCACAAGTGTTTACATGTGAGGTAAAATTTATTTTTACACCATTTATTAATATATAAATATCACAGAAATTAGTATGAACAAGATCGAAGTTAGTTACTTTTTTCATTAAAAGTATTGGTATACTTTTATAATACTTATTAGATAACAATTGTAATTATTTATTATTAGTAAGTACAAGATCAATTGATTACTTTAGTTTTAAAATTCAAAATACAAATTGTTTTCTATTAAGATTTGTAATTCAAGTTAAAATATCACATATAAATATTTTATCTATAAACTCGTGATAGAAAATTGTGTATTTATTTACAGTGGAACAAAGAGTATGCTTCCCGGTTAAGGAATCTTTCAGATTTTAGAAATATTAGTAGATTTTTTACAAACCTTCTATACAAACAACATTATCCCTGATTTGTTGTTGAATGAGAGGATCAGGAATCACTTCAATTAAATCATAAATCGCATAAATACTTGGATGTACGCTCTCAAACCGTTGAATTTCTTGTCGTATTGCAAAGCTATTACTAAACTGTGGATAATTATGGGTCCTTTGGTTCATGTTAGCTTATTTTGATTCTTCAAAGTGTTGCAAAAAAACCATTCTCCGCTTATTTTCCGTAAAATCCTTAAAGATGCTTACCCGCGTTTTCAAAATGGCTCAAAAATATTACAGTACGCATGTCCGAAAACACACTTCTGCTTTTGAATTCACTCCACATTATTCTGATTCATTTTTAAACATGGCGGCTATTTAGATATATACATCCGCCATTTTGAATTCTTAATGTATGTGTACTGGAAAGTGCTGTTTACGCATGCGCAATTCATAACAAAAATAATATTGATGAAAATACTGAAGCTAAGAAAGTTAGCTATATTCAGCTAACTTCTAGTTGATTTTTTAAAAAATAAAGTATCAATAGCTAATGTTTATTTTATTTTGAGTAAAATTTTTCATTTGTTTCGCAAGACTGAAAGGTGCTCTTTGTGCTAACCAAAAGTCCAGACTAAGAAAGATTCCATCAATTACATAATAATAGAACTCCAAATACCGGTGAATTGTTCACAAGTAACATAGTCTCTTTGAAGAATTATATGTTCTGACTCTAGAAATTGACAATGTCTTTTAAATGATCGAAACCTCTTTTCCAATAGGGGTAATCTGAGTTAGTATTTCCTTTGTTCGAATCCTGATCGTTTTCTTCGGTACTTCCAACCTAGAACAAATTATATTTAAAAAAAAATAAAATTTTGGCTTGGCATTACTTCAAAATCTTCGTCATCTTTCACTTCTAGCCCTTCATCGTTTTCTTCATCTGTTTTGTGAAGTCTTAAACTTGTACGCCAATCTCTCACTATTTCATTAACCTCGTCATTATATGCTATTTTCTCCGGAGAATCGTCATCATCTATTATTATGGGTATATCAGGGTCATTTAGGCCGAAAGATAAAGGAATACATATTCCCATAAAAAAAGCAAAGACTGTCCAAGTCTGTTTTTTCAACATAATTCTTTTCTTTATCCTCGGTGACAAATTCTTGTAGGTTTAACATTCATCTACATGATGATTTGTCGGTTAAGCTTCGCTCATTGTTGAATTTTAAGACGAGTGGTTAAAAATGTGTAGGATAAATTTATTGATTATGTCTTGTTAGGGCAGTGCTTCAGAGCCATCTGGTTGTTTAGTTATTAATCCTTCAAAACATATAGGTAAACCTTAAGGAATATAAAAGGGTCTTATACAAAGTTTTTATTCTTTGTAATATATCAATCTCTAAGAACTGTGAATAATCATTGCCATGTATGCAAAAGGTTTTTTAGAAGCCGTCACAAAAAGTATAAAATAGATCATAATTTTAAAAATTATCATCTAGAATGACTTATATTTCTTTACTGCTTGGTAATATCCAGTTTGAGAAAATAAAATATCCATGGACTTTGTGTTAATATAATATTAAATATCACTATAATTCTTCTGTGTAGTATACACGAATTCACCAACTGAATTTAACAATATGGGTCTATTCAAACACGTTGAACAACCAATTGTAAATCTGAGTTAGTAAATTGGTTTGCTAAACTCACTGAATATACTTGTTTTGAGATATTATGGATATTTTGCAGAATATTAGCTACAAGATTTTCTTGTTTTTTATATGCTTCGGTACGTAACTTGTTAAAAGATGATAGCAAATCTCTTCATTATATTTTTTACAGTAATGTTGTAGCTCAACAACTGTCTAAGTAGGTCATGTATATATTATTTTTAATAGAAAAATGATGTATTAGAAAGGGATATAATAATTTTCCATGGTATTACATTTTGCCAAAACTCATATTGATCATGGAAATGGGTCTAAAATAATTCTACTAACTCTACCCAGTTCTGGGAAAAATTGACATTTTATAACTTAAGTGCATATGTGACGATGGTTTAGAGATAGATATTTTTAATGAGATTTTCATTAAAGAGGAATTAGCTCTTATAAAAAATATTTCCTGCAAACTTGACAGCACAAAACTACATACCATAGAGCTAACATAGAGCTAAGCATAGTGAACTATAGTAGTGAAAGAAAATTCGCAAACTGACGGGTTATTTCATAGCAAAGGATTTTCGCTAAAATCAAAAAATTTTGTAAAATGGAACAGAAAGTTTATGGACACGTTTAACATTCAGTTTGTGAGCTATTCTTGATATTTTTTTGAGTATATTAATTCTAGAGTCTCTTTTATAAGTAACAGCTACTTTAGCTCTCTAATTTATGTTTTTATCTAAACTTTTTTTTTAATACTGTTAAGATCTTTCAACAGCGTGGATATGAATCCTTGTTACTTGGATTTCTTTCATTGATTATTCTTTTTTAAATTATGGCTCATGAAAAACAGTATTTTAAAACACATACATCATAAACTCTTTTTTTTGAGGGAGCAAACTGATCATACTTACCTGTTACAATATTTCTGTCATCATAAGGCGTTCTATCTTGTTAGAGGAAAAACTTCATCTTGGAGAAAATGACATAATTTGTTTCTCCTAACAATAAATATGGTTCCTCTAAAATTTTCTGTTTCTTTTAAGAGATATGCAAATATCGATCAACCCTAAAATCCTAGTCATATAAAATTACCACAATTGTATATAATATTTAAATCTGAATATCATACAAACCAACAGCTTTTTAATTACTTTTTATGCATTCTATTTATTCATTTTAGTCTTTTAAATAGTTAATTCATACGGAGTGAAAAATGAAATCGAGAAATTTTTAGTTGTTGCGGATATTGGGTTAGAAAGCGTTTGGCAATTTAGCCTAGATGGTAGAAAATATACTTTGAAGAAGAATTTATCCTCTCCAGTAGCAGTCGATATATCTAGTATATCAAAAACAATTTTTGTAGCTGATTCTGCCAGTAACGCCATATATTCAGCTCCATTTTATGAAAGTAATTCAGAAACATTGTTTAAGGATATTCAATTAGGTGAATAACTCCTACAAAGTTTTTTCCAATATTTTGACAGATCGCATTAATAAAAAGTTCATCTTACAGAATCCAAAATCTCTGGACTTACTGTTGATTCTTCAGCTGGATTATTGTTCTATACAATATTACTTCAAAAGTCTATATCAGTTATCGATATTAGCACAAAAAAAGAAAAAGTTATTGTATCTGATGATAGCTCAGGTCCTAAGTCTATTAGATGTGATCCTGTTAACAGGTAAGTCGCTATATTTTACTGTATATCTTTTTCTAAAATTGCGCTGTTATTAGAAAGATATATTGGATTGGAATACACAAGCCGATCATACGAAGCTCAGATTATGATGGAGCTAATATTCTGGATGTAGTTCATGGGGAGACAGGAGATATCTGGACATCGTTATTTTTGGATACCAGAAGTATGTATTAAACTGCAATGATATATTGTTTACATATTAGTATATATATATAAATTTACAGATCGCATTATTTATTTCACAAGTGCAAAACAAGACAAAATTTTTACTGCCAGTCTGGATCATTTAAACCAACCTCCGAAAGTGTTCCATACAATAGCAGGTATATCCTGAATAGCTATATATAGTCTATATTTTGCAATTAATCTACTATCAGATGGTAGTGATATATCTGGAATTGCTGTAGATGATACATATTTCTATTTTGCTGACAAAGAGAGAGAGTAAGATTTAGTACGCTCTTCATATTAAATTAATTCAGTATCTTTTGCAGTACTATCATGAGAGGCCAATTAAACAGAAATTTTTCGTCGCCTTTTATGGTTCAGAAAAAATTGCTAACTCCCAGCGATATACAAATTTATATTGACTCCTATCACGATAAAGGTACGAGGTATAAATAATAACTATGACAATTAAAAAAGATTTTCCAACCAGATGTGCAAAGTCTTTGTAGCATAAATAATGGAAACTGTTCCGAAATATGCATAACTAAAATTGATTCTATTAAATGTTTGTGTAGTGGTGAAAAGAGAGTTGTAAACAAAGTAAACTGCACAAAGGGTAAATTTCAATACAGAAATACTCAAATGTTTTATATATAATTGCTATAGAGAAACACTATGAAGGTCCTAAGTTGATTACAGTAACATTTGATGGTAAAAGTACTTCAACGATATACACCTCCAGATATTTTGATAAAAAAGGTATATTGTTTAAAATTGTAATAGACAAGTTTTTTAATACTATATTTTAGATTCAGGTACTCGTTTCATAGAGTGGGACTTTCAAGCAATAACATATGATTATGGTAGAAGTACAATGTACTTAATTGATAGAGATTACAAGTAAAATTGTTATTTCCCTATATAAATTCAAATTTATTGAACTGAATGAATTTAATAGTAATACATTACACGTAAATTACATCAATTTCAGATATGTTACTTCTTTACACTTGCCGACCAATTCTATAAATGTTTTGCATTTTGGAATATCACGTGAAGTTTATGGATTGGCGTACGATTGGATTAATGATAATTTACTTTGGACAGACAAACGAATGAACTGGATTCAAGTGCAGAATGTGAAAAATACAGAATTGTTACTTACATTGTTTGATCATCTAGATGAGCCACATGCAATTGTAGTTCATCCAGAACAAGGGTGAGTGTTAAAATTGATTTATTAGAAGAAATAATATTTTTTTTAGGTATGTGTTTTGGACCGACTGGGGTGTCAGCAAAAGTATTGAGCGAGGAAATTTAGGTGGAACAAATAGGATGATTATTGCCAGTTTTCAGAAAAATATTGCTGCTCTGACCCTTGATTACCAGAAAAATAGGTAGTATTTGAGCTATAATTTACATCTTAAGACTTATATTTTTGAAATAGGCTCTACTATGCTGTTGAAAATAAAATTTATTCTATTGATATGAATGGAAAAAATCAACAAAGTCATACAACTGTTTCAGATCAACCAATTATATCTTTGGCATACAGTGATGTAGTATCTTACTATTAGAAAGCTTGTTTTCATTTGTTTATTTATTCACTTAGATGTATATTATTGCTGCTCAAAAAGACTTTAAAGGTGAAGGGAAAATACTATTTTATAATCGTAGCAACTTTACGATAAAGGGAGCCCTTAAAATCAATGAAATTACGTCTATGATACTGTATGATAAAGAATTTCAAAAACCTAATCAAATTATCATTGGTAAGATAAAATTATTTCATCACTGACTTATAGTACATATTTATATATATTTGTTAGATAAATGTCGTCAACTAAATTGTTCTCACTTTTGTGTTTCCCACCCAAAAAAACTGGCAGAATGCATATGTGCCAACACATATCACCTGGAAAATTCAGCTTGCCACAGTGATGATTTAAAAAGCTTTGCCAATTAGTAATTTCTAAAATATGATTCTTTCACTTAGTTAAAGAAAATTCACTGATTGAAAACTCGTTTATTTATGCGGTAAATAATAATACACATTCTAGCGTATGCAGAATTCCTACTAGAGCTATAACAGCCAGCGTTCCCTCACCTAATGATTTTTGCTTCTTTGTACAACAGAGCTTTCGATTTAGTGGATTTGGTAAGCTAAATGTCTGTCATTAGTATACACTTAATACTGTTAATATAAATGTTTTTAAAGCGTATACGTACGAATCAGGGGATATTTACTTCAGTGCAAACAATCACTCAACTCCACGAATTTACAGAGCAAAATTAAATAATCTGAGCAATAATACAGTTTTATTCTTTGGGACACGTCATGTTGAAGGTTGTTAACAATGATTTATAGCGTCTCTTAAATGATTTTGTCATTAGATCTGGTAGTTGACTCTCTGAACAATTTATATTTTACCAATACTGAAAGTAATACCATTTGGGTGGCGAACCTAGTGAAAAATATATTAAAACAAATATTGAAAAATCTAGATTTTCCGAGATTTATTGTGGTTGATGATAGACACGGGTAAATGATACTAAAGATAATTTGAGATTTATAATATGTTCTTCAATATCATCTTTAGTAAATTATATTGGACCGAAGGGGGTATTTTAGGTAATGGCAAAATATTTCGAGCGAATTTAGATGGAAGCTTGAAAGAACTATTTAGACAAAGTGACACAGAATATATAGCCGGTTTAGCCTTTGATAGTGACAGGTATTACAACTACCTACTACTATATACAATTATTTAAAGTCGAATTATCTTTTCAGATTATATTGGACAAATAACAAAAACATTTTTTCCGTTACAATCGACAATTTTAATTTGGCAAATTTTTCCTTTTCAATAGATGATCCTAAAAATATTGCCGTATACAGAGTAATAAATACTTTTACTACTCAAGAAACTTGTTCTTTTACTAAATGATCTGCAGGATTATGTAGCTGTTAATCAGAAATCAAAAGCTGCGCTGACAATGGGGGCGTTGCCAGAGTACAATACTTTAGCTTTTAAACCTAAAACTGTAGCACATTCTCAGTATATGAATTTGACGGGTCTTATTGCTTTTCATAGGCAGTATTCCACAAATGAATTTAGAGGTAAGTCGGTTGGTTTATAATATCTTAGAACATGATACTATGGTTCCATAGATGAACAAGCGAAATGCAATTATAAGAAATGTGAGCAGTTTTGTTTCTATTTTAATGAGAGCCCTAAATGTTCTTGCGTTGATGGAATGAAGTTAAAAAACAATGGCAGATCTTGTGAGCCAGGTTAGTTAAGCAATTGAAGAAAACATATATAAATTAGGATTTAAACAGAAGTTATTTCGGAGACAAACTTCTTCTTGATTGCTGATGATTACAAACATCAGATATATAAAGTAAGCCAAATTTTTAAAGAGTACTAATTACCATTTCATTTAATATATTTAATAAATGCTTCCCACAGGTCGACTATGAGATGAAAAAATTTTCAACTTTTTTAATGCCAAAAGATAGTAGACCAATCGGCGTTGACTTTGATATGATTCATAAAAAAATCTATTGGAGTGAGTTTGGAGATGGTAAGAAAGAGCTTATTTATAGAAGTGATCTGAAAGGTGAAAATGTTGAAACGGTTTTTAGCCTTACTCATAATGGTAAATTACAATTGCTGTCCCACAATATAAAAATGCGTTCTCGGTAAACATTTATTTAACCTTTGTTAGAATCAGAGACTTTTAGAATAGACTCGTTGGCAATAGACCCACATGCTCGACTACTTTATTATACTGATCAAGGCATATATAAAAATGGTTCTAGAAAAAGTTTTGTTGGAGTTTTGCATTTAGATACATTGGAACACAAAAAAAATTTGCTAGAAATGAGTGGTAGAGCACGATCCATTGCTTTGTATCCAGAGAAAGGGTAGGATTTCAACTGATTTCAATTTTTTTTTTGATTTAATGATAAACAAACAGTTATATATACTTAACTGAAAGAGGAACAAAGCCAAACGAAACAGCGATTAATCGAGCATTTATGGATGGGTCTGAAATAACCAAATTATCCAACAAGTTAGGCACAACATGGCCTATGGGCGTGGCATTAAATAGACAAAGTAAATTAAAAATTTATTTAGTAATTGATAAGTCAATGTTTTCATGTTTTAGGTGATGAGCTATTTTGGTGTGACGCACATACAGAAATATTTTATAAAACAAAACTAGACTTCGAAGGAAACACTACGAAAGTTTTTCATACCAAAGCCTCTCATGATCCTTTTGATGTAGAAATACAGGTTTAAAAAAAAATGATAAAATTTCAGGGTCTAAAATATCTCCTACAGGGAGATTATCTTTATTGGACAGATTGGAAAGCTCAAGGTTTGAGGAGAATAAACATTAAAAGCCCAAATAAAAAAGAGGAAATCTTTTTCGAAAATATTTTTTATGGACTTAACGAGATTAAGTTCTACAATTCTACAGAAATTGAAGGTATTCTTACCAAGAAATTTCGGTACCTTTCTCATTGATTTCTTATCAACAGCTAGAGGGAAAATACATCCGTGTAAAAATCATTATTGTTCTGATTTTTGTTTTTCACACGGAAATAGTTATAGGTGTGGGTGTCGAGATGGAAGTCAACTACGTTCAGATGGAAGGACATGCGAAAGTAAGTTTTATTCGCTCTAAGTCCTTTAAATTAACTACTAGTGATTGTAAATTTTGAAGACAAATGTCCGAAAGTAAAATTTGACGGAACTTTAAACAAAGATTGTACATTTCTTGCTCTTTCAAAATGCTCTTTTAAATGCGTTAAGACTCATTATTCTATTATTCGGGAGGCAAAGGTAATTAATTTAATGACTTTCATTTGTTACTTATATTTGAGATACAGGTAGATTGTTTAAGTACTTCAACATGGAGTTTGGATTTAAAAAAGTCTTGTATAAAACGTTTGTATGTCGCCAAGTGTGCTGATAATTTTTTAAATCATACTGTTCTTTAGTTTGCCCAAATGTTAAGGAAGACAAGTCAATAACAAAAGTGTCTTGCGAGAATTATACGGATGGCAGTGTTTGCCAGCTAAGGTGTAAGGATGGACTTGAACTACAGCTGGGAAACTTAAGTCGAACATGTTCATTGGGTTCATGGACAGGACAAAATCCAATTTGTAAAAGTAAGCGCAAATACAGAAATTGTTCAATTAGATATATTGTATATGTAGTTTCAGCTTTTAATCGAAAACACGGAGCCGAAAAATCTGGTAAACCATAAACTTACTTTAGAATAATTTTCAAAAGTTATAAATCACTCAACCTTCCTTTTCTCTGCTTTAGCTAATCATAACTTTGGTATAATTATTGGAGTTATTACTGCCTGTGTTTTGGTAGCAGTTATTTCGTTGTTTCTTGGAATTATGGTTTTAAGGTAAATATTAAGAAACTCCTGTCAAAAAAATAACACCAAATTTTACACAGGAGAAAACTTGCGAGGAAATCAATTCCATATGGTCAACAGATTGATGAACCAAATGTTAACAGTGATTCAGTCCCTTCTACTTCTTACAATGTTAAAACAGAAGAGATTAATTTGGATAACAATCTGGCATTTGGAAATCCTTTGTACGAGACAATTCAACAGCCTAATGAAATGAAAATAGAGTTAGGCCAAGAAGAAAAACAGGCATAAAGTCTATGATTTGAAATATACTTAGTTTTACGCAGATAAATCTCAAATGCTTCAATGGATACATTTTTTGCTTTATTTTATTGACTTAGTGATATTCGATCAAATAATTAAAGTATAGACATAACTATTTTAAATATAGTATTAGATAGTATTTTATATCTGAGTTAATTTTAATTGTTCTAAATTTTCAAAAATCCAAATACATTCAAGACTAAATTTAAACAAGTGATGAAAGCAAATTTTATTTAAGTAAAATTTTCCAAATTTAATGGGAGACAATAAAATTACCATTTTATGTATCACGGGAAATACTCATTTGTGAATATTCATATCGAAATTAAGAACGCATTAAATTTGAGGGTCCGTTGCTTTTAACAATTTCGTTGGTCTGCAAGATGTCTGAACTAAAGTTCATTACAAAGAATGTACCAATAATGAAAATCGGTAATGTAGATGAAGCCAAAATGAATATACTTACGGAGGTATGAATATTTAAAAATTATATTGAGCGATAATAAGAAGTAATTTATCTTGGTTTGGAGCTTGAAATTGATCTACCGATATGCTATATGTAATGATGACTGAAATTACATTTCAGAGGAAGCCTATTGTACTTCAAGGCTTGGATATTGGAGAGTGTACTACTAAATGGAGTCCAGAATATTTAATAAATACTGTTATTAACAAAGAAGTTAAACTTCACGTTTGCGCTTCTCCTCAGATGGATTTCATCCAAAAAAACTTTCAATACAAGTTTGTATGCTGATCAATCCTTTATTATTTGTTGACATATTAGTTGAATTTATGTAAAATATCAAATCTAGAACTTTGCAGTTTGATGAATTGATCAGGAGATGTTCTCAACCGCTTCCTTTAAAAAGCTATTTTCTCTCAGAAGTAAGAGATTCTTAACAATAATACCATTCTTTATAATTTTGCTCCTAGTCCGAAAAGTACTATTTGAGGACATTAGGAACAGACCCGAGAAAAATTCCAGCCGATTTTACTAGAGATTTCCCTGAGTTGGGGTGCGATATTAAATTTCCGGCTTTGTATGATGTAGATTCATACTTTTCTAGTGTTTTCCGTGTGGCATCTCCCGGTACTCAATTGTGGACTCATTATGATGTAGGAAATAATTCTTAAAACTTACTTGTATAATGTAATTATCATTAAAATCCTCCTTAGATTATGGATAATATCCTTATACAAATTCGTGGCAAAAAATCAGTAGTTTTATATCATCCTGATGACGCTGAATATTTATATCTTCATAGTGGGTAAAATTTTATCAATTTCCCTTTATGCTGAAGACTATTTCCCTTACAGAGGATAAATCTAAAGTTTTGGATATTAATAATCCAGATAAGGAGAAATATCCCCTTTTCTATAAAGCTTGCCGCTACGAATGTGAATTAGATGCGGGAGATGTGCTGTTTATACCAGGTTTGTACCTATAACCTTTTTTGTTTGTCTTAAATGTAGTGAAGAAAATTTCAGCTCTGTGGTTTCACAACGTTACCTCTCTAGAGTTTGGTATAGCAGTTAACGTTTTTTGGAGACATTTGCCTGAAGAATTTTACGAACCGAAAGATCCGTATGGCAATAAGGACCTAATTCCTGCAAATAGAGCATTTGAAAAGCTCTCCAGAGCTCTCAAAGATATGAACGATTTGCCTTATGATTATAAACGGTTTTATTGCAAAAGATTTATAGAAGAAGTTCGTAATACATTAGAGTTAAAATAAATTTATAGAGGGCGTTTCAAATGTGAGAGGGAGCTAGTAGGCTTAGAAGGAATAGTCAATAGCTGTATGCTAAGGGTAGCTTATTTGCATAATATATTCTACACTAAGCTACACAGAAACATCTAATTTTAAGAACACTCGTTTGGTAAGAGATTTTTTGTTATCATCTCAGCATTTGCCTTAGGTAAGGCTACATGTTCTAACTTGATGTGTCATAAAATGATTAGGGTAGCTATATTTGTTTGATAATAGATGTATTTCTTAAACTTAACAATAATAGGCCTATTACTCCTTTTTCATCAATAATAGTATTTTCATATGACTTTTCGGAATGTCAAACTTGTGCTTTGTGAATGAGTGGGGCCTAAACTTTTATTTCCATTGTTGATTTCAATTGGAAAACAATTAAATTTGTTGAATCGTGAAAGCTATTTTTAATTCTCATTCTAAATAATGTGGGTCGCTTTCCCAAAGCAGATGGTTATTTTTATTGATGAGCTTCTGTGGTTAGTAAAGCGCTTCTAAAATATCCATTCCAGGTGAAATGGATGAAGAGAAGAGAAAAGTTGATGGTATGTATATATATTTATTAATCTATTTATGTTCACAAATCATTTATGGATTCATTAATAGCATCTAAGGGCACATGGGCAGACCCTGTCGATAGCCTTGTTGATATCCAAGGAAAATCTGAGTCAATTCCGATAGTTCAGAGTGAAATCAACACGAATATTCTCATCGATTTGGATACTCAAGTATCTGAACCAATCAAGATTCATAATCCTGTTTCAAATTCTATATCTTTCACCCCAACAAAAACACCTCCATCTACACCTCAGAATTGCGATTCAGGAATTTTGAATAATCCTCTAAATGCTGATGAGTTGATTTGCAGGTCTGCTAAGATATTTCACGATCAGAGTACTTCAGAAAATTCAACTACCAACAATGATGCAAATAATATAAATAGTGCAGAAAAGAAAAATTTTCCACTCTCCCAAAATTACACACACGCAAAAATGGGTTTATGTGATGAAGATAAATTGAAAGTGGCTCCCCTTTCTGAGCGAAAATTGCCAAAAACTCTGGAAGAAAGAAAACAAATCAAAGCTAAAGAAGTAAAATCAAATGCTGTCAAAGTAGAATTGTCCGCAAAAAATTCTTTCACTAAAGTGGAGAGTACTTTATCTTCCAAAGCAAATATTGCAACAGTGGCAAAAACTAACAATCCATCATCTCCTAAAAGAAATATTCAGAAAGTTATTCCTACAATCTCAAAATCTTCTTTAAGCAGTCCAAAACGAAGTGTAACTGCTTCAGCTAATGCTGCTATAAAAAAATCACCAGACGGCGTGACGAAGTCAGATAAACAAATCGAACAACAGGTTAGAAATTATTGTAAATACTATATATTGTATACTAGTTGTGTGTTAGCTCACTTTCGAAACAAGCAATAAACTTAAGCGCAATTGCAATTTTGATTTGTTAATGAGCAATGTACAAAAGTGTATATTCTTTCTCTGTGGAAGTAAGTTTAAAATATAACTTTAGATATGTATGTTTCAATTCATAGATTTAGAACTTTTACTAACATGTGTTAAATGAATGTCGCGAAATTAAATCTATAAAAACGTCGAATTTGTATTCAGTAGTGCTCTTTTTGCTTCAACAGTTTCCTAGTAAAAAACATGGCTAACTGAATTTCTGTTTACTCACAGAGTTTTAGGGGAAAGGAAAAAAATATTCCAAAGTTTTCCTGCAGAGGGTCTTCGCCACGACACTGTATGTTCAAATAGTTTACCAAATTTGTAAATTTCGACTTGTTGAAACTTTAAAATTTTCAGCTGCTACTTCTGAAAGTTCTGGGATCTCCTGTCAAAAGGTAAGTCTTTGCATGTTTTAGGCTAAACTTTAGAAAATCAGGAAATCTGTTCTATGAATCTTCTAACGACTATACTTCTTCTGTTTATACTTAAATGGTTGGTTACTAGGTAGCAGCTCTTTATTGAGAAAAAGATAGCCCATAAAAAATACTTTGAAGAAAGCCTTCTAACATTGCAACTCATTTGAGTATTAAAATCATTATTTAGTATCTACGTACATAAATTTGATTGTGATTTTTTGAAATTGTAGGTTAAAGATTTTTCTTATTTAAAAATTGCAAAATTGTGACCACAAATTGTGACCCTTAAAATCTATTGTATTTACTATGTTAATATTTTGAATTTTGCCTTGGTTATGCTTTTATTCTAAGTATTTTCTTTATGTTTTTTAATCAGGGAAATAAAAGTCAATTCGAAAATATTAAATCGCGATGTGGTTCTTTGGAAAATGCTAGCCATATACCACAAGGAGGAGGGAAAAGGGTTAAACATTATAGTTTTGCCTAATACACAGTATAAATACTAATGCTGTTAATTGATATCGTAGATTGAAAACAGAAAATTGGATTGGAAGAGAGAGTCTAAAGTAGGTTCTTTAGATAATGCAAAACACAAACCCAGTGGTGGCGATAAGAAGGTTTTATTTACTATTTAATAATAATATATTGTTGTAATATTGTTTAAAACTAAAGATTGCAACTCAAAAATTGGAATGGAAAGTTTCGAGCAAAATCGGTTCTCTTGAGAATGCGAAGCATAAGGCCGGTTTCTATTTTTCGACCTTTGATTTCACATCAGCTACAACTTATCTGTTAAATCAATTCATATAAAATTTGTAACTGAGAAAGATATTAAATATTTATTGATAGTTTAGCTATTTTCTAGTTAGTTCTTTAGTAATTTTACTTAAAAAACATGTCGAATAATAAAAACCGGCTGTTTAGCCTCAGGGTGGAGAAAAAAAGGTAATGTACAAGATATGATTTGTCAAATATCTAAATCTTATCGTTGGATAGATTTTAAATGAAAAACTGGAATGGAAAGTATCAAGTAGAATAGGATCATTGGATAATGCTCAGCATCGTCCAGGGGGTGGTAATGTGAAGGTAACAGGCCAGGTTTATCTCCAGAAATTTTAAGGCTAATTTTCATCAATTTTAGGTTAAAAACGTTAAGTTAGAATTTCGAGAGAAAGCTCAGTCAAAGATTGGAAGTAAAGATAATATGACATACACACCAGGCGGTGGAGATAAAAAAGTTTGTAGTACATTCTTGTGGTAAAGAGCTAAGATACATGTATTTTACAGATTGAAACCAGGAAATTGGGATTTAAGGAGACTGCCAAAGCCAGAACAGATTCTGGAATCAGCGCTTCAACTTAGCAACTATACTGAAAATCACCTTAATGCGACTTTTTTTTAGCATTCCTTAGTTTTCTCTACTGTAGTTTTTGAGAGTGTCAGTGTTTCTATAAAAGTGTTTGCTTCCGGTTGGCTCACTGTTTAAATAGAAAGAGCATGTAGAAGTGGAAATGTTCTGTTTAAGTACTTTTTTATCTATATGTTTAGATAAATGCTGTAATTGCTTGAATCTTGCATATTTGCGGATGCCTGTAAATAAACATGTTCAAAATGAGTATATTACACAGCTCTCATCCTGTAGGTGGCGAAATTTAGGAAGTGACGTCATAGATGGACGATAATGTAAAGTATTCATTAACGATTTTATCGTCAGTTTTGCTTTGGATTAGTTCAAGATAAGAATTAGAAAGATGATAAGCTTAGCGTTAATTTCGTAATAATGGCATCAAAAATTCAAGGTAAAATTCACTACTTGGATATTTTTGTTGCCTAAAAATGTCTTGCGTTCGTAGGAGCAGTAATAAACTAACAACTAAAGATCATATTTTATTTTTTGCAATGAAAGGTCAATCATCAGTAATCAGTGAGAGGAGAGAAACCAATGAGTGGAATAGTTACCGTAATATGAATTTTTATTATTTTTAAACAATATAATAACACGATATTTTAACAGTGTTCAATTTACAAACTCAAGCACCGAAACCAAAGGCTGTTATTTGTCCTAAGCGGGTTTGTATCTTTAAAGCTTATGAAAAAAATTCGTCATAAACCTTTTGTTTGAGGTTGTAGCCTCTCATAAAAATCGTGTAAAAGATGAATACTTTGATTAGCAAAAATAATGTTTTGTTTTGGATGTTTTTTAGATTGAGAATCGACCGTCTTTTTATGGTAATGAATATCACGGATCAATTTCCCGAGATGAGGCGACAAATCTATTGCAGAGTAAAACTGAAGATGGTGCCTATCTTGTTCGAGAAAGTCAGCGAGCCCCTGGTCAATTTACATTAATGATTAAATTTAATAATGAAGTGAGAAATTATCAGATATACTATGAAGGTCAACATCAAATAGGAGACAAGTATTTTTCTACATTAACAGACCTAGTTGCAGACGGTTTAATAACGTTTTACATAGAACTGAAGGCTGCTGATTATATTCTAGCTTTGTCAAGCAGAAATTATTCAGATAGTCCTTATTGCCGATATACTCTTGAACAGCGAAAGAAAGCTGCCCAAAAAAAAGCTGATTCTAATAAACTAAAATCTCCTCAAAAAATGAAGATTCCTGCAAAAGTTGTGACTGAAAATGCTATGCTAAATCGATTGATGGTTGAAAAGCAACGTAATATCGTAGATCGAGCAGGCGGCGCAAAAGTTGTAGTGGACCTAAAAGATCATCTGCCTAATATTCACAAGGAATTAGAAAACTCCTCAAGCAGTCGATCTTCGATCTCTCGTCGATCTAACAATTCAGTAACTCTAAGCAGTAGCACTATTTCTCCTGAAGTAACTAATACACCAGGAGAATTCGAGAAACCTCATAAATTCAAAACCCATTCTTTCATGGGTCCTCATTGGTGTGATTTCTGTGCTAATTATTTATGGGGTTTGGTGAATCAGGGTGTGAAATGCCAAGATTGTGGTTTTGCGGCCCATAAACATTGCTCTGAAAAGCTCCCATCTGATTGCGCCCCTGAGATGAAATATGTTAAAAGAGTGTTTGGCGTTGATCTTACAACTTTAGCCAAGGCAACTAATAATCTAATTCCTTTCGTGGTTGAAAAGTGTGTCAAGGAAATTGAACGCAGAGGTGTGCATTTTGAAGGTTTATACAGAATAGGCGGTCATTTAGATGGCATTGATTTCATTAGGATGGGTTTTGATAGAGAAGGGGAAAATATCGAATTAAATCAAGAAGACGATGAAAATGTCATAACCTCTGTTTTGAAACTGTACCTTCGATCGCTTCCCATTCCAGTTATTACGTATGAAATATATCAATCGTCTATGGAAATAATAAAGAGAGATTTTAATCAAGAATCGTTAAAATTAGAAAATCTCAAAAAAAGCATTGAGCAGTTACCACCTGCTCATTATCATACTTTAAAGTATTTGATGAAGCACCTTCATAGGTAAGAAAAATATAATGAGCTAAAAAGCTAATAGTAATTAACTTTTTGGTTTTAGAGTTGTGAAAATGCAGGATACGAACAAAATGACTTCTGATAACTTAGCAACAATTTTTGCTCCAACTCTATTCCAATCAATAGACGCCGACTTAGCTACTCGATTACAAATTTTTCAATATGAGAGAGAGTTAATTGAAGTTTTAATTTCACACCAAATGATTATATTTGGAAATGAATAATAGATTTCAATCATACTTTAAATGTAGACATAACTTTGTTCATTGTGCTTCAGTATTCACGTAACTTTTTACTATAATTATAATTTGTGAGCTTTATAAATGCTTTCCAAAATCTTTTTAGTTGATACCTTTTGCTGTCAGCACCTTAAGTGTATACTTTATTAATCATTTTATTTTTTATATCTGGTAATATATTTGTACTATTTATTGGTTAGAATTACAATTGTCTAGAATACTTATATGGTATGCTTCTTGTGTTTAATACACCTTTTTATTGTTTTATACTAATAAATGTTGTTTTCCGACTTTATAGCCAAATTTTAGAATGACACTTAAGTATAAATTTTTCAATCGATTCCATATATAGAAATATATATTGTATTAGTCACAAAAGATTGAGTCTTATTATAGATAACTTTTTCACACATGATTATGAAATATCTCTCTTTTTGTCTAACGTTTAGGGTTTATGCAGAAAAAAGCACGAATAAATGCTTTCAGCTAAAATTTTTTGAAAATCCAGTCGTTAAACTTTTATACGCATTATAACAGCCATTATTTCAACATTATACGCTATATATGCTATATACAGAAATATCGAATTAATATACAGTATATATACTGTATATATACGCATTTTTAAACGGCAAAAAATTTAAAGTTTTGCGGAGAAGTTTCGTGCGTTCTGTCTCTGCTTTAAAATTCCATATTCATGACTAGATTGAACGCATAAATTTAGTATAACAAGATCTCTTTTTGTTTTTCTGAGGCTTTAAGTTCACTCGTTGCCGCAATAATATTAAATATAATTGTTTACTTAATTCTATCCAAGGATTTGCAAAAGAAAATAGCTTCTCACTTACACAAAGACTAACGTTTAGTAATATGAGAGTTTCAATCTTCCATTTCTTTGTATTTTGCATAGTTTTAATAAACTATGCTTCAAATGCCAAAGTCTTTTTCTATCAAGATGTGGGTCTTGATTATTATAAAGCAAGAGAATGGTGTTTGAACAAAGGATTAACGCTGCCGATTTTAGAAAATAAGGAAGATCAAGATCAATTGGTGAAAATCTTAAATCAATATAATATTAGTAGGTGCTGGTTAGACTTAAAAGAGACGATTCACGATTGGAGAGCTGTGATAAGTTGTTTTTATTTGCAAATTAATTTCGAGCAGAAAAAAGTTTATTCTAATTTTAGATCAAAGCGATATTATGCCACCGGCGGAAGATTCATCTTATAAAACTTGTGCTTTTATAAAAGAAGGAAAATTGCGAGCTGATGATTGTTCGAAAAATTTGAAGGCGCTATGTTATTTAGGTAAAGTGATGAATTATATAATACATGTAGATAAAAACATTCCTTTTTCGAACTGTGAAAGATACAATTCATAAACAGATGATTGTAACAAGACTTCTGAGTGTTATCGAAATATCTCTGAAGGAACATGGTACAATAGTGTACAGACTTGCCGGAAGCTGAATGGTTCTCTTTTCAGAATAAAAACAGAGCACTTATCAAAAATGAAACCGTCAACTGAAAAGTTTTGGGTGGGGTATTCAAAATCAGAGTGGAGTGAGTACATGTATTATAAAAAATTAGATACTTGTACTTTTATAACTAAAGCGTAATAAAATAATTTTATGATTATTTCGGCTGCTTGTAGTATTACTAATTATGTAATCTATAGGAAATTCTAGGGGACCTCAATATTATTTCAATTGGGAAGTAGATCAGCCGAATAAAATTAACCAATCTTGCGTCGTCCTATCTGTTACTGAAAAAGAAAATTGGTTAGATCATTCATGTACACAGAGAAATTGGTCAGTTATATGTGCAAAAGAGGATTATAAATTAAGTATACATGTTGAACTATTTTCATTGAAATCTGTTTAGTAATGAAATTTCATTTTAGCTACAACCAGTCGCTTGCAGCTTAAGACTTCTTCAATAGATGGTTTGTTGAATTGATTATATTATACATATATATTTTGATATATTTTCATTTTAAAATAGAATCGACATTTTCTAAAATAAAAACAAGTGCTTCCAAAGTTTCAACTGGTATGAAGATTATACTTTGAGAAGTTCACTACCAATATTCCATAAACTAAAATTTATTATTATTTATTCAAAACTTTAGATGATTTATATACAACTAAAGCTACTGTTGGTAAATATTCTGACAGTTCTTTTTCCTTAATGGCTCCTTTACTAGGTGTGAAAAATTAATCTATAAAATCCAAAAAATTTAATTCAATATGTAAACATATAGGTATTGCTATTGGCGTAACTTGTTTCGTTCTTATCGTGCTGATCATAGTTGGCTATAAAAAGAGAAAACGGGAGAAGAAGTAAGTTACACTTAAAATTAATATTTATGTTATCAAGAATAAATGTTCTTGTTTTCAAGAGCTATAGAACAGCCAGAGGAAAACAAGGAAGATATAAATTCTGAAGATCACTTTTCGCATGGCACTGTTTTTGATTCAACTGACTATGGAATAAACAGCGAAGCTCGCACACCAAAAGACAGCTGGAGATGGAAAGGAGTTGATCACGTAGATTTCAAAATGTGAGTGAAGGTCACATATATTAAATAAAGCTTTACAATATGGAAACATTGTAATTAAAGTTTATTACTATTATGAGATTCATTGTTTTGCTGAAAATTTGATTGAGTCAATAAAATATTTTTGCAATAATTAAAGAAAGCACTTTGGCTTATTATATTTTATCTAAAAAAAGTTTAGTGATAACATTATTGATCCTCATCCATAAATAAATTAACAAAATGAGTAGGAAATTGCTATATTAAAGTATTAAAGTTAATTATTACTTAAACACCAGTTTTTATTTCGTCAGTTTTTGAACTCCAATAATAATAAGCTTTCCGTCCTCCAGACCAGCTAAAATATGAGAGTTGTTTGGGGTAACCGCTAAACATAATATAGTTTTATGTAAAGAAAGAGTAGAAATAGTTTTTAACCTGAAACAAATATAGATAAAGCTCAAGAAGTATTAAGATTTTTTATACCCAAAAAGATCCATAATTATTAAATTGCCATTCTGAAGTGACACAAGCAGGAGATCTTCCAAAGTTAGCATTGCAGTAACTTTGCAGGGTAGTCTTTGTTCTATTAAATGTTTGCCATTAATTGAGTAGCAATGAAGGGATTGAGACTCCTATGAAATCAGGAAATAATAAAATAATGAGAATTCAAATTAGAATACGAACTTGTTGGTTACAATGAACATTAGCTGGAAGGTTACAGTGCACAACTAAATGACCCACGTAATCCATTGCTAAGTGAGTTAAAATTGCTGTATCTGCTGCAGGTCTTAGAGTTCTAACATAAAGTCCTTTTCGAGCAGTGTGAACAATGACGGAACCGTCCTTGGAATAGTATTTCGTTTTATTAAAATAAAATACTGAAGGATACATACTATAGAAGAGGATACAGCTATATCCAATTCGATCGATAAACTGACACTTGTTATCTCAGCATCATGTCCGTATAAGGTTTGTAAAGGAAAGCTATTAATTCCATGACTAACACCGTTTTGTTGATTTATTTCCCATATAACACAAGTTGTGTCTCTTGAACCACTCATAACATGATTTCCACAGCGATCCAGAGATATGCAAGTTATTATATCTAACATGAAATGATTTATTTTGTTAACACAACTATTTTAAAATGAATCCCACCTGTATGGCGAACATGGTGACCAATAGTCTTTCCTTTACTAAAACTATAAACTCTTAAACTGTTATCCCAATGTCCAGCACTCAGTAACAGCTTGGCGTCATCAGTTACTATAAATAAGCTAGGAGAAACTTCCAAACCAGGAGCAAATGGTCCTGATATAGTCTTTCTGGATCTAGTATCAATTTCAATAAAATGATGGGATGTTTCTTACATTTAGCAAACATTTCACATACTTATTTTTCATTGTACTCAGCGTTGGATCCTTTTCAAAGGTAAAATAGTTTGGTATTGATTTATCGTAAGGTAACCAACCATGTACTCCTAAGTTTCCGTTAATGCTTAAGGTTACCTAAAGGTAAGCAGACAATTATAGAAGGTATTTAAAATAAAGTAATATACAAACCAATGTGTCTGGTAATCCTTGTTGCAATAATTTTCGAGGCTGATTTCGAGGCACGCACACAAAAACTAAGCCATCATGTGGTTGATAGACTTCTGAATAATAAGTTTTCAAATTACTACAATGTTGAGAAATGGGGAGAGGTTTTTCGATTCGACTTGAAAGTTTATTTATTATTTCTGATTTAGAAATTCGCTTGGGATGAGGTTCTTTTAACAACTGACAAGGTGTTTGACCAAAATTGTTAATCATTCCTTCTATAGCTTTTCTTTCTCTTTCATCTGTAATCGCATCTAAATCTACAGCACCCTCATAAGTACAATAATAAAAGACATTCAAAGCTTCCACAGCTGCTTTCCCTTTCTGCTTAAATCCAAAAATCAGATCAATCCATTCATGTAGATGCTGGGATACATATTCCGATTCCTGAAGAAGTTAAATTATACAAGATAGACAAATAGAAGAATATTTTACCAATGCTTTTCTATGTTTTTGAATGAAATCTTCAGGACCATCAGCCCAATTAGGCAGAATAACATCATTAACCGGTTCATTGGATCCTTGAAGTTTTCCCAAATTGAAATCTAAAATAACAACATTGAAATTCCATAAAGCTAGAGATTATCTCGTACCATTAGAGTTAACTAAGAACTCAGGAAGATAAAAAAATTCAGGAATTAATTCTTTTACATCATTTGGAGATTCCATGATAGCTGTCCAAGTAGCGGGAATAGAATGAAATTGTCGGTCAGATACATCAAATCTAGTACATAAAAGGTTATAGAAAAAATTGTCGTTTTCAACACATTTTTAACAAAAAAAAATCAAATATGTGGACGTACTTCCCACTCTGTAGCTGAATATGAAGAGTCGTAAATGGTTCCATTCGGATAAGATAATGCATTACTCCCGCAGAGTTAGAATAGTGTGTGCCATAATGAAATTTTTCTATTGTACCATTGAGATCTTCAAAATTTTCGTATCTAGACGAAAAACAATAAAAAAGGTCAGCTAAATATCCTTCAGTTAGATTGTATAGAGATATACTTTTCTCGAACTTCCCGCTCATTTTTTGAATTTATAACTCCGACTGGACGAGAAAGGTCTCGATATACTGCGGGATTATCCAAATCCAAATGGTCAGATGAATAGTCACTGAGAATCCAGGGAAACTATTTGGCGTTTGCAAAATAGTATTAAAATATATCTTTACTGAGACACTTACAATTGGATACTGGCTTAAATCATTGTAAGTTCTTCCAGCAATAGTATTCAACTGCATTAGATAATCAAAATTACTAATCTCTCTATTCACCCATCTCTACAAATAGTTATTGTTAATTTAGATTTAGAATGCACAATGAATTTAAAAGATCTGAACTTGAGTCAGTCCTGATGATTTCAATAGATCTGCAGGAGATCTAGAAGCGTGATATATTAAATTTGTGGGTCGTAAGGAAACTATTTTACTATAAATCTTGTTTCTTGTCTGTCAAAACAAATAAACGCATAATTTACCAATGTAAAATTTATGACAAACTTTTTGTTGGAAATTTAGAAAAAAGTTGCTTTGGTCAATGAGAAAGAATTCTAAGGCTGAGCGTCTCAAATTGTATCGCCTAAAATGGATTTCCCTAAGAAGAGATAGAGACCACTTATAATCTTCGCCAGGAATTGTGCCTAGAACGTAGAGAAACTTCTAGTTCATAAAATGAAAAATTATGTCCTTACTTTCTTCCCCATCGGCCGAGGTGGAATGATAAAAATATATATGGGTCGTTGTAACCTAGTGTTTCGTTGAATAAATAAATCAATACTAAGCTATTTGGCATTAAATGAACACTCACTTCCAATCTTCCTTTACTGACGTCCATCAGCGTTATAAGTTCACATTCTTCTTGTAAAACTAATTTTTCCTTTTTTTCCGGTGGAAGAGATTGTGTCTGAGATCCAATGGGTGTTTGCCTGCCTTCACTGTCTCTTCTTTCACTATCAGGTTTGACTTTAGGATAAATTACTGCTAAAGACTATTTTATTTACAAGATTATACCCTAAGGATATGGCATTCCATTCTTCATCACCAAGACGGTCGTCCCCAATATCCTTATCCTCGACCTTTGCTGCTTTCAGGATGTTTGGTAGACTTGTAGACGGTAATGGATTGACATCTATCACATGAAACACGAATGAATGGTAGTACATGCCTTGAAAATTACTATCTTACCAGATTCATTGATTTGATTTGAATTTAGGAGATGCCCTTTTCCATTTCAGAAATATTAGATTTTATTTAATGATTTAATTAAATAAATAAGTTACTTTAAAAGTAAAATGTACAGTAAATTCCTAAAACTTAATAAATTAGAAAAGACCTAAGGTAGTTGTATCGTTCTAAAGGAAATTAAAAGTGTTTTGAATATTAAATTCGGCAATTTTGTTATTAAACTTTAAAGCAGTCTCATTATTCAGTTAAAAAATTATTATGATTATTACCTTGATTATCTCTGAGAAGACTAGCCTCTTTGTGAGCATCGTAGCTATAGTTGACTATCAGCTTAGGTCTCATTCTACTAAAATTTTCTTGAGGAGACAGCTTCCAATAAATTTTTGATCTGAAAGAAATAACTATTATAATAATAGTTTATGGGATATAGTAGTTTTGTAAGTTTTGTAAAAACCTTTCGGGCTCAGCCCAAGCTCCTCGTTCACCCGTAAAGAATGCTTTTATTCCTCTCCAATGGCGAAGAGTAACTAACTGTTGATTCTTTAATTGAGCCATGGAGTTTACACATCTTATGAATAAAAGTTTTAGTGCTTGTACAAAAAAAATATAAATATTTCTAACCTTCGTTTTTCAGCTCTCTTTCGTTCCAACCATCTATTGCATACTATTTTTTCGAATTTTAATTTACCTTAGATAAAAACATCACGATATTCAAAAGAATTGAAATTTGTTTATTCTCATTGAAATACCTTCTCCTCTTTCTTTATTCCTACTATGACCATCAAGCATGAGTTGTTCATGACATTGACTTTTAAAAGTGTTCATTTGTGCTTTTAATTCATCAAATCTATTTGCAAAGTATTGTTTTTTAGATGGATCAATCTGTTTGCTCATAAAATTTCGCCATTCATTGGAATATATATATGTTCTAAACTCTTCAACAAATAGCGGTCCATTTGCAGGATCAGGCATATCTTAATTTAAAGAATACATAAATTTGTTATAACTAAAGTAAGAAAATTCATACTTGTTAAAAATTTAGAAATTGTTAGCATTTCAGAACACTTCTCTAGTAAGGCCTTCATAATCGGGATGAAATAATTATAACTAGAAGACTTGTCTGAAATATAATTTAAAAATGCTTATTTAAGCCTGATATCATTTGAGCCTACTCTTTAAAGATTTTTCAAGTAAACTGTCAATGGCGCCAATGACGTAGCAAGTTTCTTGCAGCTTATCAAAAGGTCGTATATGGAGAAGTGTATGTAGCTTAGCTGTAGCAGCTGCACATAACTAGATAAAACATAAAAAAGTCATGAAATACTTCATTCAAAACTTGAAATATTTACATTTATATGCTCGTTTTGACCAGCAAAAGCCATCAGCAAATCTAAACCAATCCATACAAGCTCATGAATCTCGTTGTCAGATTCCCAAACACCCATGAGGTCCATAAGAACAATAATATCCTCTAATAGCTAATACAAAAATTTAAAGTTCAGCAAAGAAAGAAAAAAGGATCTTACTGTTTCACTAAATTTCGAAGCTGTTTTGTTGGATTTTTCTGATGATGTTGATATAAAGTAATGTATGATTTTGATAAGGTGTAGTGCATTAGAGCAATGGTTGGTCGAAAGCGTTCCTAGATGCAGTTTGAAAATTATTGATTAAAAACCTGTATATTATGAAGTATAAATTATTTAAATTGCATCAGTCGCAAAGTAAAGAAGCACTTTCAAAGAAAACAATAAAAATGATTCAAGTTAAAATTAAAACAAAATCATATTTATACTTCCTATGATCCGATGAGGAGTACTTTTAGGAATATTTACCGTTCAATTTCATGTCTGCTATTAGAGTTTGAAGCATAATTTCCAAGTAACGTCGTTTTAGTTCATCTTTTGGACGTAAAATATGTTTGGACGCTGAGGCTACATCGATAGCAGATAAAACTTGGCAACGATTCTGAAGAAAGTTTTGTATAGCAAGAAATAATTTTTAAAATTCAAGCTCAAATCATGATATCTGGTCATTTCATCTCTGATTTAGTAAAATGAGATGTGAATATAGGAAAAAGATAGCTACGCTAGATCGAAGGTGGTCTTTTTATTTTTTTTATTATCGATTTCACGTAATATCTAACTGTTAAGTTTGTTAATAAAGACGAAATAACTAGAACCTAAAGTTATTCAAGTTATGTCTTTACCTTCCAAGCTTCATCGTCTGATTTTTCAGTACCTTTCATACTTAGAGTTAACAATATAATCAAAATATTTTGGGTTAATTCTTCACTCTTCTCTAACTGTTCTCTTTGTAATGTTAGACCGAACTCTCTATATATGTCTTGAATATCATCTTGTTCAGCTTTAGATTCATATTTTATATTATCTTTAAAAGATTCAGATGATAGGGGGGGCTCTACAATGGGCGATTCTAAGTAACTTCCGTCAGAATCATCTTCAGTCGGGCTAGCAAGATATTGTCCACCTTGTTTATATGCCAGTGCTTGAGAAGCTAGGTAGAATTCTGGAATAATCAATGACTTTCTACTTTCATAAGAAGTAGTTGGTTGTAAATGCTCCTCATCAGATTCTTCCGTACGTGCTGGTGTTAGAGAGTTTGATCTCTTAAATAGGTCTTGAAAAGAAGTAGTGCTCCAAGCAGGGCTCAAAATATTTTCATTATCAGAGGAAGGAGGACAAACAAGCAGTTGTACAATGATTTCTTGCCAGGATAATTGCTTCACTATCTCTTTTACAGCATTCGGCTTCGATAAAAGAATATCAAGAAGCTGAGAAAATCAAAGTCAATTATAATACATAAAAAAGATATGTTTTTCTAACTTTTCTAGTAATTTCCAACTTAATAGATATATCAGCTGATGCCACAAGTTGAACCAAGTACAATATAGCATTAAAACTTGAAGCTGCATCTAAATGTAATTGTTATGCGTCGGTAAATATTCATTTCCTATTACTTACTATTTATAGTAAGATCGAATAGCATTGTGATACAGTTGATTGACAAAGGTGATCCAGCTAGTGAACTTATGAATCCAGGGTAGGCACCGGTATCAGTTAATCTAAGTTTACCCTTGCTTTTTTCAGATACTTTGGAGGATTTAAGAAGTAAATCAATTATCTACAAATTAAATTATAGTCATTTACTAATATTTTTTAAGAGTGAAGCTTCTCTAATACCTTTAGAATTTTTTCCTTTAATTCTATTGTGTATAATTTACAAGAGACCAGCATATATAAAAGTTCGGCTGTTCCTTCCTCATAAAGAAGTAAAATAATTTGATCAGATCTTCTCTTTTCTGGAGTTTCTAAAACGGAAAGAATCATGTCCATAAGTTCTGATAGCTGTAATAAATTATTATTAATATGGTGATATCCGGATAATATGATATACAATCGGTTCTTCTTCTACTATTGATATGAAATTAAATATATAATCTATCTCCATGCTATTAACATCTTTCAATATGTAGAATTTGATTAAACCAAATAGAGCAGATCGTATTTGTTTGCAATCATTAATCATTAGTCCACTAAGTTCATCTTTTCTGAATAAAAATAAAATTAATATAACACTTTGAAAGCTTTGAAAGTAAAATTAACAACTGACTCATAATATACACGAATTATATCCAATAAATATTCCACTCCGTATCTTTTACGGAAAAACTTTTTATTATCCTTTATGAGTGTAGAAAGATACTGAATATGTCCTATTCTGACTGTAAATTCTGATACACTCCAAATTCTGAAATCAAATAACAAGTGTTGATAGATGTGATGCAACAATCTTTGGTTTCCCGATCCCTCAACACATTCCACGAGTTCTTGCAATGACATTAGAACATCAATATCTATATAAGTTGAAGGAATCTGTTGCATCATAGCACCCAAAATAGCAACACTCCCCGTTGTTAACAAAGTTTCCTCATTGACAATTGATCCTCTTATCATATTTTTCAAAAGACAAAAAAATCGTGCAACGCTATTCCGATTATTCATACTTTCTGCATCAGACGGTAGCATAACCCATTCGTTTTCCTCCGTGTCTCTAGTTTCTTGGCTATATTGAGTTTTTGGTTTTTTATTGTATGTGAGCTTCTCAAGAAGAGGAAATAAAGTTAAAACTCCGCCAATGCAATTTATAACATCCTGTTGATATTTTTAATAAATGTTTGTCATCAATAATTTAAAGTTATTATGCGTGTCTAGAATATGGACATATTGTTCACAAGTAAACTTATCAGGAACATTTATGTTGGTATATATATATGCAGTGTAAGATCAAGTAAAATGTCGTCAACATCATCTACTAATCACTTAATTCCGCAGGAAGCATCGGTTCGTACGCAATATAATGTCATCTCGAGCTAAATGTAATACTTTTAATCGAAATAGAGTGCCATTATAGCAACTATCTGTATCATTGTTCCTGGTGGGATAGTATTTGTTTTATTCTGTTTATGGAATAAACGTTGTTCAAAATTTTGTATTTCTGGACTGGATTTCCTGAAGTGCTACTCTATTGGTCAATTACCCAAACTTAGTAACAATAATAAAAGCCTAATGTTTATGCTCAGTCAGTTGGAGAGAGAAAGCAAGGGAAAAGACAGAATAGGAATGCAAATGATTACTAAAAATATGTCTCAAGCGGCTACTGAATATGCCAAAGTTGTTTGTGCTAAAGGTGTAAATGACTTATTTAATAAAGAGCTAAAGCCGAATCCTCCAAAAGATCTTTTTTTAGAATCAAAAGAAAAAGTATTACAGATGGATTGGCAAGTTATAAAAATTCGAGTATGTCAAGATGATAGAGAAAAAGTATATGAAGATACGAATAGTGATTCCGGTTATAGTGGAATATTAAAACAATTCGAGGATACAAAATATGAAACTTTGAAGGGAGGAAAAGAAAGTCAGGTGTCTGATAAGAATCATAAAACAATTCTCATACCTTGATATGCCATGTTATACATTTTTCTCCAATTAAACCCCCATGATTATTATTCAAAGATAAGTCCATACTTTGTTCGTCTTTGCAAGCCTTAGATATTTAAACATAATTAAAAAACAAACATATTATTGAAATTTTTTTGATACCTTCGCGTTGTAATAGAATACTAATTTAGAACTAAGTTCAGACAGAACTCCATCAGCCATGAAAAGTGTATCTGAATTTGGACCAGCATTATACAGAGATTGGATTTGCATTGATGAAAGGGGTTCGTTTAAGACGCAAACTGAACCCATCTGACCATAGAATGATACGGGCAGACCGTAACAATTCTCCTCATCACCAAGCCGATGCGATTGCACTTCGCTTTGATTATCTCCATCTTTCTTAATATGAAATCTCCAATTCGCTGGATTAAAAGAAATATTAATTTTTTTTCCATCAGATACAACTTGATCAGCCTTTACAAACACTCTTGTTTGAACTGGACAACCAATACTACAGTGTTGAAATGGCTAAAGCAGACAATTAAATAAATAAAAACAGAAATATTTTAAGCTAAGTGAACCTCTGATAAGCTTGGCATTTTCATTGGAACATTTAACTTTAGTTTTCCATCTACGTAGACATGTAAAATGTCTTGACTAAATGGTCTTCGGCCGCTTTGATGAACTACAGCCAAGCTATGCTGTAAGAACCGGGCAGTAACGAAAGAGCACTTTTATGATATTAAATATTACTCACCCATTGTTGATCTAATAAACTCGTATCGTAAGGAACACGGACTGCGTGATATTCCTTTTTTGTTTGAACACCTATCATTAAAGCTCCGTTCATTTTAATGAAAGCTTCAAAAGCTGATCCGTTTCCACTGTTGAAACTATAACAGAACTGTTATGTTACGCCAAATGTCAGTGGCTATGATATACCTATAGATTTGATATCGAGTAATATTTCCGAATTCTTTATCAGAATTCCCATATCCCATTGACTGTTCAAATGCTACCCATGCATGAAATGAAAACCCGCTACGCAGCAATCTTTTGATGCTGGGTATTGTTATACCCTAAAGAGATCAAAAGTATATTTTGAGAAATTTTCAAACTAATTAACTTACAGCATCAGGAGTTTGAAAATCAAAGTAGTGTAATGCTCCCTCTTTGCCCCCTCTTCGGGCCATTGATGACATAGCATCGATTAAACGATCAATGTACAAGCTCTGTATAACTATTAAATCAATTTGTATCTTCTCAAATTTGAACATACTTCTCTATTTATGTTACTAGTTTTAAAGAGCGAAATTAGCTGTTTTAATTCAGCTGCACTAATTGATAACCGACCCAGCGATTCTAGTAACATCATCACGCAATCTGAATAAAAGGTATTAGTCAGCATATTTTCGATACTTTAATTTTACCTAGAGCTATGGGATCTAAGTCGCATGGTCTTGATAGAAGTCGCAAAAGAGCTGATATCATACCAATATTGCAGCATGTCATTCTATTATGGGTCGTTGCGGTACACAGTTTTTGCATACTCTCACATATCCATATCTAGAAATATATCTAAAAGTATATATATGTATATATATATATATATACATTTATGTATTGTCTTATTTGGTGAGACCGCAATGCTTGCAACTTCCAAGTTTTGCCTATGGCTGGTTTACACTTATAAATTTATAGTTCAGAACTCAAACCTGCAACTCCTTTGATGGCAAATATGGAATCCATTCTGTAATCATGAGCAGAGGACGAACATTTTGAATTTTTTGTGGAATGTTTAGGTTCAAATCACACTCAGTCGACTACAATTATAAAACTTTTGTTTTCTCGAAATTGTTAAACAAGATATAGTTTACCATTTCAAAAAGGGCTTTAACAAGTTTATGAGATGGTCCCCCATTTAAAAAGCTCAAAGCTTTATTAATTTTTTCATAGCAGTAGTTTTCGGAAAACATTATCTGTGAGTTATAAACCAAATGTCATCAAAAATGATTCTGATTTCTGACGTTACCTTAGCTTTTGTGCAGGATTGCATAATCTGAGTCAGACAGTAAAATATTTTGATGCACAATTCTTTACACATAGGAGATGAAGAATTCATCTATAAATGATTATGTAATTGATGCTTATGCATAAGGCAGCACTGAAATACAAACTGTAACTCGTTCTAAAAGAATTAATAAGGAATCAAAACTCTGGCAATTCAGGAATAACATTTGTAAGGAAAGCTTATCACAGCAGTCTAACATTTTCGGTATGGTATCTACAGTTTTTGGTTAATTAGAATATCTATCAATCATAATTTTCACTTACCTAGCATATCCGCTGCCAAATCTGACTGATCACGGGTAAAGTTTTTTGATATCACAGAAAGATCGTCAACATCTTCTCTGAACAATTTAGACAAAGTTTGAAAATAACCCTCAAGAATTGTGTTAACTTCGACTTGTCTCTGTATAAAAAAAGGTTAACGAAACAAAGTTTAAAAAATAATGACAATTTTACTTCATCAGGACTGGAGCCATGAACTAAATGTACCATCTCTATCAAACACTTTAAAACGGATTTTCGAGCTTCCTTTTCTTCAGGATGTAAAAGACTGGTTAGAGAAAAGTTGTCTAAATTTTTTAGAACTAAATCAACTGTAGCCGGACAGATTGCTTTTGTGGCATTATGCTGTAAAAAATATTCTGTCTACACTGAATTTGTGCAATAAATGGATTAGATACAAACAACTGCTCCACAAAGAATAGCACCAAACAAATTGAATAATCGAATTTGAATATCATATTCTACTGGTGTTTGTTGGAAACATTCTGAAAATGGGTTAATAGTAACAATTATGGAAAATATTTGTTTTTTTTTATTTACCATAAAAAAAAGGAATAACTTCAACATCCAATAAGGCTGGATAAAATTTGCACTTTGTAACATCTATCTTCAAGCTTTAATTTATAAAAGAAATAATTAGTAATATATGTTAGAAACAATTTAACATTAAAATATTAGTTTAACATAAGCAAAAAAGTGTAATTCTCTCTTACTTTCCTAATTTTCTTCGCCATATAAAATAAGGATCGTATAGACACTCAAAGAAGTATAATGTTCTATGAACAAGTAAATTATAAGGTTTCAAGTGCTCCGTATTCTCTTTACAAAGCTTAAAGTTTAAATTTTGAGTTAAGTTTAAGAATTGTATAATAGGTTAATAAGCGGACATACCTTAGATAAAACTAAAAGTGTAATCTTTGTGATATAAAGAATAAATTTCAAGGAAGAAATAAGTGCAATATTATCCAAGTTTCTATATAAAAATCTTTAAGTTGATAAACCTACAAAGTAAATTACTTACTTGCACAAACAAATTAGGCAAGCTATCATGTCATTTGTATAATCTATAAGCGATATGTTGAAGGTATTTTTTTCAATATCATCACAGACTGATTGGAACTGCTGATTAAGAACTTGCAAGAGCTCATCAGGAAGAGTGCTTAAATGAGGAGCGTCTTCTGAGAGATACCTTTTATTGTATTGTGTAATTAAAACAAGTCAAATTAGCTAAATCGTTTTTTGTTTAAAAATGATGTCATTACGTTGATTGAGAAGGTAAATCTTCTGACAAGAAGATTTCGTTGACATTATTGAATACGTGTAGAAATTTTTTAAATATGTTGATATCTTTCTGTTGAAAGGAAAAAAGAAAAAATTTTGAGCGATAAAACCAGTTCTGAAATATTTCAAAGTTTACTTTGTCCGAGTACGTCATCCATAACTTCCACATTTGTCTTCCATCGGTAGAAGACGTCATTTTGTAGGCAACTGATCATTAAATGATCAAACGTATTGTGCGATCCAGTAATAAAACATGAAATTTATATGAGTCGCCTTTTCCATTAATAGGAACGCAATAAATTCCCCTCCCACCTATGATATTTAAAGGAAAGAATAAGAATCAATATTATAAATCTTGATCAATCAGTAGCTCAAATCAACATTATAAGTATAAGTAAATTAATTTGTTAAATTAATTAGTATGGCGCATTAGTTCCATTTTAAAAAAATTTATAAAAGTTCTACTTTTAAAGACCATTAAATTTTCAGTTTGCAATTTTAAATAGACTAATTTCTTTAAAATTTCCATAATTCATTTTCTTTTAATTGTTTACAATTTATAAACAGAAAATATCAGTTATATTTTGATTTAATCTAATTAATATGCATATATATATATCAGCCAATCAGAATCAGTTTAATATTCAATGCGATAATCTTTTGTTTTTCCATGAAAATATATACATTTTTATTCTTCCATTGTAGTTATCTAACAATGTGTAGAAGATGAACAATCATAATCACGGAGGTAATTACAATGGCTATGCCTACTCTAGAGCCAAGTCAGAGGTGCGTATAAAATTACATTTTATCTTCGAAGCCCATTTGAGTTTGCCTTCCTTTGTTTGTCCATCGGTAGTAAAATTTCTCTTCGTTTCTCTTTAACTAGCCCGACGTCGATTTGAATTACCAGAGTATGATTGTGGTATGTCATTTCTGTGACGCTTAGATTTCTAAGATTTCTATTTCAGATTGTTGTTTTGCAACAGTGAACAACTTAATATTGCATGATTTATGTCATCGAAAGGCTTCAAATTTTAAGTAATCAATATCCATAATTTGTAGACGAATTGCATTGATATTCCAACGACGTCAACTCCGGAAGAAGGTCATATCAATAAGAAATTACCAAAAGAATTATTGTTGAGGTAAATTATGTAGTATATAACCATCAAATACTAATTTTGGCTTTTCAGAATATTTTCTTTCCTTGATGTTGTGGCACTATGCAGATGTGCACAAGTATCAAAGGTGAAATATAGTTTTAAAATTGCGATTGACTTACTTATGTTTGCAAACAGTATTGGAATATGTTGGCTTTAGATGGAAGCAACTGGCAGAGAGTGGATTTATTTAATTTTCAAGTAGCAATCGAAGGTCGAATTGTGGAGCACATAGCTCATCGATGTGGTGGATTTTTAAAATCCCTTGGTTTATGTGGTTGCAAACATGTAACAGATGCAGCTTTGGTGTAAGGTTTTTTTTGGTTTTCAAATTATGTTCTGATCGATATTTGCTCGTGTTGCAGCACTTTTGCGAAATCATGCCGTAGTATTGAAATTTTAAATTTGAAAGATTGCAAACAGATATCAGATGAGTCTGTACTTCTTTTATTTGTAAAAGTATTCTATTTCATTAATTTATTTTTTTAGAACTAGTAGACATCTTGGCCAGTACTGCGTTCGTTTGGCCAATCTAAATCTTGAATCCTGTATTGAAATAACAAATCAATCCCTAATCTCAATAGGAACTGGTTGTCCTCATTTGATACACCTTAACATATCCTGGTGTGTCAATATCACAGATGAAGGATTACATTCGATTGGACAAGGATGCAAAGACCTAGCACATGTTTTAGCAAAAGGTTGTACAAATGTAACCGATGAAGGAATTGAAAAGCTATCACGGGGCTGCAAAAATTTACAACTAATTAACTTGAGAAACTGCCGGGTATATAAAAAATATTTATGGGTAAAAATAATTCACTACTTTGTTTGCAGATTACTGATGTTGCTATTGAGCATATCAGTACCTATTGCCGACAGTTAAAAACTTTATGTGTATCTGGTTGTTCGCAATTAACAGACGCTACTTTGGTAAGACTAGGAGAAGGATGTCATGACTTGAAGACACTAGAAGTTGCAGAGTGTACACACTTTACAGACAACGGCTTTCAAGCTCTAGCTAGAGTAACCATTTTTTCTAAAAAGTTTAAAACTAACAAATAGTTTTTCAGAATTGCCATAACTTAGAAAGAATGGACCTTGAAGAATGCAATCAAATAACTGACGCAACTTTAGCTCAGTTAGCAATGCAATGTCCAATGCTATCTCAGATAGTTAGTCTTATACAGGATTATCTTAAAATTAAATCTTAATATATACATTTTACTCTTTCAGAGTTTATCTCATTGTGAACTGATTACTGACGAAGGAATTCGGCATCTGGGAAGCGGACCGTGTGCCACTGAGAATTTAAGTGTTCTAGAACTAGATAACTGTCCTTTAATTACTGATGCTAGTTTAGATCACTTAAACGCTTGCCAAGGTTTAAAGCGAATTGAGCTATATGATTGTCAGCTGATAACAAGAGCTGGAATAAGAAGGCTTAAGGTTAGTTAAACGCGAACCAGAGCAGTTAGAGCAGCACGCTGGTAAAAAAAGAGTTTGTTGTTGAAACAGACACACCTTGAAAACATAATAGTTCACGCGTACTTCGCTCCAATGACTCCACCAACCTCTGTCGGTCCGAGTAGACGACGGTACTGTCGCTGTTGCGTGCTGCTCTGACCCTCAGGTACGATAAAGATTAATACTTCACCTTAATTTCTCACAAATGGTAATTACAGGACAGATTGCCAAATCTGATTGTACATGCCTACTTTGCTCCAGTAACTCCTCCCGCACAATCAAATGATACCCGCAAAAGAGGCTGTTGTTGTGGGACTAACTGCAAATGTTCGTGTACGATAGCTTAAAACTTAAAAACTGTCTCCTGGAAGTGATATAATCACTACATCAGAAATTGTTCAACGACCTGCATATAATGATTGAGGCCTTTTTTAATAGGAATTGTACATACTGAGACTGAGAAATGAATTGGTCTTATTTTTGTTTATTCTAGTAGTTGATATATTCTGTGATGCCTAAAATATTTCGACATTATGTGCAGTAACTGGTTTATCATATCTGCGCGCTACTGATTTTTCTAATACCACTGTGGATGTTTTACATCAAAAATATCATATTTAACATTCTGTAACTGTCGTTAAATAAAATAAAAAATAAGTCTTCGGCAAAGATCAATGACTTATATAATAACACTTATTTCCGTAATTGTTCAAGTCATACGCCCAGTAAATTATTTTTGCAGGGAACGATTAAGAGCCAATTACAATTTTGCATAGCATAAAAAACGATTATCTACATTAAAAACAATCACTCCATCTGGTTGATTAAAGAAGAAAAAAAGCGTGGGTGAATGTGAAATCTTTCGCAAAAGAGGTACGTTAAGGGTGTATGTTTTATGTAGCCAGTGCAGTTGATTTCGTAGTTTTGCTTAGTTATAAGTTGATGCAAATTTTTGGACAGACATTGAGCTATTATTTTTGGAATATGGACGATTAATATAACATCATATTAAGGTGGGTTAATTTAACAATTTGTAATATATATTCACATTCTTTAATTGCTCAGATTTGCTTCTTGATTTTAAGGTAATAACAATAATTATCTAGCTGTTGTACTTGTATATTATTCCTATATAGCTATGAATAAACTTCACATGCATAGAGCTGTTGATTTTCTTCATAACATTAGGGATATGTTTTATGCTAAGTTAATTCTTGTCCTTATATTCGTTTGTGTTTGCTGTTGGAATTATCAAAAAATATTACGATGAAAATATATAAAATTATAGAAAATCGATACTATATGTTGATGAGGCGTGGCTTTTACATACGCGCAACTTCTATATATGATCTGCACGCTTATTACATACAGACAACGACATCTCGCATAGAATTCTGGTATTTACAATTTGAGACTTTACATTTTGCAGTTGGAAAAGGTGTGGTACATTGACAAAAATGCCTTTAGTCTGGGAAAAAATGAGTCCTGGCCAATTCCATCAATTACAAGAATATGTTTCATGTAAGTCTAGTACCCTTTAACATAAGCCTATGGAAAGTAATTTATTACTGTGCTTTTGTACTTGTGGCTATCGGCTATAATTATAAGATGGCTGCATACTTAATATAATTCTTAGCTTTTTTAACTGGTCACGTTCTATTGATAGACTCCGGAAAGAGCATAAAAGAAGTTTTGCAGGAGTTTCAGAACAATGATGAAACATTCAATCCTGAGGAAGTAAACATATTTAAAAAAGTAGATGGATCTAAACCACTGAAAAAATTTTCTTTTTCTTTAGCCAATTACATACACCTGTTTTAAAAAGTTTATGGAGTCGTACGTGGGAGAAATGGAAGAGGAACTCGTTCAAGCTCTCTTTCTTTCCTTTCTCAAACAACCGAGAGCTCCACCTACGACACCTACTAGTTTGAAAGGTAAGATAGTGAAAGAAGTCTCAGCCACCGGTGCAGACTTACCGCAAATTAAATCGACGCTGGCTGATAAAGTTGCCGACAAGTTACATGGCTTGACAGAGAAGATACATGTCCTTGGACATTCCAGACACGATTCAGGCAGCAATAGCATTGACCTTGGTCGTAGATCGCGAACAGGTTGGTGTTAGCCAACATAACGCCCCTTCCTCGTTCCCTAGTTCAGTCACAGAATCTAACAGATGTTTTTATTCTGTAGCGCCCCCTTTCGCTTAATAAGCTCTTTCGCTTGAAGAGATAAAGATAAATTGAAAAAAAAACTTTTATCCGAAATAGAGCGCTACGGGATGATTAATATATACTTTTATTTGAAGCTGCATGAATTAAACTATCGAGGTTCCTTGTCGGTTCCTAATTTTTTTCTAAAACACTCAGTTTATGAGTTAAAAACTTACTTCGTAGGATCTACTGGGTCTGCAGTTCATCATGGGGTACAAGTTAAATCTCCGACAGCTCCATCGGATCTTGATAAACTCGCTCATTCTCCAGAGACTCCCGAAACATCCAATCATTCCAGAAGTTCATCAAAGAAATCGAGCAACAGTGCGAACAGTGTACATCATGGTAGGAACTCTATATTTCTTTGCATGATATTTTCTTTCCTAAGAGATCCTCCTATTCATGTTAAACATTAGTCTATACTATTGAGAAGATGGGCTTCTCTATAAAATTTCCGAATGAAATTGTCGAATCTTGTCTTTAAAGCATTCGTATCTGTTCTTTCACCCTTTTTGAGTTTATTGAATGAATAAAAAATTGTTACCAGAGGATCCGTGGATTCGGCAGTCAGATACATCCTTAGTAAAAGGTTTGTATGTCTCTTAAAAAATGAATTGTTTCTAGAATATTTAGTGTGCCCCTCATTCTTATTAAATTCTCTTGTCAATTGAGTTACGTATATCTCATTTGCAGGAGTCCTTCCTGATTCCAACAAAGCTATCATGTTAGTAAGGAAAGATAGTCAAGACTTGAAGACTGGAAAAGTTCTTGTCAAGGAAGTTGTTTGCTATTTATCACTCTTAGAAGCTGGCAGACCAGAAGATAAACTTGAATGTTTGTATTGTTCTATTTGACTGATTATTTTTATTTATCCTAAATATTACAGTTATGTTCCTCCTATATGATACTGATGGAAATGGCATACTGGACGCGAAAGTTTGTTACTATATAAACAAAAGTTATGAAGCTCATTCTTGTTTTTTTTAGGAATTAGATATGATAATTAGTCAAATGATGACTGTGGCCGAGTACCTTGGATGGGATGTCTCTGAGCTAAGACCAGTATGCATTTATAGTTTGAATGTTTTCACTGTCACTTTTGTAGCGAATGTTTATACAATAGATTCTTAAAGACATGATGCAAGAAATCGATTACGATGCTGATGGGACTGTTTCTCTTGCAGAATGGAAAAAAGGCGGATTAACCACGATTCCTCTGCTTGTTCTCTTAGGACTTGACGCCGTGAGTGGAGTTTTAGTATTCATCTCAGTATATCATTAAACGCTTATGGTAAACTTGTCTAGAATGTTAAAGATGATGGGACTCACTCTTGGAGACTAAAGCATTTTAACAAACCAGCATATTGCAATTTATGTCTCAATCTTCTTGTTGGCTTGGGAAAGCAAGGATTATCCTGCATATGTATTTTGAAATATTCGTATTATTAGAAATAATCTAACACTTTCAATTCCCTAGTTTGTAAATACACAGTTCACGAAAGATGCGTTCAAAGAGCGCCAGCATCTTGCATTACGACTTATGTTAAATCAAAAAAAACCTCTGGGGTATACTTTTAAGCATGTTGATAATTTACGTATTATAAAATTACTCTCATTTAGCGTATGAAACATCACTGGGTTGAAGGAAATTGTGCAGGAAAATGTGATAGATGTCGTAAATCTATTAAATCTTACAATGGAGTAACTGGGAGACATTGTAGATGGTGCCAGATTACGGTAACCTAAAAACGCATAAGATTTTTCATAATCCATGAATTGTTCATTACAGCTACACAATAAATGCGCTTCACTAGAAACGCCTGAGTGTTATTTAGGCTCATTGCATGAGCATATTCTTCCTCCCACAGCGATTCGACCAGCCGTCTTAGACAGAAAAATTAGGGATACGCTGCCTAGAGACGAATGCAGCTCTGAGAATTTACCACTAGATGGAGTTATTAGTCCATTACAGGTAGTTTCTTCAATACCATGATTTTAACCTGCTACAGTTTTCAAATTTTAATATTAATATTTCTCTTTTTTTTCAAGCCTATTAATCAATCTTTCTAATGTAACTTTTTTCTTTCATCTAATTGCTGACCATACTCTGAAAATGCGATCTTGACTGCTTTAAACACTGCTTTAATTCTGGTTCATAAATACGAAATTTAGGGAGGTAGTTCATTCCAGATAACAATATCCGAAAATGCAACTCCTTTATGTGTTTTTGTTAATCCAAAGAGTGGAGGGAAACAAGGTTCAAGGTAATAGTGAAGTTACAGTATACAAGAGCTATATTTTTATTGGTACATTTGCAGAATTTTAAGAAAATTTCAATATTTATTAAACCCAAGACAAGTATATAACTTACTGAAAGGAGGTCCTAAAGAAGGGTAAGTTCATTGAGTTTAAAATTTAATAATATTTAATTTGTGTGCTATTGTTAGATTGTCATTTTTCCAAGACGTCACTAACTGTCGATTGTTGGCTTGTGGAGGTGATGGTACAGTGGGGTGGCTATTAGATGCCTTAGGTAGTTTCTATCCCCACTTTGTTTAAATATTTAAATATATTCCCTCAATAGATAAAATGAATTTTGAAAAGAGACCTCCGGTTGCAGTGTTACCTCTAGGGACGGGTAATGATCTTGCAAGATGCTTAAGGTGGGGTGGGGGATATGAAGGAGAAAACCTCACAAAAATACTTTTGAAGCTAAACCAAGCGACCACTGTAATGATGGATAGATGGCACATCGAATTTTCTGAGGGACAAGACGAAAGCACAGATGAAAAAGGCGATGAAATTCCATACAATATTATAAATAATTATTTTACTATAGGAGTTGTAAGGACTTTTTCTACAACTTCTATTTCTTTCTAAGCTATACTTTTTTAAGGATGCTTCAATAGCTCATCGATTTCATGTCATGAGGGAAAAACATCCAGAGAAATTTAATAGTCGCGTTAAAAATAAGTTATGGTATTTTGAATTTGGTACTAGTGAAACTTTCACAGCGACATGTAAGAATTTACATGAGAAAATCGATATTATGGTTGGGTTATATATCATTTAGTTAATATACTGATTTAGCATTTTTCTTATAGTGTGATGGATGCTCCCTTGATCTTGCAAATGGTCCTTCTTTGGAAGGTGTTGCAATTCTAAATATTCCATCGATATATGGAGGAACGAATCTATGGGGCGATTTACCTTCAGGTTAGTAACCATAGCAAAGTACTATTTAGATAAAAAAAGTTATATTTATCAGCAAAGAAGCGTAAAAAAGCTGCAAAAGCAGCAAAGAAGGATAAGGACAAAGAATATTCCTCATCATCGATGTCGTCTATGGACTTGTCATTTGCAATTCAAGGTTTTTTATATTCATTAGCTTTGAAAGAATGTATAAAAAGTTGATAATAAACAGACATAGGCGATGGAATGCTAGAAGTAGTTGGCGTTGAAAGTGCAATGCATGCTGGACAAGTAAAAGCTGGATTTCGCTCTTCTGGAAGACGGTTAGCACAATGTGCTAACGTAGTTATTAGGTGAATAAAGTTGCCTTTAAAGCGGATATAAATTTAATACTTTATTATTTTAGAACGAGAGAAAGATTTCCAATGCAGATTGACGGCGAACCTTGGCTTCAACCACCTTGTACAGTAAGTATTAAAGTAAGCATCGTTGAACAATGGTAAAATAAAGAAATTGAAAAAAACAGATATCCATAACACTCAAAAACCAAGTTCCAATGCTGATGGGTCCTCCGTCTTCAAAGAAGCACTCGATACTCAGTCTATTCAAGCGTTAAAGTCTCTCTCTTTAATTCTAATCTGCAAACTGTCAAGCGCTATAATCCGCGTAGCCTTCTTTTTATATCCATATACTTCGTTAAGATTGTAAAAATATAGGTTCTTGTGAATTAAAGCAGTGGAAAAGTTTTCGTATGATACATTATAATTTCATGTCATGTGAAAAAATGTGTATTCGTACCTGCAGCACAGTGTTTTACCAGTAGAAATCTTTGTTCAATACGTTTATTAATGTTTCATGTGCCAGAAAAGTTGTCTCGAACCTATTATTTTCGTTTACAGGATGTAATCAGGCAACTGTGATTATATTTATTGCCTGTTTAGTAAGAGATTTTGCAATATAAATTTTTGTGTAGTTCAGTGTGGTGCCTTACAGTCTTATATTTGCCGCCTTGCGAAAAATATGCAATTAAAAAATTGTTTTTAGGCTCAATCCTTAAGCGTATTTGTCATGTAAAATTTATTGCTTTCAATGAGATCTGCATTTTTAGTTAATAAAATATACACAAAGCCAAAGCTATCGAAATTAGAGTTAATGAGATATGATAAAAAATTATAAAAGCACATTAAAAAAGACATGCAACGCCTTTTCAATACTGTTTATTGCAAAGATAAATAGCGGTTTTCCTCTGCTAGAATACTCAAAGTAGAAGACATATCGTTTACTATCAAATTAGAATTTTCCTGCCGAATTATGGAATCCAAGAAATTATCAGGCATTTCTATTGGTGTGAAATCCTCTATACTTGATGCGTCTGTTGTTGATGAGACCTGATTACAGCCTGGCGATTCATCGTTGGTTGATTCTGTCGTTTGAACGTGAATATATTTACACGATTGGCAATTGCTATTCCAATCTTCATTATTATTTTCTGAAATTACAATATTAAAAATTTCAATTTTCATGTAATCTTATCTATACTAACCCCTAGTTGCTAAAAATTTTTCCATATCTTCAGGAATTAGCATTTCTTCATAAGTTGTATGCTCTGGTATATTATTACCAGGTGCATCAACTGATCGAAAGCGTCTTAACTGATTACTATTAGCTGACAAAACAGAATCATCATTCTTACGAATAGGTTCAGAGGATCTTCTATTTTCTATTTCTGTCTCAGAAATTTGTTGCATTCCTTGAGAATTGAAATATCTTGCCATTTGTTCTTCGTTATAGTGAAATCGAAATTGATTTGAACAGAGATGTGCTCGCTCCATTTGCTGAGACAAGTGACATAGATCAGGCTTCGGAAGATCATACTCATAAGGATAATGTGACCCAGTGGACATGTTGCTTGTTCTTCTGCTCTCAGCGTAGGAGCCAGTATATCCACTTCCATACATACTATAATAGTATGTACTGACTGAATTATTTGATTCGCGTCTTTCAGTTGGACTAACAAAAGTTTGTTGGTCGTAAAAAGAAGCTGATTTGAATCTTGAAGATATTTGAGTAGAACCATGAGTTATAGTAGAAGGGGGAAGGGATGGGATTTGTAAAGGATATTGTTGCACTGCAGGGGCTGGAGCGTTAAAATAGGAGGGTTCGTAATTATTCGGCTCGTTAATTATATGTCTTCTTCCGATTCTCGAATCTGTAAGAAAGTCGTATCTTAAATATAACAATTTTTCAATCAACAAACGTATTTATGAAACAATCGTGCCACATGAATCTAACAAAGACCCTGATATTTACAACAGGAAATTTTACCTGATTATTTTCATCTGGAGTTTTATTTAAATATTTTTGAATAAATCGTTAATCAACATTAAAATAAAAATTTTGAGAAACTAACCGCTTACAACTGGAACACTACTTTTTAAAGAAATCTTTCGAACAGTTGGCATTTGAGATCTGGAGGAAGTCATACATGAACCAACTGGTGACATCATATCCCACTGATCCATTTCGATATCTTCTACAACATCGATTCGATTATTGTCTTCAGATTGATAGGGAATGGTTCGAGGACTATGTCCATTAGATAAAGAGCTTGTATTTGGGCTTGAATGATTCTTATTAGAACTTGACGTGCTCTTTATATCCTGTCATTATTATTGAGTTTCATTAATATCAACTTTAAAGCTTTATTACTAAAAAATACCCTGTCTGATCCTTCTCTTTGGTCAGGACTAAGCGATTTAGATATCATAGTCTTACAGCTATCCAGTTTTTGCTCTGAACCATTTTTCTTCCTTTCCTTTTCATCTTTTGAATCGCTCTGTGGAGAATCAGCATCAGCACCACCCGTTGACGGTAAGCCTTTGTGTCTTTTTTGAGCATAAAATTCAGCACCGTGGACAGTTTTAACATGCTTTCGGAGAGAGCTCGGATCAGTGTATCTTTTATTACAACCTTGAGCCTTACAGACATAAGGCTTCTATTTGATTTAATCGTTATTTAAAAATGTGATATTAGTTCTAAAAATTAGATCTTACGGCATTCGAATGAGTTCTATTTTGGTGCTTTGCTCTATCACTTGCATTGCTGAACGCTTTTGTACAACCAGGAAATTCGCACATGTAGGGCTTTTCTCCAGTATGCTGTAGTTATACAAATTTATCTTCATTGTCAGTATATTAATATATTGGTTTTGGATTCATACCGATCGAAGATGTGTTTTTAAATTTTCCAATCGACTATATGCTTTCGTACAGCCTTCAAACTGAAAGAAAGGACCATGTATATGCTAATAAGAACAACCTAACATTTCCGTACCGTGCATTTGTGTGGCTTCTCTCCTGTGTGACGTCGCATATGAACAACGAGCATATATTGAGCCTTGAACGGCTTTTCTTCCCGGGTGCAGTCTTGCCATCGACAAACAAATGCTTTCTTGTGGGATTGAATATGATCGCAGTTAATATGTCGAACGAGATCTTCCTGATTGTCGAATTCTTGTTCACATCCCTTCCAGTGGCAATTGGTATCTGTGAAATTTTCTTCGCCGTCTTTTCCTTCTTGTTTTATTCTTATTGACTTATTTTCATGATCGACAGTACTTGATACTATAGATTCGGTAGGTTCTTCCGTCTGGGGTCTTCTATTTATTGGTATGATCGGGACAATAGGAAAAGTTAAAGGAGTCGTTTGACCGGAACTCAAAGCTGAACCAATCGATGCAGCATTCAAATGACCAAATGAACCACGGCTGCTGCTAGACCTCGAAGAAGATCCCAAGCTATTCAAAAACAACGAGTCCCCAACATTGTCGAGCAAATCCGTATAAGGAGATGAACTTAAAGTTCGTTTTTTTCCTAATCTGACAGAGGTTAAATTTGTGCAAGGGCTACCTGCTTGCATTGGATTTTCTTGTAATGACTGATTAGGGCGAAATGTTGGAAGACTGGCGACGGACGGAGCTGATGGAATATAAAAAGGTTGCTGTTGTTGCTGCTGTTGTAAGGCTGCAAAAATACATTATTGAAATTAATGACATGCAGCCAGGGCGTTTATTGATACATGTGAATGAAAGATCTGTAATAAAAACTCACCTGCTAAAGTTGCGGGAGAAAGGCGCCTATAGGCTGCTGCTGCCGCAGTTTGTCTATAATGCTCTAATTGCTGCAATCTATGGTAAGTCAACAGCGGATCGACAGATAAGCCTATATCAAAGATGTAAAAAATTATAATCTAATGGAACATGAAAGTGGAATTGTAAGTCCAACCGGAAGCTGCCGCTGTGTTGGGCGGCGTTCTCATTCCGAAAGTTGCTCCCAAATCGAAAGGTGCAGGTAGGCTAAGCGAAAAAAACATGTTAAACGTTGATTGTTTAATCAGAAAAAGACAAGTTATTTTATGAGATTCAAAAAGTATTGTTAAAGAATAACAAGGAAAACATCCTACATCAAATATAATTTAAATCTTGCTTCGTATTCTTGTCACTTAACGCTTCTCCCTTTAAAAGGTTTAGAATAACTCTCAGGCCACAATTTTCATGACCTGAAACCTTTTAATCTCAGATTTTTTGTCAGAATGTATACATTCCTAGCATACTTCTTCATTCTATCCAGCATAAATTATATATAGGCTAAAAAAACGGTACACTATAGAAATTTGTGCGGGTGATTTTAAATTCTCGTCTATTTTTAAACATACAACTTGACATTCTAAAGGGAAATGAAGCGTGTGTAAAAATGACAATTACGCATTACGCCACATTGGTAGAAGGACTTACAATGACGGTGTTAATTGAATATTAAGGTGTAATTGACATTATTAAGATGAGTAATTGAGATTAACCGCATACTATACTACAAAGCATTTTTCAAATTCATATGATCAGAATTTCATGGTTTAATATTGACTTTCATGTATAATTTCCAATTGAATACTGAACCAAACAAAACTGAGTTCTAAAAAATCACTAATTTTGGCGTAAAGCGTTTCTTTAGATTGAAAGCACTAAAGTCATTAAAGTAGCACTATCAATAAGTTTTTCGATTGTAAATGAAATTTACAACACTGTATTGTCATGTAATGCAATGATTCATGACTGGTAGTTTATAAATTTTTATAAAACATATTCTGCGTTATTAACAATCTCATTCAGGATATAAGTTTTTTCCATTTTTGATAGGTATGTCTAAAAACTATGCGAATGGATGGTAAGAAAGTTCAATGAAGCAGCTTGTCAATACCATTTTTAAATGCCTATCGGCATTTTCAATAGGAATAGTAACTGAAGTGGAATGACAGAGGGAGAGCGAGCGCATCATTTTTCAACTGTCCAACCACTCAAAGGCTAAGCGCTAATTATTTTTTCGTTGCTTTGAATTTTGATAAAAAGAAAAACTCCTTCTGTCACACGTTTAGTGCATTCTACATACATTAATGCGTAAATTCAAGATTATTGATGGATATATAAACAGAGACAGCTCCTAAAGAATGATTTAGGAATAGTTTGTCGGTCAAAAACCAAAGAATTAAAAGTTATATAAATTTGTTTACCAACCCATGAACACCCGTTGTTGTTGTCGGTAGATTTGAGTTGAGGGGAACTGGAGATGAATTGATGAAAGCCGCACCTAGACAAACGAATAATTATGTATAAAGCTCCATGAATGACTGAGATCCTATCTCTATCGATAGACCAGCGGGATATGAACATGAAAAGTTTATAAAGTGTAAAGTAAACAAGTCTGGAAGCAGTAAAGAAAATATATGCTCACTTGCGTAGGATGCCGGATCCAGGAAAGGGTACCGACCAAGGTCTTGAGGATGAAAGGGGAAAAAGGCAAGTGGTGCACCAGGAGGTGGTATTTGAAAAACTTTTGATGATTCCTCCTTGCTCGGTGAGTTTTTACGAGCTTTTTTGGCCAAAGATTCTGTAAGAAAAATGCAAAAGCCGGTTTAGCCATTCATTAATTGTTTACAGACGTTCTTTATAGAGTTCGGTACGCGCCATAAATCTTGCTAGAAAAAAATTATAGGGTATTTTCAAAATAAACACAAAAATTCTTAAGTAAACATAGACCATTCAGGCCTATTTTGTTGACGGATTTGTCAGGTTATTATAGAATTACACTGTGAGTAAATATGTCTTCGGAATAGGCGATTTCAATGCTTACGTGTACAACAGACATTTTTACAGCCTAATATCTCGACTGATTGACCTTAAAACTTATACACTTATTTATGTTTAAAATATCGAATTGTAAGCAGATTTTTTGTCCAGTAAAAATTATTTAATAGTAAAATATCGCCCTCCAAAAGGCAGACAATAACATCTTTACGTTCTTTTGTGAAGGGTAAATGTTAGGTGGAGGCCTCTGCACGCCGATCAGTATATTATTACTTGTTTTCCAATAAACAATACTGTTTACTCATCATTGTTCGGCAAGGGAAATAACAAATAATGTCTTACTAGATATCTGACATTTCTTTCGTAAAAATTTTGAAGTTTGAATCCCTTTATAGATTATCCATCTACACAATACATATTATTTAAATTTTCCCAATTATAATGCTTGTTGTATAAATTGTTCGTATCAGAAATAGCGGAATTCAACAACTCTTGTTAATCTAGTCTTATAATTATTAAAAAAAAACAATGCATCTAATACTGCTACTTACTTGTTGAGAATAACGAGAACAGAAACAGACCTCACCAGCTCGCACTCTGCCTGTGTACTTTACAGACAGCGTGCAGATAGTTTTCATTCAAAGTGCCTAGTCTGGCACCATTTCTCATAGACTGGCTTTTCTCCGCGTTCTAAAATCTACACTTAAGCCTATTATATATCATCTTGCTTTTTCAAAGTACGCTGCTATACGATAAAGAGCACTTTTAAAGTGGAATTAACAGAGATGAATGTAAAGGTGTTGTTTTCGGTCAACAATTAATCAAAATACTACTTTGTCACTGATGGAGAATGTGCAATTTTTCATTTGTACTGCAACCAATCACTGCATTTTACGCTCGAATGACAATATACCCCCTGCTGAGGGTCATTAGGTGACATGACTGCATCGTTAAGTTCATTAGCATTCCCTCAAAGATTTTTTGAGCTCCTATCTGGTTTATAGAAGCTGATAAGTCTAAAGCAACTCTCTATGCAAAGACTCTTTAATTATTAATAGCTAACAATTGGTATAATAATTAATTTCCAAGTTAAAGTAAATATCTAATTTTCCCCAAAGCTTTACTTCGAATAATTTTTAAAAATCTGAAATAAATAGAATAAATAATTTAACACTTTTTCATAGATATGCAATAGATGGCACTGTATGCGGAGACGCTGGATATGGTAATAAAGCCCACTGAGCGGACAAGGAACGCCGATAGTTTGGCGACATAAAACAAGATTGATCTAGCTAAATTAGAGTTATTCATATCACTTGTTATCTATTTAAGATTCCATTTGTTCAGTACAAAGTGGTTATCAATTCAAGTAAACATATTAATCTAAAGCACAGGAAAGTTTAGTGATAGCATATTATTTTAATTAAAATATCCATAAATCTCCATCGACACACCACACCTGCCTGATACTTGAAATAAAAAAGGCGTTAAATGTGGCATTGGTGATAGCTACTTATGGTCAAGAGAGCGGTCATCGGTCAGTTTACCGAGGCTTGCGGATATGAGGAAATTTGAATGAATTTTATAGGGGCTTAGCAACGCTTCGACGCTTCTCGAAATGTCGTCTCTAAAAGATTGTGATTAGGGTTTTAGTATCAAGCCGCAGGTGGTGAAAATTTTTCAAACTGAATGTGCGTTTCAACTTAAACACTTTAGTAGCTTGTATTGCGATTAAATTTACTAATCAGGACGCGTAAACTGCGTCCGCTTCCAAAACGTCTTAACCAATACTAATCAGCGTATGTCTCCTTGTCCCCTAAGGCCAAACGTCGCACCACGGGTATATAAGTGCTTGTCTACATAGTCCTATGAAAGTATCGAATGAGGCATTTCGAGAAAATTGATTGTCGACGTAAAACAAACATTATCATCCGCTTCTGCTTGCTCTTCTTCTATCCCTAGTTTCCATAAATCTCTCAGCCCTATTTACTTGCTCACACAAATTTATAGTGTATATGCATTTCTTGACACAAAATCACAAACAGACATTCTTCAAAGACTGATACAACAAAATATAAACTCTTCTTTATGTATTTTTCGTTCATTTGATACATAGCACACGCCTGGCTTTAAATATATACATATAAGCTAATAAATTTGTAGCTTTAATGTATGCTTTTTGCATTATAAACATGCAGGAGTATAGTTTTTACAGAGAAATTTGATATAGGCGAACAGCTAATTCGTTTTCTAAACAGCATAAAAGATAAACTTTTTTCTCTCCTATCTATTCGATTGGCTATAAAAAATTCATGCTTACCATTTTTTTGGGTTGAAGTCGCTTCGACTTTTTCGGGTTTCTTTTTTGCTAATTTACTTTCTTCTCCCTCCATGGAGCTTTCGATACTCATTTCATATTCTGTAACGGATTTCAGCTTATCAATCAATCAAATCTTAAACATATTTCTATGTATATGTATCGTTGAATGATCAAAAATTATGTGAAGGATGATGAATATGTTCCAGAAGAAGGGTAAAATGGAAAAGGTGCCATAAAAAGCCGCCCAAATTGTCGACGACCGCCCACAAGGCGTGGTCCTGGAACGCTCACCCAATCACACGTCGTTCAAAAAGAAGGCACAAGGGGTACAAAACTTAATAAGAATAATTACGATGGAGAAATTACACGGGCTGTTCCCACATATTTGATGGAATTTTGCTTGGAGGGACCTTCAGTAAAAATTTTTACAAGACAGCTTTATCGTAGGTGATTTAGCGATAACGTTTTTTAATCGCCTGGGAAAATTATCCTCTTTTCCCAATACTTTTGGATTGCTTAAATGAGATAACACCATATCACTGAGATGACAAATATAGAGATTTATACTAAATCGTGAAGAAGATCTTGCGAACTTATATAAAACTAAAATAGCAAAAAATTTTAACTGTCTCCCACATTGAAATAAGTAAAATGTGTGAAGATGCAGGTTGAATACAGCTGTTTCCGTTGCCTGCTGTGACGTTTCGAGAAGGCCCCTGATCAGCCACACCTTAACGCTGGTGCTTCCTTTTGTTGACTTTGCTTTCTCATTCCTTATTGAAAGCCTGCTGAGTCGAGAGGTTATTTACGCAGCTGAGATGGTCCTAGGGAATTCTCCCTGACAGATCGATAGCAACAGTGCAATACTCAACGTCTAGAAAAGACCCCCAGCAGTCTTCAGATCAGCATAATACATGCAAGCGTGCACATCCTCTTAGGGCCATTTATCACTCATGCTTGAGCGGATGGCGGCTGGGGCACAAAGCGAGGTCGAGTTTGGAACAGATGGATTTGACGCCACTGCTCGCTGACGTCTCTATATCGTGATATATACATTATATACAAGAGCATACAGTATTAGCCGTTAACTTTGAGTTCATTTAGAACAACGTGTTTTTGATTTGAACTGCACAGGATTTATTATATATTTCGTTAAAAGCAATAAATCCATGCACTCTTCAAACTCCTAAACGTATTCATTAAATGCAAACGAAAGCCCTGAAGCAACGAAAAAGCTTATAAAAAGCAAGCGAAATTAGCTGCGACAAGGTGCTAATCAAACTATCAAACCGCTCATAGCAATACCCGTATTCATTGAATACATGAATAATGTGCGCATGAATAAATTACAGTGCTCATTAACACGCATATACCGCAAAAAGAGTGAAAGTAAAATTTTGTTAAGCAGGTGGAAATTAGTTAGATTAGATATATATCAGTCGAATCCAATATGTCCGCTTGTCAAAACGTTATTGTAATCGCCTACCGTAGCCTTACACTTACATAGATTGTTCAGATAGACGCTTCATGCTGTGTCAGCAGGACAGGTGACGGCCGACAGGCGCTATATTCATCAGATATGTAATGCTCATTTTTGTTATATAGAGGAGGGTTGGTGTCGAACGGATCAATGCCGTATATACTTTCAATAGATAGCCTTATTATAAAAACATCAACTTGCATTCAGCTGCGTATTTGCTCATCTAATGATATGGGATACGTAACAATAATAAATTTCATGCATTAATACATGTAGAAGTATATAAATTAATACAGAATTTATAATTTTTGCTATTAAATAAGACAAAGCCCTATTTTGATATATCTGAGTGTCCAATGCGCTGTACAACTGAAGAAGTATCGTATATATAAAGCAAACAAACGAAATTCGAAAGCCAGCTAAATATTCTAAATTCTCCTATACTCGATCTGAAAAACATAAATATATGTCTCTATCGATTGTTTCTAAACAAATAAACATTTACAGTTGTAAATAGATGTATTTTCGCAAAATAGCATAATTTTTGTCAAAATACGGCGGGTAATTTTCATTAATTTCCGTAAAGTAACAATTTTACAAGCTCACTTTATATGCTGCAGCTAGTATGTTTGCAGATTTACCTAGGTAGGGATGTTATTATTCTTTTTGTTCATAATTTACTAAAGAAACTCTTATTCATCCAAGCTATAAATGATCAATTCAATCCCACGGATTTAATGTAATTTTGAAATAATTTTACTTTATGAAAGTAATGCTAAGTTATAATAGAACTTTGTTTAAGAAATTTACTTACCAATAGTTAAAAGAAATCATTTCTTCTAGGAGACTGTAAGAAACGCCTGAAAATGGAACGCCTGTCCGTACATCAACATTAACCGCATCAACGCGCACGTTTCTCAAAATTCGCGACCTGGTGCCGCGTTCCTCTCTTTCTATCTCTTATACATTCTCGTAATCTGTCAAGTCAACCGCACTTCTTAACGAGAGACGCCATTGGTTGACGTCGTTTCCGGTTTGAGGCGTCGATAACAAATGAGGTCAGATTAGAGAGAGGGTGTTTGTCTTATTTGTTCTTTCTAATCTTCTTCGTAACACAAATACACGAACAGGATAGGAAGTAAAATTACGTTCATGACTATACAATCAAAATACCAAGTATAAAGAAAAATGAAATAATTGATAGCAAAATCGGCTAAATCAAAGCATGCCAAATTTTTTACCAGAGATGTTTCACAAGATATGAATTTATAAAAATGCGTGTATATTTTCTAAAAAAACATTCCCAGTATATATATTTACAAATGTTCGCTTAATGCAAATCGATATTTGATAAAGTTTACGAAAACTGCCCGCCCATTCATGCATTGTGTGCTTGTAATAATGATATATATTGTGTATGCAGTGTATGTGTGTAAACTATGTATATAGATATATAAGCAACATCTATGTTTACATATATGCTCACTATATTTCTTACAAAATGTTAGTTAATTTTCTAAGTTATGCAAAATTTCTTCTTGCACTTATTTTAACGAATGATTAAAGAAAGAGAAACGCCTTTATAAGACGGTCACAGTTACACGACACGTATATCCGCAGGCGGTACAAAAGCCAATTATTATATGGCAAAAAGACGGAAATGCGCATCAAAGTATATACGTAGGTCTTTTATATATGTTCATTCATCTTCGGCGCTTGCGCATTCAAAGAAAAAAGGCAAAAAAGAGCTGAGTTATAGAACAGATTGCGATTAAGGAAAGTTAGCGAGAATTTACGTCATTTTGGCGCCTGTAATTGCCACTTTTCAAGCGCCGGTCATCCGTT